CTTCCTCTGTATCCCACAAACAGTCATACGATAGACAAGTACCCAAGTTGTGGTGCATGTGTCTTTCGGTTATTCCGCAATGGGTGGCAACGGATGGCGGGGTATCTCAGACAAACGATAAACGCATGGACATGCATGCTGCATGAAGGGCGGAGGGAATGTGAGAGCGAGTTTTTTGAGAGCATCAAGAAAATGAATGTTATGAGAATAACATTTGGGACATGGGGAAAGGACACCACTGGAAAAGGGGTCGGCGTCAAAAGAAACAATGGCAAGAAAACAAGAGGAGAGGAGAGGCACACATTGGTGATGATTGCGAAAGGGTGGAGCAATTGATGAAGTTGATGCATCGATTGCAGAAGGGCAAAAAAAGGCAGGCAATAGGTAACAATAAGAAAATGGGTCCAGCACCTCCTTCTGCAGAACAGGACACTTGAGCACCCCTCACCTCGTATAACGGTAAAATGGAGTGAAAGAGAAAGAAACAATGTGTGCATCGGTCCGTTGATACCCACCCATCTTGTTTTCTAGTGGTACTTACTGGCCTTGTTCTGGGAATGAAGATGACAATGCGAAAAGAGAAACGAACGCCGTTGATGAGAGAAAAATTGGATGGCATCATAAAACAAAAATGTTCTCCCATTCTTTGATTGAGCAGTCTTGGTTCTCCATTCCATACCCTTTGATGTATACCAGGTAAATGGACAAAAATATTACTCGCAACAGGCGCAAACTGACGATATTCAGGCGTTATGGTGTTGCTTGCGCACATTTCATCCAGACCCAAGTTCGAAGAATCCTTCCTTCCTTTCCTGCCAAAGTAGCACGATAGAGTCACCAACGACTGGGGCGCATTATATTTTTTTTGCTTGGTCTTCTGTGGAGAGAGTTCTCATGAAATGAGGAACCCTAGTGACACGCACCTTGCATGGTGGGCATCGTAAAAGCCGCTCAGAGAGCAGAATAAAAAATAAAGGTGAAGAATAACCAGAGTGAGAAGAGTAGGATGGAAAATAAAGCATGCTGGCTGACATTTCAGTCTTACTGCTTTGTTTACGCATGCGCGGTTTGATGGAGCGCCATGTTTGCTTTTTAAACCCTCGTTGTTGAGGGAATATTTTTCCGATCCATTCACAAACAGACAGGGTCATGCGCACTGTGCAGCCGACAGATTGCATATCTTTGTATCTCCTTTCTATCAGCCTTCTTTGATGTCTTGTCTGCTGTTAGTCTGCCATCCTCCCTCGGCGTGCATCATGAATGGATGCTTGTGATTGAGAGCTAAGGAACAACAATAATGAGAGCATAGAAAATTCACTCTTTCTTGTTGTGATTTGATTTTGATGTGCAAGGTGACGATGAGGCGCTGACAGAAGGAAAAGATGATAGCGCGATGAAGGGTGTGAGTGGACATCGAAAGGTGGAGGAGCAAACAACCGGATCTGTAACCTAGGAAGGGGCAGGATGCGCCTTTTTTTTCCGACGAAGTAAACATAAAACAGCGTTGTTTTTTGGAGCATGAGTTCTTGTCATGGCGTACGCGTATGCAGCGAGTGGAAACAAAGAAGATAGCGTTTAAGGATATTAGTGATGGCAGTGAAGACAAAACCGTTAGAGTTATTTCGAAACCAATCAGAGCAATCGATCAATGCTCGGGAAGCAGAAAAAACTAAGAAAATGGGCGTCGGTATGGGAAAGCTCTTTTTTCAGTTTCGCGCTTGCTTTTACACTCCGGCTGTAGTCCATCCTGGTACTCCTAGCAAGGTAAATGAAGACACACCGAGGGAATACTTTTAACTCTTTCTCCTAGACTGACAACTCTTTTCTTTCATTCACTCCAGAACTGCGACTTGTGTCTCCAACTCTCACATCTCTGATTCTTTTCTCTCTTTCTACCTCATTTTTATCTCAAGATGAACTTGGTGATGAATGATCATCAAAGATCAATCGTGATAGTATCCGAATTCTAGGCTCACCTTCGTTCTCCTCAAGAACTCTTATCCCTTTTCTCTACATAATTGCCTGATCCCCTACATTCTACAAGATCCTCGCACCGACGAAACGCTATGACTATTATCGATCTTGCTCCCCTCTTGCCTTTGTGCGTAAAAGTATCATGATCATTAAGGTTTATGCTAATTTGCAATGACATGAACCCAATCCACCTTGTCACTTTCCCGTATTTCAAGTTTTTTTTTCAATACATCCCAGTTACCGTTTACATGAGCCTGAGCAAGAGATGACGGAGCCTTTTGAAAGAAGAACCTAAAAAAAATTATTTGTGTAATCACCATAGGACTGGTGGCCCCATACTATCAAGGAGACATACAAGTGTCCAGAGATCAAAATATTCAGACGCCTCCAGACACAGCACTTGGACGCTCTTTTTTTTTTTTTCTTGTTGGTTGTAGGGTATGTGCTCTTGATTTTTTTTTTTTTTGATTCGCGCGCAAAGAACAAGAAAAATGGGATGCACTCCCTGGAAGCAAGGCTCATCCAACATCATTGCAAAACACACAAACCATTCGCTCCTTTGCTCACTTTTCATTGCACACACGGTTGTTTCTTGAGGTTCTCAAGGCTGTATCATCCAGTCGGGAGACCATGTGGGCTCCTTGACCGGCCGGTGAAGCAAAGCGTTGTCTCGAGTCGATGACAATCAGTCATTTGCTATCAATACCCAGGGCTCTGAGATCGCTGACGACAATGCCGTTGCTTCTGCAGGCATGGCGTACCTAGAAGGGACGGATCTGAGTAGGGTGGAATAGGTGGATATTTAGGGTTTGAAGTCACAGAGGGAAGGTCGCGTTTGCTAAGCACCGACATATCCTGCAGAGGTGCATGTTACTTCGAAAGTAGAAGGAGTAGAAGGCTATGTCGTTGGGTGCAGGGGTTTCAAGTGGACAGTGGATGAAAGGAGACTTGCAGAGCAGCAACTGGGGCAGGACATGCTCTCGGTAGCCGCTTGATCGCCTGCCACAGCGTCTTGCGAAGCTTGCTGGTTCTTGGCATCCTCCATACGGTCTCGGGAGGTGGCTGTTTTCCTGGCTTGAGCTGCTTCTGTCGCTGTTTGTTGAACAGCCGTGTTGCGATCTCCCCCATCCATCGACTCGGTCGAGGGCATCCTCCCACAGCTCCTCCTGCGTCTCCCTGCTCTTGGAACACGTCCATATGTGCTCTTTATCCTCCGTCTCTAGACCACACACTCGGCATAGGTCGTCCTTGTACAGATCTGGACGCCTGACGCGTAAGATGTCCATAGTGGCAACACTCCGTGGACCTTCTTTATCCTATGGATGCGTAGGCGTGTATTCTGCTGTGAACTGAAAAAGGTGTATGGTTGAAATGGTGCCAAGCCAGTCTGAAACCGAGCCGCGTCCGACTGGTGGTAGGTTTTTTTTTTTTTTTGAGGGAAAAGAGAGGATTTATTGTGGCTTAAACAGCCTTGATAGAGTTATTTTGTGCTATGGTTTTGGTGATTTCGCGAAGTATGGTGTGGATGATATCGCTACTAGATTGAGTGTGTTGATGAAGAAAAAGAACGGTGTTGGCTGATGAAATACCAATGAGGCAACAAGCCAGCAATTGTGGGATAGTGATGTTAAATTGGGGTTTGATATCAAAGGTTGGAGGATGGAAAGACAAGACCTTATCAAGGTCATCATCTGACCAAAGTGATTTGGATGTGTGTTCCTTGAGGATTGTTTGCCAAGCGATGTATTTAGGAGCGCACTGAAAGATGTGATGCGCCTTGTCCTCACGTCGCTCACGACATCCGGCCATGTTACAATGAGGATCCTGCTTCCAGATTTTTTGACGTAGAGTTCCGCAAGGAAGCCAATCCCTTTTAAATCTCCACCACGTGGTCCTGGCCCGGTGTGGTATTTTAGCGCTCCAGAATTGGCGCCACTGTTTCGAGGTTCCCGTCTCTGGTTGGGTTGAGGAGTTTGGGTTTAGTGGTGTGTCTTGCCTCAAAAAGGCTCGAAGGTGTTTGTTCGTGGCCGATTCCAGAGTGATGGGATTACTGTCGTTTGGGATCAAGACAGATGAGAGGATATGCTGTGCCAATGTATCATCCTGCGTGATCTTGGGTGGGTTCGAGAGTGCTTGCTGCATACTGTGGCGCATTCGACGACGTTCTTGGTAGGCCTGGATCCCTAGTTCCACTTGAGCAAGGCGGAGCTTGGGGGAAAGGTGCGACTGGTGGTAGGAATCTAGTTGGTGACTGCGGTGGTTTCGTTTACCACCCCTTAAGTAGAGTCCATTTCTAACTTCAAACTTCTAACAAAAATAGCGACACCACATCAGAAAACAGTTGGAGAGGAGCAGCGGGATTAAATATGAACCTTTTTTGAACTCCTTCGTGCAGGTATAGCGGGCAGCGTTTTCTTCAACAACAACAGAGACAGAACTACCAACAGCGATAAGAAATATCTATCCCAACCATAACTGCGACTACAATACCCACAACCACCAATAACACATCAGCATGTCAAAACAAGCCATCAACAAAGTGACCCAAACCCCTGGAGCCGACACCAGGTCCTCCAGAAAGGAGGAGGAAGACCCAGCTAGCGCCTTCCCATCCCCTGGTAACTCTCCCCTTCTCTCTCTTCTAACCCGGGGTTTCAAACCCAACATGACAGAGGTCACGTGACTAACACGCTGACGCGTTCACGACACAAAAAAACCTGGCAACCCATGGGCCTGACGTGACATCAGGTGTAATTGACTGGCGGTTTTTCTTTGGGGATCAATGTCTTTTCCGTCGAATATGAAGCATACACGGATCGTCACAACATACGACATCAACGTCTCATTCATACACGTCTCGTTCATGTGAACACAGAACCATCTTCTCGACATGGATTAACCATAAGTTCAGAGGACAATTCACAGTGTCATGGTGTAGTTGTGTAGCGCATAATTGAACGAAGACTGATAAGGGCGTTTTATTTTAGATAGCGCGCGATAAAGAAAAAAAATAGCTTCGAGCCAATTTACAGAGCGACGATTTCCCACATCTGCTTGAAATCATCATTGTCGCGACGAACCAAGGCGACAGTCGCGCCCTCGGCCTTGGACTTGACACCAAGGACAAGGTCCTCGTCCTCCTTGGTGCTGATGGTGTAGTCATCGTAGTCGTATCTCTGAGCATCGGAGCCCTGGCCTTCGAACTGGGCAACATTGACATTGGCGCTGAGGCCTCCGGCGGTCAAGACGAGACCACTCTTGACGTTCTTGATCTGACCATCCTCGTAGGTCCACTTCTGGTTGTCGCCGTTGGTGTTGGACCAGACGATGATCTCAGCGCCGCCATCGACGCTGCCTTCCTTGACATCGATGACCAGGTTCTCGTCGCGAAGCTTGAGCTGGAACTGCTGACCGTGGGGGAATCTCTTGACCATGATAGATAGGAGGTGGTGGGGTGATAGGTTGAGGGTGGAAAAGTGGGGTGATAGGTTGAGGGTAGAAATAAAAAAAAGAGGGAAAGAGAGAAACGATTTATAGCTATCACCCAGGTCGAAGAGAAAGGATGACGTCTTTTCCGTGGGAAACAGTTTCTCAACTCTGGTAAAAGAAAAGCGCTGCATGACTGAGCTCAATGCCAAACCATGAGTCAGTTATCCTTGTTACCATACCTCAGTTCCCTTGAAATTTTCTTTGTCCAACCCCCTAAACCCACTTGCCTAAGCAAAAAGGGATGCTTTGTGCCAGAAAGCATTCATGCGACATTGACGGGTTGGCCTAGGCTCGCTTCCAACCCACGTAGTATGAAACGGATGGAAGGGTTGCCACTGTGGAGCAAAGGCGAAGGTAGCGTCCAACCCTCCATCGGACAATGCATCTGTCCATTCTTCGTCATTCATCCATTCATCTCATCGCGTTGAATCCAACATCATCCCCAGTTTACTCACTGCGACCTAACGATGCTCTCCAAGAAACTAGCCCTGCTTCTCTCCTTCTTGGTCTTCTTCACTACCATGGCTTTCACGGTCCATGCTGCTCCTTAGGGTTAAGGTCAAAGTCAAAGTCAAGGTCGACGTCCAGTCGTAAATTATTTTGAGGTAAAGAATACTTGCATCGCTGTTTTTCAATACTCTGCTGTGCCTACATGAAGATTTCGGTGTAATGTTATTCCAGATGTAGCAACCCAAAGACACATCCAAACTCCCCTGGAAATATTTAATTTACAGAGTTTTTTGCCAGACCGCGTTGTTACATAATCACGGTCGATGTAATTTTCATTCTAAAGCACGCAAATAAAATCCAACATCCCTACACTAAAGACGCGCTATTATTGTTATGGTTTTTTGGACATGATTTTGGTTTGCGAAAAAGCTGCATTATGCAACAAAACACCTCCCATAGGAGCAGCGGCTGTCAAACTCAAATATCGGAGATGCATTTTTTGAATGGGATAGGTTGGAATGTAGAGTTGGTTGGGGCAAAATGGACAATGGGTAGTGGAAACAGGAGGTTCAATAACGGTTGATCAAACGATCGTTGCGCGTGCAGTTGTTGATATAGGCCGTTAAGATTTGTTGCTCCTTATTAATAGACACTAGTTTCGCTCAACGCAATACACGCACACTGAAATGATGGTCCAATTGGTGCAAGTGTCTCTGAAAAGAGAGCAAAGAACGCGCTTCCCATTTTCCATCTATAGCATCTACATTATCCTACTACGGTGACGTAGATGTCAGACGCAAAACAAGGTTCCACAAGTGTCTGAAGGTAACCGCAACAACCCCTTTTATTGGAGGCGTCTACAAATAATGCAATCTGGTAGAGAATACAGTAAAACTGTGCACTTTTTTGCTTGCAAGTTTGTGTTGTTAGCTTTTCTTTTTCTTCATGCTTAGCCCACCTTTGCCTCTACGAAGTAAAATCAATTTCTATTTTTCTCTTTGTCGCCGTCGGCAACGAAAGAAGAACTAATGAACGGCAGAAAAAGGAATAGACAATTGTCGTCTTTGAGCCACACCAGAGCCTGACGACTCCTGGCGCTAGTTTTGGGGATCAATGACTCTGGGTTAAAGTAAGTAATTGTAAGCGCAATAGAAACTATACATGAGTGAGTAGAGGCTCGGTTAAAAGGGATGGGTCGAGACTAGGCTCGGGTACATTGGCGAGAAAAACACAACTAGGGTTTGTTTGTTTCCTCACCTCAATCATAAAGTATCAACAAAAAGTGTTTGGGTCGAAAAGAAGTGTGAATAACAACCATTTTTTTTTACTTTTTGACTTCGTCAGCAATTCCCTTTTTTTTGGTGCAAAATTGGGTTTGGTTTGTGCACATGGGCCCACTCACTGGGAGTATTGGGGAGGCAACATTTTCTTGTTTCCTTGTGCCTTTTCACTTTGTGTCCCACAACTACCCCTCAATGGATGGGGTCACTAGAAAACTCACTGTAGTGCTGCGAGCTAGTCTCGAATCCATCCCTTCACTCTACGTGGGTTGGAATCTCATTCCAACTTTCCAAGTGAAGGTCTGCCAGACACCCATCCAAAAACCCAGACCTTCACTTCGTGAAGATGTCGGAATGAGATTCCAACCCACGTAGAGTGAAGGGCTGGATTCGAGACTACTGCGAGCAAGGGGTGAGCAATTTTAATGGGCTCTTTCGCACTAATCCCATGTAAAGTGAGCGAGCAAGAGGTCAAAAAATCGGCTACTCACCCATTTCTCGCAGCTATAGAGTCACTAAGAAAAGTGACATTTTTCTAGAAGTTCGAGCGAGCGGATTTTTTCCTTCGTCTTTTACTCGCTTGCTCGCTCGTTGCTCGGGCGTTTGCTCGGCTGCTCTCACCCATAGGCCGCCCCGCTGAGTGTATCATACCCATAGCATATCAATAGGTTGTTAATACTCAAAAATATAGTTTTAAGCAACACAAGGACATCCAGCAAAACACGAGTGAGCGAGCAAGATTCGAGCAAGATTCGAACAAAACACGAGCGAGCGAGCAAGCATCTAGTTTTTGTTTTGTTTTGTAAGAAGTTTATTGCGTCGTGGGAGTGCGTGCAAAAACTAATACTCGTCAGCTTCGAGTCACCGCCAAATCAAAAGATGTAAAAATAAAATACTTTCCAAGAAAGCACACAAACTACATCTAAACTGGGAAAAACTGATAAACAGAGAACCGGAAAAAGGCAGCTGGTATACATTCTGCGACTTGTGCTCAGGATCTGAATGTATTTTAGAGGGATTGGTGAATAAATGGTATACAGGTTGCGAGGTATTAATTTCAGATTTTGTTACTTCCCAACTGCTATATCAGCAAACTGAGCGATGAGACTTACATGCGTGTTGGATCCAACGGACGGGCAGAGACGAGTTTGATCGTCAAACAACCGAAGCAGAAAGAATGAAAACGATCTTCATAGTATTCAGAAGAGTGCTTTTTGGAGAAGTTGGAGCGCGGAGTAGTATAAAATAAGAGCGTGGAGTGTGGATACCAAAAAAAGGAAAAAAAACGGATCCTATATGGATACTTTTTATATCCACCCCGGCCGCACTCGCAAATGGCACTATCGACAAATACATGGTGTTGCCTTTCTCGACCAAATACTAGTCCCTCTCGTCGCCATCATGTTACCAGACTCTCCTGATGCTGGAGAAGCAAGTTCTCCAGAGTAGAAAGCAGCAATCTAGATGGATTCTCTTGCTCGCTCCTTCCTTTCTGCAAACTTTTCTTGCAGGATTGCCAAGACGGTATGATGTGACCAAGTAGGGGTTGGAGGTCCGTATGCGAGTAAGGACGGGGTTCAGTTCCATGGTTGCGATCAGGGCCTGGGATGTAATAATTCCCGTGTATGGCCGCCAGGATGGAGAGCAAGTAAAAGAACGGGAGAGGGAGAGAGAGGAGAGAAGGCCCGAACGCGAGACACAACGAAGTGGATCCCCCGTGCTCAATTGCAAAAAGGTTTAGACCTGTTAAGTACGCATAAAAAAACCTATTCGTTATCCTATCGAGTTCGTAGATCCACTGGTAAAAAAAGATGGCACAACGTATCATTAGTTTTCCTCTTTACCTCCTTTCCTGCTGTTGCTATCGAATCACAAGCGTGCATTAACGCGCCTTTTTTTTGTTTTTTTCCTGGCGTCGAATGTTCATGATCCAGATGGGCTGTTGTTCGGCATGGAGGGAAAATGCACTATGTAGAAAACTTGACTAAGGGATGAATAATCCCCAACACTATGTCCTCCGGGACGGATTCAGTTGCCGGTACCCTGCCACCTCAATTGCTCCTTTTCATTTTTTTTGTCGGACACAAACGAGTGCAGGACCTGGGTCCTATGAGATTACACGGATGGGGTGTCGGATGGGACCGTGCGAAGGTGTAGAAAGGAGGAACCAGATATGCGCCTGTTATGTGTCAATTTTTTTGTTGTAGGAGAACATTGCGCCACCCTTGGTCGGACGAATAGAGAGCTCCATCTCAAGAAGTATTACCGTTCCCAAGGAAGAAAGCATGTTAGGCCGTGCGGTTCGTTGCTTTTGTGGTTATCTGGGAGTGAATCTTAAAACGGTCACGTTTCGCCTATCGTGAATGCAAAATAGTCGTGGAGAGGAAAGCACGCCCTACATCTTATGCGCACATGCAACCATGAATGCTTCTCTGCGCTTTTGTTGGGTACAAGTAGCCTTGGACATGCAACTGTCCCAACTTTCAATTGGCATTGGCAAAAAGATACATGCAAAGGCCTCAGGCGTGAACGAAGATGCCATTACGGATCCCTAGATGCCATAGTTGTGGCGTGGTCTTGTTTTTGATGATGACCTTCCTATTGATATTTTTTTTTTAAACCTGGTCCTCACATCCAATTTTTAGTTTAAATGAGAGGTAGGTACAACAGGCACTTTGAACCTAGTCAGTCCATGGTTGCGTCTACATAAAGATTACCCTGGTCCATTTATAATCGCTCCACCCCTTTCCGACTGTCTAATGATTAGGCACGTTCACAAGACAAATCCGCAGTGCTCTTTTTTGTTGCTTGTCTCCGTCAGGAGAAATAAAACAGAGACAAAAAAGTCGGCCCTCGTTTTTTTAGGTGGCAGTGAAAAACCACGTTGTCCTTTCCTGTTGTAGTGGTGGCATCTCTGTCCCTTCAATACACCTATGCTGTCGAAGCCTTTGGAGCAATTGAGAAATTTGGAGCAAAAACAAGAAAAACAAGCAGACAAGACCATGCTGTCCATGCTCTCAAAGCACGCACTCTGCAGTATTCGTTGCCCTCGTGTAGCCCTATTTTTGTTTGTATGGTCACAAAGAAGACCGAAGGAACATGACTGACAACGGAAAACGCAGAGACCACTACTTTGTTTTAATAGCTCTCCATTCAGCCCCTTTCCCGCAGTTCTTCAATTACGTATGTGCACGGAAACATGACACAGACAAACAACAGAACCATAAAATAATATGCTTTTGTCGGTGTGTGTGTGGCGAGGAAGAAATGTTTGATTATTGAGTCACCGTTTGTCAAGCCAGCGTTCATAACCTTAAACATACGAAAATGCGCCGCAGTCAAGGGGGCGTGTCTCGCAGGTCATTGCGCCCTAGTCAATTAGCCCAATTAGCCCACCTTTGAACAGCGCCTCCTTTTTTTGTTCATCTGGTGCAACATAAAACTAAGCGTGCACCTCTTCCTTTCTCTCTTTTTTTGTTCTCTACACAAGTTATCAACACTTTTTTCCGCTGCCACAACTCTCCCCAGCTTACACACACTCTTTTAACACACTACAACAAACAACATTCACACCAACCCTGTAACTCTCAAATGACTTCAGAACAATCCAGCACCAGCAGCGTGAGGCGGAACACCAACACCTCCACCAACCCCAGCACTACCGGCTCCACCACTGCAATGGATTGCCTAGCACTTTCGCTCAGTCATATCAACGGTGCAGCACACTCCAACACCACTCCTCTCTCGACCATGGCCATGGCCCACGCCCTCCTTGTCCACTCCTCAAGACAATCATCTTCCTCCTCGTCATCCGTCCAACGGTCGTCTTCCGCCATACCCACGACCACTACCTCCACTACCGCCATGCACAAGACTTCGTGGGATGTTCCAACGAAGCACTATGATCGTGGACACGATGCCGACCCTACGGGCGTTTCTGACGAGGCTGAGAAGTCAGCCTATGGTGGAGGATATGACGGCGTTCCAGACTCAGGCCGTTTGCAGCTCTATCTTCGTCGATCTGAGGAGGTGGGAGGTTATAGAGGATGGTTCAATGCCTTTGAAGAAGGAGGAGAGTTGTTGTTTGAGGGAGGCGGTAATTGCCAACAGTCTTTCCGTCAGCAGCAGCACCAGCAGTACAATGAGCAGTACCAGTGGTATGGAGAGGGCCAAAGTCTTAAATCTTGCAGTATCTGCTAGATTTAGCGGCAGGTCTTCTTTTATATCTTCTGACGACGATGATGCTGATGTTGATGTTGATGTCGACGAAAAGGTGGAGGTGTCGGCGGCGACGATGGCGAGGGATGCGGTGAGCAGGTGTGTGACTCCCTCGTACTTGGACTTCATAATGTATAACAGTGATAACAGCGCCAGTGACGAGTCTGGTGCCGACGACAATGACTATGACCTAGATCCTGCGGCGCTGGTCGCCTCCATGGATCCCTCTTCCCCTTACTACCGCCTGGGCTCGTCTACTTCCTTTGACGAGGCGGAGATCCTGCGGAGCCTGGTCGAGTTTGGTAGAACCCCCCGGATGTTCGATCATACTCCTGCAGCGAGCATGTCCTTCTTCATTTCCCCCCTGGCTATCTCCCAGTTGGCTCGCGGACTCTGGACCCGATCTGAGCCCGCCTGTGTGATCATCCACACCCGACTCCCCCAGCGCACCTCCCGATTCGATGACCACCCCTGGTCGGACGACGCCCTGCGAATGCTGAACCTCCCTAACGCCGGTGGATCCTCTTTGCTCTCTGAGGTCCTCTCCTGCGAGATGCTCTACCGCTGCCTGGGCGCCCGCCTTGCCAAGACCGAGATGGAGATCCGGTACCTTTTCGCCTACCAGCCCATGACCGATTACACCATCTCGCTCCCCGGTCTCGCCTCTGGCTACCACGTCGGAGTGTCCGTCACCCGCGCCTTTGCCTACAAGGGTGCTTACCGTAGATCCGAGTGCCGCAAGCTGTTGAAGAAGAAGTTGAGCGGAATCACGGCTTCGACGAGGAACGTGATGGACGAGCGGCTGTTCAAGCAGATCTTGCATGTGTGGGTGCCTAACGGTAAAGTTGCCAGGACGGTGCAGGCGACGTACCGGACTTTGTCGACAGAGTTGACTAGGAACAGTGTAGTGGTGATTTCTGTGGTCAATGCTGCTTGGGTTTTCAACAATCGGCGGTGAACAATGATACTCCTTTTTGTATATAGTAGTTTTTATTCTTTTTCGTTTTTTCCTCTGTTACTTGCAAACGGTGACAATAAACGTTGTGAAGTATAGCAAAGAAACGTAAAAGAAATGTGAGGTGTGCCTAACGCAAGGTCCATGGAGTTGACAAAAGAGGAGGCTAATTATCCGTGGGTGGCGATGTGGGCGGGTTGGGGCGGCAAAACATAAATGGCGATGGGGACGTCATTCCAAGACCCATCCTGACCCGCTGCCAAAGCAGCTGAGATCATCTGCGACACAACCCGCATCGCGTTCGTCTTCTTGCACTGATACACCTATTCCCATATACACACATCACATAAAAATAATGAGCCCATGCGCCGGAAACATAAAAAGCAAACTCCAACACCAAATAAAACGACAACACAATGTCTACAAATTAACCTACGAAAAAGGTAACAATCCATGAGCCAAAGAAGACGACGAGCGCAAAGCAAACATAAACCCAGAGAGGTTTATGAGGATGTGACTCGGTGGAAGAGGCAGTGCCGGCGATGATGAAGAGAATGACCCCACTGACGAGGAGGATGGCTTTCCCCTCTCCGCGGATGTAGGACCAGAGGCTGTTCCCATATTTGGCGAGAAAGGCAATGCTGTCGTTGAGGTCTCTGTCTGCGATTGTTATTTGGTTGTTCTGCATCTTGCGGGTGAAGGAGGAAGGAGTACGAAGAAGTGGATGGAGTAGAAATGAACAGAAAGAACAAAAAGACTGCAAAGGCACGGTCACAGCATCCTTATTGCGACTCATCTGCAGAGATATGTGTTGATCAGTATCCAGACGCGCAAGTGATAAAGCAGCGATAGAGCCTTCCATAGGAAATGTGTTCCCAGAATAACAACGACTACGACTAATGGTTTTTTGTTGAGGTGAACATGCTGTTCGTCATTTGTGTGTTGATAAAAGTACATGCTAATCAAGCTAGTATACATCCTGCTGCTGGTGTGCGTCGAGTAAACGTTGTCACCACCTGAACACAGCTCCTTCGCTTCACATTCCTGCTCCCATTCCCGTTCCCCTTCCAGATCCAGATTCAGATTCTCCAATTAGATGGGTGCGTCCTTGGCGCCGCCTTTGCTGCTGTCGAGCTCAGGAATATCGGCAATTCGTTTGGCGCGACGGATGTCCTCGTTCATGTAGAGTAGTTCGTCAACACGAGCACGTTTCTTGGCATCCTTCCTGAGAACAAACTTGAAATCTTCCACATTGACCTTTCCACGCTTGTCTGCCACCGCTGCTGCTTGTGTGCACTAGATATAAGGATAAGTTTTAGTAGTTTGCAATTCGTTTTGCCACCAAATAAATGACTGTATAATTGAAAAGGGCGTGCAAACATACAGTGTCGGTGAGGTACTCGATTAACATGTCCTCAAGGACACCAACAGCATCGTTGGCAGGATTGGGAACATCGCCGAATCCGAACATGAGTTGCTTCACTATTACAATTCAAAAGCAATAACAACGCGATCAGTCACTTTGTTGCTGAATGTCCTTTTCCCTCCCATGATTCTTTTTCATGAGATGACTGTTGAGTCGTCCTGAACAAGAGCAATAGCAGAAGTACGCTTACGTTCTTTAGCAAAGACATATTTCTTGCGCTTGTTGCGAGGCTCGTTAGTGGAACCAGGAGGGCGTCCAAGAGTCGCTGTAGGTTTCTTGGGGACAGCAACAGATGCAGGGTTGATGGTGTTATTGTTGTTGCCTGGAGTAGCAATAGCTGTTGTTCCTGCTGTGCCAGGGATTGCCACTGTTGCTGTTGATGTAGTGGGAGGTGTACCAGCAGGCGAGTTTGCGGTTGAAGTGTTGTCCGCCATGCTGTTTGTGCTGTCTCTTTGTCCCCAATGGCTGTCTTGTCTGTGTGTTTTCCCAGTGTGACCTTTGGGTGATTTTCGTTGTTCTTCTTCGTGTCTTGTGGTAAGGAAGAGAAAGGTGAAATTTGAATTTATAGTGATTAAGAGTATCTAAGCCACATAAAAAACTGCGGTTTCCCAGAGACCGAACTGGAGCCCATTGGAGCAAAAATACGCCGCAGAAACGAGGCAGAGTGGACGCGAGGACCCCCTGCCTTCTTTTTCTTGGCTTCAGCTTCTTTTTCTCTTCTTTCTTCTTTTTTCTTTCTTCATCACTCTCCGTTAATCTTCTCCCCTCTCTCTCCACCCGCGACCTACATATAATCTACCAACACGCACCCTACAACCAACCCATCAACAACTAGCAACAAGAAAAGCAAAGAAGCGCGATGTCTCTCACGCCTGTTGACATTCTACCCTTCGTCACCCCGGTGACAGACCCCACCATCTCTGAGATGGACTTCTCCGTCGCTGTCGACGACTGGAACGAGAGCCTCTCTCGTATCCTCAAGCACAACACTAAGGCCTTCTGGACAGAGCTCCTCCAGAACCAGTCCCTCTCCCGCTTCCTCAATTCCTTCCTGGGCGAGTACGCCTCCTTCCGTGGCAACAAGGGCGATATCTGGATCATGGAACTCGAGGAGGTCGTGCGCAGGGTCTTCATGATCTATCACCGGATAGCCGAGTCTATGACTGACAACCAGGTCACTACCCTCATCAACGAGACCCAACCCATTGCCTCCCTGGGATTTGACGATGCAGGATCAGCACTCTTGGATACTGGACTTGTCTCGACGTCGGTTCTCATGGATCTGGCCGGCATCTATGGCAGTTCCGATCCGGAGGGTGTCTCCAAGATGGTCAGCACCTTTCTGCAAAACACCCCCAGCCTGATTGGCGACTTTCGAACCTCCACCGGTACCGTCGTCCAGATCATTCGCCGTGTCCAGAAAAAGTTTGAAAAGGGCATAACCGGAGGATCAGGAGGTTCTGGAGCAGGCAAGGGAAAGGGTAAAGGCAAGAGCGTCTCTCCTGCCGTACCAGCATCACCTGAGCCAAGCACGCCGGAACAGGATGAGGAAAAGAGGACAGAGGCCTTCCAGTACGCAAGTGCTCTCGCCAACGTCGCCTATGCCATCGACTCCATCTCGGCTGTGAGCCCAACGTTAGCGACCGAGCTCCACCAACACGCCGCCTTTATGCAGTGTCTCTTTGGCTGCTACAACTATACCCTGCCCATCCTCACTAAGGTCCTGATCGAGAGCACCACCGGAGGCGAGTTCAGATCCCAGGCTGTTTTGAACTTTTTGCGGCTAAAGATGCTGTCGATCGTTAGCAACATTCTCGAGAGTATTGTCAAAGATCACCAGCAGACCGTGGGCGACGACGAGGACGACGAGGATTCGATGGCAGCCTTGACCGACACCATCTGCAGATTGGTTGCTGATCTGGATGAACAGTCGCCCTTGCAGGAAGACATGGTGCCGATGTTTGACGCGCCCATCATTCTGGATCTGGAGATTCAGTTCAGTTTGTCGGAAATGTTGTCGAAGTGGATCACGGACGTTTTCCACGGGGAGAACGACCGGATCGCTTTCTGGGTCGAGAAACTGCGGAACCTGCTGAGTTTCAATCCAGCAACGATATCCTTTTTGGACGAGCACAACATGCGTAAGTCGGAGAAGATGGCCAGGGCCATGTCGCACTTGTACATCAACGAGGAGAAGAGCCGGTCAGGATCGACCATTCACACTGGATCGTATATGGCAACTCCTCCACCACTTCCTGCGAGGAATGCCGCGCAGGAGGAAGACTATGTCAAGCGGACGCTGCTTGTTTCACAGTTGCAGGACTTGTTTCCGGACCTTGGCGACGGTTTCTTGGAGGCATGTCTTATCTCCTTCAAGGATGATCCCGAGTCTGTGACCATGCACCTCTTGGAGGAGGACCTTCCCAGCGATCTCGCTACCATGGATCGTTCCACTGTCAGGTACAACATTGCCCTCTTTTTTTTTTGCTTCTGGGATTTTTTTTTCAGGATTACTGACCAGCAGATTATTTACTATTGAAATAATATAGAGCGCCTCAGCAGACTGCCCCTGACTCGATGGCACTTGTCCAAGTACCGAGTCACGATAATGTGGAAGAGCAGGATGTTCTGTCTACTCGTCGCAACATCTTTGACGGAGACGAGTTTGACATGTTCTCAGGAAACCAAGTCGACAAAACCAAGATGTACCGTGGCAAGAAGGGGTACGCCAGAATTTGTGTCCATGTCAGGCCTTTTATGTTGTTCTGCGTTTACTTGCTATGTTAACCATATTAACCCAATGTGTTTCTTTTCTTTTTCATAGTCCCAAGGATGTGGAGGTGGTGCTGGATGACAAGGAGTTTGTGACACAGCACAAGAGCGCAATCATGAAGGCAGTCGAGAGCATGTATGACGACGAATACGACGACACTTATGATTCCATGGGACTCACCAACAATACCCAGACCAGCTTTAAGTTGGTTGATGCCGTCAACGAGGACGAAAGCAACAACACTCAACCTCAGCAACTGGCAAGTTCACTGTCATGTTACATTGCGTGCATTTATTATAACCCTACTCTTCCTTTTGGATAGTTGCTAACCTTTTTTCGTTTTTCACAACGTCGCTATAGCATACGGATCCTTCGATTGCGCATGAAGAGGTGTTAATCAACACGTACACGAGCAACAAGGATGTTTTCAACCGCAACGGAGAGGCTCGTCGATCCAAGAAGAGACAGGAGCTCCGCAACTTGACCAAAATGACTGATGAACAACTTGAAGGCTGGGCCATCATGTTCGGTCGCAACGTAAGTCGCCTTCACCAATTCCTTGTCGTCTTGTAAGAGGTGATGATAATACGCGTCAAAGTGTTGCCTTTCCCCCCAATTGTTGACCACTTTCCTATTACATTGTGAATTGTCAATAATAGCCAAGGAAGGACGCAATTGCTCAAAAGTACGAGTTCAGCGGACAGCAGACAGAATTGGAGGGCGCCGATCCAGTGGACAAGCGTCGTGGAGGCCGTTTGCCATTTGTCGATCGTAATGCATCCTCCAGCCCACAACCCCGTCAACAACAACAACAGCAGCAGCAGCAGAAGCAGCAGTCAGGAAGTGGCGGTGGCAAGCCATCGAATGGACCCAAGAAACCTCAGCAGCCTAAGCAGCAGCAGTCTGGATCATCACCACAGCAGCCTCAGCAGCAACAGCAGAGGCAGCAGACACAGGCACCAAAGACTGCGCCATCAGAACGGGATAAGGTCAAGAACGAGCGTCAAAAGTCGTCCAAGGCTAATCATAATCGCCGTAATGCGCATGCCAAGAAGATGGCTACCATGAACCCATAGACACTCTTTCGCTTACACGGAAGATATATAAAAAAAACATGAAAATAGACATCTCGCCACAACATTAGAAGAAAACTGGTGGCTTCATACTGTGCTCATTTGTTGTTGTATGTGATCTTTGCAAAGATGAACTGAAGTATCGAGGAAGGAAGGACAAGAAGCAAAGTCTATGGGAATTGAAGATCTTGAAAGAGAGCTCTCACTGCGCCAGCGATCAATTCTTGGGATCTGTGGTGTCCAAGGTTAGCAGCGAAGTATCTGGTGATAAAAACGGTAAGGGCATCAGGTACCTCGGACCTGTTTTGCCTTTTAATTAGTGTCCAACTTAACACCTATCACAAATTCTCATCCCTGGCGCCGCGTCGCGTACCGGTCACCCCTAAACACCTCTAGATCGCGGAGCAAGAAACCCGTTCGCCTTGGAATTGAATCTTGAAATTCCTGGCTTCCTTCTTGTCCATAACCCATTCTTTCAACCGAGTTGGACGTTTTCGGCAGAGGGTGGTGGGCAAGAGAGTGACAGGTCTAGGACTAGGTTTGAAGTGGTGCGGAGGGAGATGGCGATTGGTGTGGAGGAGATGCCGCTGCAGCCTTGGAGGGTGATGTGGCAGATGGTGGGGCGCATCTCGAGTGGGGAGAGAGGGATGATAGAGTCGTCGAAGATCCAGGTGCCAGATATGATGAGGTGCTGTACTGTACAGCACTTTTTATTTACTTTTATTCACTGAGCCACTATTTCAACACTAATCCAAAAGTAAAAAATGTCGCCGATGGTTGATTCTCTTATCATCACCCTCCTACACCTTCCTTTCTTTCCTCTTTGCTACCACTCTCACGCCCTTTCCATCACCACCCCCGTTCCTTGCTGTTCCTCTCTCTCTCTCTGCCCTTTTGTCTTTTCCTTGCTCTCCTTTTTTTTTACAAATCGCCTTCCACTATATAACCTTTGTTCGTCTCTCTTTGCTCTCGACATCCCTTCGCATTCATCCTCCAGTGCCACTCTTCTTTTCATTCTTTCCTTTCCAAGCTGTCAGCAGCTTTCGTCTCTCGGCGCAGTCTTTAGAACTGTCTTCAGGTAAACGTGATCTATCTCCAGAATTGAATGTATAAGGCAGTCTCCCAGTTCCTGTCACTCCATCTCTTTCACTTGTCAGGGTGCATGGGGTTGACGCCCTTTCCTCATACTGATATCTCATCTGCACCACTGCTGCGGGGCGGTATCAAGCGAGGTTTCGTCCTCGCGTGTTGCATTGCTTAGCATTAAAACACTGTGCGAGTCTCATTGTCGCAAGATACTGTCGGTACAGCAGCCTGATATGGAGCCCTGGAGACTCTTCGACACCCGTAGCAGGGTCCTCTAGAGCCATGTAGTCGTCCCCACCAAACTGGCGTTACTCTACGTTTCTAAAACGTAGGGCATCGTTCGGTATGAGTCCCGTCCACGCGCGTCTCCATGCTCTGGAAACACCGCGCAGGCCTCGTTATCGCGAGAGATTGCACTCGCAGCAGCCTGCTATGGAGCTCTGGTTTACTCTTTAACGCCCGCAGCGGGGCCTTCTAGAGCCGGGGTCCACCCTTTTCTTTCACTCTTCTTCTCTTTTTCTCTTCTTTCTTTTTTTTCTTTTCGTTGTATTTTTTTTTTCATGCTGCTTACGATTTTCTACCTATTCCCTTTCAATGTAAATAGAGGGGTTCAAACCTTGATATTTGACGGCGTGTAGCCAAATGCGCCGTCAAGGAAATCCGCCAAGGAAATACGTTTCCGCGAGGGCTGATGTATTTCGACGTTTTGAATGTGGGCATGTCAAAGTTTGAAACCCCTAATATAGGTCCCATATCTCATGATGTCGCGATGATTATGACGCGGCTTCTAGTGTGACAGAGACAGAGGTCGATCACGGATACAATATGATCGGGAACACTCTCAGGCTTTGGAGTCAACAGGCCATTGGAAGGAGGTTCTCGCAAGGCTCGCCGGCTCGACTTGTGTGTGCTGGCATACATGAGCACCTGTACTCGCTAGACCGATATTGACTACGGAGACTTCCTCTATCATGCGGACAAGGCGCAGAAGGAAAAATGCATATTAAAGCGATTACATTCTGCTTGGCATCTCGGTATCACACAACTCCTCCGGTCGACACACGAAGGCCTGCGAAGTCGAGTTAAAACACTCCTGCAGAAGTGGTCCCGGAAGGAGTATGTCTCGATGGAGTGCACTTTCGGTTTGCACCTGGAACGCAAATGAGTTCTGGATGGAGGATCGCTCAAGGCTCTGGCAGCGTCGAATACCTACTGGGACGAGCGTGCTTGTCATGATTACGGACAAACAACGGAGGTGCTGAAGCAACAAGGTACCACAATGAAGAGACGTCAATGAATGTGCGATGCATTATTGCCACCACTTGCACCTAACATCAAACCGGTCTTTGAACTAGCCTCTGACGAGCCATCGAGGCTGAGTCTCAGCTATGGAAATGAGGATTCCCAACAGGGGAGGCAAAGAAGGCAAAGGAAGCAGGTCCATCCAAACATGCAAGCGACGGGGAAACACGACTCGTCTGCAGAACTGCAACAGGAACCACCATCAGCTGTGACCTTCGTAGGATCGAAGCTGACCAAGTAGTATACTACATCCAATGACGTCCAGATCAACGGACAGGTTCCGGTCTTCATTTCGCCGCCGAGCGACATATCTTAATTGCACCGGCTCTTGTTCAACCATGTACAGGATCTACTGATGGAGTACTACGAGCAGAACGCAAGGACAAAGAGGAGAAGGACCAAACTCTGTTGAAAGGTTCAATGTAGGCCTACCAGATTTATCTAACCAGAGTATTATACGATTTGTGAACCAGAGTATTATACGATTTGTGCATTACATCTGCGTTTCCAGCAGCAGCAGCGTTTGGAATAGTATAGGGTCGTACTTTCCGGTGTCATGAATGTCATGTCCGATCGATTCATCAGCTACTGTGAAAGTAGCGACAATGAAAATGTCTTTGAGCGTGCAGCCATAGCTACAAGGATCGAGAACTTTAACCAGCATGAGTGCCTTTCGATCATTCGAGGCTACTCTGCAATGCTGGAGGATCAAGGACTCGAGGCACTTTGGTTTCAAGTTGTTCACCAAGTTTGGATCAGGCAAACCCCTGCCACCAGATGCTTCGCATCTTGGATTATCTGTGAGCGCTTTTCTTGTGCGTTATCTTTGTAGCTTGTTGAGCAACCTTGGCATAATTTGATCACTGTGTGCCATTTTGTACTCCCATACTCCCTTTAGCTGCCACGTTATCAGTAACTCTCCATACAAAGCGTCAGAGCCGTCTGAGACGGACAGTTTGTATATTTGGACCCATCCTTTTTTCATTAATCACAGACGGCATTGCACTACTGAGCGGCGAGAAGATGCTGGAGGCATCCAAGACACTGCGGCGCGAACAATCGCGCGAGTTTGGCGACCTGACGTAGACCAGGCGAAAAAAAATGACCTTGCCCTTTGCTAAGATGGCATTGAGCTGAGCAACATAGAGTTTAAGCGGGCCAGGATTGCCTCCAAGGATGTGACCATGCAGTGGCGGAAGAACATTCGCCTCGGCCACTGTCTTCAAGAGGCTCATCGAACAATAGGGCTCGGCGACTCGGCCATTATCATGGCCGATATTGCGGGTATGTGAAACATAGCAAAAAACCCAGACGAGGAGTACCACGATCGGATGATCGTTTGAATGCTGACTTTCTCATTTCCTTCTGTCCTTCCTCCCTCATATAGGGGTTCGTAGATGTCTTCTACCCTATCGTGCCACTCGAAGATATTTGGGTCGTAGGGTGCGCTGCTGCGGACTTTGCCCACCTCCCAACAACCTAGAGAGCTCTTCTTGATTTTATGTGCGAAAACGACACCTCCATTGCTCAAATGTTATGATTCTTTGTAAGTCGATCGAATACCACCAGTCTGAATGGTGGCAGATAAAAACCATGTATGGAGGCGATACTCATGGCTTTGTCTTTACTCTTTTGTTTTGTTAAGATATACTGGCAGAGAAGTGCAAGAAGGCAAAGAGGGCGAGGTAGAGATACAACCTGCAGCTGGCCAAACAAGGGATATGTCAAGCAATAGGATCTGCTCGGTCGATCACGCCGCCTCCCAAGATCAAGGCCCTTGCGAACACTGTCATTTTTACGCCGAACAAGAAGCGTACTTTAGCTATGTATTCTACATTTTAGCGACCCAATCTCAAATGAAATGTTCTGATGTCCGAAAAGAGGATGATACTTGGAAAGGCTGGGGTTGCGAGAGGGTATGGTAAAAGGTCGCGTTCTTGTCTGAATCACAGGGGAGCGCCCATTTCTTGTATTTTTTTCACCTTTCTTTTCATTTGATGCTTCGTCACAGCATGACAGACAATCGTCTGGCCCTTTTTTTGTCTTGTTGATGGAGAGGCTACGTCCAACGCGTTTTCTGCTATGACTCTCTCAAACGACACCATGGATGTAACGCCTGGGAGACCTTGGACTTGAACATGTGCAACTACGGGTCTGAACATAGACGGCCCATCACCTGTCTGCACCCCTCCTCAAGGATACAGATGACCCCTCTGCACTCCCACGACAGCAACAACAGCGCCACACTCTCCCCTCCCTCCGCGATCTGCATCTGCAAGGACAATGGACGATCGGCAACAAGATCTTGAAAGAATTCCTCTCAGGCATGACTCCCAACCTTGAGAACCTGAACGCGAATCAATTGAAGGAGTGCGCGATTTGAGGACTGGTGGATGTACTCAAGACGAGGGCAAGATGCAGACTGTTTTGACAGGGTTTTGGGTTAGGGAAATACGATGAGCAGGATGTGGCGTCAAAGTAGATGGTGAGAGATCCGGCGATGGTAAGGGTGAATGGTTTTTGATGTGCCTGATGTGTATTATTTCCCTCACGGCGAAAGCGAAAAAAACAGGAGTCATTGTACCTGACACGAGCAAGATTTTTGGTGGCGAGACACGCGCGCGTTGGTTCAAGAGCGCCTAGGTGACCAATGCAAAATGTGGCGTCGAGCCGTTTGTTCGTCTGTGTTTGACTTTCCAAACTTCACCTCCACATCCATTCTACTCCGCATTCCTTTTTTTTCATTGTTCTTAATCACTCTCCCTCCAACTCTTTGTCGTTACCACCCTGCTTCCTTCTCCTTTCCATTGATTCATCATCACCATCCACCAACGTGATGGCTCCCCTCTCGCAATTACCACTCGAATGCCTTCACGTCATCATACACTTCATCCTCACAGACAACAACAAGCCCCTGGCAACACTCTCCCAACTCCTATGCGTCAACAAGTACCTTGCCTCCGTCACTCTTCCCTTTATCTACTCGAACCCCTTCCCCCTCTCCTTTTCTTCCGAACACGGGAAGGACACTCGACTCCTTCGAAGAGACAAGGGCTACCAACTCCTCACCCGCATGCTGTTCCTCCGTCCTCCCTTTACCACCGCCACCGACAGCAGCGTCTCCAAGCTCATCTCTGTTTGTTTATGCCCACAATTGATATACACAACCACCGAGGAGACCAAGGGCAATAGAATTGTGACGCCCCCAGTACCTTCTTTTCTCAACTACTTCGCACATATACAACACCTCAATCTCGACGTGGGCGCCATGGACCCATTACAGCCCGTCTCGCTGGAGAATTGGAGGTCTGAGCAGATGTACTTTCTGAGCGCCGAATTCTCACAGCTCCGTCGCTCACACCATTTGGCGCGAACCTATTCCAACCTTCTATATCGCCAGAGGGAGCTCGTCAGCATGCCCCGGCAAGCTCTTCTCTACCGGGAGGTCACCTGGTTGTTCGCAAACCCTGTCCTCGAACAACTGCAGTCTTTGACGATTCCTCTGTCCGACATCAAACGCTACACCAATGTTGTATACATGATGAAGAGTCTGGAACACATTCGGTACTTGCTGGATGAAGCCTGGACGCACCCTGTCATCAGGAATAGTGACGGTGCTGAGGAGAAGGATGCGCGGATGGAGGAGGTGTTGTCTTTGGCGGTTCAGTTGGTAAAGGATCATGTGCGACTCTTCCCCAGGCGCCTCAGGACGGTATCCAGCTGCAACTGGGACAAGCAAACTGGACATTCAAGACATATGATTCCCGAGGATGTTCAACTGGAAATCTTTCGGATGCTGGCCCCGGTCCAGAGGATGGAATCATTGACGGGAGACAACTGGATGCGAGTCGCTGCACACCCATTGGCGACCGATCTGCGATTCGTTGAGACATTACTTAACAACACACCGGCAGAGCAATGGTTCGGTCCCAGCTACGATTATCGTCAACTGCTGCAAAGATGTCGAGCCCTGAAGAACTTGGATATACCACCGTTGGGACAAGGCAGTTTCGCTTGGGCAGTTCAGGAAAAGAGAGACCACGAGGGCAGGATCATCACCAAAAAGGGACAGGGAGTGGCAGCATGGGAAGAGGATCTTCTACCTCATGGTCTGGTGCCTCTCGAGAACTTTACTATTAAGGAACAACTCAAATCTCTCACGGACGAAGTCGACGATGTTGCCTTTGCCTTCAGTCAAACACTGGCCACTATCACAGTCACATCTTCAGGAACCAACACGGAGCTACGCTGGATCCAATTGGGACGAGGATGGGTGGATCTTCCCATGTTGACTCGACTAGAGATCCAGGCTAACTCTGCACGTCTGGACCTCCACCCAGAGCTTCTGTCACACTGTCCGAATGTGACATATGTGAAACTTTCCGACAGGACATACGGGTATCAGTGCCAGGATATCGTGCCCTGTCAGGCAGCGCACCTCGCCCATGTGGAGATCTTGGCCCTGACAGGGTGGAGCGCCCTCACTTTCCACCAGGCAACCCTTCATTCGGCAAAAAGGCTGACCATGTTGGATGTGACGCTAGAATTGGACAGCGAGGATGGGTGTTTTATTCCACCCCCGGGCGAACTGAGATGGTCCTATGGAATCGAAGACGACAGTCGAGTGGGCACAGAGTTCCAAGAACCCCCCGCGATCTTGCGACCTCGATGGACGTGGGATTGGTACCTCCCCTGCCTGACGGATCTGTACCTGACTTCTGAGTTTGCTTACTGTATCCAGTTCCAGTTCCTCCGAGGTTGTCCGTCGTTGCGGTCCTTGGCGTTGGACATGCACTCGGTTGACAATGACTGTCTGATCATGATCCCTGAGGACTTGGTCGCGCCCTCTATCTGGGGGGACCCTACTTCTCCCCCGGCAAGGATCATTGTCCCTTCACTTCGATCCTTGTCTCTGCGGGGTCGGTGGATTATGAACGATGCGTACATGCTGGACTTTATGACGGGGATGTTTCCGAATGTCGAGGATTGGGTCCTGGATGGATGGGAGGATATTACGCTTCGAGGGTTGATTGCTGTGCTGAGGACCCAACAGCCTACCAACCATTACAAGACCGTGTTCACTAGTCTTGCGCTGCCTTCAATGCAGGAAGAAGAGGAGTTTGGTGTGTTTAAAAAAACGAGAGTTACGGGCCATGAGGTGCTTCTCCCGGTGACATTGTACTTTTATGACATACCTTATGGCGAGATCCACACTGTTTATCGTCTCACGTCTGGAGTGTGAGCAAAATAATAAATACAAGGTTTGCTTCTCCGTCTTGGTCATTCTGTTAGTGGCGTTATTTTGAGTCGTTAAAGAAACATGTAGGGGCGGAGAGAAAAAGAGAACAAAGGGCGATTGACGACGTTCTGAGCAGCTATTTTCCTTAGTTGTTTGCCTCTACAACATCCATCACTTTTTCTTACTTATTGACTTTGAGTACACCAAAACATAAAAAGGCAGTGATCAAAACTAAAGAAAAAGTACAAGAAAAAGTACAAGAAAAAGTACAAGAAAAAGGAAGTGAGAAAGGGTAGATGCATGCGCGGGAGAGTAAAATGAAAAAGAAAGAAGAAAAAAAAGAGAAAAGAAAAAAGAGGCCCGCAAAAGGCGCAATCAATCTTGAGCCATACACCAACAAACAACAGATAACAAACAATGGGAGTTTTCTTGCCGAGGGGACAGAGTTTAGGGCTTAGGGCTCAGCCCAATAGCCTGTCAATTGGTATGGTCAGAGCTCAAGGGAAGTCACAGACCGGGATTGCTAGCTTTTTTTTTGCTGTGTGTGTGGGGGGGGTAAGCAAGTAAGCATGGGCCAAGTCACTCCTTCGATCCCAATCCACTTCTGACAATTCGTAGCATTCACAAATAACAAATACAAGTAAAAGAAGGAAAGCTACCACCAGCCGACCAATCCTCCGTTTATTTCTGCTTGTTCTTGCCTCTCTTCTTCCGAACAGCCTTTTCCTTCCTCAGAACATACTCCTGGCCCGAACAAATAAGCCTATTCGCCAATAGCTTGGGTCCTTTCGTGTACTCTGGCTTCCCATGCCTCTTTTTCTTCGTCAAGTACGACAAAGGGAAGATTCTCAGCCTCTCCAGCTCTTCCTTCGGCAACGCCTCCCGACTCGGCCAAACCGCCAACCGCCTCGTATCCGTCGTCAATAGTCTCACATGACTCAGACTCGTCCGGAGGAGCTTCACAAACGTTGCCACTGTGAATTTGTTGCCATTGTCGGGACCGTCATCATCGCCAGAAGTAGCCCAACATCCTCGGACAGTCAGACGGTCGAGGTTCGGGAACATCTCGACCAGGAATTGGTGCAGCACACTGGAATCCGTGCATGACCAACGACCTTCCATGTGCAGACTGCGAAGCTTGGGTACCACAATCCGTCCTCTTTCCTCTGCACAAGATCCGTCCGCACCGCTTGCTCCGCCAGGGATGAAAAAAAGGTCGTCCTCGGAGATGATGCGATAGTGTGACGTGTTGTCGCTGGTGGGGATGTGCAAGTACAGCATTTCTAGTGCGGGACATCCACGGAGCATCTTGAACTCGAACCGGTAGGCAAACTCGGACCCCAACGACAAATATGTCAGGCAAGGCAGGTACCAGTCCCAAGTCCAGTGAGGTCGAATGATCGAAGGAGCAAGACGGGCAGACCGAGTTCCATAGGCGTCACCATCGCCATTGTCTTCAGTACACTCGAGACCGTAGGATCTATACAGCTCGTCGACGGGTGGAATAAAGCAACACTCCGAGTATCGATTATTGGCCAAACACAACATCTTGAGCGCCTTGGTCGACTCAAGCGTAGCGGGATGAAATGTCAAAGCGCTCCAGCCTGTCAGACGCAAAGTCCCGAGTCGATAAAGGTCCGCTGCATAACATGGGACAATGTCTTCGCAAGAGTACGTTAAGGTATCATTGTCGAGGAGAATAAGGGTATGGAGCGAAGGGAATCGGGAAAAAAAGTGTTGGTCCAGTACCAGACGGTGATGGGCGGTATGAACCTCAAGATGGCCCAGGAAGGGTAAGTCGACCCAGTTGTGACCGAAATGAATCGTCCGGAGAGTGGGTGGTGCTTGGAGAGACGAGATCAGGAGTGACTCCAACGACTGACTGAAAGCGTAAATGAGAGCATCGAGATCCGGCGATGGCATGCTGCATTTCTCGAGGTGGACCTTCGCGAGTGGCACCAGACCGTGGGTGAAATAGTCAGGATGGAACGCCTCGTCGTCATGTTCGCCGCCGGGATCGCTGTCATGGTTGTCGTTGCCACAGTGCACTCGACTACCAATGGCGCCTTGCTCAAGTCGCTGCAGGCCCTTCTTCTCTTCAACAGCCCAATCAAAGCAACCCTTATAAAGGTTCGCCATAACAAGGCTCTCCAACGCCCGGCACCATCGCAGGAGTCTTTGAGGTGTACAAGTTTGGCATCTTGCGGGCTGCCAGGGGTCATCAGGAAGCCAAGGAAGCCAATCAATCGACCTCACAAGAGTCATATCCGTCCTGTGAAGATGGAGAGCGATCCATGGCCACTTGTCTGGCGAAATGACCCTTATCCTGCTGGGGGGAGGCAAGGCGCGAAGAATATCCATGTCGACGTGGCTGAGACTGGGCGGTTTAAATATCCCGCTGTGCTGGTCGTCGCCGTGATAACCCGGTAAGGAGCAGGTCACCCCCTCTAGATGATGACCTGGGAAGAGCAGTACGTAATCCTTGAGAAACCGCGCAAGGGCATCGTTCGCCTCCTTCGTTGTAGAACTTTGATTGAAGCTTACGTCCCCATACCCGCAGAATTGACAGCCAACCTGCAAATCCTTGACAATATGGATCCATTTCAAGTTTCTCAGCCGATGGAGAACATTGTGGTACCGCTGGACGTCCGACAGTGGGAGGGTCAAGGACTCGAGCTGGTCGAGGATGGGTACAGAGAGAGACCAAATCAGTTCTCGGTAGACGACAATTGGATACAAATACAGGAGCATCATATCGGGATCGCTGTGACGACCGCAGTCTGGAGTGGCGCGGAAAGGAGGACAGGAGGCTAAGTAGTCAGGTGAATGGATGTACTTCATCGTCTCTTTAGAAAAGTTGGGTTGTTGGAAGTAGTTGAAGAGGAGGAGGCGATCCTGGCGGTCCCATGTCCGGTAGTTGTTTCGGGGTGGCGTCAAGTTGCGAACGTAGGCGAGGTAGTCGAATCGAATGGAGTTGTTGTTGTTACTGTGCTGCTGCATTATGGGGTTGCTGCGCTGCAGCCTACGAATTTTCCTTTTAGACGTGGGGTTGGTGATGTCGATGTCCAGTTCTGAAGCGACGGCTGGGTGGATGAAGGCAAGAGAAGGATTGCTGCGACTGTTGGTGAGGAGGGTGCGGAGGAGATTCCGTTCCCGGAGCGATCTTGGTCTGCCTTCTCCGGATTGAGGGGTCATGTAAAGCAATTGGAATGGGTCTCGGTACAAGTGTGGGATAGCGACAAGGGCCATGTGTCGGTTGACGAGGCAGAGGGAGAGGAGGGCGCGAATGGAGTTGGTTTTATGGCCTTGGTCGCAGTCGTAGTCGTAGTCGTAGGAGGGTAAAATAAAGTCGAGGATTAGCTGGAGACATTCCACTGGTAGACGAGACAGGTTGTCCATTTTATATGGCAGGGAGGGAAGGTGAGTGTGTTTTGTTGGTGAAAAGAGGGAGTGGAATGCAGATGAAAGAGAGGAAGAGGAGGAGGAGGAAGAATGAAAAAAAGAGCAACGGGTCGCTCACTCACTCTCTTTTATATAGCTTTGTTTGTTGTGAGTCAGGCTTTAGCATCGAGCATTGGAACTATGTCCCCTTGCATTTCAGTTGAACGTTTCGTGAATCAAATCGGGCTCAGCACTCGTACTTTTCGATCTTTCCCTCCAATGAGACAAGGTTTCAACTGTTCTCCCCTCTCCCTCTCTCTCTCTTCTTTCTTTTTCTTTCTTACACAAGTCAGGGTACGCTGAACTGCGAAGGATACAATGGTGGAATTACACAGCCGAAAAGAAAAAAAAAATATTCTGAGAACGGGAGGGAAGGAAGCGTATTTGTAATCAAAGCTAGGAGACTCATTCATGCAAAAGAGATAAGCAAAAAAAAAAGAATCATTGGGGGTGTAGTTCGCGCCCCCGCACACTCATACCAAAAAATGAACCCACCACGTTCGCGCTTTTATTCTGCGGCATGTTAGTCGTACTCGGCGTATTGGCAAGGATGTGGGAAGCAACGTAGTCGTGGTGAAAGGACTCACTCCCACTCCTTCTCCTGCCCCTGCTCCTGCTACTCTTGCTGCTGCTGTTGCTGTCATAGTCGCCCTCGACATACCTCGAATGGCCTCAACTAACAAGCCAGCAGTAACACCCTCCCATGCCCTCGCAGTCGGTTTCTCGAGTTTCGGAAACATCTTCCCACGGACGAATCACAAAAGGAGGCGATGGTATATCATCACCATCACGTCCTTCATCCTTCATCCTTCAACTTATCCTTATCCTTAACCTTGTTCGCCGCACTCACAAAACCATACAATCGCCTCTGCTCGTTGACGGGTGGGATAAAGTAACACTTGGAGTGCCTCAGGAGAAGCGTCGGGACCTTGAGACAACTGGTAGTCTTGAATGTGTCTGGATGGAATCCCAAGGCGCTCAAGCCCCTCAATTACAGTTCATGGACTCGAAGCAGGTCCGGTAACAACCTCCCCTTGCAGGTGTACTCACGAGTGCTGTCAAAGATCCCGGCCCTGGCCGGTTTTGGACAATGTGCAAGTAGCAATGGATCCAAGGCCAGTCGGCGCCCCTGTGCCAGGATTTCCAGGTCAGTCAAGCAGGGGAGACCGGCAGTACAACCTTGTCCGAAAAGAATCGTTTCGATCGGGGCTCGGAAAGGTGGGAATCTGGTAAACAGAGACTCCAAAGTGTCGCAGAATGCAGTAGCGATAGCATCAATATCGGGTAACGCGTCGATGTCGCTGTCGTTGAGGCTAAATCTCGCGAGCAGCACCTACGGGCGGGTTAAAAAATCGGCTTGGAGAAGCGTCAGAGGTAGGGTCACCGGCGTAGACCATGAGCTCATGAACTCGAACGCGTGATGTTGTTTACTATCTCAGCAGAGTAAGCTTGCTAGCCCTTGTAGGGATGTCCGTAGGTGCTGTATCTCGAGAATAGGCCATTGTTGATATTGACGTTGCGGATGTGGCGGAGATGGCTGATTGTGAGCTGATCGGGTCTGGGGGTGACTGTTTTGGTGGTAGTTGTGCTTGTATCGGTGGTGCTGGAGGTGTCGTCGAGTTCCAGTTCAAAGACTAAGGCTGGATGCAAATTGCTGATTGAGATGGAGTCGCTGTTAATGAGCAATGAACGGACACGGTATCGAGACTGGGGTACACTGTAAGGGTGGCGTATGTTACGGCGCATCCTAAGCAACTCCTCCATGAAAAAGGGGATGACGAATGTGTGATAGAAATAGTGTCATTCATCAGAAGAGGTCCCTCTCTCTCGTTTGTCGACAAATCTCAGCAAGTTACCTGGTAAAGAACGAGTAGAAGCGCGATCATCCATTTGTAAAGGGACCAGAGAAGGTCACCCCCTATGTTTCTCGATCATTCATTCGTTCGTTCCTTCACTTTTTGAGCGTTAGAAAACATAAACAAGCAAGTGTTCAAGGGAAGGAAGGCTATTTTTGATTATTTTTTTCTCACAAATCGTGGTCGAGCATGAAATAGGGTTTGGACCACACCAAACCAGACTACGTCAAGCCCTAACCCCAAAAGAGGAGGCGAAGTACTGAGACCAAGCAACCAGATAGAGGAAAGGGAGCGGACAACGAATAGAAGAAGATGCAGAAGAGAAGGAAGGGAAGGGTAGGAAGGATTCATGAACTTGTGAACTTGAGAGCACTTGGTTGGGGACAGGTGTTTGCACTAGTAAGCGTGCGTATTTGTTGTTGATCTTGTCGTTTCCTGGGCTTCCATTGTCAAGGCAATTGTCCCGAGAAAGCAAGGTGGTGTGCCGATCGTCATACACTAGTAGGGGATAACGAGAAGAGAAAGAGAAAGAACATCGTCATGTTATGGATGCAACAAGTAGCAAAGAGGGGGCAAGGAAAACGTGTCAAGACCACAGTCACCAAGTTCAAAAAAGGGACGGATGCAGGCGACCCTTGTTTCTCATTTTCACTTTCTCAATCGCCCCTTTGTTTGCTGTCATTTCCTTGCCTACAGTAGTGTTCTTATTGCCAACCCTACACCCTGGTCGCTCCCTTCACTCTTGATTATTTCCCTCTTTGTTCTCTCTTCTTTCTCTCACCTTCCTCGCCTGCCAACCCTTGTACATTCTCATTCCTCCCTCCCACGCTCGCACCTCACACTCTCCTCTCCACTCCTACGCCCCTTCCATTCTCTCTCTCTCACACACACACTTACCCTTGCATTCGTATCTCGATACCCCTCTTCCTCTCCTCTCATTCCTCCTTCCTCTCACTCGTCCCTAATCCACAACACAGGCACATTCACACTCCCCCTCCTCCTACACACTTATTGACAACATGGCTCTAGCTGCGAGGTCATTCTACCTTGTCCTCACAGTCTTCCTCTTCTCCCAGGTCGTCACCGTCCTCTGGCCACAGCACTACCTCACACAAGGCAGCAGTAAAGGCAAAGGCGGTTTTGGTCTCCTCGCAAACACACATTGGTTCTCTAAACGAGGCCTTGATCCTTCTCCTGATGACAACCAGGTATGGTTTTCCTTGTTCTTGTTTGTGAATCGGTGCAGCTATGTTTGAATGCAGAATGGAATGAATGCGGAAGAAGAAGGGAGAAGAAGAAGAAGAAAAACGAAGAAGAGGAAAGGGCATGAGCGTGTGCATGTCAGGAAGCTCTTGTATGTAAGACGCGAGACTTACTTTTCCTGTCCTTTGCTTTTTTTTTCTTTGACCTTCGGTATGTCGACTCTGTCTTGGAACACTTGGCGAATAATGAAAATAATGACCACGCCGTTTCGACGCTAATAACAACAACAATGACGACAAAACAAACAATAAACGAACCAACAACGGACAACGCATAACAGTGCGAGGATATTTGGAAACAACAGGATAGATGCGCATTCGTGCGAGAGAACTGTGCCGACTACCCCGCTGGCCTGATCAACTACCTCCACTTTTACTTTTGTGACCTGAGCCATGTCCCCGCCGCAGCGACCTTCCTCCTCGTAAGTATATGTCACCCTATTACCTTCATCGTTACGCTCCTCAGAAAATGCATGACTTAACAAGGCTAACTAAACCATGCACTTCTCATCGCGTGAACAATAGTGTATATGGCTCATCTTCTTGTTTGGATTCGTTGGAGTTGCAGCATCGGATTTCTTTTGTAAGTCAAGGAGCTCGGCCTTCTATACATGTCTATCAAACGCATGGTATCAGTGCGTACCAGAAACCTTTAGAATCAATTACTTACGAAATCCTACCTCTTCGACGAACTAGGTCCCAACCTGAGCACGATCGCCAAGAAGCTGCACTTATCAGAAAGCATGGTAAGGACCCGGTCCAGCATTTCGTCCGCATCCCTACTTCACTGAATACATAATTGCCCTTCCTTTCATTATGCAAGATGCATCTATTTTTCCCACCCGCTCGATCTAACATCCACAACATCTCCCCCTTATCAACTGATAGACGGGCGTGACCTTTTTGGCTTTTGGAAATGGATCTCCGGATGTTTTCAGTACCTTTTCGGCCATGGGTGCAGGAAGTGGATCCTTGGCTATTGGTGAACTCGTTGGTAAGGCAGAGGCGAAACACTTTGTCCGAACAGCTGACAATGTTAATGGTTCAGGATCAGGAGGACCAAGACGCAAATCTGCAAGCATTCGGAACCAGATCAAGATCCATATAACCTGACTCTCATTTTACGGCCTTTATCCATCTCATCTCGCGACAATGCAACGATGATGATTTACCCTAATAGGCGCAGCATCGTTCATCACATCCGTCGTGGTCGGGTCCATGGCGATCATCAAACCGTTCAAAGTGAGCAGGGCACCTTTCTTGCGGGACGTAATTTTCTTTGCAGGATGTGTCCTCTTTACACTGTACACTGTCGTTGACGGGATGATTACATTCTTTGAAAGTCTTTTCCTTGTCGCGTACTATGTCTTCTATGTCGCATTTGTGGTCATTGGTAACTGGAGACATCAAAAGTTGAAGGCGGAGCGGGATCTGGAAGAACGCGCCAGGAACTTGTACGAGGATGAAGAGAATGACATTGAGGAGGATGGCCTGGGTCTGAACGAGGAGCAGGCCCTTTTGTCTCACGGAGGCTCCCAGCGCGGACCAAGTAATTGACATTTGTCGTTGAGTTGGGACTTTTGTCACATTACAGGACCGTACAGGAGCAAATACTAATCTTTTCCTCCGCTTGCATCTTTCCTCGTACTTGAATTCACGTATATGTAGAACCGCCACGGATCGATACCCTAATTCACACTGGACCATACGACGCATACGAGGACGAGGAGCACGATGACGGGTATAAATCGAACGGAGTCTTGTCTGCCAATGAAGAATATTCTTCTAACCAAACGCTGGTCAATTCGTATGAGGACTCTGACGTTAACCTTCCCCGGCCTACTATTCTCCTTGACAGCGAAGGTGCCGAGGACTCTATTTCTCTTCGCCCTCATGGCATACCTGCCTTCAAGCGCAGACCGTCTCTTGTCGCTGCATTCGAGGTGACTGTCCCTTGCAAGGAGTTTTGTTTTTTGTTTTCTTGATGTGGTTTGATCTTGTTTACTGAATTCATAACCTGACAACTTTATTTCATTGCACACATGATAGTTTAACGACGTCGTGCGGTCTCTCAGTCTGTCAGGGTCTCGACCAAGATTGCAGTCTTTCGATCCCAGCTACTATGGAACAAAGTCTCCAAGGATGTCTAGACACGAGTCTTTCAGATCATCCCGGCCCGTGTCGATTCACACCCCTGTGTCGATTCACACCCCTCAGGAAGGATCTCGGCCGTCAACTCCTCTTTCACACAGCCTGACACCAAACGATCTTTCAGGACACGGATTCCTTGGAGAATATCTTGCAGGTGACAACGCCCTCACAACATCGCCTCAGGCACTGGATTCTGAGACCAACTCTGTCTTTGAGCATGCGATGCTTCGTCACTCGATCATTCTGCCAGACCATCATGACCCACAATACCATCACCTCGGACATGCTCACCACCAAGGTTCTCCAGAGGACAGCCCCGGTCTGCAAGAACCTTCCACGCGGATGCAGCGGTTCAAGGAATACGTTCAGGCGATCTACCCCATCTACTTTCCTACATTGTTGGACTGGGATCAAAAGTCGCTGTTTGTCAAGTTTTTGGCGATCACCTCGTTGCCGATGGTCCTGCTGCTGACACTGACGTTGCCCGTGGTCGAGTTGTGTGATGAGGATGAAGGTGAAAGTCAGGACAACAGCCCAGTCGACATTACCGGCCAAGAAGCACGAAGGTTGCCCAAGATTGTGATTGGCGACAAGCCCGAAGAGGTTGTCCGGTACGATGGGTGGAGTCGAGTTGCAACCACTGTCCAAATGGTCCTTGCACCTGTCTTTATCGCCAGTGTCATATCCAGTAAGTTTCGTTATCGAATTAATTGTATTGTGTATTTTGTTAGCTGTGCACCTTTGGTAGCGAACAGTTACCTAACAACACCCTCCTGGTCTTATTCTTCCATTTGATGTAGGTGCTGCACAGGACGGATATATCTCGATTGCGATAGCATTGGTGGTTGGTATTGCGTTGTCGTTCTTGGTGCATCGGTTCAGCTCAGAGGAGACACCACCAAGGTTCTATGGAGCGTTGTGTTTTGCGGGATTCATGGTCGCTATTACATGGATCTTTTTGGTGGCCAATGAAGTTGTCGGTATCCTGCAAGCGTTTGGCATGATTTTTGGTGTCAGTGATGCTATCCTTGGCCTTACTATCTTTGCCATGGTAGGTTTCTGCAGCTGTTGTTCATGCCCTTGTTGTCCGGAAAGAGAGTTTGTTGTTGGTAGCTGAGTTTGGATGTCGGATGTATCTGTGTGACAGAGAGAGAAAGAGTGGTCATGTCATGCCTCTTCTCTTACACAAGAAACTAATATTTCTTCTTTTTGAACGCGTCTGTGGGTCAACGTGTTTGGGTAATAGGGTAACAGTTTGGGAGATTTGGTGGCAAACATCACCATTGCCCGGATGGGATTCCCTCGCATGGCCTTTTCCGCCTGTTTTGGTGGACCACTCCTCAGTAAGATCATTGCAGTTTCTGGTTTATTTTGCCGCTTGTATTGGAAAAGACACCTTTTCTCACCTAAACTCTTCCTGTTGCTTCATTGAAAACAGACATGCTGCTGGGAGTAGGCATCAGTGGGACGTATATGACGATGAAAACTGGTGCCCCGATCCCATTGGAGGTGTCTCCGACGCTGTTTGTATCGATCATTGGGGTGCTTGTGACCTTGCTAACAGCGGTGGTGGTTGTGCCCCAGAATGGATATGTGATGAGTCGTACCTGGGGATGGTTCCTTCTTGCGATGTATACGACGTGTACGCTCGTTAATGTTGTCATTGAGATCAAGCACGGCAAGAAGAGCGAGTGATTGTCCAAATTATGTTGATATCCCTATAGCCATGGCAGCTTGTAATTTTATGATGAACAATAAGGCGACTAAAACGACGATGATGTATCTTTTGATCTTACTTTCATGCATGCTCTCTATCTTGTTCTCGCTGCATCGCCATGGATCATGGTTTGGTAATTATGTTGTTATTGTTTGTTTGCTTGTGTCTGTGGGTCTAGATGAGTGAGGAGGCACTCACTCACTCACTCACTCACAGCCTGCTCGACATCCACCCTGTCAGTCCGCCACGCTTTTTTGATCTCTCCTTCACCCCTTCCTTTTTTTAGCCTTTTTTTCTTTCGCCTCTTCTTTCTCTTCTTTTCCTTCTTCCTTCTTTACTCTTCAAATACAACGCTCATTCACAACCCTCTCTCCCTCCCTCTTCTTCCCCCTTTTTGACTCACTTCGTCCTCATCGGTCTCATGCACATTATAAAAAAAGTCTAAATGGCAAAGGAACACGACCTCGGAATGGACACACTACACGACACAAGAACCGTCTACACTACCCATTCCTCCAAGACCAGCCCAACCTCCACTACCACAACAAGGACAACAACTACGAGGACGACTAGCGGTACAAGGATGAGTGGTTCTACGCCTATAAACGGAGGGACACCGTTCCTCTCGACGACGACAACTACAACGACGTCAAATACTCCGGAGGGGGTTAGAAAGTTACGCCAGTTGTCGTCTTCGTCCTCGTTCTCGGCCGTCACTTCTGACGAGGACGAGACGGAGGATGATAGACCAGAGTGGTATCTGAAAGATACGAGTGTTCAGTTCCACCGGTCGCCTGCAGAACAGGATCCGGCCGTGGGATTCTTTTGTAAGTTTATTTCGCCTTGTAACTTTACTATTGATGATGTGATGTGATGGGCGGGAGATGGACGGACGGACGGACAGGGTGGAGAAAGAGAGTTGGGCGAATATGTGGGAGAATAAGGACTACTGAGAGATGAGATGGATAGACGTTGTTTATTTGTGAGCTCATATATCAGCCTAGAGACTTGATCAGAACCAACAGTGCAACGCTTCGAACAAGGAACAAGAAACAGAAAAAGAATACTGAACACACGTTCATACATGATATGATGGACTTCTTTTAGACACGCCTCGAACATTAACGATGTTGAGTGCGATGCTGTTACTCCTTGTCTACGTGGCCATGACGCCCGAGGTCGATGATACCGTGACGAACGTCAAGCTGTAAGTCATTCGCCTTTTTTCTTTTCGCATTGTCTTTGTGGATGACACTTGGCTTTTTTTTCTTTTCTCTGACCAACAAAAAAGTTGATAATATGTGCAGGTGCAACATGGAGTTTCATAGAACATGGACATGGGTATGGACATGCCCCCCTCCCACCTTCCCGCTTCTTCCCCCCTTTCCCCTTCTTTCTTTTGTACGTTTCTTGCTCCCTCTTTTATTTCGTTTCCTCTCGCCTCCTCTGTGTGGTGTTTATTATAGGATGGGCTTGACCTTTTATTTCTTCTTCCCAATTACATTTGTTACATCCATGCATTTGCATTGAGGATCATTATTTGTCTGCCTTGTTCTGCTTAACTGACCCTTGTGTTCTTTTGTTTTGTGCACTCCTCCCTTTCCTTCATAGTGGTGTAATAGCATCCATCGGTGCATTTTGTGTGTTCGGGATGTTACAGTTTCGAGATAGTCTGCTGCTCAGGCCTCATCCTGCGCTATGGCGAGTCGTATTGTCATTCGGAGTCGTCTACCAACTCTTCTTGGTCTTCTTGCTCTTCCAGGTAATTTTAAGAAGAACGGAAGGATAGAAAGATAAAGGGCAGATAAAGGGCAGCTGACATACCCTCATGCTCACTGGGCGTATTGCTTCTGCCTTTTCTTCTCGCTACTTTTTTTTCATTGAACCCCTGACATTGTTTGTTCACGAATCACGACCTCTCATGGCTCCCTTTCCCTCCCATCGAATCTGACCTCTGTTACTTAACTCTCTTTTGTGAACGACCGATTAGAATAAGCATGATGCCAGACTGTTGTTCAAGTACATGGATCCGGCATTAGGAGTTCCGCTACCAGAAAAGTCATATGGAGATGCGTGCGAGTTGACCTACGACAACATTGTGGTAAGCGGATAATTTTTTGTTCCTCAATCAGAAAACAAGTGTTGTCAAGGCAGTATTGACCAACGGTGATTTCAGGAAGCCCAGACTTGCAGACAGGAAGTAATATCATTCATATCGTTTATTGTCTTCTGCGAAATAGGATCAAACGCTGGATGTTTTTGTATTGGCGCATGCACTGGGATGGTTCTGCAAGGCATTGATCCTGCGCGACTACACTTTCTGCTGGATCCTGTCGGTCATGTTTGAGGTCATGGAGTACTCCCTATCGCACCAGTTGAACAACTTTGACGAGTGCTGGTGGGATCACGTAAGCCTTCAAGCGTTACTTTTGAATTTCACCATTTTGTGTGGAGGATGGGATATACGACAAAGAGAAATTGACATCCCATATAATCCTCCTTCTTACCTCTCTCTTTTGAAATGGCGACATGTAGTGGATCTTGGATGTCCTGGTGTGCAACTGGCTCGGGATCTATTTGGGCGTCAAGACATGCGAGTACTTCGAGATGAAGCAGTATTCATGGCAAGGGCTGGCAGAGATTCCAACACTCAAGGGCAAGATGAAGCGGACGATGCAGCAATTCACACCAAAATCCTGGACCAAGTTTGAGTGGGATTCGACGAAAAGCTTCAAGAGCTACGCCACCGTCATTTTTATCCTTACCATGGTACCTTATTTTAATGAGCTTTGTCAACGTTGTTTTTGAGGTGGACATGGTGTAGCAAGGGAAGCATTGTGACTGACGTGTCATCTTTTGTTCTTTTGTCACCTGTGAGAGTAGTTCTTGGTATGCGAGTTGAATGCGTTTTATTTGAAGACGCTGTTGTGGCTCCCTCCAGCACACCCGATCAACATTGCAAGGATCTTTTCATACTTTATGTTTGGCATCCCAGGCGTGCGCGAAGCCTATCAATACCTCCACGACCCGTAAGTCTCCTTTTGTTATCGTGATAACTGCCAGCCACAAGTACATGTGACCCTTCCTCCTTTCTCACGTTTTCTTGTTCTATGCATATATGATTGACAAAATAGAAATTGCAAGAGGTTTGGACCACAGGCATGGCTTCTTATCGGATGTATAGCGACGGAGGCGCTGATTGTGGTCAAGTTTGGACGGGGCGAGTTCCCGAACCCAGCACCTACGAATGTGTTGTACTTTTGGGCGGGATTCTTGACGCTTCTGACGGTGTACCCGATCTATCAGTTCTGGCTGTTGCCCAAGTTGCAGGAGCGGCGGATCCGCAAAAAGCTCGAATAGGCGACTTCTTGCAGTTGGTGAGTTGTAGTTGGGGAGGCTGAAGGAGCGTACAGGATATCAGGGATGGAGGCGTTTGTCAAGATGTAGTTGGTGTTTGCTTTTTTTTTATTACCTCTCTCTCTCGTACACAACCTCGTAATACACTTTCTCTTTTTTTTTCATCCTATCCGCTTGTGAAAAAAGGAACAAACAAAAGAAAGGTATCTAGATGTTTTGGTCATTTTCCTTTTGCTCTCTCTCTCTCTCGCTCTGTCCCTCCTCGTGCTGTCCGTTTCGATTCCATTTTCCCTCTGTTTCTAACCCGTCTTTGATTCCTTTTCCCTCTGTTTCTGACCCCCTATTATTCCAGTTGGTCTGTGCTCCTGTCGCCGTGTTTCTTTCTTCCGCCCCAAGGTTTGAAAAGCAAATTGACAAAAACTCACCGAGACGGAGACGGAGTGGGGAAAGGGAAGCGGGAAGTTAGACAGAAGTCGGTGTTTAACGCTTTTTGCTGATAAGGCTGTTTAGTGTTTGGACGTTGGTTCTTTTGCATGAAGCATGTTTATGGTTATGCATTTGATAAAGAAGGCGAGCGACAAAAAATAATGTCCTGGGTCTATTTCCTTATTTCCTCTTGAAAGAGAAACGACTGTGGATGGCATTTTTCGTTTGGTTGTCTGTCTTCCTATCGCAGTGAATGGGGGTGCCCCATTTGTCAATACAACAAGGGCTGATTTGAGGAGGGTGATAGGTTGACGGTTGACAGTTTGACAGTTTGGCTGTTTTAAAACGGGCATTATTCTTCCGAGCGTGCATGCAATCTAGGCAACTGAAGCATAACAAACGACGGACAAACCAAACCAACAAACAAGGTTCCGTGAACTCTTTCCTTTCCTCTTTCCTTGTTCCTTTCCTTACGCCTTCATCTCTCTCTCTCTCTCTCTCTCCCTCCTTCCCTCGTTTTCCTTCCTCCCTTGCGCTGTTTCTCTTCTCGAATCTTCAAACCACCTCCTCGTTCTTCACTCCCACCAAACTCCAAACACCCTCACTCCTTCGTTCCTTTTTGTTTGCCCCCAAACCACAAAGGTAAATGGGAAGTCACTTTCTCTCCCTGTCTCTCTTTCCTCTCGTTCTTTTTCTACTTTCCTCCGTCTCTTTCTGTCTCCCTCTCTGAGACTCTCGCAGTCATCCTGATTCCTCTTCCGTACCACCTTCATTTCCTCTTTCTACCCCCTTTTTCAACTCTTTTTTCCCTTTTCTCGTCGGTCTGCGCAATCCATCTTTTTTTTGTCATTTTCGACTGTGGGAATTATTACGGTGTGTAAATGTGTACGTGTGTAGGTGTTTGCTGCCTTTTTTTGTTTGGTCTCTAAAACTGGGTTTCGGGGTTATCTCAAAGAGTGGGAAGAGGAATCAAAATCTTACACGGGCGTAGCCATGTTGCATCACTCTTCCTTCTCCTGCATACTTCGGGCACCTGGGACTATTGTTCTTGTTTTTTTTTTGCCTCTCATAGGGTGCTCATGGCTGCAGAAGAGGATGCGCACGGTTGGAAGATGTTTATATATTGGGCTGAGCAGAGCTGAGTTTTTATTCTCTCCGGGGTCCGAGGGTTCCCCTTTTGTAATGTGTCTGAGCACTCGAAGATGGAGCAGCGAATGAACGACCAAGCGAGTGCGCGGGAGCTGAAAGAAGAGGAGCAGCTGTGGTGGTATGCTGTGCTCTACGTATTTTTCTCCTCGGGGAAGTGGTGAGGGTAGCCTGCCTGGTGCCTGCTCATAGGCTGGGCCAGCCAATGTGATTTTCTTTTTGGAGTATCCTCGGGAGGGAGGGCTGGCTACCTCTCATAGGTCAGAGGAATTCGCTTGTTCGTTGAGGAAAACAAGGGGGGAGGGCAAGGGGGGGAACAATAAAAAGATTGCCGGCGATGGTTAGTGCAAGGAGGCAAGGGTGACAATGGAAATGAGGGCGGACGGATGGGACGGGTAGACAGACAGCCAGTTCAGTAGCTGTTAATGCGATGCTCTCATTTTCATTCAATTCATTCGTTCATTCATTCATTCACTCACTTATTTCTTTTATCTTTGCTATTTGCTATTGTTTTGTTCAAAATTGTGCATCGTCATCTTGACACGCTCACTCACATATATCTTTTTTTCTTTCCCTTTGCCTTTCTTGTTCTTTCTCTTTCTCTTCTTCTGTTTCCTTCACACCACACTTGCCTTCACTCCTTGCTTCCTCCCTCTTCCTTCAACCTCACCACACTCTCTTTCTCCCCCCTTCTTTGCTTGTCCTCGCATTCACTCTCAACGCCGCCTTCTCTCTCACATCGCTCTCCTTCACCTTCATTCTCCCAGCACAATAAAACAACGAACCATACGACAAAACAATGGATATTGGAGAAATAATTCATACAGGAAAGCGTCAGGAACTCGCCGCACGACCTTTTCAATGCGCCTGGAACGACTGTCACAAGGCCTTCTCTCGACGATCCGACCTCGCTCGCCATGGGCGCATCCATACCAACGAAAGGTAATTCGTTATCATTGCAATCATTTAAGATTTATTCACGCCTGACCAGAGGACGCTTTCGCGTATGGCCACTGGCTTGCGGTGATAATGGCGTTTTTTTTTTTTTTTTTTTGTTTATCGGCCATTGTAAATGTAAACGCGTTTCTTCACCCTCCTCGCCTTGTCTCTGTTCATCTCCCTTGGACGTTTGAGCATGTGGTCCAATGTCGGTTATTGTTTTGTGCGTGTCTAGTCCAGATAGCACACACAAACAAAAACAATGGTGTTTCGTTGGTTCAATTAATTTTTTTTGGGTTGTTGCTGTTGTGCGTTCCTCCTCCTCCCTTTGTTTTGCATGCTTTGTTTTGCATGGTTGGTTGGTTGCTACTGTTTAGCCCCTCGAATTGTTTTGCTTTACACCAAATGAATCGCGGATGTGTCGACGACCGACTGACCTCCCTTTGGGGTTTTGTTTACGCTTTCACACACACTCACACGCCCCTACCCGACAGCCTCTCCCTCTTCTTCTTTCCCCCTGCCCCATCCATCCACTGAGTAAATTGTTCGAGTATGTTTGCGCTGTCCATGTTTAGACGCTTATTGAACTGGGCGTACGCCTGTTTTCTCTTGAACATGATCTAATGCACATTTTGCTCTCACTCTTTGTATGCAATTCGTCGGCCGATGAAGTTGGGGTGGTGGGACAATCTATTCATCTCAATTTTTTCATGCTGCCCTTTCCTCATTTTCCGCGCCTCCTTTCGCTCCACACAATGTCACCAATGGACTAAAAACGTTACTAACCAAAAACTTCTCTTTCCTTTCCTCTTCCCCCTATCCTTATCCCGCATCCCTTGTCACCCTTACCCTTATCCCCCGTCCCTTGTCGCCCTTACCCCTACCTCCTAACCACTTACATCTATTGAACATTTCCAACCCAAAAAAAAAAAAAAAAAAAAAAAACGTCTAGACCGTTCGCGTGTCAAGAGCCAGGATGTTCCAAGTCTTTCATCCAGCGGTCGGCACTCACAGTCCACCTGCGGACACACTCAGGCGAAAGACCCCATATGTGTGAACAGCCTGATTGTCAGAAGCGGTTCAGCGATAGTAGTTCCTTGGCTCGACATCGGCGTATTCATACTGGAAAGAGGCCCTACAAGTGTCTGGTGTTGTTTTGTAACAAGAGGTATGTTTTTGTTGATATTGCATTATGGTTATGGGTGAGGAGTGGGAAAGGTACTCTTGTCCCTGTACCTCCTCTTCCTTTGACTTTTGGGTGGTCGAGTAATTGTCTGTGTTTTTCCCTCGCTTTTGTTTTGTTTTGTTTTCGATCGTTTACGACCAACAACAACGTGACAAGCACGACAACCAACAACAACGACAATGGCAATTACAATCATCATCATCGATCATGTCATAAACTCAAAAAAAAAATACGAAAAGCGACAACCCGACAAAAAAAGCTTCAATTGAACCCCCTCTTGACCTCTGGAGTACATCCTTTTTACATCCCCCCTCCCCCACAATCCTTCTACTCTCAAACCTTACAATGCATACCCTCTCACACTATGCAAAATATCCCCACGCCCACGGTCCTACCTTACTAATCCATCACAATCGCTCGATTTTTCTTGTACATACAGCTTCTGTAGGAAGACAACACTCATCAAGCACCACCGCAAAGAACACCAAACTGTGAAGAACGAGCCCCAAGAGTACTCCCCCATCTATGCCAGCTCCCTCCCTGACCACCCACACCCACCGACCATCTCCACTGGTGTTGCGGATGATAGTGCTACCGCTGCTTTCTATGGCATGGTCCATACGGCGTCGTCGGCATCATCTTCCGGTTCTGCATCTTCGGGATCTCCTACCTCGCCACTAGCGTCACCCTTGGATTATTATAACCAGCAACAGCAGTTGTATGGGCGCAGCGGGGCAGCACAACACCCGCAGCCGCCCATCTCTCCGACGACCTCGCCCCTCTCACCATCCTACGCCTCTCATGGACACCATACCAATCCCTGTACGGCACAGACGCCACAATTTGTGCATCACCCTTCTGCACAACAGGAACAACAATCGCACCCACAGCAGATGCACCTCGATATGGGACCTCACTCCGTCTATCAATACAACAACTCTGGCGACAACAACGTACTGTCGTCACCGCTGCGGACTCCCTCGCACGAAGGATCGCCCACTTCTCCAACCTCTCCATTGTCGCCCTTGACCCCACTCGGACATATGGGCCCTGGTCCTGGTCCTATCTCTGCAAACGTCGTCGCCGCGGCTGACAGTCTTGCGGCCCTGGGTACCCTCGCAATGGATCACCTCCAACACCAGCAACCTTTCTCTTCTGCCTTGCGCTCACCACCTTCTGCACCGTACCAACAATATCCGTCCCACCAGCAGCAGCAGGACTACCAGGACTACCCCGCCTCGCGCCACGGACCCCCATCCTCGTATGCCCATGCACAACACCAACAGCAGCAGCATTACTACCACCAACAACAGAACCCCAGCATGGGTGGTGGGTGTGCACCAAACGCAGGTGGATACCAAGGGTTCTCTGACCCGTCCTCGGACCAGTCCATGAACGGTGTCGAGTACGCCCGTGTCGCTTCGAACGGTTTCTCAGCCCAAGGCATTTACCAAGCCTACTACTAGGCCCTGGTGACTCCCCCTCCCGTCCTCATCTGGTCGCAGTCACCTCACTTTACGGTTCCTCGGCCAAACTCCATTACTTGTATAGCTCCCTTTCCCTCGTGTCCTCCAAACCTCGCCTTTGTATCTACCGACCCTGCTTTCTCACCAACTTGTACTTATATTTTCTCCTTTCTTCTTTCCAGTGTCCACCCTCTTTTGCACTCGCACTTTTTTTTCCCCTCTTGCTTCACGCCCATGCCTGCCTTGCCTGCCTGTTGAGGAAAAATAAAAACAAAATCTTGCTCAAATCAAAACACCTCATGTGGTCCTGAAGAACTGATAACATTGGTGTTTTCGCAACTACTACAGTAGTATAAGTTGTAGCTAAAACGGGTTGTTGTGTCTACGTGTTTACATCATCGAAGCGTGCCTGTCCATGAGCCGCTCCAATTCCTCAAGATGATACACTTTTGTCGTAATATCCTTGCGCTATTTCAAAATGACACATAGACGCAATTTGAAACATATTAGTCAAATATGCTATATAAACCCTCCTCTACGTACACAAGACAAACAAACCCACACTTGGAACAAAAAAAAAGACAAAGATACTTTACCATAGCAAAGGTAACAGTTCGGTAGAGATGACCCGCACACTCTTCATACTCCTCGTGGTCAGATCCAATGTTGTTCTTTGACAGCACCGACGCCGTGAGCCCTTTGATCGTCTACAATCATAACAAGGTTGACATATATCATTAGTCTACACTGGAATCCAAACACAATCCGCAAAGTGGTAGAACAAGCAACAAAATACTTACGGCTTGGTTCCGGGATTCGATCGACTTTGACGATGTAGACGTAGTAGGTGCATCGCCGATCAGAGATGATGCAGCGGGTAGGGGTGCAGGTTGTGATCGTGAATGATTAGAAGATGCCTGGGTTGAAGGTGGCGGCGCCGCTGCTGTTGCTGTTGCTGTTGCTGTGGCTTTGGTAGGCTTGGCCTCAAACATTTCATCATCACCCTGACCCTGGTCCTGCTGCTCCTGCTCCTGTTCCGATGCCATATCCTGTCGCTCCTCACTCTGGATGTTTTTCAGTGTCACCAAAAACGGATTCGAGTGTCCAGCAGAATCACTACCGCTACTCCTGCTACCGCCGCCAACACGACCAGCTGTGCCTTTCGTCGTCGCCCTTGACCGCAGCGGTGACGATGCCGAGAACGGATCATCTTCGTTGTCGCCTTCTCCATTACCACCAGCAGTTGCGGCAGCAAGAGCAGCCCTCTCGATATTCTGCCGCTTCTTCATCTTCATCATCGTCATCAGATCCGGAATATCATCCGCAATTGACGGAGAACTCGATCCACGACTCCCTGAAGCAGCCGCTCGTCTTGAAGGGCTCCTCATTCCGATATGCATACTCGAAAATGACGTTCTCCTTGAAACACCGCCCTCAGTTTCGCCTCCAATTGTGCTGGTGGTGTTGGTCAAAGTCTTCCTGATCGATCCTGGGCCTAGCAACTTGCGCCTCAGACCCTCGGTAGTAACATCCAAAGGCTTTTGGGGTGCACGAGATGGGCTTTTGATCCGACCGATGCCCTTCCTGACAGGTCTCGCCCCAGCACTACTTCCAGACCTGACGCCAACAAGAGCTGACGCCAGACTTCCTCCACTCCCAGATACATGACCATCCATGCTGCGATGTCGTGATAACGCAGTTGCCGATGTGGAACGACTGGAACCATCCCTCCTTGACATGCCAACGTTGTCCATCGTCTGCGCTCTCGATAAACTGCGCTCCTTCCTAATCTCCTTGGAGGTGGTTGTCGATGTGTTTGTAGAATCCGTAGTTGTTGAATTTGGACCTGGGAGCTGTGATGGTAATGTTGTCGAAGTTACGACATATGGTGCCCATGACTTGTTTCTCTCGATTGCCCGTAGCAACTCCATCTCCTGATGTAACGAATCGTCTAATGTCCATCAAACAATAAAATGCAATGTGAGTATTGGCACGATAATGTTCAGGCTCACTTATCCTAAAGGTTAACAAAAAGGCAATATAAGAGAAGCAGGGGCATACCTTCATCGAGATCCATATCTTTGCGAGTAGCCCGATCCGACGAGTATCCCGACTCCTGCTCAGAATCGCAGCCGTTCATGATACTGTCCACCACTGGGTCATCATAGCTGACAAAGTCTTCCGCCACCTTCTCCTGTTTGACGTTTGTCTTTTCAGTCTCCTGTTTCATTCTGTCAAGTGAACGAGGGTTGAGAAGTATGTGGTCCATGAGGCTAGCTTGGTCGACAAGTGGGTACGCAAAGAACGAGATGATGGGCTCTGCATGTCGACTAGTTGGCTGTTTCTCCTTGACCAACGCTCCGTAGACTAGAAACATGCTCGTCTCCTGAAACAGTTTCCTCTGTGATCCTGTTTTCTCTTCTGTTGGTGCTATTACATTGAGTAGAAACATGAATACATAGCATGTTAGTATCAGAACCTCCGAGGAATAAGCAAACTGTATGTTTTTCCTTGCACTATGCAAGGAGCAGGAAATTTCCTTACCAGGGTCGGTCTTGGGTTCATCGTTTGAAGGCCCCAAGGCAACGGGCATCATGAATGGATTGATCTCCTGCTTCAAATTGTTGGTTGAGGCACCTTTCTTCTTCCCGACCGGTCCCTGCTTTGGCGCCACACGTAACAGCAATCCAATTGATCCCATCGCTGTCTCAACTCCTGCCGCAGATTGCTCCCTCATGTACGCCTAATTAATCAGGTGAAGCACACATGTACGCGTTAACAACGACCTGTTTCTGAAGTCTCGCATAGGTCAAGTTCGACGTTGCAGATCCAAGAGTGACAGGACTTACAATATCCTCGTCGTTCAGCATTTCAGTCAAGAACTGCGAAGACGCCTGTGAATCCGGAGATGTGAAACTAGAAAATGCAACAATAAAGATAAAGTCGGTATCAGCAGGAGATGAAAAGGTCTCTTAGAATAATTGAAAAAAATGTCCTGGTGTGAACTTACATGCGACAGGGCTCGGCACATCCAGGAGCAAGGAGAAAGATTGGGAAGGTACAGATCCTGATCCGCGCCACCAAATGCATCTCGACATTCTCCCTCCTGGTTGCAGTCTGATCCTGCAACGACAACTCGCCTAAGGAGGGCAACGCAAACACGATCCCTGGCAGCTCAGTGACAGTGCCCTGGACCTTGATCCCGCCTTTTCCATCAAAGACGGCCTGCCGAGTGCTCAAGGAGGCTGATTTCCGTTGTGGGAAACCAGTGGTTGATTTCCTTGCTGCTGTCGTCATTGCTGAGGAGTTGGTGGCTGCGGTGTTGCTGACGGGAACAAGCGCAGGGACGATCCAAGAGCACTTCCAGATCGTATCCCATCGCTGCAACGGCGAAGGATCCTCTTGCGACGAGGATGTTGATCGGGTGCTGCTACTCTTCTTGGGCGTAGAATACGGACTCGACCCATTTGACAAAGTGCCAGCCGCAAACGTCACCGACCGCGCCGACTCCAAAGAAAGTTCCTCTTGCACTGCAGCTTTGCCACGTATGGGCCGTACTGACGGACTGGTCAGAAGTGAGCTGCTGCTGTTTCTATCCCTGTTGATGCGTCCGGCGGAATGTGGTGATGTCAACAAAGATGACCGTCGCGGCGATGACCTTACGGGTTTTGATGAGGGTTTCTTTTTGCGGAATGAAAAGACGCTCTCCTCGTCGTGGGTGATGACTTCTTTGGTGGCGCTGGGGGGTTGGTGCGTCCCATTGACATAGTTAGTCTCTTTGCCTGGGGTTGTGTTGTAGCCTCTGTGTTCGTTCAAGACAGGGTGAAAAGGAGGAGTGTTCTCCTGTGAGATGACGGCATCGTCTTGCGCATCCATCGTCCAGAGTGTTGAACAAAGTGACGAATGAACTCGTCCTGTCTGTATTCCGTCCGTCGTCGGTCAAGGGTGCAGCGGATGCCGTTGTCGTTTGTTGGCAGGGTCGTAAGGTATGAAAGGTGAAAGGTGTAACTGGTGGCAAAAAGGCCACCAGTGTGGAGGAGCGCACAAAAATCAAAATACAACAAACAGTCACCAGGGATCGCTATCGCGTTAAAACATAAAGGACCAATACGCGACAAGCAATTAATTAAAAAAGCGCGTTTGCTCTTTTCAAAGTCCAGACAGGACGTTCCTTGTGCCTTTTTTCTTTTGCCTTCGTTTATTAGAACTCGCTCAACGCCACCACTCAGGCGTGAATTAAGCATCTCTATATCAACCACCCATGTCCTTCTTGAGGCGATAGTGCACACATCGTCTTGTCCGACCATTGACTGACCACGTGCAGCAATGAAGAATAAGATAAACTTTCAACTGCCTTGGTATATGTCCTGTACAACGCAGTGCCAATACACATCTTGTCTTGTCTTTATTACCGACTATTGTGATGACGAAAACGATGTAGCACCCAGTAAATGGCGCTTTATTCAGATCCTTGCACCAACAACATCAACATCCCTTCAGAAAGAAAATCTAGTGTAATCAAACCAAAGCTCCACAAGCTGAGCCCTCTTTCTCTTTGAACGTGCTGTGTGAATTGCACTCAGCCTCAATGCATCAACAATCTCATCTGAGGACTCAGGAAAACTGAAGGACACCTTTTGATCTTGTTCGGCCTGGTCTTGACCACATCGATCAGTTTCTTGAATGAACACCCGTTCACACCTTCTCCGCACAGACATTTCAGACTTGGGATGTCGCCGTCAGGAGTTGGGTTTTGATCAATATTAGTTCACGCCTTTGCTTCGCCTATCTCTTTCCTCTCGCACCAACCTTACACGAAAAAAGGGGTCAAGGCTAAAAATCCGTGTGGCTAGAGAGCGAAGGAGGGAAAGGGCGGAAAAGGAAGAGAAGGGAAAAGGCGATTCACATTTCGCTTTGCCACCCCACACTCCTTTCTTTACTTTTGACAAATTGGCAGATTCGGTGCTTACACCAGTAAAGTAAAGGCATTGAAACACGTACACACAGACCTAGAAAGAGAACATACATTCGTTGTATTTGTACGCAACAAGCACCTTTACTGCCGCCGTCTTCATTCACGATCCATGTAAAATAAAAACGGTATCCTACATACACCCTGTAATTATTTCTCTTTTCATTCAAATGAGAGATCAACCCTGTTCTTCGCATCACAAATAGAACAAGCTAACAAACACGCCACCAGGACGTAAAAAAAATAATTGCACATAGCAACTCTTGCATGTGTTTTAGGCCTTTCCCTCACCAATAACACTCTTCAAAAGAATATATCGGGCGGGACCAAAGCGAATCTCCACAAGTCGCGCTTCCTCCTCTTCCTCCTCCCTCATCCTAGGAATACCATTGGAGACGACCAGCCCCGCTCTGTTACGTCTACGTCCATCCCTGACTGGTGCGAGCGAAGCAGGAAGGCGCAACTCCTTGATCTTGTTCGGAGAACTCTTGACCACATCGACCAGACCGTCGAGTGTGATTCCATCCACATCTTCACCCTCAAAACTCTTGAGATTGGGAAGCATGACTGTAAAGAATTGAGGTAAAAGATAATCGTAGATCGTCCATAATCCGCCCAGTCGTACATTCTGAAGAGCAGGCGCAACAACAGCCTGTCGAGCCGCTCCTGGAAGGTGGCTGTGGCCAGAGCCGATGATAGGCAACATGAGTTCGCCGTCTGAGAGAATACGGCCGATGGGTAGATTGTCAACTCTCTTATAGTCCAGATCCAAATAAACCAACGAGGGGCATCCATGCAGCATACGGAACTTGAAGCGGTATGCAAACTCGGCTGTCAAGGTGAGATGTTCCAAGTTGGGTAGATACCAGTCCCAAGTCCAGGGAGGTCGTAAAGTCGAATAGGTGTGTCCTTGTTGGGTCGTGAACTTGTCCTGAAAGTCAAAAGATTCTATCAACTCCTCGTCCGACGGAATGTAATATTTGATATTACTGCAGATCTCCAAATTGGCAATCCCCAAAGTAAGCTTCTTGAGCGCTTGTGTAGAGTGAAGGGTTGCTGGATGGAATGTCAAAGCGCTCCATCCAAACAAGCGTAATGACTCGAGGCAGGGGAGATCGCCAGGCATACATGTCACAATACCCTTGCAGTAGTACTGAAAGGTCTCATCCGTGAGGTCCACAGTTCTGAGACGAAGACAACGTCTGAAGAGCGTCCGGTCCATTATAAGCTGGTTCCTTTTAGCGGCGACCTCTAGGTGTGTCAAAGCTGGCAGCTCCACCCATCTTCGTCCGACATACACCGGACGAGGTGGTATGTCATCTAGTTTCGTCATAACGACCTTGATCGTCTCGATGGTCTGGCTGAATGCACGACCGATATCGTCAAGCTCGTCCGTGAGAGGCTTCTTTTTTATCTCCGTGATTTCGATCCTCCGCAGCGGCACTAGACTATGTCCCAAATCCTTCGTCTCCTGTACAGCCCAATCAAACACTCCTTGTCCAACGGTCGCCATATGCAAACTGTCTAAAACACGACAGCGCTGAAGGAGACGCCGACAATCCTGAATTCCGCCGACTGTGATCCAAAACATTGGCAATCGAAAATCCTCGATGGAACGAACATACCCCAGATCCGTCGACGGTAGGTGAGCCCATATGTGGTTCAGGGTATCGCTAGTCACCGTTGTCGGTCTCCTGATGGGTGTCAACAGCCGAAGCATTTCCAGCTCAACTCTTTCGCGACAGGTTAGGGTTGGGTCAGGACTGTAGAGAGTCCTACTCCAGCCCAAGGTCTTGAGACGTCCTGGAAATCGCGTGGTATGATCCTCAACAAACCGAACCATGGCTCGTAACAGACTCTTCTGTCGTGCCTCCGTTGCTGCTCGACTCTCCGGGGTCGTGTTCCTGAATATATCCCAGTTACACTTGATGGCCTGATCAACACAAACCACGAGGCGCCCCAAGTTCCCGAGGCGGTCCATGACACCATAGTAGCGATCAAGATCCGAGACTGGGAGAGTCAATGTCTGAAGCTGGTCGAAAATGAAAGAGGAGAGTGACCAATTGACTTCACGAAAGAGGAGAACTTGGTAATACCCTGTGAGAACCCCCTTCTTGGCCAAAAGGCGCTCTTCAGACAGCGTCCAGAGACAAAAGGATTGACACATCTGGAAGAATTCGGGTCGCTTCATGTACTCGAATGCTTTGTTTCGAAAGTTCAAGGAGCTGGAACCAGGGTAATCCATCTCAACGGTCCATGGTTGAATAAGGAGGTGGCGGATATGAGCGAAATAGTCGAAATGCTGTTTTTGCTGCTGTTGTTTTTTGCTTTGACTGCGCGTTATTCGTGCTGTGGTCGGCGTCGCTGTTGTTGTCGTTCTTGTTGATGTGGTTGCTGTTCTTGTTGATGTGGTTGCTGTTCTTGTTTTTGTGGTTGTTGTTGGTGACAGAGTTGTAGCGTCGGCTCCTAGGGTAAGTGCGATGAGAGGAGAGTAGGTGTCGACAGGGAGTTGACGGAGTAACATACAGGCAAGAGCGCGGTCGTTCCTCCATGTCGACTCTACACTGGTTGCTGGCCGATTCGGAAAGGGCTTGCTGTAGAGGACTGGCAGCGTGGCAGCAGCAATGTACTTGTTGGTTTGGAGGAGAGAGGCAAGGCTGCCCTGCTTGTTGTCTTGTAGGAGACTTTGGAGAATGATATGCAGGAGCTCGGATGGGAGCTGTGACAGTTGGTCCATGGCTGTATATGGATGAGTGATGAGAGTAGAATGAGGAATGAAAAAAGAGAAGAAGAGAGAGGTGAAAGAAGGCAAAAGACAGAAGAAAAAGAAAAGGAGCAACGCCACCTTCATGTCAATTGAATGAGCGCAATATCCTTTGCCACCACAGACAAATGGTTCCCCCGATGGTTCCACAAATGACAAAATCTTTCCCATCGAAGGAATAAGCGTAACAAAAGTATTAAGTAAAAAAAAAAAAAGAACAGAGGAGGAACGAAAAGACGTCGACTACATGTTCCTGAGCTCCGTACAATTCAAAGCATGCAATATGGTGGAGACAAGAAATCAAATACACAAAACTGAATGCGAATCGTGTCGAAATGAAAACAATACCGCGACCATGCAAAAAGAGAGATGTTGACCTACTCTCGACAAAAATCGCTCCCAGGTAGCCACCCAATGTTGACCTACTCTCAGCAAAAAACAAGACAACCCCTTCTGAAAGGGCAAAAGATCATGGTAGAAGTGGGATTTGAACCCACGCCTCTCTCGAGACCGCAACTTGAGTGCGGCGCCTTAGACCAACTCGGCCATCCTACCGTTCGTTTCTTCGTGGGATCATTTTACATCCTTAACTTCGCAGTGCTTAAATCACGTGATAAATGGTATAACGCATGATACAAAGTTAATCACGTGGTTATATCTCGTGATTGGCAGTAAAAGCGATTTTCCGGACCCCAGCGACTGCAACTGCATTGAAGAGTTTGGTCTGTAGTCCCCTTTTACTTGCAAATAACTTCTCTATGCTGTTTGTTTGAGAAATAAAATTGTGTACGAAAAAAAAAAAAAAAAGGACCCCAGTGTGCTCATCTGGAAACCTCGGTGCTCCACGACGATCGCGTGGGAGCAGACCCAGGATATCTCTGCCAAGAACAAGACATCCAAGTACACAAGCCCCCGAGGTGACTGGAGTCAAGGATACGGTTACATCACGCACGATGGTTTCTGCCCGTGTGGCGCTTCGCTAGCCACACATGATGAAGGAAGGTGCCCAGGAGCGACCAAGGACACACGCGCTGCTGAAGAGCTGTTGTTAGAGAGTTTGTTAGGAAGAGTTTGCCAATGATGGAGAGGGATGGGAAGAAACCCCTTCATTCGTATCTAGTTTTAGTTTCTTCCATTTAAGCTGTGAAGAGCAGCGACAATTGTTGTGCAGAGCCAGGTTCCGGACCGAACTGCGAACAGGTGAATTACGCACTGAAGAGCTTTGGTCTGTAGTCCCTTTACTTCCAAATGCCTCTGACAGCCTCCTCTGTGTTTGTTTACTAGAGAACTGTGTACCATAATAAAAAGGTAACGCAAAGAACATATTTGGATACTTATTTCATGTCGAGAAGGCATTGGATTGAGCGATCTTTTGGGCGAAGCAAGTCCTGTCTCACAGATTTTGTGAAAGAAGCCAAAAAAAAAAAAAAAAAAAAAAAAGTCATAGAAGAGGGATGACACTAAGGAATGCTCAAGTTCTTTTCTACCTTTTTCTCCTATCCTGTTCTTGTTTATTGTCGTGTTATGTAGAGGTAAAAGCTGTTCAACAGCATTCGCTTGCAGACTCAAATGATGCTTTCGATCAAGTTGCTATTCCATATCCTTCGCTTCATCTTCAGCTAACCTGTCCCAATATTCCTTCGTTTCAACCGTTCTCCCCAGCCATTCACGAGACAGATGCCCATATTGATCGAACACCTACTGGACCGCACTCGCCTGGACTTTCGGCAAGATGACATCCTCCCAACGTTTATGGAGAATATCCTTTTCAGATGGCCGTGGAGAACAGAACCTGAAGTAATCCAGGTGGCGGATTTCGGTCGGAGAGGTCAAGTCAATGAAGTACTCCTCGTTCGAAATATTAGGAAACTCTTTGCGCCATGACACTGTTCTGCTGTAGAATGTCATCTTTGTGCCGTAGACGAGTCGAGTATGTCAGCAATTGAATGGTCTAAACTTGATTGAGAGAATAAAAAATAAAAAAAAAGACAATTTACTGATTTGGATATCGACAACGCAAACCTGTTTGCCAGAAACTTGAATCAAAAGCTTGCAGATCGAAAATTAAGATGTCTAGACGCACCACTTCGCCCCGCGGCACTTCTGGGAAACGTGGCAAGCAGCCGTCTACGCGAACATTCACGACCGCCACCAGTCTCTCTGCAGTGAGAAATGGATCGACGATATGCTGGCTGGGAGAAAGAAGAGTAATGATACCTTCCACTCTCTTCCCGACGTTCGCGCCAGGCCAACCATTCATACGCGAATAATATTGAAACCCTTTTTACCCTTCAGAACGAGGAACGCGCGTGATTGAGCGAAAGTCCAAGGGCACATGACGGTGTTGCAGGCAGAACAGATTGAGGTGAGAGACAAATGAGACGTCGAGACTAAAAGATGAGTTGCCCAGGCTGGGGATACAGACATAACGGAGCGTGAAGAGAGATACCCAAACGTGGTGTCAACGTAAGACACGTATGTGACAGATAGAGAGGGTTTTCGTTGACAGAGTGGAATGGATTCGCACAGTTGTTTTCGGAGGTTTGGTTGAACAAGCGCTGATGTGAGAAGTGTACTCGGGAGGTTTTTTTTCCGGCGATGATGTCAACGGAGGAAATGTGTTGAAAGTGGGGCAATTTGGTCAAGGAAAGAAGCGTGTGAGTTACATGAATCTTGATCCCAAAGAAGCAGAGCAGCAAGTTTGTTCCTGAAGCGGCTCGTTCAGAATTGCTTGAAATGTTTCATAGGCGTGGGCACTTTGGTGCTGTGGATACGGTTAAAGCGATACATGAAGAGGGCTAATCTTCGGAAAGATTTGCTTGAATTTGGTAGCAAAGCGTGTTGGCTGTCAGCGCTTTAATATTGCAAAGTATGGCTATCATCCACATGGTACTATCCATGCAAGAATGCTGGGTGACCATATGGCAATCGACCTTTCGGGACAGTTTGCGAAGTCAGCTCGTGGCAATTTACATTGCGTTTGAAAAGGGCCCGCAGCCAGCACAACACGAGATGCATTGATGTGTTTTAAGGTAAAAATAAGAGTACAGAAGCATCGCACAAGATCGGGGCATCGGGCTCCAATTAGGGAGTAGTCCCAAATGAAACACACAAGGAAGAGTGCTGTGCAAAATTTCCACCGCGTAATCGCAAAATGGGGGGTCGGGAAGACGGAGGTGCTCAATGTGCGAAAAGTGAACAAGAAAAGCGAGGGCAGTGGCAAGCCAAGATAAAAGTACGTTTATGAATCAGCGCTAAAGGAGTGCTGGAGTTTTGGACGATAGATGGCATTGGTTCAAAAATTTATTGCCCGTTCCAACGATCGTGTCTGCGGCCAAGCTGCGGTCAGGGTGCGAACTATTCAGGAAATGGAAGAGAAGCGTAAAAAATAGAATTGGGTGTAGGCGCGCATCCCCGACAGATATGTTCGATCCAAGAGAGAGACAGAGGCGTTTCTTGCTTTTTGTTGACCATGTGTGTGTTTGTTGATTTGTTGGTATGTTGAGGGAGAGGCGTAGTCTCGGAACGAGAGACTAGCACGCCTTTCTATTGTTGAGTGTTCTATGGAGGAACGTTGGATCATAGGTTGCACAAACCAGATTGCGAAATGTCGGCGCAAACCCTTTTTCAAACAGTAGAAGAATTAGAGAGAAGGAACAAGCTGAGAGGCTCAATGCCGCGGTTGGTAGGATGCCTTACTGTCCACTAACTAAATTTTCATCCGCGGCAAGGAACAGATTGCCAGGCAATCTCGAAGGTTAATTGAATGTTCAAAATTTTCATTCGCGTATTTGACAATTGACCATTGCCCGTCTGTTTCAAGGAAAAAAGATCGTCTCCCTGTCTCTTTATCTCACACGAGCGAGTGCGGTTGCGAGTGCGTCTCACTCGTCGTCTGTCTTTTTGTCTCTCAGTCAGTCCGTCTTTTTTTTCTATGTTGTTTTTGTGTCCCCATGCGCTCATCCATCTCTCTTTTCTCTCTTTTCTCTCTTTTCCTTCTTTTCCTTTCTTTTCTTTCCTTCCTTTTCCTTTCCTTTCCTTTCGTTTCCCTTTCGTTTCCCTTCCTTTCCTTTCCTTTCATTTCCTTTTATTTTCCTTTTATTTTCCTTTCATTTCCCTTTCCTTTCCTTTTCCTTTCCCTTTCCCTCCTCTTTTCTTTTCTTGTACCTTCCCTCTCTTTCCTTGTCGTTTTTTCCTTTCTCCTGTTCTCTTTTTACTTATTACACCCCATCCACCCCTTTCGCCTACACACCATACATGTAAGCTGCACACCCTCTCTTTCTTCCGTCTAGACCCCGTTCAAATCTTAGCTCTCATTTTGCCGTTTCCTATTCCACTCATGGCCATCGCATAATACACAGAGTTCTCCCGAGCAATCCCATCCACTCTTCTACTTTCACGTCCTTCTCTTCTTTCCCCCTTCCATTTACCTTTTCTACGAACCACTCACGCCCTTTTTTTTTTCTCCTCGCTCTACCACTCTACTTGTCCTTTCGTTCTGTTCGTACTCGTTGTCCAAAGTGCACCAGCCAAGTACCTTCAGTTCTGTCCACTAGGAACGAACCAATGAATAATATCCATCCCGTCCATTGAGCGAGTCCCAATTCAATCCAATATACCAATGTCTTCCTCGACATCGTCCTCACCACTGGTTCACCCTTACTCCCCGCTACTCCAGCAGCAGCAGCAGCAGCAGCAGCCAAGCAACAATACCAACAACAACAAGAACAACAACAAGAAGCAAAAGAAGACCAACAACCCGACTGGACGGACAGCAACAATAATGATAACAAGTCAAGCAGGGTCCCCTTCCTTAGTAGTACCACTACTGCAAAGAGAGACAACCAATCGCCCACCTGCCAAGCCTGCGTCGTTGTCTGTGCCTTCGTCTGTGTCTGCCTCCTTTTCATCTTTAAATCCCGCAGACCATCCTCTTTCCACCCTTCTTTCCCCCGCAGATCATCAGTATCCTCATCCCTTGTTCTTCACTTCATTATCTTCTCCCTTCACTTCTTCTTCTACTTCATCCTCTCTTTCTTCTTCTTTTCTTCCTCCTCCTCCCATCCAACAGTCTCCTTCTCCTTCTTCTTCTACTCTACACCATCCTCCTCCTTCTCCCCCTCCTCACCCCTCAGTCTTTCCTCACCATCACTTTCACACTCTCCCACACTCAATCCTGCACCAGCACTCAAGCTTTGCTTCCTCTCCCACGTCTTCCTCACCTTCTTCGCTCCCTCTGTCCGAGCCAAACCACCACCGCCACCCGTCGCTGCAGCATCAAAGACCAGACAGCCCTTCTTCTCTTAAACAACAACAACACCATCATCATCAACATCATCATCACACACACTCACAACAACAAAAACAACAACAACAACAACAGGATCACAAACAACAACGACGTCTAGTCTTGTATAAGCACCAACGACAACAACAACTCCGTATGATGCAACAACAAAACAACATCCTCCAACAGCAGCAGCATCAAGAACAACAGCTGCTCCTCGAACGACAGAATCAGCAAAAACTAGAACTGAAGCAGCAGCAGAAACAACACTTACAACAGCTTCACCTCCAGTTGAATCCTCCACGCGTTAACGTAGCTGCTGCTGCTGCTGCAGAGGCGACAGCAACAGAGGCGACACGAGATTATCAACCACAACAAACACAAGCACAAGTACAAGCACAACAACACCAACAATGCAACCCGTCCCTACAGCAACGCCGAGCAAGCCTGTTGCAACAACGGCCAGCACCACCCCCAATCTCACTCCCAACCCCTTCTACCTCTAATACCAGCCAATCGACATTCAAGAACAACTCACTTTCGTCGGAGCGGACCCCACTGCGAGCACCAACGGTGACTCTGTCCCCACAGAAATATCAGGGGCTGGTGGCCTCGGGCGCTCTCCCAGTCCGTCAGGCGCTCCAGACACATATTGCTTCATCGGGCGAGAAGCCGCCGGAGACCAAAGAGGAGGCGCGAGCTGCCCTTGAGATGATGTTCCAGATCCGAGCAGACAAAATCCGCCGAGCCATCGAAGAAGGCAAGCTGGCCACCACTGAGGCATTACAGCACAAGGTCATACGACGCCGCGAAAGTGTCTTCGAAGGTACTTTTTTCTTCTGTTCTTTGTTTCTCATTGTTGTTCTCGTTTTTGTGCAAAACAAAGAACAACCAATTACGCTTTGAAAAGGTCTTTTCCTTTCTCTTTGGGACGCCCTTATCACTAACTAACGCTTTTTTCTTCTTATTTTCCCCTTTTTTTTCTTTCATGTTCGACATATCTCCATTTCATGTTCCCTACCCCCCTGTGTCAACCATGCATCATATTGCATCCCATTTTCTCAGGCTCACAGAAATCTTCGGTAAGATTACATACTCATTCCCCCCTCTAGTACTATCCACGAGGACACAAAGCAAAGGAGACAAAGAGACGCCATGGTGCATGGAAGAAGAATGCACAAAGAAGATAAAATGTAAGGGACCCCAGGGGATGGATCGGGTGGTGAGCGAAAGGATGTGGTGCATGAAATATGAGTATTGATTGGCAATTTTGTTGGATTAGAATGGTTCCTCGACCTAGCCATACATGGCTCTCCAAAATCTCATACTTCCTCACGACGGCATTTCTCATACAGATCGGACTAACATGTTTGTCCTCCCCCTCTTTTCTTTGCATGCATTACGAAAAAAGAAGTTCCCTAAGGATCGATCGATGAGCGCACCCTCGGAACGGGTCACCTTTTCTGACATTACCCAGTACCACACAGCTGCTACTGCTACTGCTGCGCGCCCACCACAATCATTGATGTCCGGAAACATATCTCAGCACCCATGGCACCCTTCTCCTGCTCATGGTCATGTTCATCCTCTCTATCCCCACCCATCATCAGCTGCAATCATCCATCAGGAGCCACTCTCGATACACCGTCATGGCAATACCACAGGCTACACCGCACCGATCAACAATGACACCGCCAATGTACAGCAAGGACCAGGTGCAGGAACAACAGCAGAGGACCCTATGGTGATCGAGGCCGAGGAACAGGGTCTGCATGATACGACTTTTGGCCTGTCGGATGACGATATCATGTCGAGCTTTACCGATTTTACTGCCAAGCTGGGGGACTCGTTACTGGCTCGGGGTGTCCCGCGATTCTGGGATATGGGCGGCACTACCACGGGTGCTGCCTCTGCTGATACTGTTCCTCCTCCTCCTCCTGGATACAACTCATTCGGTATCAATGTCAACCAGCATGATAGTAATAACAGAGTGGCAGCAGCTGCAGTAGGAGGAGTACCACAGGAACCACCACTGGAGATGATGATGGTCGATACTGTACTCCCCACTCTCTCTCCGACAGCTTCGAGCGAATCACAATCGCCCTCGCCATGGATCCCTTGGCATGGACTTAGTACTCACGAGCGGCATGATTCGGTGGCAAATTCTCTTTCCGGGGCTACTGGACCTGGTCCCATGGCTGTCCATCCATTCGCTCAGGCTCAGACCCAAGCTCAACACACAGTCGCAACGACCAATTTGTCACCATCTCAGGCTCAGCAACACGGCCCCATGTCAACCTTAGTCATGTCCCAGCAACAACAGCCAGATCAGCTATCATATCCGAGCTTGTTTTCCAAGGATTCACGAAACCAAGGTCCTCGAAACCCATCTACGTTTGGAGTGGATGTCCATTCCGTCCAGATCCATCCACAAGGAGGCTTTGGTCTTGGCGAGCAAGGAGTTCAAGGAGGAGGAGGAGGGTCGTATATGGGCGAGAAGCAGGTTGAGGCATGGAATCAGTATTTGCAGTACTTGCTTCACCTGCAAGAGTTTTCCGAACACCATTTTCAAAATCAAGGAAACAACCCTTTGATCCCTGCTGAGCATGGACAACAAATTCAGCAGCACATTCAACAAGATCCTTTCATTCAACAACAGCAGCAAACAGGTGGTGCCGTTCTGTCAATTGCCAGTTCTCCTCAATCAAGTGTAATGATGGACCCGCACTGGCAGGCGACGATGATGACGATGATGTTGGACCAGAACCCGACCCGTGAGGCGATCCATGGACTCGACCGGCAGCCTGGATTCAATATTGCGAACACTGTTGGTGGCGGTATTGTTAGCAGTGGTGAGAGGATGACTTCTGCTTCGACCTTTCCCCCCACCGGCGCACACCTTGCCATGTAGACATAATGTTGGTTTGGAGATGATGATGTAGCGAATACTTTCTCTTGCTTTTCGCCTGCCCATTCTTTGAGTAGGCTTGCCTGCCATGGGCTAAGTTTCTTTTTGCTTTTTTAATAAAAAAACCTTAATTATTTAAAGCATGTCCGTCCTTCTTTTTTTCTCCTATGCTCTCCATATAGCGTTTTATCTCCTTCGCTTACCATCGCTCACCTTTGCTCTGCATTAATTTCTTTTATTATTTTCGTTTGCCTTTACATTTATGCATAGGGAGTTGAGTAAAATAACTAAAAACACCGTTGACAGTTTTCATAACAAGCTCATGTATTGTTCTCGAGTCGTATGAGGTTGATAACGTGCATCATATATGTCCATGTCGCTTTATTCATGTGTTCTTCATTCCCCGGTGCATGTACGTATTATATGATTTATATCTGTCTGTCTTCTTTAACAGACAAAAATCCCGAGTAAGCGAGCGTGAAGTATATATCGCCTGGTAGCGCGTTTTAACCCTTTCTTTCAATTGCCCATCTGCCTCCCTCTCCATCTTTCGGTGGGGGGGGGGGGTCGAACACAATACAAAGGACAAGACTCTTTTCCAGGGTCCTTGACGGCGTCGGGTGTTGATCTGGATGGGGGCATAGGGGATGTAACGAGTGTATCGATTGGTCCCCTCTCATACGGGGACAGACAGCCAACACGCCAACTACTTTTTACGCCCGAGAAAAGGTAGGCGATCGTCTTGACGAAAATAGCTTAGCGAAGACTTTTTTTTTTTTGTTTTTTTTGTTTTTTTTGTTTTTTTTGTTTTTTTTTTTTTTTCTTTTTTTTCTTTTTTTTCTTGCTGTCTTGGTTTCAGTCGTCCTTTCTTTCTTTTTACCCGATCGACTCGCCCGCCCCCACCCTTTGCTACGTATCGGAACAAAAAAATAAATAAATACAAACGCACAAGCAGAGTTTATGCGACACCCTTCATTAAGCGATACTTGGCTATTCTTGTAGCAGGGTTGGTTGCAGCATGGTATGTGCGTTTCTTGTGGGGTTTTTTAATATCTTCTCCCGATGAACCCCTTGAAGAACCGATGTGGCCGTCTTTTTTTTTTATATTTCTGTTTAATCTATGCATTGCAAAGGATTGGTTCAAGCATTGGAATAATAATGTATGAAGGAGAAAATATGTGAAGAGAAGGGGGTGAAGAAATAAAGGAGACAAAAACAAAAAAAAGGAGGGGTGGACCATAGACCATTGGACATTGACCATTGACCATTGGGACAATGGCATGATCCCAAGAGGTGTGGAGGAAGGGAAGAGAAATCAGGAAAAGCAAGCTAATGTCCATCGGTTGACGAGATAAGGTCAACAACAGCGCGCGATCTTTCAGATCCCTTGGGTGGTTGGGGGGGGGGGGGGGGGAAATGGTGGGTATTTGTGTAATGCGAAGTGCTATTTTCTCCCTAGTGCCCCTGCGCGAAGTTATTTTGGTGCTGTTCTTTCTTTTTTTTTTGTTTTTTTTCGTGTCTGCTTGTCTGCTTTTGTCCACTCCGTAGCATGGGGCGTGGCAGATGGGCGTGCGAGTAGAAGGAGGAAAGGTCTTCGCAGATCCCTTCTTTACCGCGCACCGGAGTGTCATTGCTCCTCTCTCGTTCCTGTCCCACCTTACCCTGTGGCGAAAAGAGCACACCCTCCCTCTCCCTCTCCCTTCTTTTACTATTTGGAGTAGGGGAGCAAACATTCGCGCTCGACCATTCGTTGTGGCCACGTTGTTGGCCTTAGTAAAATGTGCGGTTGGATTTATTTTTTGAGTTGCGAGAGAGAAGGAGAAGGAAGCAGGGAGAGAGAAGAGATAAAAAAGGATACCATCCAATCCATCCATCTGAGCAATTTTGTCTGTTTTGAGGTAGAGGGTAACATAAAAAAGAGAGCGTGGAATTGAATTGCAAGAAAAGACTAACGGAACCTACTAAGGAGAGTTTTCTATTTCATTGGAGGACGGAGTTGTATCGATAACCATTTATCGCTTGGTATCGGGCCATTCCCGTCAAATTGCGCTTGCACCAGCACGAGCACATTCTGCCATGGCCATAATATGATACTAAGAGAGAAAAGAGGCAGGCGAGCGGACTGTCCTTTTTTTTTTTTTTTTTTTTTTTTTCACGGGCCTTCTTGTCCTTGTGTGCTTTTGTGTCCTTTGAAGGTGTGTATTTATTCCTTGTACTTCCTTCCCGGATGAACACCTTTTTCTCTTCTCTTCTCTTCTCTTTCTTCTTCTCACACCTCTTTCTCTACTTTTATATTACCATTGCTACCTCTTATTACTTACACCCTGCTGTTCACCCATTGAACCTCTTCCTCCTTCTTACTTCTCACCAACAATAATATCCATCTTGATCTCACACAACCAATCACTCACATTCTCTGACTTCAGCACCCTCTTACCCTTTCTCTTCGAACCGCGTCCCTCTTCTTTTGCACACACAACTTGCACCCTTCTTCCTCTCACACATTCGCTCTTCACGGCAACACTTGCACTCACTCACACTAATACAAAAAGAAGATACACCATGATCTCGGTACCATCCGCACCAGGAGCCCTCACCAACTGCCTCACCTCCTCCCACCACCACAACCTTCATACAAAAACCACCGGCGCCTCCACCTCTGCCTTCCCTCCACCCTTGTCCGATTCTCCACCTTCCTCCCCCACCACTCTCATCTCCCACTCTCACCATGACCTCCATGACCCACCGATGAAGAGACCCTCGCTTCCAAAGAGGTCCTACTCTGTCACCTCGCACTCGTCCCGTTCCGTCCACTTCACAGAGGAGATCACGCCCCGGGAGATGGCCTTGTCGATTGTTCAAGCACAGTACCATATCTATCATACGGATCTGTCGGGCTATACTGCTGGCGCGGATTTGGTCCAGGATGCACTTACGCGCTTTGCCCTCGGTGGTAAGTTTTTTCATTTTTCTTTGTGGTTATTTTGTTTGTGATGTTTCTAGTGTTTGTGGATGGGGAAATGGGGGAGAGAACGGTCGGTGGGCATGGCTGGGTAGGGAGACAGGATGACAGGGTGATAGGGAGGAGAGGAGAGGAATGGTGTGCTTTCTTCTTGTCTGCTTGGTGGCGGTTAAATTGGGCAAAACTCTTTTTTTTTCCTCCTCCCCCTCCTTTGGACAGTGTACTGTTGAAGAATCAACAACAACGGAACACTTTCCCACTCTCGCTCGCTCCATTGAACCAACCAACCAACCACTCAAACAGCAAACAGCAAGCACACGACGACACACATACACAACTTTATTACAGCACAACGCACCACAACAAACAAAGGAAAAAAAAGAGCATGGGTAAACCCTGGTTGTTGTCTTTTCTCTTTTTTTTTTTTTTTTTTTTTTTCCGTTCGTGCGATCGATCATCGATTCCAGCAACAGGAAAGACGAGGAAGAGAAAGATCTACGAACGAGGGTGTGTATCACAATATTTTTAAGAATGCGATAGGAAAGCAAAAAAAAAAAAGAAGAGACACAAGAGAATGCGCATGTTGTGTTTCAATGGGAGGGGGATGGTGTCATGGCATCATAGGCAGTTGTCACTTCTCAACGGCAAGAGATAACGTTCTTTCATCACCCTCACGTACTTTCACGCCAACCGCACACCTTACCAACGAATGACACCAACACGCATTCCCAAAGGAGCGCATGAGGCAACACTCTTCCCCATCTCAATCGAATTGAAAAAAACATGACAAGCGGAGCAACAAAAAAACCTTTGGCCAATATTTTTTTTTATAGTTTCCCCTTTCCCTTTGTTTGAAGCCCTTGCATTGGTCCAGTCCCGTCCAGTCCCTGTCCCTGTCTTTTTTGATAGATTGACGGGACTGGACTTGACTGGCCCTGAACCCAGTTGGAGAACCACGCACTTATCACCATTTCCCACTCCCTTGCGGCTTGATTTTATTTTTTTGAGTTTTCTTTGTTTTACTGGGGTCCCTTGACTTTTCCCCCCTTTGTGTGCTCTGTTAGTTTTTTTTTTGCCAAAGATGGGATTGCACTTGTCCAACCTTGCTTCGCTTAGGTTGCTTGTTAGTGTAGTTTTCTATTCCCCTCTCGCTGGGAAGGAACGTGGTGTGACACACCACGCTAAAAGAACGATGGCACAAAAATAGGCAAGAAACAAACACCAACTGGGAATATTCCCAGGCAGGGATGTTCAAACAACAGAAAAGACGGCCAAAAGGATTGAGGGAGAAAACGGTTTTGTTTGTTACTGTAATGGTCCGTAATTGAGATGGAAGGATCTCATAGACATGGATATCTCCCTCCCTTGCTCTCTTCCTCTCTTCCACACACAGCCTCAAATCCAATCCGTTCGATGCATCAATTTATTCCTTTCTTTATCTCCTTTATCTTTTCGCTTCCCTATCCACTTTCATCATCCGTTGAATGCTCCGCGGTGCATCCGGATATTTCTGCATTTATTTGTTTGTTGCAGTTGTTTCCCTCGGAGTTGCGAAAAATGTGACAAAAGGAAAGATAAAAACAGACAAGAGGAGGAGTCCAAGAGTCCAGAGATCCAAGCACTCACACAAGCATACACACATACGAAAACAAAGCAGAACGTTGACCTGAGTGTATACATACTATTACCAAATAGGCACCTCAAGAGACTTGTACCAGACATTCAAGCGGTTCAGGCCCGACAAGGAGCGTATTCCTCCGACACCGACGATCACGATCACGACCCGCAACTGGCGCGATTGGCTGGGCCACAAGTCCTATTATCACGACTACCTCGATTTCTTTGATCAGGAGCTGCAACTTCTCGAACAGGAGCAGGATGCATCTGAGACCGAGGCAGAGGCGCCCTCTTCTTCGGCTTCAGCTTCAGCTTCAGAGACGATGACCAGGATGGCAAAACTAGTGGCAGAGTATTTGACGCCGTTGATTCCTGGACTGTGCGCGTCGACGGGGGCGTTGATTCATTTGGGGTATGGTGTCGAGTTTAGGTCGAGGCTGGCCATGGCCGAGGGGTTGGCGTATGCTTGTATCTCGTACCAGCCTGCTACCACTTGCTTCATCCCCTCCAACGTTCCCTCTTCCTGGCAGCACAAGACTACTACTACTGTGACTTCAGGAGCCACAGGCGCCACAGGAGCGACAGGAACGACGGTGGGGGGTGTGACGAAGAGGTCGCCGACGGTGTCGATTCTAAACATGGTTAGGAACGATAAGCGTCTGGATGGGATGTTTGACGCAGGGTTCCAGGGCCGTTTGAATGTCGTTATGAGCTCACGTGTTAGTCTGTTGAAGTCCTATCTCGGCATGTGGACCAGTCAAGGTACGTTTGTTTGTTTTTCCACACCTGAGCCCGCCAACACATACACGATGATGTCTTCTATTCCTTTTTACTATTGACTAGCAATACTAACATGTTCTTTGTTGACAATCTATAATAGTACATTCGGTGGAAGAGGCGTTGAAGGATCTCTCCCAGACAAGCAGCCTACTCTTATTCACAGCTACCAACCGATTCGGAGACCAACAGCAGTTGGACAAACATCTCGCCAACGTTTTGTTGGCGACTCATGCGGCTCGGTTCTTGATTCATGTCTTGCCGGGCGAGGTTGAGAAGGAGCAGTTGTTGAAGGCGATCTGGATGTCGCTTGTGGCGACCTTTGTGGTTCAAGGCAGGCCCAAGTTGTCATTGTCCCAATCTCATCAACAGCATCAACAACCGGTGATGGCGGAGGTTAACCCACAGGATGCTGGTGAGCATGATGATGAGGATGAGGAGGTTGAAGCAAAGTCTATGGATGGTGAGATGAAGGTGCCTTCTGGACGGTGGAAGACCTTGGCGCAGGACGCCATCCATGCCGACCATCAAATCGTGTCAAAGGTACATTTCCTATACTTTTGGTTTTCTTCACTCATCCCTTCTTAACGTGTTCGTTTCTTTGTTCACCGTTATTGTCTTGGTTGTGATATTAACCGCCTTTTCTCCTTTGTGGTTATGGCTAATAGATTGTGAGGTGCTTGTGGTGGGCAGAGATGGAACATGGATCGTGCGGAGGATTGTTTTACGATGCGGCGTTCCGTGTTATCGGGGATGACCCAGCCTCTGACGAGTCCACTGGACCCGGCTTCTAAAGATCTTGAAGAAGAAATACATAACATATCCCAAAACACACTTACAACTATATCCTTCCCTTCCCTTCCATTACCTTGATAATCCTTCTACCATTGTACATACTCCATCCTCGCCTATCAGCCTGACAATCAAAGACAATAATAATAAAAAAAAAAAGTCGATGTAACTCCTGCCTTCTCCCCCCCTGGAACTTGTTTCTTAGATGTCGAAAGGTGTTTTGGGTCTACATTTTCTGCCTTGTTGAACGTAGCAAGGGGGGGAGGGGGGCTCATCAAAAACGCGATCGGTTACGGGTATTTTTCCTGTTCCAGGAGTGAGCACAAACAATAAGAACAACAAGTACAACAACAACAACAACAAAGGGATGTTTTTGGAGACGTGGAAGGGAAGGAAGGCAAAAACAAGGAGAGTCGAAGTAGGGGATGAGTTCAGTTTCGCGTGTGTTTTGAGCAGAGCAAAGCAACAACACCGGAGGGGGCGTGTAAACAAAGGGGAGGAGAGGAGGAAGGGAGGCATCCATTTTGTGTTTTTTACATGTGTGAACGTGAGGAGGAGAAGAGAGGAGAGGAGAGGAGAAGCGAACAGAGGAAAGCACAGCAAGGGTGTTGTTGTGCTTAGTTTCTTTGTCTTTTGCGCTTGGCTATCAAACGGGTCTTTAGTTCTATGAGGAAGGATGAAGAGTGAACGTGGAAAAGCAGGGGTGCGGATCAAATGTTGACTAATGAATTATTATTAATATTTGCAAGGTAATAGGAAGTAGCCTTGGTAGGAAGGTGGATGGATGATGAGAAAATAAGACTGTGTCGACTGGGTCTCGAACCATGAGAATGACCTTAATTTTTTTTATTTCTTTCGTTCAGCAGTTCCAACAGTGGGTTCACTCTTTTACTTGGATTCGCTTCTTTCTTCCTTCCCTTCTACTCCCCCCGTTCTTTGTCTTTGACCGTCCCATCCCTTTCCTTCCTCCCCTTCTTCACCTCTTTCCCTTCCTTATTTACTTTTCGGTGGCCAATCATCACTCCCACCACACTCACTCAAATACCTCTCTTCTTCTCAATTCTTTATTCCCCGGACTGGTCCTGGTGATCATCTCTCTCCTTCTCCTACTACTCTCCTTTTCCTTCCTCACTCGCTCATTATTCCCTTCACTTTTGCCACCCCCATTACTGTTACCCCTCCTCCCTTCATACACAATACCCTTTTTTTCCCTCTGTTGTTCGACCTTTGCTTATTCATCATACATCTTTTCCTCTTTTCATTCTCTTCACTCGTCCTCGCGCCCTTTGCTGAGTCTTCGCCCTTTGTTTCTCCTCTTTCTTTCGTACCCATTGACGAACAACCTCCAACAACTGACAATGAACAAAGGCGAACCGACAAGTATAGCCAACCTCCTCTAGTAGCAATAACGACAACTCAAAAAACTTTGTAATAGAGCCCCGCATCACCACTTTCTCTCTATCTCTTTCTCCTTTTCTCTCCTTCCCTCAACACCCCGTCGACATCCATTTCTCTCTTCTTCCCACTACTCCTTTACACTCGTCCAATAACAACCGCCATCCCACCCCGCGGAGAAACCGACAACAAGCACACTCAAATGGAGAGCATCACACAGTGGGACCCAAGCAGGGTTCATCAGTGGATGTGTTCCATCGGATTCCCAAACTACGAAAAGCAAATCAAAGGTATAACCTCACTCTCTCACACTCTCGTTTAAGGCACTTGTCGCTCACTCTCTCTCTCTCTCTCTCTCTCTTTTTGCTCAGGTTCTATTTCTCGCCCAGGCGGTTTCTCTTTACTTTTTCGTTCTCACCTAAAACCTAGGCGGGATTTAGGTGTAGCTTTTTGTGAACAAGGAACACAACATGAGTATTGACCTTACCCTTCACTCTCACGACAAACAAACGTAGATAATGGCATCTCTGGCGACTTGCTAATTCACCTTGATCACGCTGCGCTGAAGGATTTGTCCATCTGGGAGGTGGGGAAGAGACTTCTTATCCTCAAGGCCATCTACCAACTCAAGATCTCCTACGGCATCTCGCTCGAGGCCGGCGACTATGTCCCTCCAAGTAAGCTATCAGCTAATTATCCAACGACGACGACCACAACACAAAAACAATAACAGCTGCGACGACGACACAACAGGAAAGAAACAACAATAACAACAACAACAACAACAAAACGATCAAAAAAAATGAAAGAAAAATAGATGTCGTGCCCATTGAGAGCAAAATGGCTGAATTGGCGTGCATTTGCTGGACAAACCCGCATACAACCAATCGATTCGGATCATTCACCCACTCTTTATTCACCTCTATCCTTTGTCTGTTTCTTGTCTTCCTTTTTTTGTTCCCTTTTCCCTTTTCCCTTTTCATGACCTCCTCGTGTTACTTTGCCGTTTTGCTTCTTTTTTTTCCTTTCTTTGTGACACATCCTAGGCGTTGCATTCGAAAATGTAAGTATCGAATACGAAGAAAAGAAATACCCGAAAGTCTGCAAGCCAGCCGCAGGAGGGCTATAATGTTTTCTTGCAGACAGGATGTCCACTGTTCTTTAATAACGAAACTCATCTCCGTGCTCTTTCTCTCTCTCTCCCTCACTCCCTATTTCCGGTTTTGTCCTGGTAGGAACATAATTATCAAGCAGCTGCAAGTCTAAAGTCGGTGGAACAGGCAGTGCATGAGAAAGGTGCGTCTCGTGGGTTGTTAATAATTATCTCCTCTTGGGCCCTGTCTGCTAATGACCTCCTTTCTCTCCATCTCGCTCTGTCAGTCTGTCATCATGAAGTACTTGGAAGCAAGATTAATCAGGGGGGCGACACGGAGGAAAATAGGACAAAAGGAGAAAGAAAAGGAGAGGCGCATTAACTGAAAAAAGAGGAATTGAGTAACACAGTAACGCCTTTCCTTTTGGCCATGACCAGAAGCATCAACTGGCCTGAGCGATAAAGAGAGATGCGCTCGTTACTGTGGGATTATACTTCATTGCTTTGGACCTATCATCGCTGACAATTCTCTTTGACTTTTCGTATTCTAAATAGACAACACAATTCAACATCTCGTGCGGGAAGTGGAGAGGATGTCAAAGGATCTGACGAAACTCAAAGATGAACTCTGGACCATGCAAAAGGACCAAAAAGTAATTACCAGGAAGCCATGCTGTTGAAGCATGCAGGAAAAAAAAAGCAAAGACAATGGCGCGAAAAGAAGTATCGTGCCAGTTTTCCTGTGCAACATGACTAATCCGGACCGAACCCTCTTTTCGGTTTCGCTCTGCTTGCTTTTTCAACTTAGCCTCTACCGGAACCCAGCCCTGCACCTGCGTATTCAAAGTTTGCAATTAACGGACAGCCGCCATCTTCATCTTCGTCTTCGTCTTCGGCCATGCTCTCGGCATCACCATCAGCACATGGAAACAACACAAACTTGCCTCCTCAGTCGCCCATTCACGCTTCACATGCGCATGCGAGCAGTTCGTCCAGGTCGCCTATTTATTCGACAGATTCTGGATTTCACTCTGTGCCCAGCTCACCGCACTCGCCGAGCGATATCCGCGGACGAAGAGGGTCCACCATGGACACACACGAGGTATGACCGCATTGGTGCAAAGGAGCAGATCTAGATGAATAACAATAGGAGCGTGCAAATGTCAGGAGCGAGCAGTCAGTGTTCACAAGGACTAACCCCTATTGTTTTGATATTTGTTAATTTCACGTGCCGGATATTCTTGATGAGCAGGAAGGAAAGGCTATGGGATCTCCTGGAGTGGATGGTGCTGGGGCTATCAAGGTATACGGCCAGAAGCCGTCAACACGGGACCCAGTGGATGCTTTTAAGAGCTTCAGAATCTCTCAGGACGACCCTTGTCACAAGGTGTTACCCGCTGCCCTGAAGAAGTACAAGATCAACGATGACTGGCGCCAATACGCTCTCTTTATTTGCTATGGCAACACAGGTTCGTTTCATTGTGGAACTATGTTACTGGATATGCACTCATGCGGAATGTTTATCTTTTGTTGTTTATGGCAACGATCAAGCGCATGGACCAATCTGACATAATATATTTCACATGGGGAAACTATTACATTAGAGCGCATTTTGACGTACAATGACAAACCATTGCTTTTGATGAAGCAACTCAAGGAAAAGAAGGAGAACCCGGTGTTCATGTTGAAGCATATCAAGCAGATGAAGTCGCCAGCCGCCAGCGCACCCTCACCACCCAGCTCGCACCCACCACGAAAGAGCTCGGACTTTTTGAACAAGGAGCTTCCCTTGCCACCAGAGGCTATGTCAGCTTCGTCGGCAATAGGCGGGTCAAGTAGTAACTCGCTGTCGCCCACAGGAGGAGGATTGAGTGCTTATACCAATGGACACCACTCTTCGCTTGCTCGATCAGGAACCTCCGCCTCTATGCGTACCTCCAGCAAAACCGCCGCCACAGCTAGTACGTCATCATTTCTTGTTCCTCTGGACTTGTTATTATAGTTTTCAGGATGTCAAATACTAATACTTTCGCAATGTTTCAATATGTATTATTAGCATCGGCATCGACATCGTTGAATCAGACGACGACGACTTCCAATGGATCATCAACGGGAAGTAATCATTTGAAGTCAGAATCAGCCCTTGGAGCAGCTGTGGGACCCAAGCCCGAAAACTATGTACAGGAAACTGTCGAGGCGTCAGGAATGGCTGTGGCATTGTACGAATGGGAGGCCAAGCGAGACGACGAGCTGAACGTCAAAGTCGGCGACGTGTTCAAGATCAAGAGTAAAGGACACGGATGGTGGGTTGTGCAACGTGATGAGGAGATTGGATGGATCCCAGCCAGTATCCTGTCTGAGAGCTCGTCCGAGGACGGATACTTTTCTGCGGAGGGAGTGGCCATCTTTGACTTTGCCAAGACTGGACCAAACGAGCTCAGTATCAAAACCGGCGACAAACTCGTAAGTCCTTTTCTCATCTTTCTTTTGCGCGCGGTCCTGTCGTTTGTTGTGTTGAGCTGGCATATTATTATTTTTTTGCTCTTTTGTCTCCCCAGGTTTTCTGACATGTTTTTTGTGTGAACAAATAGAAAATTTTTCGACGACACCAACACTGGCTGTTGGCGACGTGCGATGGACAGCGTGGATGGGTTCCAAGTTGGTTCGTCAACCTGGACTCGCAACAATAGACACTTCTCACCCACCGTTACCACCGTTGTCCTCTTTCGAAGGAGGAGCAATAAAAAAAAAAAAAAAAAAAAGTCACTCAAGGACACTACACCATCACACCACACAAAACAACGCGGGGACTTGCATATCAAGATATCAAGGAGTAGAAGTCATACTATTATTACTGAAGTTACACCGTACGGAAGAAAGGGGCTTTTCTATACGGTTATAATATCTAATGACCCCCCCCCTCCTTGCCACGGGCAGGAATACAGGGCGGGTTTTAGATATCCTCAGAGTCAGCGACGTTGGCTTGGACCCAGTCATGCGCAATGGGACCCAAAAGATGATCAGGCACTCCAAAGGCATCCACAAGAGGAGTTATATTCTCGTGGACCCTGTGCAACAAACCTCCGACCAGGTTTCGGATCCGCTCTTGGACGGGTTCGTCGAGGTAGCGCCTTCGGATCATGTTCTGGTCCATGTCGAGTTTCCACAGGGCGTGCAATTGGCGCATTAAGGTGAGGGGCGAGGTGCCAGTGGCGGAAGTGGTCGTGGCGGCGGAGAGGGTTTCTTGGGCGATGAATTCTGAAAGGATCCAGTGCTCGAGCACGGCACGTGCGAATTCCTGAGAGAGTGCAGAGTGAGTATCCAGGATATTGTCCAACCCAATGTTGGGAGTTCCTTGTGCCTTGGCCTGGGCGCGGGAGAGGTCGATGGCGGCGTGGAGGCGGTGGGCAGAGGCATGGATGTGGTGTTGGAAGAGGTCGAGTTGGAATTTTGGGGAGAGGAGCGTCGAATCGGAGAAGTGTTGGGAGGTGAAGTTGGCGAGGGTTGGGATACGGGTGGGTTTGTAGTCGTTTATACAGCCTTTTGCTACGGTGATTAGCATCACCTGGTTGTCTCCTATGGAATACGATTTTGCGAAGGGAGAGAGAGAGAGAGGGGAAAAAATGTGTGGGTTAATTAAATGTTGCCTCCTATCCATACCATATTTTTTTTATATCCTTGTTCAACAAAAAAGGGGCCTCAGGGTACGAACCTTCATAGGTGGCCATGACATCGCAATCGGCTTTCATCTGTCCGATACGATTCGAAGATTTCAATCCTTGACCACCACAGGCTTCTCGGGTCGCCTGGAGGGTGTCGAGGAGATGCCAGGTGTGCAAGGATTTGAGTCCTGAGGAAATGACATGGAACTGTTTGAGGAGCTTGAGGTCGGATTTTTCGGTGTCGCGAAGGCGGGCTATGGCGCGGGCTGCAAAGTGTTGGGCGTAGGTTTGTGCGAGGAGGGGGTACAGTCGTCGCTATTTTTTTTGTTTTGGTAGTGGGTGAGAAAGAACAGTTACTGAGTCTTTGCGTTTCATTCACGGTCGAAAGACCAACTGATAAAATACATGCAATAAAAAAGTTACCTGGTGAAGCTTATAGTCCATGATAAGGGTCTCCAACTCCCCAACCTGCTTGGCTCCAAACTGCCTCCTCGTCAACCCATACCTAACCGCAAGCGTCAACGCAGTCTTTGACATATTATCCGAACTAATGCTCAACCCCACCCGTCCCTCCGATAAGTTCACCAACTGGCCCCCAAACCTCTGATCGTTATTGTCTCCAAAGAAACTCTCATAAACCCCCTGTTCATTCACACCGCCATACTTATCCAGGCACATATGCCGGGGGACTTTAACATGATCAAACCAAAGCCGACCATTGTCGACACCATTAAGTCCTGATTTGGACCCACAGTTCCGGATGGTGACACCTGGGCTGGGGGAGCGGGTAGAGAGGTCACGGATGGGGATGAGGAAGGCGTGAATGCCTTTGTGGGATGGGGGGTGGGAGGGGTCGGTCGGGTGAGGGATGTAGAGTTGGGCCCAAACTACGGACATGAATGCCGTCTCTGCCGCTGCTCCAATCCAGTACTATTGGGATTGTTGTTTTTTTTCGAGAAGGGGGAATGTAGAAGGATAGTTAGTGTTAGGTTGCATGCTTAGGGAAGGGCAAATTTGAGATGATGGCTGAAAAAAAAAGATGATCGGGTGTTAGTTACCTTTTGGGCGGTGGTGTTGGGGGTGTTGATAATGTAGCATCCTTCCTTGACGTCCCAGTGCGCCTCTGTCTCAATGCCTCTTGGGTTACTTCCATGTCCAAGTTCTAATCATATGAAACCACAAAAAGAAGAGCAGCATAGCACTTTTTTTTCGTTAGCAACACGACATCCTTCAACATAGCCACTCTCCATATCAATGCCCGTTCAAAAATGAAAAGTAACTAACCGGTAAGGGCGAAGCAGCCAGGGACTTCAAAGCTATCGGCAAGGGGCAACCACTTATTCTGAAGAGCCTCGGAGCCAAGTTCACGGATAGATCCGGAGTAAAGTCCGAAATGGGCGCCGTGCATGGTCGAGAGGCCGTTGTCAAAGTATGACAATGCATCTTGGATCTGTATAAATTTGTTCCTGTCAATGTTCACTCTATGTTGGTCGGACGAAGTGAAGGAAAATGATCACTGGTTATGATGGCACTGAGAAGGCGAGGAGGAGTGTACTGTTGGGAAATTATTTACCCATAGGGAAATGTGCTAAACGTGCTCAGTTCATCAAAACACACACAGCAAAGAAACAAAAAAAAAATAAAAATGAAAAGTGAACATACTTCGGCTCGGTCCAGGTGGGACGGAAGCCCAGTTTGGCGAGGTGGCGGGTTCGTTCTTGGTTGCGGGTGACCAGTTCCTCCTTAGTGACATTGTACTGGTACTCGAACAATGGGTGCTTCAATTGCTCGAACATCTACCCACGCATCGTGTATGGCGTCAAAGGAAACGAACGAAAAAGAAGTTTTTTTGTTAATCCTTGGAAAGTGAACAAAAAGGGGATGGATTCAAAGGAGGGAGGGAGAGTAAGTACCCATTTGCGCCAGGTCTGGTCTTTGCCATCGAGGAGGACAGAGAGGGCATCGGCGTGGAGGTGGACGGGTGGGAGGGAGGTCTCGAGGATCTCGGTGACGGAGTCTCGTGGGGCGGTGGTGTCCAGTTGGGCCGAGAGGGATGCCAGTCGCAGCTGAGCTTTGCTTGTTGCTGAGTTGTTGTTGGCCATGGTATTTCCTTTCGGCTGGAGAGGTAATAAAATGTGGAGAGGAAGGAGTAAAAAGGGGCGGAGTGAGAAAAAGGCGGGAAGAGAAACAAAAAGAGAAGGAATGAGATGGACTTTATAAAAGAGACGACAGGAGGGAATGTCAAGAAAAGAGAGGAGATGAGTAAAAGAAGAGTGAGTGACAGGCTGACACTTTCACGAGTGCCAACCGACAGCCATACAGTGCAAAACCCTGTTTGTTCGTGAGAGCCGATCGGATTTCTGTTTGTCGTTTCTGTGTGTACAAACAAAATAAACGTCCAAAAGTATCTAATTCATGGGTGTACACACACGTATGAGGAAAATGGGCCGGCTCCCTACCGAGCAGTTTGATGAGCGAATACTCTTTTCTAGTCTCAACTTGTGTGCCAGACAAAAGGCCATGGGCTGGGGGACTAACCAGTTAGCCGATCATGATGCAGGGGTTTGTACCGTCTTTGCACCATACTCTCAATGATATGCATTTTTTTATGTTTGCAAAGTGGATGCGATGATGAAGTACTCAGCCTTGACAGTGAGGAAGAGAGGGCTTTCTAGGATTGGGTGGAGAAGGAAGGAGGGCTTGTTGTGGATGCATTGCGTTTTTTCTCCACACGGAAGGCACGCAATTAGAGTTGGTGGCGTACCTCTTCTACACGTGATATGTGGATGTCGTGATTTAAAAAAATCTTAGAACACCTTGGCTTGCACACAGCGACAGACTTCTACTTTTCACTAGACCAACCAGCCCTTCTACTTTCTCTTCTTATTTCTTTCGTTTCTTTGTTCGCCTTTACACAACAACGACAGCAACCGCAACCACACCAACTTCACACTCGACAGCAAGAAACTGCAACAATAACAACCAACTGATTTCGACTTGACACCCACAAGGACACAGAATGAGCACAGCGGACGACAATGACGACGGCATGACAGCCTCCTTCACCGCCTCAACCTTCGAATCCGACGTCAATGACCCCTGGACCGCCAACACTCGTGGGGGACTCAACCCCATCGACCTCAGCACCATCCTATGTATGCTTTTTGTCCATATTACTATTCAACTACATCAAACACGACCGGATCCTCTTTTTTTTGATATGACAAACAGGACAACAGACTGACACAAAATTGCTCTTATTTTTCCCACCATGCAGCAGGAATGCCATTGCCGGCTATTTACACAACAGCATTCGACTTGGCCCAACCTTCAGGAGGAAAGGTCACCGTTCTGGCTCTGAACAAGATCTTGGCTGTCAGTGGTCTCCCTCCAGCAACCATCGACAAGGTACATACATGATCTCTTCTTGCTTCTTTTTTCTCTACTTTTCATTGAGTGCCCCTTTTCATTTCACTGCTGACCCCTCTGCCAAGCAACGAGGGTTTGTGAATAGGGGATGGACGATGGGTGTTGGGTTGCGCAGGAAAAAAAATCACACTCTGTCGTGTTTTGGTGCCCCTGATTCCTTCAGGTGGACTAAAATAATGTGAACATGTGTCCTCTGGTACACTTCTTTATCTTTTCGGTATGCATTGTCGTATCTCTCCTGACCGCCGCTCCCTCTGCTATGTTGTAGATCCTAAACATTGTCGTTGCCCCAACAAGATCCAGGATCACAAAGGGAGAATGCAGCGTAGCATTGGCACTGGTGGCGATGGCACAAAAGAACATGGACCTCTCTATCGAAAACCTGACCGCTCATCGTGAAGGTACCCAGGATGCTGTCCTTGCACCAATTGCTTCTTTTGTTGTAGTTACCTGTGTTAGAAAATTAATACTGTTTGCTGATCAGGTCCACGTTGTACTAACGACCTTCACGTCTTTTGCTCTCATGTTCCTCAGACCTGCCGATCCCACACTTGCCAGGATTGGAAAGCATCGACTTTGGCAGCGCCGCGGATACCTCAGGAATATACGCGACCTCTTCATCTCTACCCAAGGGCCATCCTGTGAACGTCGGCAGCACTATATCAGACCCCTGGAGGACATCGACATATAAAGGAAATGGATACCCACCTCCACCTTCATTCCTCGCCTCACCACCATTTCCTTCTGCTGACATATCAGGGTCGAACTCGGACGAGGCGTCAGGGAGCAGTCAGAGGGATGTTCATCTATGGTTCTTGAACCTAGATGTTATCAGGATCACTTTTGCGCCCGAGAAGGAAGGAATCTTTTTGTTCAGACATACCAACTACATCGTTGAATCCAAAGTAAGACTTAGTCGGGAGGAGAGTATTGCAGGACATGTAGCGTGGCCCTGATAAAAGAGACTAACGGTTGACTTCTTCCTTCGCTGTTTACTGTTGCACCTGCTAGGCTCGACAAACGACAGTAATCAGGAGGTACAGTGATTTTTGGTGGCTATTGGAGATCCTTGCCAAGAGGTTCCCGTACAGGATCCTTCCAAACCTCCCACCCAAGCGACTCGGAGGTACTATATGGTTCTTTGCTTCCCTTGTCGACTTTTGTGCTCCCCTCATGCGCTATGATGTGATGCTTTGCGTCCTTTTTTTTGTTCTCAGTTTTGGTTCCCACACTCTCAACCCGCACGTTGTGTGTGTACCTTTTTTGTGAGCCCTAACTCTAATAGTCATTTTTTTCCTTCGACGACACATAGTGGCAGACGAAGTTTTCTTAGAGAGGCGGTTGCGAGGATTGACGAGATTCATGAATGCGCTGATGAGGCATCCTGTTCTGAAGAATGATCCCTTGGTCATTTCTTTCCTGACCGAGCCAGTTGTAAGTATCTCGCTTCTTTCCAATTTGTGGTCAAATATCAACTTGATTTTCAGGCCATTAAACAAACCTTTATCATTATATCTTCGACAAATTTTTTAATAGGAGCTGGCATTGTGGAGGAAAAATGTGGTGATTTCGACTGAGGACGAGTTCACAAGAAAGCTACCCATCTCTGAGAGTCTGGTGAAACAAGTACCCATGGATCTGGAGTTGCAGCTGGAGAGCATCAAGCGGCGGTTGCCTGCATCAGTGGAGTACTACAGGAGTATGGTTCATGTCATGGATCGAGTTCAGAAACGGACAGAAGCCAACGCAGGCGACTACATGCGCTTCAGTCTCGCCCTCAAGTAAGTTTTATTTCATCTTCGCAATGGATATCGTACTTATTTACTTTGTGAAATGTCTAACGATTAAACAATGTTCACGTTACTGTATAAACTCGACATAGTGCATTGGCGGACTGTGAGAAGCATTGTCATGTGGAAGAGTGCTACAGCTGTGGGCAGTTGAGTCAAGGATATGGCAAGGTTGGATCTCATATAGGTCAGGCCTCCAATGCGCTGGAAGAGCAAGCCCGGGCGACACAACGCGGAGTCGTCGAGGATCTGAAACGACATCGCGATTTGTTAGTATCTGTCATGGAATTGATGCAGAGACGTGAGCGGGCGAAGGAAAGCGGGTTGGTTGAAATGTTGAAGAAGCGGATTACAAACCAGGAACAGAAATTGACACATCTGAGGACCACGGCTGCAGCGACTGCTGCCGCTGCTGCCGCTGCAAGGGCTGAAGGTGCTGGAGATGGAGGATATGGGGGAGGTGAGCCTGGGATCTATGATGCGCAGATCGAAAAGTTGGTTCAGGGTATCCAATCGGTGAGTGGGGTGTTTTTATATCTTACGCGTCTTGTCTCTCTCGTTCACATGTTATTTTTCACAACTCGTACAGAGCCTAACTTCGCCCTCCTTTGATCCAATCATATAAATCATATAGGACCGCGCGGAGATGGAGATGCAGAGTCAGAGGGCGATCCTGATAAACCATACACTGTCGATGGAGATATTGTACTACCACAAGAGCCAGGCCTTGATTGCGTCCATCTACCAGAACTTTGTGCACGAGCAGATCAAGACCAGCCGGGGGCTCACGGATACTTGGGAGTCGCTGTCTCCCATTGTACATGATCTGCCTATGGAGGTCAATGCATTCAATTAGGCTGCAAGTGGGGACCCTCGGTTGGAGAGTCAAACAGCATATCATTATTATACAAAAGAAATAAAACAGCAATGCGACAGCAAAACTGGAGCCCGGCAACAACGGGTATAATGGACTTAGCAGCTACGTTAGCTCCTCTCTCTTGCACTTCGCGTTCTCGATCATGCCATTCTCAATGGCGTTGCCTATACAACTCCCATATGTCTTTTTCACTTTTTTCTTTCTTTTGGTTAACACCAAGGAAAGGGACATGGTGGCGAAAAGTAAGGTAGGGGTGTGCAGATTAGACCCAACCGGGAACTATAGGTTACAACATACATGAAAAGAAACGAGAGGGGTGAATCGGGTCACACGCTGTAGTTTTGATTTTCTCTCCTCTCTCTCCTCTATTTTCCTCCTTGTTCGTTGTCATACATTCACTCCTCCTCGCCTCCACCAACACCAACCGCCATCATCAACAACAGCATCAAACTGAATTACTATCCTCGCTTTTCGTGTTTTCTTCATTGCTTACCAAGATCCCGATTCCTGGTATCAGTACCATGGCAACACAAGCTCACTGAGAGTAAGGTTCTTTATCGAAGGAAGGGCATGCAACGCGACAGGGAAAACTACAACAACGACAACGACAGCACAAAACACAGACTCTAATATCAGCTCCTCCCGTATTTTCTCTCACTCATTACCTTCACGTCGCAAGCTTTCGAAAAGTTCCTGAACACTATCCAGAAATGCAGGGAGAGGTTGTCTTGATCCAGGTGACATCTCCTCCTCTGGTCAAGAACCCCAAACTGGAAGCCAAGATTACAGAGCAAGTCGTTCATATCAATGGAACCTACGGATCGCTCAACTTTACGCCTGTCCACCATTACCACCAGCACATTGATCGGGACGAGTACTATGTTCTGCTTTCGGTCGTCGACATTGGTCTCATTACATCTGTTAGGGACGGCATGAACACGACCTCGCTCGAGTACATCATGTGTCAGCAGGAAAACCACGGTCCACTCATCTTGAGCGAGTTTACAGGAACTGCTGGCAGCTTGAGTGGTGCAATGATGGTCAACCCTTGGGACTACCAGGGTGTCGCCAAGGTCATCTATGATGCCCTCAACCTCAGCGAGGAGGACAAGATCTCTCGTCACAACGTAAGTCCCCCTTACACCTCCATGATCATTTGGCAAAACTGGCACAAGTGAATACCAATGCAGATGGATCTTGGTTATTGAATTTATCTCGTTGTTATTATCTGCAAACAAATAGCAACTCCACAAGCACGTCATTACCCACACTGCTCAATACTGGGCCAAGACCTTTATCGCCGAGTTGATCTTGAACGTTGGAACAGGAGAACAGTCCGCGCCCACGCCTTACCTTGACCTCCCTATCATCACCGATCAGTACCACAAAGCCAAGAAGCGCCTCCTCATGTTTGACTACGACGTGAGTTACAATTGCCACCTTCTTACCTCTTTGACATATATCGTTCATGATTCTGACACCCATACTTTACACCATCTATCTACTTCTAGGGAACGTTGACGCCAATTAGAAAGACGCCTGGAGCGGCTGTTCCTCAGGAGCACATGTTGAAGGCATTGGCGGCGCTGTGTGCTGACCCCAAGAACATTGTGTGGGTCATTTCAGGAAGAGATCAGAAGGTGCTGGAGGAGTGGCTTGGACATATCCCCAATCTCGGCTTCAGTGCCGAGCACGGATCATTCATGAGACAGCCTGGGGGTCAAAAATGGGTTAATCTGACAGAGTCCTTGGATATGGGCTGGAAGAATGATGTTATTGAGATCTTTACCTACTACACCGAGCGGACGCAAGGTAACTTTCAGGGATGCTAAAATGGTACTATGGTTTGTTCTCATGTGTGGAAAATGAAATTAATATACCGTACCCGTTGTCAACAATAGGCTCGTTTATTGAGCACAAGAGGTCGTCGTTGACGTGGCATTACCGTATGGCAGATCCTGAATTTGGCGCGTTCCAGGCCAAAGAGTGCCAGAACCACCTGGAGAACGCGGTCTTGTCCAAGCTCCCCGTCGAGATTCTTGTGGGAAAGAAGAACTTGGAGGTCCGCCCCACAATTGTCAACAAGGGAGAGATCGTCAAGAGGTTGTTGAGTCAGCATCCGGATGTCGAGTTTGTGATGTGTGCAGGTGACGACAAAACGGACGAGGATATGTTCCGGGCTCTTGTTGGACCCAACAACAACAACAACAACAACGCCAATGCGGCTCGCAGGAACTCTACCGTGGTGGTGGAGCCTTATAATAATGAGCTGGTGGCAGAGACGGCGGAGAAGATTGCTAATGCGACCTTGGCGCATTCTCGGGAGCACTCGCCTGTGATGCCCCAGTTGCACCTGTCGAGCGGTCATATTGCGAATGGATTTGCACCGGGAGTTCAGGATGCGACTCATTTGATACCTCCTCACCACCCTGGCACCGCTGTTAGCGCAGAGACGACCACTACCAGCAGCAGTCTGGCTCCATCTTCCAATGACCTGTCAAGGTCTTCGATCAGCACGCAGGGATCGGCAGGATCTTTCTCTGTTGGCATCAACAACGGCAACAGCAGTGGCAGTGCGTACAATGGAGAGCGGTTCTCGATTACGATTGGACATGCGTTGAAGAAGACTCTTGCCAACTGGCATGTTACCAGCCCTGAGGAGTTGATCCGAGTTCTTGGTATTTTGTCTGGTACTGTTGACTCGTAACGTAGTTGATTCTATAGACATTTGTGTGCTTTCAATGGTAAAAAAGAAGTTTTTTGTATGCTTACTATCCTGCTCTGGGAGAACTAAGGGGGGAAGAGTGAATGGGAACATGCGGGTCATGGGGGTTATGGGATATGAGAAACCAGCACAGCTTAAATCAAGCAAAGTTGGCGCAGACTTAAAATGAGTGTTGTTTTCTCGCACACTCATTTCTCTTGTTTCCTACCCTCCCGCATTACTTCTTTCTACCCTTACCTTTCTTTCACTTCATCAAAGCAATTCCGATTCATCAACGCAATTCCGATTCATCAACCTTCCTTTTGTGGTTCTTCCATTGTTCATTCACGGAATCAGTTCGTCAACCATTTACAATAATACCCTCTTCTCAAGGGTATGTCTCCATACTATTCTGAAGGCATCACCAGCAGCAACGAGGCAATTGAAACATCCAAAGCACACATACATCATATTCCACATACTAAACTTGTTTTTTCTCCTTGATCTCGTTCGTCCCCATCACCATTAGTCAAAACTCCATGACCATGGTCAACAGACCAGGAATCCGCCCCAGCCAGGCTGCCAATGCGACTGCCCACCCCTACTGGAGAGAACGCGAGCAAAGCCGAAGTGCTTCTTCGACCCAGCGCTCAACCAGTCGTCCAGGTCCAGGCTCGCCTCCAGTCCCCCCTGTCCAATTCGAAAACACCACCCTAGTCGAATGTGCCCTCCACAAGCTCCAATTGCAACGGCTCGAGGAGGCACAACTACCTGTCTTCATCTCTCCTATGGCCAAGGATAACCTGCAGGCCCTTGACGAGGACGTCTTCCCCCTCAGGGAGAAGGTCCAAGAGTTCTTGGCGAGTGAGCGGCAGGTCATGTTGATTCTTGGTGACTCGGGTGCGGGAAAGTCGACCTTCAATCAACATTTAGAATACCAACTCTGGACCGTCTACCAGAACAGCGACACCATCCCGCTCTTCATTAACCTCCCTGCCATCGAACGTCCCGCCAAAGATCTGATTGCGGAGCACCTCAGGACCAACAACTTTTCTGAGGAACAGATCCAGGAGATGAAACAATATCGCCAATTTGTCCTCATCTGTGATGGGTACGACGAGAGCCAGCTCACTGTCAACCTCCACACCACCAACCTCTTCAACCGGCCTGGTCAGTGGAACGTCAAGATGGTGATCTCCTGCAGAACTCAATTCCTAGGTCAAGACTACCGCAGCCGGTTCATGCCTGAAGGGTCTAGTCACTACACCCGCCAAGCTACCGATCTCTTCCAGGAGGCTGTGATCGCGCCTTTTTCCAAGAAGCAGATCGAGGACTATGTCGAGAAGTACGTCCCCCTCGAGCCGCGGACCTGGACCACCAAGGACTACATGGACAGGTTGACCACCATCCCCAACCTCATGGATCTGGTCAAGAACCCTTTCCTTCTCTCACTGTCGCTGGAGGCGCTGCCAGGAGTTACCGAGGGCAAGCAGAATCTGTCGGCCATCAAGATCACGCGTGTTCAGCTTTACGACACGTTCATCAGACATTGGCTGGCTGTCAATAGCCGCCGGCTTCAACGGAGCGTCTTGTCCAAAGAGGACCGAGATGTGCTGGATCAACTATTAGAGGCAGGATTTATTTCGATGGGTGTTGACTACTCCACCAAGCTGGCGACGGCGATATTTGAGCACCAAGACGGAAACCCAGTGGTTCAGTACGTTCACATCAAGGACAAGGAGTCATGGAGAGCCAAGTTCTTTGGTCCTGATCCTGAGACCCGGCTTATGCGGGAATCGTCGCCACTTAACCGTACAGGCAGCCAGTTTCGATTCTTTCATCGATCAATGCTTGAGTATTTTTTTTCACTTGCTGTCTTTGATCCTAGGAGTCACAACGGCCACGACGAATTTGCTCCGCAGTCCGATATTGGATCCACTGACGCTGCATTGCTCGACGCCAAAGGTCTCTTGTTCAAGCGCAGCCTCCTCACCGAACCTTCGGTCATCCAGTTCCTGTGCGAGCGAGTCAAGCAGCACCCCGATTTCGAGAAGCAGCTCCTAGCCGTCATCGAGCAGTCAAAGTCTGACGCCAGTACTGCTACCGCAGCCGCCAACTCCATCACCATCCTCGTCCAAGCTGGAAGTCGATTCAACAATGCCGACTTCCGTGGCATCCGCATCACAGGAGCTGATCTTTCTGACGGCCAGTTCGATTCCGCCCAGTTTCAAGGAGCCGACCTGACGAATGTCAACTTTGCAAGGAGTTGGCTGAGGCAGGTGGATTTCGGTGATGCACAGATGGATGGCGTTCGGTTTGGGGAGCTGCCATATTTGAAGGAGCGTGCCCCAGTCAATGCCTTCGCCTTTTCGCCCAATGGGAAGATGTTTGCTGTCTGTCTAAATGACGGAGGACTCATTACTTACGACACTACAACATGGACTCGAGTTCATCAACACAAAGAACGTAGTGAGGTGTTGACTATCGCCTTCTCACCTGACAACCAACACCTTGCGCTTGGTAGCGAAGACATGACTTGTCAATTATGGGATACTGCCATTGGCGAGACTTTGTTGGTCATGGTGGGACACACAGATTGCGTGACATCAGTGGCATTTTCACCCTGCGGCAAGCAGATCGCGTCGGCCAGCGACGACAGAACGATTCGACTGTGGGGCTCGGAGACAGGAGAGTGCTTGTTTGTCTTGAGCGGTCATGAAGGCATCGTTTTGAGTGTCGTGTATTCAGCTGACGGACAGAGACTTGTCTCGGGCAGCAAAGATGGGACGATTCGAGTGTGGGCTCCAGAGACAGGAGCACCAGAGGCTGATTGGATCATTCCCTATGTTGGTGCTTCGCGCGTGGCTGTTTCTGCAGATGGACGGCAGTTCGCCCTCATAACTGGTTTGTTTAGTTCCGAGATTGGCCTGGTGGATGCAGTCACCGGGGAGATGGGTCTGATTCTCGATGACGATGCCGACGAGCCAAGAAATATCGCATTCTCTCCAGTTGGCAAGTTGCTTATTTCGTTAAATAGGGATAACACTGTTCGACTGTGGGACTCTTCGACTGGACAACTCATCTCGATGTTGTGGGGTCATAGCAACCGGATCACCACCTGTACATTTTCCCCAGACGGCCTACAAATCGCTTCAGGAGATCGGAGCGGGATTATACGAATCTGGGAGGTTAACACCAACCGGTCGAGTTCCATCACACAAGGACTTATGGCGAAAGTTCGAACTGTGGTGTACTCTCATGACGGTCTGTCTATAATCTCTAACCGGACTGACGACACCATCCAACGCTGGGATTCTTTCACAGGAGCCTCCGGACCCATTCCGTCATTGTCCACATTCGATGTCACCTCTGTCGCGATTTCACCGAATGGCCATTGGTTTGCGATCGGTTGCAAGAACGGGAATATTCGGCTGCTCAACGTCCAAACCGACGTTGTTGAGCGCGTTCTCCTCGGACCTTCCGCCTACCAAGTTGTTGATATGAGTTTCTCGCGTTGTGGTCGATGGTTGGTCTCATGCAGTCTCATGGTTACACGATTGTGGGGTCTTGATAGTACCGATGATCAATGCAAAGTGGTGCGGGACTGGGACGTCAATGTGAACCGCCGGAGAGCTTACGTGGCTTTCTCACCCGTCGGATATCAGTTTGCGGTTGGATTGGTAACGGATATGAACCGCTCATCTCGAGTTCGTCTTTTTGATCCCCGAGCCTCAAACCTTCGCGAACCTCTGAAGGAAGTGCGTTTATCAGACACGCTACACTCAATGGACTACTCGCCAGACGGTCGGCGGCTCGCACTCGGTACTGGAGCCTCCTCGGTAATGCTTTGGGACCTTCAGTCGGACAAGCCCGATGTCAAACTGGAAGGCCACACAGGTGCGGTGTTCAGCGTCTCCTACTCTCCTTGTGGCAAGTGGATTCTCTCTGTGGGTGAGGACAAGACGGTGCGTCTATGGTCAGGCGAGGCCGACAGTTGGTCCTATGTAGCAGTGGTCAGCAAGTGCTTGGAAGCCTTTACAAGCGTAACATGGAATCCGGTGGCGCCGATGGAGTTTGTCACTGGTTCCGATGATGGATCTGTTCGAGTGTGGCGTATTTCAGGTGCCGAGGCAGGAAACGTCTCGGTTTATATGCACTGGGGCTCTCACGTCGGGGAGCTGTGTGCCGCGGATCTGACATTCAAGAGTGCTGTTGGTCTCAGTTCGCTGTCCCACAGGTTGTTGGTCCAGCGCGGTGCTGTTGATGGACCGAACTCTTAAGACGGAGGCGATGTATCAAGAGAAGGATAAGATGAGCCACGAGAAGAAGCGCAGGGATTGTAAGAAGAAGAGGTTGAATTGTCAGAAGGACTAACAGGAGGATGGGAGGAAGAGGATAGCCACTTGTACTGTGAGTGACGATGTTGTGATGACGGAGGAAATGGGTGACATAGCTTTTTTCATCCTTTTATGTTCAACTCAACACACAATATATTCACTTCAATATCTTTTTCAACTGTGGATTATGCAATGCAGGATCCTGGCTTCCATGGCCAGGATATTGAGTGTCTCTTTATTTTGGGTTACGAAGACGACGAAGGAAGTCTTTGTAACCCACATTGCCCTGCCAAGAATGCAATCAAAGATTTCAGTGGACTAGAGTATCAAGCCGATCAGATAAGATAAGAGGGTTGCCAGTTCGGTTGTCTTATCAAAAAAATCCAAATCGACAATCTTGTTTGTTCGCTGATGGTAAATCTTCTTTGTAGATCGCTTCATCTCTCAATCCTCATGGAAACGACTGCATTCTGTTAGCTGATTGAGTACTCTCTCTAGTTCGGCGCATCACGAGCTAGAACAGAACCATCAACTTAGTCTTCACAAACCTGCCGGTCCGACCTACGCGTGGGCAAGCCTGCGGTGCAGGAGAAATTCGCCCTGGCGTCGGTACGTTCAGTGAAGTGTTTGCGACCAAGGACAGACAACAAGAAGGCTACTCGTCGTCGTTAAAGAAGCGCAAATACAGCAAATCGTATGAGCAGGAAGTCTGAGAAAGAACAAAAAAAAAAAGGAGTTCATGGACTCGATTACAAACAATGCCATACAAGGACAGCGTGATCCCAGCACGACTTTATGTACGGAGGACCCCATGTTATCGACACCGTTGTCATTACTGGACTGGACACCTCATTACTTCACCCTGGTTTAATCATTAGCGGAAAATACACTGCATGCTGGCATATAGAAAAAATAAAGGGTACGTTTGCTAACCCTCATGCCTGTTTTGTGTGCGAGACACAATGGAGGATTCCGCATTAGGCAAAATGCGGAGAAAAAAGAGCAAAAAAAAAAAGCGGGCAACTCTAACGAAGCAGGTGTCTTTTTATTGTTTTTTTGTCTTGCCCATTGCTCCTTTGTTTTGTTAGCGTCAAAAACATAAATGTTTGTAGATGGTTCCGAGGCTGTTGGGCCAAGCAGGTGTCTAGCCCAGGTGGATGGTGGATCTCTTTTCTTTATCTTGGCGGAGATACTAATTGAATCGCATGCCGTAAGAACCGATAAGGAGAAGAATCCATGAACATTGATCGCCTCTCTCCCTCCCTTTGTTCTCAATGTCCTATCTACTGTAGCGAGTGATCCACAAGCGCACATGGATCGTATACCAAAAATGACAGTCTGGAGGTGAAAGTTCCTATGTTGTTTGTTGTTTGTTGTTTAGCGATGATTATTAGTGTGCTTCAACTCTTGCTTCCCCGCAAAACATCGACCCGTTATTGTTTTCATTTTTTGGTTGGTTATGTCTGACCATTGTCATCCCTCTATGGATGGATGAATCTCAACGAGAAAGAAAAAACGTCTAGATCGAGGGGTCAATGCAAGCAAAACAGGCATGGGCAGCATCTTTTTTTTTTTTTGTTCTTTTTTATTCTCGATCGTACCTGTGTTTGCCCGCTGCGTCTACAGTAACCATGCAGGTAACAACAAACATCAATGGGTGAACATGAGAGTGTCAAAAGTGGTAAAAGATAGGTCGAATGGACACTCATGTCAATCCCAAAAGGTAATCTCTCTTGCTTTTCAACGAATCCTGTTGGCTGCTTTTAGAGTTACTCATGCGCCTGACCCTTCTTCCCTTTTCCCTTTACCTTCGGAGTAAAACGATATGATAGCCTTGACCCCGCACTTTGCTGTTATCCATTCTGGGCAATAGGAGAGTATCCATTTTCATCATCCGACTTCCTGTCTTTACTTCAAAGTGGGGTTTGACACTCTCGTCGATTACTCCGCATGGAGCATGTGTGTGTTTGTTATGTGTCGGTGACACGGAAGGTGTCCAATCAACTTGTTTATGGCCTAGTTAGGAGCGAATTGTCCTCCTCGGCAACCAATCCGTTGCGAGTACTAACGTATAAAAACAGAGGGGAAACTTTCATTTCTTCTCTTCTTCTCCTATTCTTCTTCAGACTTGATCTCAACCATCCTCCCCTCCTCACTCCTTCTCTTCTTCATTCCAACCCTCTTTTCCCACCCGACAACCATATACCCACCTTCTTTTTTTTCACTTCACAACATACACTCAAAGATGTCAGAGATAACACAGGAGCCCGAGTCAAGGACTCCTCCAGTCTACATCCTCGACCCACACGCCAACCGGACAAAGGAACAAGACATCGACCTCTCCCACACAACTGGCAAGATGCCCACCTGGCAGACCATCCAGGAGTCCGTCTCGACTCGCTCTGGCTGGTTCGGAGACTATGACTATGGCTTTCTCTGTATGCCTACTCTACCTGGGTTCACGAGTACTCGTGTCCCGCCCTTCTTTGGACTCAAGGATCGGCTCCCTCTTGTCCTTGCCATCATCATGGGTATGTTGTTTTCTTCTTTACTGTTGTAATCAGCCTTTTATTTTTGGAGTCCTCCGCGGGAGGGGGGTTAGCATGTGTAATAATCGTTGTTTGCTCATTCGTACGCCGCATCTGCTACATGCATGCATGTCCTCGTTCTCATTCATTAGGTTTTCAGCACTCGCTGGCAATGATTGCAGGTGTGGTCACCCCTGCGATCATCATGTCAGGTTCCGGCAACACTGGTCTCAACCTCTCCCCTGCTGACCGCACCCAAATGGTCTCAACCTCCTTGATCACCTCCGGTCTCCTCTCCCTCATCCAGATCACTCGCTTCAGGGTTGCCAATACCCCCTACTTCCTCGGCACCGGGTTGCTCTCGGTTGTAGGCACCAGTTTTATCTACCTCCCTGTTCTCCAGTCCTCTGTTTCCAACATGTACGCCTCGGGTGTCTGCAAGAGCTCCGTCGATCCCACTACTGGTGCTCAAACGTTCGAGCCTTGTCCTGATGCCTGGGGTGCCTACTTGGGCACTTGTATGGTCTGCGCGCTGTTGCCTATCATCTTGTCGTTTATCCCTCCTCGTGCGCTGAAGAGAGTTTTCCCTCCTATCGTTACTGGAGTCACCGTTATGTTGATCGGTGTCAACCTGGTTACTTCAGGCATGCAGCAGTGGGGTGGAGGCAGCGGCCCCTGCCTGTCAAGACCAACCACAGGACCCTTTGTCGACTGCCCGGCTGTCGGATCACCCAATGCAGCACCCTGGGGGTCTGCTCAATGGATCGGGTTGGGCTTCCTGGTGTTTTCGGTTATTATGGTGGTCGAGTTCTTTGGATCGCCGTTTATGAAGAACGCGCAGGTTGTGATTGGGTTGATTGTGGGAATGATTGTTGCGGTCGCTTGTGGGTACACGACGAGTGAGTCCCTGGATGCTGCACCGGTGATTACCTTCTTGTGGGTCAAGACTTACAAGTTGTCGATCTACCCTCCTGCCATCATTCCGTTACTTATCACATATGTTCTCGTAAGTTTACCGTTGTCATCCCCTGTCTTTTCAGTGGTGCGAGGACCAAATGCAAAGACAGACTCCTAACCAATTAATTACTTCCCACCAATGTAGGCAATGGTCGAGTCGATCGGAGATATCACCGCATCATGTGAGGTCTCTCAATTGTCCGTTGAAGGCCGAGAATTCGAATCACGTCTCCAAGGAGGAATCTTTGCCGACGGCGTCGCGGGCCTCCTCGCACCGCTCATGACCAACTCCCCCATGAGTTGCTACGCCCAAAACAACGGCATTATTTCGCTCACTCGGTGCGCAAACACCATGGCCGGATACATGTGCTGTGTTTTCCTCATCCTCATGGGCGTCTTTTCCAAATTCGGAGCCCTCTTCCTAATGCTCCCCGATTCCGTCCTCGGAGGCATGACGACATTCCTGTTTGCGAGTGTGGTGGTTTCCGGTATTAGGATCTTGTCCTTCTTGCCCTGGACAAGGAGGGAGAGGTTTATCGTTGCGGCGTCGTTGTCGTTGGGGTTGGGGACTGCGCTGGTTCCGGGAGTGTTGACGCATATGATTGACTATAAGGGAGACTCGGCGTTCTTGTCGTCGTTGATTACTTCGGTGAATATTATTCTGGACACAGGGTTTGCGCTGGGTGCGATTGTGAGTTGTTTGTTGAATGCGTTGTTGCCGGAGCAGCCGGTGGCTAAGGTGGCGGCGGAGGATGTGATTGATCGACATGGTCCTATGGCTGCTATGGATGCGGATCGATTGGCGGTCGAGGAGGAGGGGCACGGAAAGATGGAGGATATGAAGACCGTGGAGTCCCAGTCTGCTGTTCACAACGGCAGCATACATAGCACCAAGAATTAGTTCCTTGTTGATGTAAAATACAAATTTATTTTCACTCTACAGCCCTGGAAGGAGCGTCGACGTCGTTAAGTGCTCCGCCCAAGGGGACTTTTCTCTGTGTGTTCACGTGTCGACCGGTTCGAGGATGGTTGGACAGTTCTTTTCTCTCTCTCTTCCTATCACTCAGTAAAGAGGCGTGCAGCCCCTTTTTCTCCAACTCTCACTTTCACTCTAATCCCCCCTCACTCTTCTACCTTACACACTCGCACATCAACAAAACAACAATCACCAACACACACTCTCATCCCCTCCCTTCTTAATCCACATCACACTCACATTCACAACAGCCTGAATCGACGATGGTCCATATCCCAATCGTCTCTCGGCTTAGCTTCGGGGACTATAGGTCCATTATCTTCACCTTCATAATCCTTGGGATCGAGACATGCTTCAGACTCATCGCATACCTCATCCCCGGTGTCATCCTCGACGCCGGAAAAGCGCTCGTTGAAAAGTACGCTTTGCTATTCATTGTTGTAATTGGGAAAAAGAGAGACAGAGAGAGTGAGAGAGGGGACACTTGTGTCCTGCGAGTGCAAGGGAGAAAGGGCAGGAAAGAAGGAAGACTAACACTTTATTCTTTGCTCTTTATCTTTGTTCCCTTTGCTGCAGGATATTCCCATGGGTAGTCACCGACCATTTGTCGGCAAGGGCACCGCACTTGGAAAACGCCGCCAACGTTCAGGAGATGCTCCGGTTTTGGTAAAATAGGAACTCGTCGTCAACTGATCACTTATTTTGTCTTATTTCAAATGATCGTTTCACTTCTTTAAGAAAAACTCAATCACAAACCAGCAAGGGAATACTAATACCCGTCACCGCCCCTCTCAAACAAACAGGAGTTACCCAGTGCAGGAGCATCTCGTTAGAACTCAAGACAACTACCTCCTGGGTGTGCATCGGATCACCCACGGAAGAGAGCGTGTCTCGGCAAAGGGCATGGTCCCTAACCCTCCCAAGGACATTGTCAAGTTGCTCAGAGAGAACGGTGTCCCCCTCGCTGCAGAGACAAAGGAGGCCTACGCCAACAACCAGGAACGCCACAAGCGGGATCAGGAGGAGGACCTGGAGGCAGATTTGAACCAAAAGATCCGCAAGAAGACTAAGGGTGGTGATTACATCAAGCCTGTTGTGCTGTTGTACCATGGATTCATGATGTGCTCCGAAGTCTGGCTCTGTAACTTGGATGAGGAGCGAAACTTGGCCTTTGTTCTTGCCGAAGCTGGGTAAATTGCTGTTGTTGTGTTATTTGCCAATTGTTAGTGTGCATGGTTCGAAAGTTGATCTCTGTGCTTCGCTTCCTTTTTTCCCTGTGTCACAAAAAGTGCCCGCATTGACACCATGGCGTATATTTATTTCATGTTTTTCTATTTTTTACTTTTTCTAGCTATGACGTCTGGTTGGGCAACGCCCGAGGAAACAAATATTCCCTGAAGCACATGTTCCTCAAGCCTCACGAGAAAAAGTTTTGGGATTTCAGCATGGACGAATTGGCCCTCTTTGATATGCCCGACACCATCGACGTAAGTTCTGACCTTTGCTTGCTATTTCTAACTCAATTGCTCATAACTCTGTACGCTGACCTTTGCTGTGTTGTTGTTTGTCACTACAATAGTACATTTTGAATAGGACAGGAGCTCCTTCTCTCGTCTACATTGGATTCTCTCAGGGAACTGCACAGGCTTTCGCTTCTTTGTCAATCAACCCCGACTTAAACGATAAGGTCTCACTCTTCATCGCCCTCGCCCCTGCAACGACACCACCAGGACTCGATAACGGGTTGGTCAACTCTATTGTCAAGGCAGCACCCAACGTCATTTATTTACTTCTCGGAAGGAAGACACCCTTGACAGCAGCACTGTTCTGGCAGAACTTGCTTCACCCTACGACCTATGCGACCATGATCGACCTTGCTGTGAAGTTCTTGTTTGGCTGGAGGAGTCGGTCAATGAGTCTTGTCCAAAAAGCGGTGGCTTACCAGCACCTGTATAGCTTCACCAGTGTCAGGATCCTTGTTGTAAGTTCTTTATCAAAGTTGCGCTTTGGCGCTATGTATAATTGGTATGAACGTTGTAACGAAAGCTAACGTGTTGTTTAATTATTTACCCGCGTCTTTTTATTTTAGCACTGGTTCCAAATTATCAGAACACAGGTCTTCCAGATGTATGACGATGTTCAGCCTAGGGTGCCTTATCTGTCATCGAGCAGGAGTCATTGCCCCCACCCCTTCCCGACCAACCAGATCTCGACCCCGATTGCCATCTTTTACGGAGGCAATGATACCCTCGTTGACATTCAGGCTCTGCTCTCGGATCTTCCAGAGGTGGTGGGCGTCTGGGAGGTTCCTGCCTATGAGCACTTGGGTAAAGCATCCATTCCACACTCTGTCCATTTTCGTTTTTGACATACTTTGTTCTAGTGCTGACCCTGATTTCCTATTTTGCTACATAGATTTCTTGTGGGCAGAGGGATTGGACAAGCAAGTGTACCCTCACATCTTGGAACTGCTGGAGACGCACTCGTTCAACGGACACATTTCAACGGATAAGGAAAAGAATAGGAGCCTCAGACGGTCGGCATCGGGTGGAGCAGGCACCATGCTGCGTGAGATCAAGACGTTGGTGCATGAACTCGAAAGAATCGATTCCGAGGATGATGAGAATTTGGGTAACATCACTGCGATCTCTGCGTTGAACACACCGAACCGGTCTCCACTTGTTGAGCGCCATTCATTTGCCTCTGCACGTCGGTCTCGTTCGTCTTCACACCTTGCTACTCATGATTTAATTGATGCCCAGGAGCAGCAGCACCAAGGCGAGTAGTTTCTTTCTGCTTTGTTTATGGATATCTTTGCATAATAAAGTAATTACAATTGGTTTGTACTCGTCTACCCTTTGTGTGTTCGCCCTGTGCCTTGTCTTTCGATTTGGGCAAAGTTCATATGCCTTTGTTCATCATTAGGTTTACGACGCTTTCTGCCTCTTAAGTTCCCCCGTTCAAACTGCCTCTTAAGTTAATGGTTGCATTTTCTCACGACCTACCACCTGCCTTCCCTTTTCTCTTCTTCTCATCATCACCCCACCCCACCACACTCCACTCATCCTTCCCCAACAACAACAATCCGCTTCCTCTTCACACACATTCAAACGATTCAAAAAAAACAAACAAACCAACATGGCACTCACAACAATCGACAACTTCATCAACAACGAGTTTGTCAAACCCACCGAGGGCGCCTACTTTGACACATTCAACCCCGCTCATGGCGTACCCCATGGCCAGATCCCCGACTCGACAAAGCCAGACGTCGACCTGGCCTACAAAGCGGCCTCTACGGCGTTCACCACCTGGTCCAAGACCACAAAGGCCGAACGATCCCGGATCCTCTACAAGATTGCCGATCTGATCGATGCACGTCAAGACGAGTTTGTTCGAGCAGAGTCCAAGGACCAAGGGAAACCTATTTCGTTGGCCAAAAGCGTTGATATCCCGCGTGCGGCGTATAATTTCCGGTTCTTTGCTGGAAAGATCCTACACTCTGTTGAGGAGGCGGCCGAGCTGGAGGGTGTGGGGTTCAACTATTCCCAGCGGATGCCTATCGGAGTCGCGGGCTTGATTTCTCCTTGGAACCTGTACGTCGACTTGCATATCTCTCTCTGTTTTTCCATGTCTCTCGCTCGCTATGCTCTTGATTTGTATAATCTTCCCTCCCGCTAGATTTTGCGCTCACATTCATTTTGCCCGTCAATTTTTCCATGTACTAGGCCCTTGTATCTCTTGACCTGGAAGATCGCTCCCTGCATTGGTAGGTATCATGATCAACCCACCATCGGCCACCGCATTGTTTTGCATACTTTCCTTATCTCCTCGACACGACCTCTTTATGATCCTTGTACTAACCAAGGAACGGAATATCCTTCCCGTTCTTCCACCCCTCTCTCTATCAGCCTGCGGAAACACTGCAATCTGCAAGCCCTCCGAGTTCACATCTCTGACCGCCTACATGCTCTGCTCCGTCCTTAAGGACGCCGGCCTCCCCGCAGGAGTCGTCAACATGGTCTTTGGCACCGGAATGAAGGCTGGCCAGGCCCTCGTCGAGCACCCCCGCATCCCCCTCATCTCCTTCACTGGCGGCACCGTCACCGGCGCAAAGATCATTGCCAACTCTGCCCCATACTTCAAGAAACTCTCCCTCGAGCTTGGAGGCAAGAACGCCAACATTGTCTTTGCGGATTGTGATTTCGAGAAGGCTCTTACGACCAGTTTGAGGTCTAGCTTTGCGAACCAAGGCGAGATTTGTCTTTGCGGGTCGAGAATCTTTGTGGAGAGACCGATTTATGAGAAGTTCTTGAATGGTCTTGTTGAGGGAGCCAAGAAGTTGAAGGTTGGAGATCCCTCGGCACCTGATACTAATTTGGGCGCGCTTGTGTCGAAGGAGCATTGGGAGAAGGTCATGAGCTATATTGATTTGGGTGTGAAGGAGGGAGGCAAGATTGAGTGCGGTGGCCAAAAGCCTGTTTCTCTCCAGGGCGAGTTCCAGAATGGCTACTTCTTGGAGCCCACCATCATCTCTGGGTAAGTTGTTTGTTCACAAACAGGTTACTGTTATGCTTTTGCACGCATTTCTATGTTGGCTGTGAAAACGTAGAAAGGAAAAACTGAGTTTTTCTAACTCCCTGTTTTCGATCCGTTCTCTCTCGCATGAATAGATTGACGCCAAGCTGCAGAGTGATGCGCGAGGAGATTTTTGGTCCCGTGGTGACAATCTACGCCTTCGACACTGAGGAAGAAGTCATCCAGATCACCAACGACTCCGAGTATGGTCTCTCCTGCTCCATCTGGACCGAGAACGGTCGTCGTGCTCGTCGTGTTGCGGGCGAGATCCAGGCTGGCACTGTCTGGGTCAACACTTGGATGGCGCGTGATCTACGCATGCCCTTTGGAGGAATGAAGAAGTCTGGATTGGGACGCGAAGGCGGTGAGCATTCGTTGGACTTTTATACGGAGCTCAAGACTATCTGCCTCGCCGACTAAATTGTTGGTTGGAAAGGGTTGGAGATGGAGGAGAGAAGGTGGTGTTGCTTTCTGCGGTTCATCTTTTTTTCTTCTTTTGTTTGGTTTAGGAGAGGTGCACTGACGTTGTGCGTTTTTTGAGTTTCATGATGGAAAAGCGTTTTCTTGGTCATGAACAACAAACAGCGAACAAGAAAAGAAACTAGCATAAGTTTTTTTTTCTTTTGCTACGAACAAACAAATGCGAAATAAAAGATTTGCCAAAAAGAACAAAAAGAAAGAAAAAGTGAGAGATCATGTGCAATTCGTACTCCTGTGCACGTTCGAACGGTCGGCTCGATGTGGGGCTCGAAGAAGGTCATTTCCACATCAGTTTCCACCACCTCCAGTTTCTTTTGCATGGTCGACGACTACAAGCAGGCGGTTTTTTTCTCAAACAGAAACAACGCTCTCGTGCTGATGTTGTCGCCTCAGCTTCTGAGCCTCGAACGCCGCCTTCCGCTCCGAGGACATGGCCAAGATCTCAGGCTTGGTGAGCCCCGCATGGTAGTCGTTCTCGTATAGGTCCCCCTTCCCCTTGCGACCTCGCTTGCGACGGCCTTTTCCGCTGGGTGGGGTGTACGCCTGGTCTGTCTTCTTCTGTCCAAGAGATGTGCGTCCATTACCACCTTGGGTCTGTGGGCGGTGAAGGTGGTGGTTATGTTGGGGGATGCGGTAGTAACCGTCGGAGCCGGTGTATCCCTGATCGGTTTGTGCATCGTCGTTATCATCCACATCGTTGTAGGCCTGGGAACTATCAAAGCGCCATTCCCAGTCTTTATCATCGTCATACGAGTTATACTTGTCGTAGTAGGATGGTGTGGATAGCGGGCGACGGGGACAGAGGCGGAGGGCTGCTTGAGCTTTTGCATGTTGGAGGAGACGTTCTCGTTCTCGTTCCAGTTCTTGGCGTTGACGTTCTTGTTCTGCTTCTTGGCGTTGGCGTTGGCGTTGACGTTCTTGTTCCACTTCTTGGCGTTGGCGTTGGCGTTGACTTTCTTGTTCTGCTTGGCATTGGCGTTGGTAGCGGCGGAAGCCTTCTGCGGTGGCTGCGACGGTGGCTGCCGAGATTCGTTGTTGTTGTTGTTGTTGTTGTTGTTGTTGTTGTTGGTCGTTGTTGCTGAATATGTTTCCCATGATGACAGTGAGGAGGAGAGCGCCTGGGATGAAGGTTGAAGTGAGTGGGAGTGAGTGGGAGTGAGGTGGAGGATGTTGAACTGCAAAGGTGAGAGAAAGAAAAGAGAGGTGGATTACAGGGGTTGAGAGGACGCAAGGGTATAGAGGCGCGAGAGCAAGGAGGGGAAAAGCGTGTGATGTACTGATGAGAACAGATGTGGGCCTGATGGCGAGCGACGAAAACGAAAAGGTGATACTCGTGTAAGAGTTGGTTGAGGATAAGAAGAAGCTGGCAACAAGATGGACCCAATAGCCAAGGTACCATTTTTTTGGGTCCTCAATAGGCGCGCATCCTCGCGCGTGACAAAAGAAAAAAGAAGGGCGCACAGCAAACAAAGAAACAAAGCTAGCAAAGGGTGCATGGCACAATCATGCAAAAAAACGAGGAAGAGCTTCTTGCCTTTTTTATCCTTCTTTCAGTTTTTATTTGCTTATGTTGGCGCATTGAATGTGTGCGTTCAGTCGTTCCGTGTGAGTGTGGGAGTCTGTGTGTCGAAACAGAAGGAAAAGGTATCTGACAAACGAGAAGCTGGTTTCGAGACCACAGACATGCTCCCAAAACAAAGAGTCGATTTCCCTAAGCAGTGGCGATGGCATCGCCCTGCTGTTGCTATTGTTGCTGGCGTTAAAGGTGCTTGACCACAAAGACAGCTGTATGAAAGTTATAGTGAAAGATATCGGGGGAAAGTGGTGGCGGGAAAGAAATGTAGTTTTATTCAATTTGGCGAAGACATAGTAATCCCGCCAAGCCACATTTGGATCTCAGCTCGTCATTTAAAAAAGGCTGCTGCTTAAATTGCACCTGCCCTCAACAGTACTCAAACAAACATATGTCCCTTCCTCTTACGACCGTTTTTAGACGTCCTTGTCCAGTGGAAGGTGTGTTGGCCTGAGTCCTCGCCAGTCCTGAATCGGCTGTCGTCTTCGATTCCATAGGACCATTTCAGTTCGCTTGGTAGTGGAAGATAACTACCATTCTTGCTGACCAATTATAGCCTCACTTCCAGCTTGGTTAGCTTGCTTGCAGTATGAGGGGTCGCCTGGTGAAAGGTAAGGACGATCCACCCTGTCAAGATCAAGGTCTCCACATGGGCGAGGTGCGCTGCCTGACAGCGCACGATATCATGCCACCGATACCCGTACGTCCTGTCAGAAAGTTTCACATACGTCACATTCGGAGAGTGGGACAGAAGCTCTGAGTGGAAGTCCAGACGTGCAGAGTTGGCCTGGATCTCGAGTCGGATCAACATAGGAAGCTCCATCTATCCTCGTCCGAGTTGGATCCAACGCATCTCCGTGTCGGTTCCTGAAGTTGTGACCGTTATAATGACCAGTGTTTAACTGAAGTGCAAAGGCAACATCATCGACCTCGCCCGTGAGAGGTTGAGTTGTTCCTCAATAGTAAAGGAAGTGGCGCGATAAGAGAATGGGGTCAGATGAATTTTTCAGCTCAGACAATGGGCCAGCAGATGAAAAGGCATTAGGGGAGGCGGACCAAGGGGAGAAGTACAGAGCAGAGATACTGCTTAACTCTTACGCCTGGCGTACTCGGTAACTCTGTAGGTGTCGGGAATAGAAGAAAATGCATCAGTTCCCTCTTCTCATTTTTAGATCATACTGCCCCTTGCGTTCGTTTGTGGATGTCATTAATGTTTTTCCGAACGAGTACCATTTTGCTGTCTTACAACCAGAACGACAAGCGCCGAATGAAGAACCAAAACACCCATTGCAGATACGATAAAAAATGAAATCATAAGTTCTGGTGATCTTTGCCATGGAAAATGACGAAGGAAGCAAATTAACGCCGTTGCTGGGTAGAGTGAGAAAGGAGACCAGTCAAACCGACGTGCTATTTTCTACCCTTTGCTATTCTTTTTTTGTACTGTACGCCCAATCCTCCATGGTTACCTGGGAGACGTGAAACCTTTTCGTACAAGGGTTAAAGATTTAAAAGAGCAACGCATATCGGTACTGCAGACATAATGGATTTGGTGGATAGTGGGAGAGTAGAAGATGACGAAGCGCACAACAAAGACGAACCATGCACCTTACTTCCATCCGTGCCTATCCTTCATATCATCGCAGCAAGTGACATTGAAAAATTGGGACCATGATAAAGAAGGCTGTATTGAGTTGTTGAGTCATGTAGGTATCTGCCCTGTACACATCACCATCCTCGACACTTCGCGAAGCAACGGCCTACTCGTCCATCTCTTCCCCTGGCTCATCTTCCTCCGACAATAGTGAAGCGTCAATGGCACCGCGCTGGGCCAACAACTTGCAGTAGATCGGACTGAGACCGACGGCTCCCTTAAAAGTCAGATCCGTGGCGCACAGCTGGCTAATGTGAGAGCCCCAGTGCATATGAATCGACACGTCTTCTGCCTCGGTACCCGAAATACGCCACACTCGAACAGACCCATCAGCGGAAACAGTGACAAACTCCAAAGGGACCACCGGATTCCATGCAACATTTGTAACGACTTCCAAGCACCTGCTAACCACTGCTACACAGGACCAACTGTCGACCTCGCCTGACTAGAGGCGCACCGTCTTATCGCGACTGCCAGAGAGGATGCATTTGCCGCAGGGAGAGTAGGCGACGCAGTCCACCGCATCAGTGTGGCCTTCCAGTTTGACATCAGGCTCGTCTGACTGAAGGTCCCAGAGAATGACCGAGGAGGCATCAGTACCGAGTACGAGTCGCTGGTCATCTGACGAGTAGTTCATTGAGAGTAGCGTGTCTGATAGAAACATTTCCTTCAGACATTGGCGAAGGTCTGTCACTCGGGGATCGAAAAGACGAACTAGACATGTGCCCGATGCTAATCCAATGGCAATCTGATCTCCGATGGAGGAGAACACCACGTACCCTATCGGGCGGTACAGATCGGCCGTGTCACCCACCACTTTGCTTTGATAATCGGTATTATCAAGATCCCACAATCGTGTAACCCCGTCCCTGTTGCATGAGACCAACCACCAACCACAACGCGAAAAACTCATATCAACAACTAGGGATTGGGAAGATCCGAGGAGAACGCGTTCAACAACTTTAGTTTGGACATTCAACAGCCGAATATTCCCTTGGCTGCAACCGCACACCAATGGCCGTTAAGTGAAATTGCCGCGTCGACATAGAATGTGGACAGTGGCGGAATGGGTCTGGAAGCTCCTGCGGAAGAGTGCCAGCGTTGAATGGTGTTGTCGAAACGACCAAAATGTAGTGCACCTCCCAGAGTCGTCGTGACCTCCGCCCGTCCGAGTATAAAAGGAGATCATGTAGAACCATCCAGAATACCACGTGCAAAGGTAAAAGTCGCATCCACTGACCTTGTTTGCCACCATTTTTTTTGCTCCCACGGTTGGAAAAAGCAAGTGCACGACGTCATGGCTTGATTTTTTTTTTTTTTTTTTTTTTTTTTTTTGACGAAGGCTCTTTTTATCTCATTTCAACATCGTTCACCACTCTTTGTTATCCCTCTCTCCGTCCATTGTCATTACTTTTCCTCTCCCTCTCCGTCCTTTTTTCATTACTTTCCTCTCCTCTCTCCCTCTCTCCCTCTCTCTCGAGTTAAAAAGATGTTGAATCTCTTCATTCTTTTGCCCGACGAAAAATAATTCATCTTGCATCCACAAGGAAAGTACCTCTTGCTTTTTTTAAAGTTTTGTTTGTTCATTCTGTGGGTTGTCTGACCACGGGGTTCAGAGCCGGTCTGTCACCATTTGCATCATAATGATTTAGAGGTGATGGGTACCATGAATATGGAATGGCTGAAACGCGGGTCGAACTGCATGCGGGCGGAGTGCTATCACTTCACCGCCGCTTAATAACCTCCTGCTTGCCTAGGCACAAGATGCAGTATCAACGATGGGCCAGGTCTTCAACAAACCAGGCTCGGACGTGTGCTGCCCAACTCTAGCCAGGAAGGTGGAGTCTGGAGGCATCCTTTCCTCAACGGATAGGATGGCGGTGCTCGCCCCACTGCCCTTGTAGCCCACACCTTCTCTTTTTATTTTTTATTTTTTTATTTTTTATAGGTGTGGGCGGCCCGCGGGGACACGATACAGAGCAATAACCTTGTGCTCACTCGTCTTTGATAGGAAAGTGTGTCTTTTACTAATTCATATTCTGTAATGTCTATCATAGCCATAGCAGACCGATTTTGCCGAACTAGGAGATGTCTTACGGATCTCGCACCGAGGCATCAAATACATCGCTGTCACATCTACTGAGAAGGATGAGCCTCCGGGAGGACAGTCCTGTCGGTTTGGGTACCCCAAGGCACCGCGATATGGCCCCACCACGTATGATGCCGACACGAACCGACTCATTTATCATCGTGATACAAATGCCGCGCGAGTTACTTCGGTAGTGACGTTCACATCCATATCATTAAGGAGTCGGATGACCTTTATTGGCGTCCAATAGCTCTTGCACAGCTGCCGGAGGCGATCGATCCCACTATATCGCAAACCCCACCCGCCAGCCAAGAAGAGCCTTTTGATCAGGATCTGGAGGAGGAGTATTTCTTGGCAGAGGAGGATGAGAAGGGGGATGGGAAGGAGGAGGAAGAAGAGAACGTGTTGCAAGTCCTGGAGGAAGTAGAGGAGGAGGAGGAAGAAGTGTTGCAGAGGACCTTTCATTATCCAAGAAGACAATAGAAACACAATTTTATTATGCAAGAGTGAAAAAACTACTGTACAAAGAGATGTGTCTAAAAGTTTTATACAGGAGTGGAGGGAGGATTAGCTATGTACAAGGTTCGGAATGAGTGGGGCAAGGATGGTGAAGTAGGCGTGCTGGTGATGGATATGGACAATTGGATGGGTGTGGGTGTGAAAAAAGCAAGTAGAAGTGATGCGAAAAACGTACAGAGCACGTAACATCCAGCGAACAAAATAATAATAAATTAGTTCTGGGCTGGATGTGAGTGAGGGTGTTAGAAAGTGAGGAAGTGAGGGAGAACATGGACAAGAGAGAATGTGTGACATTGCTAGGCAGGGATGTTTCTATTGCAAGATGAGAAAATGGAGCAGTGTTTTGTTTTAGGATAAGAGTAACTCCAAATAGTTTATTTGTTGAGTTCCCGACAAAACGCTATTAATTTGAGAGGCTGCGCCTGGCTGTTACTATTATTTTGCTACTAAAATAAGGAACATAACGAATAGGAGGCGGATCAAAAGTCTTTTCAGGAACCAACAATGAGGAACAAAATGTCACTCGACAGACTCAAAGGGTCAGCTAGACGTCTGATCATTGACCATGGATTATACTTATCACACTTGCCGAACATCACTCAAGGAACCAGAAATACCGACTGACAATCATTCTCTTCACGTTTTCAGCCTACACCTGTATACCACATCGTGTGTTCGAAAGCTTGCATCTCCCCGTACGTATCGCAAATGCCAGATGCAATTGAACATAATCAAACGATAGAGCGTGTATTTATGGCGTCAACAAGGGTCTCTTCATCGTCATTTAGTGCGTTTTCGGTGTGTCCCCTTGAAAAATAACTACCGTTCCTGTCAGCGAGTTTGCCCTGGAGAAAAAAAAACTGACAGTGGAAGGGCCTTCTTGGTGATCGTAAGCGTACCTGGCTTATTACTCTAGCGATTTTTCCATTTGAGCCACCACTACCGCCCACTTCGAAGCGTCCTGATATGGAGTTGAGAGATGCATATGCAACAGACGATAGACCTTCTAGAGTCTGAATCCATCTCTTTACTCAAAAACGCAGGAGCCTCTCGACCTTGCCTTCGAAAGGACAAAAGTCCAGAATCCGAGCGTCATTTTTGCCCAACAGACTCTGTACTAAGACTTCCTCTCCTTGGGCACCACACGTGATGAGGCGTCGTCGACTTTCGGCTGGGCATGGGAATACCATGCCACAGCTGCTGCTTGCACCTGCTGTTCTACCCACGCTGCTCGTCGCTCCTGTTGCTCCAGTTGATTCTCAAAGTAGACCTGACGCTGTTGTTCCACATGCACTGCATACTCCCTCTGCCTCTCCGCCAACGCTGCTTGTTGCCCCTGTTGATTCTCAAAGTAGACCTGGCGCTGTTGTTCCACACGCACTACATACTCCCTCTGCCTCTCCGCCAACGCTTCTCGTCCCTTCCGTTGCATCTCAAAGTAGACCTGGCGCTGTGGATCCTTACGCACTGCATACTCCCTCTGCCTCTCCTCCAACGCAGCTCGTTGCTCTTGTTGCTTCTCAACATAAGCCATACGCTCTCGCGCCATCTTTGCAGCCGCCACTCTCTGTTGTTCGGCCCACACGGCTCGTTGCTGTTGCTGTCTCTCTAAATATTCCTGCCGTTGCTGCTCCATCTTGATTGCTGCTTCTCTTTGCTTTTGTGCCCATGCGGATTGTTGTTGTTGTTGTTTTGAAAAGTGAGCAAGACGGTCTTGTATCCACTTTGGCACCGCTGTTGCTGGCTGCTGTTGGTCAGCCCGAAGTTCTCGTAGCTGCTCCTGTACTTGTACCTGTTCCTGGTGCTCGAGATACCGTGGAGGGGGGTCGGCGTCATGGCGCGGTTGGTAGCTCTGAGTGACCAACCCTCGAGGCGATTGTTGGTACTCTGCTTCTTGAGTATATCGAAGTGGAGCAGGCTCGGTTTCTCTCTGCTGGCGGTCTTGGTCCTGCTGCCGCTCCTCCTTCTGGTTATCCATGCTTATCCTTTGGGGTTGGTTGCTTGTTGTTGCTTTGGCGGTCGACGGACAGACGGAGGTGGAGGACTAGGAAAGTCGAATGGAGGAAATGTGAGGAAATGTGTGCGAGAGTAAAGGAAAGAAAAGGAAGGGGAGTTTTAAATGGCTCATCAAAGTCGAAATGCTTCAGCGAGAACAGAGAACGACGACGGTCACATTTGTGGTAACCATTTTTTATTATGCAAATTCGAATGAGTTGTGTGTGTGTGTGTGTGGTGTTGCAATTGAAAGGGTCGCTGGTCAACTTAGACCGCCCCTAGAGTCCAGTTACCACGACTTGTTACTGTTATTGATTTTCGTCTCTTTGTAGTATGGTACAGGTCGTGATGGTGACGTTATTGTTATGTTTGTTATTGCAATGCTCGGTAGATGTCTTGTCCCTCCCTCAATCACTGGGTCCCGTTTTAACAACCGCCTTAGTTACCCTACTCGGCCTCGCCTCGGCTTGCATCCTCAACAACTCTTCATGCCTCTTCCGCCTCTCCTCTCGTTTCCTCGCCGCAACCAAACTCTCCGCCTTCATTTGCTCCGTATGCTTTTGAATCCGCCTTTCCTTTGCCTCTGCCGCGACCACAGCCTGTTGCACGAGTTGTGCCGCGTGGTTTACTCGACGCTTTTCACGAATTTGCTCTGCTAGGACGCGTTGGCGTTCGAGAAGTTCTCTGTGTTTAACTTGGCGGAGCTCTTTGGCTCGGGCGGCTTGTAGTTTTTGCGTCTTGATGAGCTCCTTATGTTGCTGTTGGCGTTTCGCGATGCGCTCGAGGCGGGCGGCTGGTGTCCTGCTGACAATCGCCATTATGCGTGTATGTTGAAGTATGTGTGTTTTATGTTTGTGTTTCCACGGTCAGAAGAGAAGGAGGATTCGAAGGGGAAAGGCAATGAGCTGGGAGTGGTGTTGAGTAGGGATGAGTGTTTGTGTGTGGGGAAGTAGAGAGAGGGATGGTAATGAGGAGAGAGAATAAACAGCAGCGAGTAAGCGTGTGAATGGAGGCGTTGCAAGTTGTTGTTGCCGTTGGTAGTGTGGGGAGAAGTAGATAAGAAAAAAAAGGGGCGACTGACGCCCAAAGAAGTTGACATAAGACAAAGACGACCACCAATTACAGAGGGTTCAAACCAGATGTTCAATTACATATATAAATTTTGATGCTGACTTTCTGTGCAACTGTTGATGCTGCTTATGACCTAGTTTGACGTATTGTTCGTGTGGCATCCATGATACGTCGTGTCTATGCACATCCTCCTTCTATCCTAATAAGTTCAACTTGCTGTGGCCGGAACGGCAGTGACCTTGCCATTCGCTGGACGTGTTCCCAGAATACAAACTCGAGGCTGGTTGTACCATCTTGACCTGTGATGAAAAGAGCGCGGCGTTATTGTTGCTGTTGGTCAGAACCGTGTTCGTCCCTAAAAAAGAGAAAAAAGAAAGGAAGTGCCCTATGATGAGAATCACAATTAAAACGGTACAGTCTCCATCTTGAACTTGGGCGTTGAAGAACTGATTGAGTGGTCGAAGGTTCAAGACTAGTCCTAGGCCGTCGGTCTTCTTGGGGATGGCGGAAACCCTGCTGTAGAATCCTTTGCCGCTGTTGCATTCTTCTGTCACCCTTTTCTGCAGTAAAGATTGGACCTCTCGATTGAATTGAAGGGAGGCGTAAGGGGGTGGCTTGTTGAAGATCCTCCTGAATCACTTTGTTGACCCATGTTGAGCTTGCCATGTCTCCATGCCTCCTGAAATTGGTGAAGACTACTTCAACTGGTGCGTTTTCTCTCCTCCCCCGCTTCCCTGTCCGTCTCCATTTTCTGCAACGCCGGAATTGCTGCCATCAGACTTGCGCCCAGTGCTGCCAGAATTGCCGTTCTTACTGCTGCTGCTGCTGCTGCTGTTGTTGTTGTTGTTGTTGTTGTTGCCAGGGCCATGGTCTTTGTTGTTCTTGGGTTTGCCCTTGGACTTGTCGTTGGAGCTGCCAGACTTGGTCGAGTCGTGTTTGTCCTGATCCTTGTTAGGAGGCTTGTCGTGCTTCTTCTTGACAGGGAAAACGGGATTGATGGCGTCCAGGGCTGCTTTTCTCTCGGCGACGTCGGCGAGAGTAACCGCAGCAGGTTTGGGCGTAGGGTCTCCCAGACCCATTTATTGGTAGAGGATGTTTTGTCGAGACTCGTGTGCTTGAGCTGCGATGTCACCTGCGAGGTATCGGATCGTGCTGGCGAGTGCAACTGCTCGGTCCTTCCATATATTCTCAGTGTTATCCTTGGCTGCCATGAGAGCGAGGGTGTCCAAAGGGCGCGTGAGATGGGCCAGTCTGGTCTGGATCTTAGCCAATTCCTTCTCTGCGAATCTCTTGTCGTCATTGAGTCGGAGTCCCTTTTGTTGAACGTCCAGAAGTGGATGGGCGTCGTAGTCCATTCCCTCCATGAAGTGAAAGTCGGACATGTCGATGAATTTATCAGCAGGGTCGAGCTTGGCTCTGAAGAAGTCCTTCTGGAGGGCAATGACAGGGTAGATAGCTAGGAGTGATTTTGTGGGGACAATGTAGGTTGGTCGAGGTTTGGTGATAACGAGAGTGGAGTCATCGGTGTGTGTGTTGTTGTGCTTGTTCTGCTCAATAGCTTCGGAAAGTTGATCCATCCGTGCCATGATAAGGGCAAGTTGTTCTTGAATAGATTCGTGCGACATAGAGACGGGTCGATCGATAGAGATCCGGGGATGTGTGATTAAAAGAAAGATAGAGAGCAAGGTATCTGGAGGTCCCTTTTTTTACAGCAGGCACTCCATTTTTATTTTTATTTCAGGAAAACCATTGTTACATCACCAAAAAGATATAATAAAGTGTGCGTTGTGTGTGCGAGCATTGTGCAAATAGGCAATTGAAAGGGTCGCTGGTCAACTTAAACCGCCCCCTAGCGAGAAAGAGTCCAGTTCCCACGACTTGTTACTGTTTTTGTTTTCTGTCGCTTTGTAGTATGGTACAGGTGGTGATGGTGTTGTTGTTGTTGTTGTTGTTGTTGTTGTGTTTGCTCGATAGGTGTCCTGTCCCTCCCTCAATCACTGGGTCCCGTTTTAACAGCCGCCTTAGTCATCTCACTCGGCCTCATCCCCACATCATGCAACCTCAACAACTCTTCATGCCTTTTCCGCCTGTCCTCCCGTTCGCTCGCCGCAACCAAACCCTCCCTCCTCAATTTCTCCGCTTGCCGTTGAATCCGCCTTTCCTTTGCCCCTGCCGCGACCACAGCCTGTTGCACGAGTTGTGCCGCGTGGTTTACTCGACGCTTTTCGCGACGTTGCTCTGCTAAGAAGTGTTGGCGTTCGAGAAGTCCTCTGTGTTTGATTTGGCGGAGCTCTTTGGCGCGGGCGGCTTGTAGTTGTTGTCTCTTGAGGAGCTCATTGTGTTGTTGTTGGCGTTTCGCGATGCGCTCGAGGCGGGCGGCTGGTGTCCTGCTGACAATCGCCATTATGCGTGTATGTTGAAGTATGTGTGTTTTATGTTTGTGTTTCCAAAGTGAGAAGAGAGGGGGAATTCGAAGGGGAGAGGTGATGAGTTGGGTAGTGGTGTCGAATAGGGATGAATGTTTGTGTGTGGAGTAGAGAGAGGGATGGTAATGAGGTGAGAGAATAAACAGCGTGTGAATGGACGTCCAAAGGCATAAGACAAAGGCGACCACCAATTAGAGAGGGTTCAACCCAGATGTTCAATTACATATATCAATTTTGATGCCGACTTTCAATGTAACTGTTGATGCTGCTTATGACCTGTGATTGCTGTTGCTCAGAACCGTGTTCGTCCCTAATGTAGTAGTTCCACTACTCAACCTCTAATTGTTGTAATTGTTGAAGGAATGAGGAAAATGGGAAAGTGTGGTAGAGAATGGGACGAAAGAAAAACAAAAGAATGGAGATGAGACGAGGGGTCATGCGCCTTTTTTTGCTTTTCAGGGGAATAAAGCACTTTTCTGTACTTTCTCTCTCCCTCTGAATTTTTTTTCTTACTGCTCGACTGGAAAGCTCTAGTAACAAAAGTGTAGGATGTAAACAAACAAACATTGCCAATAGATCATCACTGCCATTCTTTTTTATTTGTGTATGTGTGAGTGCTGGTGGCCATGTATGCATGCATGATATGACCTTCGGCCTGCAAACAATCGATTGCCTCCCACTCGCCACCTTTTTAATCCAACTCTTCCTAAGCAATGACTGCTCCTGGTAGTGGTGGTGCATCGTGGTGCTGTCGATTCTGTCGCTGTGCTTCATAAGCAGCCTTCCCAGCTGACGACAACGTATGGATCTCGATCTTGTTGAAACCCGCATGGTAGTCATCTTCGAAGAAATCTCCTCGTCCCTTGCGACCTCGCTTGCGTCGTGGGAGAGGGACGTAAACCTTGCTGAGCCTGCGGAGACCTCGCCAGTCGTATTGATCTTGTTGATTGTAGTGCTGTCCTAGGTGATCTTCTCCTTCAAAGCCAACTTCTTCGTCATCGTCGCTGTCTTCGATACCGTTTTGGTTGTTGTTGTCAATGTCAATGGTGGATTGAACCCAGTTCAGAGGTGCAGGGATGAGGGGTCGGTTATATCGGGGTAGGGCCTTGCTTGATTTCGATTCCTGTCCTGGCGATGGTCCCGGTTTAATCAGCTCCGAATACGCCTCGTCCTTTTTTACAGATGGTTGTTGTTCTAATTTGTTCGACAGGAGTGCTTGTTGCAGTTGTTGTTGCTGCAGTTGTCGGCGCTCGACGATCTCTTGCTCTTGTTGCTTCCTCAATTTGTACAACTCCCAGAGTTCCCGTTTTTCACGATGCTGTCTCTTCTCCACCTCGGTTTGTTGTTGCGTCTGTTGCTGGTGCGGTTGAGTTTGTTGCTGATGCTGGTGTCTCTCGTTTGGCTGTATATGGTTCTTGGTCGACGGGATACGGCCCCAGAGCTCTTGCACTGATAGTCCGACCAGTGCTCCCTGTTTCACGAGGCCCGAACGGTCATCCTGTTGAATCTCTCCCTCTCCCCCCGCCTGCGCCTTCTGTCCCCCACGCAACAAAGCAGCCTGTCTCTGCCTCTCAATAGCAGCAGCTTGCTTCCGCTGATGCCTCTGTAACCACTCGAGCTCTTCCGCAAGCCGTTTCTCTTGCTGCGACAACAGCTGTTGTTGTAGATGGTTCTGCTGTTGTAATTGATGGACCTGTCGTTGATGTTGGCGAAGGCGTTCAGTCTCGATATAGGGTTGGAGGTGTCGCAGAATAGCTTCTCGGGATCGATGGTCGTTGTCAGCTTGTCGCAGGTGCTTCCAGTATTCTTGTTCTTGTTGTTGCTGTTGTTGTTGTTGGGTGTGGTGGTGGTGATGGATGTTGTCATGTTTGTAGGTGTTGATGAGGATGCCCTCCATGATGACTCGGGTGACGGAGTGTTGTGGTTGGCGAGAGTGGGTCCTGAGTCAGACCGAGGTGTCGAGTGTGCGAAAGAGTAGGGAGTGAAAAGGACGTGTTTGATGTGCGAAGAGAGTAGGATGTGATGGGCGCACAAGAAGAGAAAGAGAAAGAAAGAAAAGGAAGAAAGAAAAAGGCACAGGTGTGTGCATGCATTATATGTCTGTTTGTCCAATGGCGAGTGACAAGATGTATTGCCATCAACAAAAGGCGATGTCACGTTGGAAGCAAACAGAAAGCTGCTCCTTCTCTGTCTATCAGTCGCGTACAATTGGATTGACAGTTAGGCTCAGTCTTTTCTTTACCTCCACTTTTCTTCATACTCTCCCTCCGCCTTGAAAAGAGAAATCTTTTTCCTTGACCATAGAGCAAAGCACAGTCATTGTGGTTGTGCACCCTTTACCATCCAAATCCACACCCCGAGCGCCAAAACAGAGGGAATAACCACATAATCACACCCCAATAACAAAAACAAAAAAGGCGTACCCAAAGCACATTAAACAAAAGTAAGGGATGAACAACGCGACACTGGGCTGCTGTGCACTTGTTTACTTCTCGGGATCATCCCTTTTTTCTTTGGATTTTTTGTACTGCACTATCTCTTTTTTTCGATTTGCAGACTGATTGTCTGGTCATAAAGAAAAAGTAACACCGACTCGGTCCGAAAAAATATATAGAGAGGACGTTGAAAGAACAAAGTGCATGGCTTAATCGATGAAGGCGGCCACTGCGGCGAGAGGAAAGAGCGTACTCGGCAACCACATCACCACGACACGTCCTGATAAAAGCAGATCCTGACAGCGGGAAACCGATCCTTGACCATGTAGTCCGAAATCCAAGCTCTATCGCCATCTTTTGAGAGGACCGCCGCAAATCTGTGGTGACCATGTTGAGAGTGTTGTGGGACATGGTTCTGATAGCCTTCACCAGTCCACCCAAGGTGATTCGGACCGCCATGCATTAGTGCATTAAGCATGAATGAGAACAGGGAAGGGAAAGTGAGAGAGAGAAAAAGAAGGAAGGGACCGCCCGCCGCCCTCTTACTCCCCCCGATCACCTTTTTTCTTGTGATGATGGCAATAAGAAAGGGAAAACAAGCAAGGGCTCCACGATAAACGGCGTTGATGGCGGTGGTTGCATGACCAAGAAGAACCAAAGACGCGCGATCTGGTGAAGACTCTCCTACTAATCCTAGGCGAACTGTGTGTTTTCAGGATAGGGGGCCTAATTTGTTTGTTGGCTGTGCAGGCAGGCAGACAGGCAGACGGGCAGGCAGACAGACAGACAGACAGACAGGCATGGGCAAGTGAGTGGTAATAAGCCAGGGACGATGTTAGAGTTGAAGCATACAATCCGTGTTTGTCCCCCTTTTCTATCTTTCAGTTCCGTCCAATGGTCTACACTCACTCTACAGCTCGTTAGTTGAGCGCATGGTACATGCACTGCCACAAAATGTATTTTTAAAAATGCCGAAGTAGACACAGCCAAAATGACCGTCGTCCCTTCGGTCTTTCCTTTCTTCGGTCTTTCCTTTCTTCGGCCTTTCCTCTCTTCACTTCTCTTCCTCCAACACATTTCCTCTTTTCATTTCCTCTCTCTCTCTTTTCTCCTTTTTCATTCCCCTCTCCCTTCAACAAATCCCAATAACCTCAACAGGCTGGAAAGCAATTCTTACCTTCACACGGAAGCACACGAAAAAACAACCATGACCATCTCAGAAATCGCCCGCTTCGTGGCCCAGCACGCGACCCGCTCCAACAAACTCAAACTGTTCTTCACCCTCCTCGCTCTCCTCACCTACAAATACCGTTCCCACGCTATCGGAACCCGTCGACGACCTGACTTGAAGGAACCCAAGGGCACCGTCCCCTTCTTTGGACACATGTTCCTCATGGCATCCATGCCTAGCACGGACTTGTACGACTACTTTGAACGAACCTACCGTGAACTGGGACCTGTATGGTCCATCTCGCTGCCGGGGATCGGACGCATGATCCAGGGAGATACTCCTGAACTGCTCGAGCATGTTCTAAAGACCAACTTTTGGGCGTACCACAAGGGACCTCACTTTACTGGATCAATGGGCGATGTCTTTGGCAAAGGTAACCTTGAAGGAGATGTTATGACGGGCGTACGATACTTTGGGGGGTTTTTTCCCATCATGCAAATGTATCTTGATCTTAGTACTTTACAGCTCTGACCACTTTTCTGTTTACGCTGACCCCTTCTTGGCATGATCCTTTTTCTATCTCCGTCAAAAATAGGAATCCTCAGCGCCGACGGAGAGAGCTGGAAGTTCCAACGAAAACAGGCCACCCATCTCTTCAACGTCAGCGCCTTCCGAGAATACACTAGCGAGGTCTTTAACAAAGAGGCGGAAAAGGTACTCGACTATCTGGGCAAGGCGGCCGATTCGGGTTCTGTTGTCGACTTTCATGCTATCATGCACGCCTTCACCCTCGATGTCTTTGGCAGGTAAGAACGAACGCCTTGTTCAATTTTTTCCTTTTTACCTTATGACAAGCATTGCACGATGAAACTTAATTATACCTTTTTCACCCTCCGTGCCATAGCGTGTCATTTGGAGAGAGTTTTGGGTGCTTGGAGAACATCGACGGCAGAGTCCCTTTTGCGGATGCAGTCGGAGACCTACTTGGGATCTGCTCACTGCGCCTCGTGGACCCACTCTGGAAGGTCCGAGAGGCCGTGACATCTGTCGGGAAGAAGGCGCGAGAGCTAAAGTTTGTTATGAGGGAGCGTATTAGGACGATTGTGGAACGGCGCCGACGGGAGGGTCTTGGCGACAAAAAGGATATGTTGCAGCTGTTGTTGGAGGCAACGGATGATGATGGCAACGCGCTGACGGAGGAGTACCTTGTCGATATCATTCTCACCTTCACGGTATGTTACACGGAATGTAAGGGGTGGTGCCTACCCTTCTACGAGTGCACTGATAACTGACCTAAGAGGCATTTTTTTTCCTTTTCTCGATGCAGGTTGCAGGGCGGGATACCATGGCACAATCGGTTGCGTGGATGATGTATTCGATGCTCCGAAACGAGACCGATCCGTCAGTGATGGAAAAGTTGGTCCGAGAAGTCGACGAGGTGCTTGGTGATAGCTTGCCTACCTATGAGACCCACAAGAAGCAAAAGTATGCCGAAGCATGGTAAGTCTCCTTGCGTTTGTGTTTCTCGTAACTTATGTCTCCTGCGTCCTTACGTTCATCCTCCGTGAACACTAACAAACACAAATTTATTTTTTGTTAACGGTCGTAGTTTCTTTGAGAGTAAGTACATGGATAACAAAAAAAAACGTGCTTGCTCGAGAGACATCAAACACGATACTCACCCATTTTCGTTTTATTCACCCCTCTCTTGCACTATAGCCCTGAGGATGTACCCTCCATTGCCACGCAACTTCAAGACATGCGTCCAAGACGACACCCTCCCGGACGGAACAAAGATCTACGCCGGAGAATTGTTCACCTGGTCCTCCTATGTCATGGGTCGATCCGAACAACTCTGGGGTCCAGACGTCAAGGAATTTAAGCCGGACCGCTGGCTCGGTCGTGAGAAAGCATCGTCACTGAGCAAGTTCAGCTCGTTCCATTTGGGTCCTCGTACTTGTGTAGGACAGGGGTTTGCTGTCTTGGAGGCATTGACGATTGTTGGGTTGGTGCTGCAGAAATTTGAGTTGAAGTTGGTGGAACCCGGGAGGGTCCCTGAGTATGGACTTGGGACTACCTTGGCGATGCGGTATGGGTTGCCGGTCCGGGTGACCCGTCGGAATTGAGGGGATGCTACTGCTACTGCTGTTGATGCGTGAGAGAATGCAAGGGGGAGATGTGCTCTATAAAGAACAAACAAGGCCCGCTTACCTTGGCTTGCAATGTGTGTACGAACGTTGTAAAAGTTCGTTGGTGGATGTTTTTACGGATGATAGGTGGTTTGGTATATTAAGTAATGTCGATTGGATTGTTGCTGTTGTTGTTGTTGTTGTGGGAATGCATGGTATGTCAATCGTGTGAACCTTTATCCATGTTTACGGTTCGATCGATTGTCAGATTAGTTGTCGGGTCCAGTGTGCTCACACTCCGTCCGTCGGAGCCGATCGAAGGGGTCAATTGCACATCGACCCTTTGTCTCTTCTTGCTCCACAGGCTACAGGTGGGAAAATGGGCGCGTGCACTTTGTCATCGTTGTGGAGGGTGAAAGGGGAGGAATGAAAGCTCTTTTCCTTTTCACATCTTTCATTACCACTTCCACCAACTCAGAGCGAATCCACTACCTTCCTTCATTTTCTCCTCTCCTTGCCCTTGCTCTCGCTAATTAACACTAGTAACAACTACAACACAATCACATTCACCAACAATGCACGTCGAGAACAAGGTCGCCATCATCACCGGTGCCTCCTCTGGTACATCCCTCATGCATTCTCTCTGTCATTCATTCAACTCTCAGCTGCCAACTTGCACGCAATGGGAGTACTCATCATGAAAGTCAATGCATTCACTCACCCTGCCTTCCCTTCTTCTCCTGACACGACGACCCAGGCTTTGGCAAGGCTCTGGCCGAGCGTCTGGTCGGCAAGGGGTAAGTCTGCCCCTTGGAGAAAATCGTTCACCCAATACTAAGAGAGAATCACTTCGTAAAGTAAACACATACATGCACCCATAGTAAATGTTATGCTGACCAACTCTGCTTCTCATTCTCCTTGTCTGCACTACTTTATTTGCAATTAGTGCAAAGGTCATCCTCGCCGATATCGATATCAAGGATGGTGAACGTCTCGCCAATGAGCTGAACTACGGGTAAGGGCCCGTCTTTCTTGCACCAGTAACTGAGAAATAATTTTGCCCTTCCATTTACTAACCGCAAACACACTTTTTCCTCACCCTCTCTTTTCATTGTGTCCATTGACATGCATGAACACAGAAAGGAGAACAAGGTCGCATACTTTGTCCAGTGCGATGTAACAAACTACGACCACCAGGCGAACATGTTCAAGGCAGCCAAGACCCATTTCGGCGGCGTCGATATCGTGATCAACAATGCAGGAATTGCAGAACGCACCCCTCTCTGGGAGGATGACACCGGATTCTGGAAGAAAGTGATCGATATCGACCTGACTGCTGTCGTTGAGGGAACTCGTCTGGGTATTCAGGTCTTGAGAGAGCAAGGACGCGGTGGAGTCATTGTCAACACTGCTTCATTGGCTGGATTGTACCCACAGCCATTGACACCCGTCTACTCTGCTGCCAAGTTTGGTGTTATTGGTTTGACTCGGTCCTGCAAGGAGCTTGGAGATGGTATCCGTGTTAACGCCGTTGCCCCCAGGTATGCATATAGCAAATGGGTGAAAATGGAGGGTACTATTGTTTGTTTTGATGTGCATGAATGTCGCCCTCTAACGTGACACCTTTACCTTCCCACAATAGTTTCTCGGAGACAAAGATTATTGACGGGATCAAGGAGTTGATTTTGACCATGGGCACCCTGGTCCCTGTTGAGCAAGTTATTGACGCGTTCATGCTGTTGATCGAGGATGACTCTTACAACGGTGATGTTGCTCGAATTACGTCCCAGTACGGGATCTCTGTCATCGGTCGCACCCCAAAGCCCTCCAAGGCCAAGCTGTAAAGGATGGAATAAACAAGCATTGGTAGTTATTGTGCGATTTTGTCTTGCTTAAGATTTGCGTTGGAATACAAGAGCGGATTGAGAATACACGAAGAGAAAGAGGGGAGAAAGGGGTAATGCCTTTTCAGTTGGTGTTCACCATCATGCTCTATCATATTGGCAGTGCTAGAGAAGGGAGAGGAAGGCGAGGACACAACCTCTGACCATGCGCCAACAATAACAAACAAACACACAAATGAAAGGGAAAGAGAGAGCAGGAGTCGAGGATTCGAGTCTCCTTCCATCCCCCTCTTTCATTTTCCCCTTCATCCTCCTTTTCTGCTTCTTTTTTGTTTTCTTCGCCTCTATCAGATCCCTTTTTCGAATCGCCATCACTTTTCTCATTCCATCTCGGTGTTCATTGCATTGCAATCATTGCGCTCTTCTGGGTCCATCCTCTCGGAATCAGTCCCATGGACAACACCTGCAACAACAACACCAACACCGCCAACGACGACAGCTTTAGAAACAGAAAACAACACAAATACATACACTCATACACAAATACATACATACACACATACACACATACACACACGCTTGCTACTCTGTCACTTCGACAACTTTTCCTCTCCAAAACCAAAAAAAAAGACTTTCTCCCTCGACCAGTCTCTGCTCCAACAGAAGAATAAAAAATATCAACCATCAACTCAAAAAGTACGTTGGATAAATACACCATCTTCGCCAGACAAATAGCAAGTGCTGCTCAGACAGACCCCTACTCTCGCCTATCTCTCCTATAAAAGTTTACAACTTTCCATACCAATTACATTCAAAGACCCACCTCCCCTGATCGGTCGAACCACAAACTGTAGCAAAAAAACAATCGTCTCTCAAGTACGTTGTCATCAAGCACATTGCAAGTGGCGCCATACAAGGACAGCTACTCACCCACATCATCTTTCCTCTTATAGACAATCTACAGCATCCAGCAGCGCCATAGCCCACACATCGCCAACACTCAAACCAATTAAAAAAAAACGCAAGTACACTGCAAATGCACGGTACCACTTGGGACTGTAGAAAACATATCGAAAGGCAAGAAAATTAACCAATGTTGTTTTTCCTCGCTTCCACAGCTGTTCTTGGCCACCTTCAAAAGCGCACACTCAAACATCAAAGGTAAACACATGCTACATCAAATCGTCAAAAGACTGATACTTTTTGTTAAAAAGATGCAATCGCTAACGGCACTCACTATTGCTCATATCGACACTGCTAGTACTCTCACCATGTCCGACCATCCTCTCGACCAATTGAATCCTCACACCTCTTGCAGCAACAGCGCTAGCAGCACCGTTCGCATCAGGAAGCGTGACAAGTTACACCAGTCCTGGGATTCCCTCAAGTCCAAGTTCAAGGAAGTCAAACCCAAGACCTCGAACCAGTCGCTTCACTCTCAACCTGCTTCACAGCAGTCCACCCAACCTCCCTCTGTTGTCTCCCAAGCCAACAACTTACCTTCAGGTGATAACCATTCCGCTCCTCCCAGCGCCGCGCAGAAGAAGGCGCTCTCAGCACCCCTTTACGCACCGCGTGCTCTTGAGGACATCTTTGACGAGAATGTCCCCAAGACCACCATAAAGCCTGAGTTGCCCCACCTTCAGCAACGCATCAAGATGACACAGCAATTGGTTTACTGCAACACCTTGCTTCTTCGAAATACATTGTCTCCAGCCGCTGCAGCTACAGGAGAAGATGCGGACAACGGTGGTCCCCTCGTACTTCAGGAACCCACCCTCGACAAGACAGAGCTCGAATGGTTGGAGACGACAAAGAAGGATCCGATGGAAGCAGATCGCCTGCGTTGGCTGGCCACTCAGGTGGTGGAACTGTTTGTCACCGATGCCAACAAGGACTTCACCAAGATCGCCGAGATCGTCGCCCTTGGACCTGTCTTGGAGAAGGAGCACTACCGCAAGCTGCTCTCGACATTCATCAAGGAGTTCGACGATGCTCGAATCCTGGACGTTGATATACTTCAGGGACTTGTTCAGTTGGTGCAAGATGCTTCTCTTGGCTACCTTGTCTCCGATGACTTCGTCAGGATTCTTGGTATACTCAGGGTCCACCTGCAAGGCACTCACCAACAGTCGACCGGGCATTCCTACCACCTTACTCTAGCTGTCTCGAGGATCCTTGATGTCATGGCCGATCACAAGGTGCAGGATCTGGATCATGTCCTCGAGCATGAGCCATTGTCGGGAGTCTTGTCGGGACTGAAGGATAGCTCGGACCCTTACCTGATGTATCAGGCCTGCTATGCCTTCCAGGCTCTCCAGTATGTGCCTGATGACGAGAGCGCTCTTCAAGCTGTGTGGAGGCACTCGACCGGTGTGATTGACGGCCTAGTAAAGATCACTGCCGTCTTCAAGCTGGACCTAGCGTCGGTTCTCGAAGGTCTGAGGAACTTGCAGGACGCTCTCGGTGATGTGATATCAGTGACTGGTTCTGTGTACGAAGGGATCTGTTCGTTGATGGAGAGCGGCCGAGGTGTTCTGGACAGTTTGAAGGAGGGACTTGGATCTGGCCAGAAGCGACTTTGGTATCCTGCTGTCAAGGCTGCCTATGCTTTTGCCCAGGCTGGTCAGCTCAAGGATCTGAAGGTGTTGATATTTGAAGTTCCTTGTCGCCGAGACCCTTTGTTTCAATGGGGAATATGCCAGCTATTGGGCGAGATTGTTGTTGATCCTGCATGGGCTGTCTCTGCACGCCAACAATCCGTCTCTCTCCTCGGTCATCTCTGCCAGCACGATCAAGACTGGGGTCAGGATGAGAGCGTCAGGGCATGGATGCTCACCATCATCACGAAACTGTGCGCCTCCTTTGACCAAGCCATCAGTGAGACCGCCCGTTCTGTCCTGCAGGATCTGACAGTGGACCAAAGTGCCTTGATCAATCACCCTTATCCATTGAGGAATGTAGAAAATGGAGACTGGTGGAATGAAAAAGCTGATGAGATTTGTTGTACTCATAAGGAACACTCTGTTTTAATAGGTGTCGACAAATATTTTTATACTGTAGTCTATGGTTGGTGGAGCCGGATATGGATGGTCTCCTTTGTACAGCTCAATGCTTGTTCTTGCTGAATTGGTGGCTCGATGGCAGTGCATGAATATGGCCCCAGACTTCTTGAGTTCCAAGTATGCATTTTCCCGACTGTGCTCTCTTTTTGCAGACTACACAAAAGCCCTCAGCTTTGCGGTCTAACCTAAAGATCATCGCACAGTCTGCAACACACTGCATATCGAAGAACTGGGTTGCATGTGGTGTCTGCATGAACTTGGCTCTCACAGCATCCACAATGTGTCTGGGTAAGCTTGACTGAATAATGTCTTGAGTTCGACCTTGGCTTCTCGAAGTCGACTGTGCCCTACTGATTGCGACTGCTGGAGCTTCATCACAAACCACCTTGATGCAGCCAGGTCCAATGGTGTTTGTGATGAAGAACTCGCTCTCCTCTGCTCCCAAGGATGGTTCATGCCATGTAGCTTGCTTTAACGGACGACTGGCATCCCCATATTTGTGGCTCCCAATGATCCGCATGTTCCTGTTCCTGCTGTAGACGCCCTCGTCAATGTACTCAAGCAGAGGCTCGCTCTCCTTATAAGTATCCTTGAACTTGCATATGAACGCTTTCATCTGCTCGTGGTTGTTTTCAAACACATATGTGGGAATGTTGATATGCAACGACACCTTTTTGCTATTGGAAGCACTCAGTACACGACACTGTTCCCTTGTCTCTGCATACTCAGAGGCATATTGATTACGTGCAGTGAGGAACGCTTCAAACATCTGCAGCTCCAGTTCACCTGTAGTTCACAGATCAGAGTTTGAGACTTTATTAAGTTTCCAGTCGATATCATAATACTCGTTGCAAGCCTGGCCTTCGCAAATCTGCTCAAAGAAGCGACGGCCCTGTTCCTGGATACTGGCGTATATGCCTAAGAATGTACCCAGTTCTGGGTAGCTTGAGTACTCGTTGCACTTTGTTCTTGCCTCGAAGGCAACAAAGAAAGCATGCGAATTCTCACGACCTCAAGAATGGCACCTGGCCTGCGGTTTTGTCTGCTTTCCGTAAGCCTTGAAGTATCCAGATCCGAATTTGTTCTCCATGTTGAACGTATGTGCTGTATTCACAGTAGGTGTTAGATGGTACTGTCTACAGTGGATAAACAGCTTGTCAGTTGGAATTCTAAGTTACCTATAGTGTATGGCGGTGCCGTGAAGTAACAGAGGTCAAGAACTAGGCAATGATGGATAAGAGAGAGACCAATACTGGTCAAGAGTGCAAAGGGTAAGGAAGGAAGAGAAGAGGTGTTGAAGGGCACGGTATCCGTGTTGAATGGTTTATTATTGAGTGACTTAGTAAGGAGCTAAAGGGACATTGGCAAGGAGTGGCACAACATTGAAGGCGTAGTAACGTAAGCAATAAGGCGCAGTGGGCAAGCAGAAACAAGGCAAAGTTGTAATGCAAAGTTAGGGTTCAATGTCTGTGGCGGTGTTGTCCGTTTGAATGCTTGCAGAGTCCGAGAGGGTGAATGTGAGGTAAGTGAGAGAAAGGCAAAGCAGCTGAGAGAGTGTGAGGCAAAAGGAAGACAAGAGCGAAAGCAAGGCAGAGCAAGAAGGGTTGAGAGCGATGCATGAGAGAGGTACAAATTTTGGCGTTTGGTGGCTATCGAGCTTGTGTAGACCTTTTAAAAGGCTTTTCGTAGCTACTACGGAGCATGGCGAGCACCAAGTTCGACGACACATGTCTTGGCCACATAGTTCACAGTCAGGATGCAGCGGGCTGTCACCAGGAAGTCAGACCCAAGTAGATTGATGTCAGGGAAATGCTTGTCCAATGGCGACATGATCACCTTAAGATTGACTCCATTGACAGACATTGCCCAGGTGAACCCGTCCTTTTGGATATCTGACTCGGCCGCGCCCAAAGCCCTCAACGCTTTCCTGCAAAGATACGTGACTGGGGCGCCAGTGTCGACAAGGAAGTGGACGTTTACTGGCTCAGCATCTAATCCGACAGACATCGGCACAAACAGACGGTTGTTGACGCCCCAAACGACACCGCGGTTGCACTTCATCTCCGATTGTGCAGGTGTCGACTCACTCAAGTATTGTACGCCAAGCTGTGTTGATATGTCTCTTTTGAGGTCGTCGTCTGCTACATCCGTCAGCAGCAGATCAAACAGTCGTAGGTCAAGCATTGTATCAATTACCATGGATGGATGCTTGTTGGTAATGGATGGAGAGATGAGAATGCCATGCCCAAAAGAGTCTTTGTCATACGCTGAAACCAGTCACAATTCGGACAAGTGGCTGTCAATTTCCATTCATACACTACTGAGTAGGAGCGGCACGATGGCATAATGTTTGTGGTAGAATAGAAACACCTTTTTTCAGCACATGCCACTCAATTCACCTACAGTAGTTTCTCTGTCTGTCAGCCTCCTTGGTCTAGCTCTGTGTGAACCTTGGCGTGTTGTTGTTATTGTCGTTGTTGTTGTACCATTAACAGCTCTCAAGTACCAGACCAAAGAACGCTCTCAATATTTTATTTTCCATCACATACACACCATTGGCACTTTTGTTTATTTCTTTCTTTCCCGTTGGAAGATGTTTTGTTATCGTTGTTGACCGAGAAATAAGTACCAAGAAAAGTACATCGCAAAAGAGAGAGAACATCCGCGGGCAGAATCGTTCTCATTTAAACAAAGAAAAAGAAAGAAAGTGCTCTCATTTTTGGACCGGGGTTCCCCATCCTTTCTTCCTTCTTTCTCAATTGCAGGAATAAAGGAAATAACAAACGGCGGAGAATGAAAGCGCGAAATAAACTTACTTCCACTTTTGCTTGCGTGTGTGTGGATCTGGGTGCATGTGTGTGTGGATATGATTGCAGTGCTTCGGACTTGCTAACGAGGAGAGAGAAGGATTCTGCAAGGGAATGGACACTGGCTTCCCCTCTCGGACTTCATTTTCCGCCTCGGCCTCGGTGCTCACTTGGACGTCGGATTTTTTTGATAAAAGCATGCGACATCGAATATATGTCCTCCTCTCCTTTCTTCTTTTTCTCTTCTTTCTTTCTCTTTCTCCTTGTCCTTATCCTTTCTTTCTCTCCTCTTCCCTTTCCCACCAAACAAAGCACAAGAAGATGGCGATCACAGAACTTGTCAAATCCGCCCTCCAGCACTCCACAAAATCCAACAACCTCAAACTCCTCTTTGCCCTCTCCGCCTACTTTCTCTACAAATACCGCTCCCACGCTGTTGGAACCCGTCGCCGCCCAGACCTCAAAGAACCCAAGGGCGCCTACCCGCTCCTTGGCCACATGCCTCTCCTCGCCATGATTCCGGGCACAAAGTTGTATGATTTCTTTGAGAAGAATTATCGAGAACTCGGACCGGTTTGGTCGATTAGTTTGCCGGTGATTGGGAGGATGATTCAGGGAGATACGCCAGAGATGGTCGAGCATGTGTTGAAGAGCAACTTTTGGGCGTATGAGAAGGGTCCGATTCTCAAGGGTGCCCTTGGCGATCTTTTTGGATCTGGTTAGTATTCTGTCTTTATATTCTGTCAACATTAGTTCTTTTCGCTTTTTTCATATATCGTCCTTGTTCATCTCTAGTCCATGATTGCGCCCTTGCTCTCTCGTCCTGGCTATCATCGTTCGATGTCTCTTTCCACCTTCCCGTTCTTAAATAACCCTCAAATTGTTTTCCTGCTGACTTCTTTTGTTTTTGCGGTTCCCGTCGTCCATTTGGACAGGGTTGCTGCTCGCAAGCATGCACAACATTCTTAATTTTATTTTAAGTTTCCATCGCAACGACAATCCTAATTACCATTCCCTCGTCCTCCGGCCCTTCCTTATCCCATCCTTCCCCCTCATGCCAAACAACATAGGAATCTTCGCATCCGACGGTCCAACATGGAAGTTCCAACGCAAGCAAGCCTCGCACATCTTCAACGTCAAGGCCTTCCGTGAATACACAAGCGATGTCTTTGTGATCGAGGCCCAGAAGGTGCTCGAGTACCTTGGCAAGGCTGCCGATGCCGGGACCGAGATTGATTTCCATGCGCTGATGCTCCATTTCACTCTTGATAGCTTTGGCGCGTATGTTCCTCTTTTTTTTGTTCCTGTGCTCTTTGGAACATGCACTCCCGTACGCAAGATACAACCACTCACTACTTTTTATTTCGTTTCACCCACTCCTAACTAGTGTGTCTTTTGGAGAGAGCTTTGGATGCTTGGAAAACATCGAAAGTAAAGTCGATTTCGCCGTATCCTTCGACGACCTGACCGCAACCTGCTCCGACCGACTCATGGACCCGGCCTGGAAGATCCGCGAGGCTCTCACCTCCGTCGGCGCAAAAGCCAAATACGACAAAGCCCTCATCCGCAAACATTCCCTTGAAATCATTCAACGTCGTCGTGCCGAAGGCTTCAATGCCACCCCCGGCGCCAAGAGGGACCTCTTGCAGCTCTTTATGGAGGCTAAGGATGATGAAGGGAAGCCATTGTCGGATGAGTACTTGGTAGATATTATTTTGAACTTTACTATTGCTGGACGCGACACCACCGCTCAGGCCTTGTCGTGGATGTTTTATTTGATTGACAGGGATGGAACGGATAAGGAGATTATGAAGACGTTGGTCAAGGAGGTGGATGAGGTTTTGGGGGATGGGTTGCCCACCTATGAGACTCATAAGCAGCAGAAATATGCTGAGGCCTGGTAACGTTTTGTTTTCTTATTATGCACTGGTTTGTTAGCGTTTTTTTTGTATACATGCATGCATGTCATTAACGTATTACATTTTTGTTCCCTTCTTCTTCCATCTTACTTTGTGTCTTTTCGACCTGCTAGCTTCAACGAAGGTAAAGTCACACACCTTGTATCAATAACCTTCCTAGCACTCCTCTAAGCAAGTATCCAAGTATCTAACCCATCGTCTCTCAATCTTCCCTTTACTCTACATAGCATTGCGCATTTACCCCTCAGTCCCTCGCAACCTAAAGATCTGCGTCCAAGACGACACCCTCCCGGACGGAACAAAGATCTACGCCGGAGAATGGTTCACCTGGTCCTCCTACGTCATGGGCCGCTCCGAACAACTCTGGGGCTCCGATGTCCTCAGCTTCAACCCGGCCTGTTGGATCAACACCGATAAACCCTCCCAAGGAAAATTCAGTTCTTTTCATGTCGGACCTCGTGTTTGCTTGGGACAGAATTTCGCGGTGTTGGAGGCGTTGACGGTGATTGGGATGATTCTGCAGAAGTTTGAGTTGAAGTTGGTGGATGGGGCGAAGGTCCCGGCTTATGGAGTTTCGGTGACGATGCCGATGTTGGAGGGATTGCCTATGAGAGTCACTAGGCGTCAGAAGAAGGAGGAGGGTGCTATTACTGTATAAAGTGGCGGAGTATTGTAGATGTTGGTTCTTTTCACCAAAAAAAACGAAGGGCATTTCTTTCATATATACTTTTTTCTACACCAAAATACGTGTGCAGGTATTAGCTCTCCTATCTCTGTGTATTCTCTTTCTCACTTGCAGACACTCATATCCGTGCACATCCCTCTGTCCTCTTTCATCACCGATCCAAGGCATCACGAGAATATGGGATGCATACACATCGCTTCTCGGACAAGAGCGGCGAGGGATGCGAAGAAACAAAGTTACTAGCCATGTATGTGTACAACGCAAGTCTCCCCTCCTTCCCTTCACAGCTGTGGCACACCGATGTGTTAGCAAATTCATTTAATTTGCGCTAGGTGTGGCCACTTTCTAGACCTATGGATATCTTTTTCTTCTCTATTTTCTCTCTCTCTACCCGCTTGTGTGCTATTTTGTTGTTGTATGAGAGCTGGAGGGGATGCCTAGATCATGTCTTTCATGCATTCAAAAACATTGTAACTGTTTTTGTGGACATGGACAAATGTGGATCGAAAGAGAGCGTGCAAAAAAAAAAGAAGGGGACTGTTGAGGTTCAGAGGGGACAAAAAAATGATTTTCGTTGTCTAGGCTTCCTCCCCTCGCCCCCTCTTCCCCCCATTCAAAGAAGAACGATTGACAGCGCTAGGCGTGTTGGTTCATAAAAACTGCAAGACGGGACGAGTAACAACTAAACAAGGTAGGGAGGGAAGTGAGAAGAGAAAAGGGAGGAAGGTTAGCCAAAGAAATAAAAACAAAAACAACAACAACTACAACAAAACAAAACAAAAGATAAAACGTCGTTGACACGTTATTTGTCCAACAACGTTAATAGTCGATCAAAAAAAAACAAGAAAAGGGCGGGCAACTTTCTGTTGCCAAAAATGACAGGTGTTTACCAGCCAAACGAACAAAGGCGGAAGACAAAATTTATGTCTTCGTCCTTGTCTTCCCTACCTGCAGATTGGGCTCACTTAGATCTAAACGTCTATACGGACATTTTTTATCTTGAGGAGGATAAGGATTGAGGAGAGGATAGAAGTATCTGGTGGCGTTGGTGCTCTGAATGAGATGGGGGACGAGGAACGAGGGTTGGCGACAGCTGCAATCAAACGTAATGGAGAGGAGAGAGCAAGAGGGAGAGAGAGAAGAGCCAAGATCTGGTCCCATGGTCACTTTGGTCAACCAATGGTTCAGTGCATAAGTCGAATGAATCATGATCTATCTGATAGTGTAACCCCGGGGGTAGTGTGTATCCATTGACAGTCAATAAACAAGGAGAATGGAAAAGTTCGTATCAATTATTGACTTTAATCACAATGAAGCTATGTGGTTATGTGTCTATGTGGCTAACTGAAAATCAAGAGGCCAGTGGGCGCGACAGTGATGATGAGTCCATCCTCCATTTCATTCACATCTCCACTGTCTTCTTGTTGCGCTTGGCTTCCTTCACCATGGTCTCTTTACCCTTGCGTTTCACCACCTTCGCTTTGGACTGAAGTCCCAGTGCCACGTTTCGATGAGGTGTGCCCATTGTCGAGAATGAATTGTTGTCCCCCATCGGCTCCCGTCGCTTTTGCTTCAAGCGTTTGCTGGTAATCAAAGTCAATGATCGAACCTGGAACATCCGGAAGAAAAACGTTTGATCCAGCAACCTAAACTCGGACGAACAAATCGGCATCGTAAGGTTCGAGATCTTTGTATGGACGACGGTATTAGTGATCTTCACACCAAGGAAAAACACTGCGTAAGTGCCGACCGACTGGAAGCCTAAGAGCGGCAGATCCTCTTCCAGGACTCGAAGATCATAGAGACTATCGTTAGTAAAACGGCAATCCGGAAGGTATCGGCGTCCTTTGGACAGTGTCGAAGGGTATTTGCCCTTCAGTTCTCCATAGTATGCTTCATGAACTACCTCCGTGCGGCTCACGATGTCTAGCCATTTAGCTTGCCCATCCTAACCCAAGGCAGTTTCCTGTTCACGCACGCAGTCGATGCAGTGTTAAGACTGTTGAAAAGAAATAATGAGAATTAGATCAAAAGACTACTAGGATACATCTCCAGTTTCCGCTGCTGCCACTGATCCATCGGAAGTGTTACCGGAAGCTCTTCCATTAACCAATCCGTCCTCTTTTGCTATGTTACCACCAGGCGCCTTCTCGTGATCGTCAAAAATGCTGGTTGCAGCTCCTTCATCGACGATCTCGCCCTGTTCTTGTTCATTGTCATCGCCGATGCTATCAAAGAGCGGACAGTGCGAAGGCGACAGTGCTGGTGATGATAGCCCCGATCTTCGGCCAATTGGCGGGGTGCGAGCGGCTGACAATGGGAGTATTGACGGTCTTATTCAGTCATCAGTCATGCAAACATCGAATAGAAAATACATCGTAAGAAAAATGACATTAAATCACAGTGCTTTTGCAACATTCCTTCCAAGTTCTGGAGCCTCCCTTCAAAATCGGGCATCGTTCGTTACTGTGATATTTTTAATCGTATCTGAGTTCTGAGATGAAAATGGTCCAAAGCTCAGGATTTATGAATCGTTCATACCTCACGTTTACAATTTCACTGACAGAAGTGAGTGAAATACTGACTGTGGTTTGAAGTAAATGCTCGTCATATTTGAGTATCAGTTGCTTGGGGTCGATTACATACTCTTGAGTAGATTTATCACCATTTTGTATTTGTCTGCCAAGATAACCAGTAAAACATGCGTCAGGATGTTTGTGGTCATCTTCGGCGAGATAGGCTTTGATTATACATAAGTCACACAATCGCATTCAAAAAAACATCGAAAGTGACCAAACTATAATTGTAAAGACAACTCCCCTCTTTTCCTGGCACCTGCGAGGCATCAGATGAAAGGCACTTGAGCATAAACCAGGTGCAAAGAACTCCTGGACAGTGGCTGAGCGGCAATCACCCGTATTGATGAACCTCAAAAAAGCGTTATCATCCCCCCCCCCCCCCACAGGTACGCTAGGAGAACGTCGATCTGGAATAGTTTCGAAGCCTTTTCCGTTGATCCACTGAGTATCGGCCTATGTCGGTGAGTAGCCTGGTGATGAGAAGTCCGGGCATTCTTTCTGACAGCCAAAGACCGACATCTACCTGTGTGACTTGTTCGGAGTACTTGATACTTGGAAAGTTCGCGTGGGTGTACGACTGAAGCATGCGCTTCAAGAGTTTCAAAAAGCTAATAGAATAAAAGCCTTGGTTTTTTATACCTTATTGCGGAGATCGATCGTTCCATTCCTGTAGTCCTTTTTTAGCTCGACAGATAACTGCAAGGCGGCAGAGGCAGACCTCAAAAATGAAGATCCATCGTAATACTCAGTACCTATACCCTCAATGAAGATGGGTAAGAACTTCTGCGCCCCTTTCGACGAAGCTTCGAACATGCAAACCTATCCCTATTTCTTTGGGAAGCATGGTGGAATGTATGGCTGTAGGGAGCGACAGTAGAAACGGTAGTGCCTCTTTATTCTTTGTCGAGACTGTCGTTGTGTTCCTCGAGTCCCTCGGGTTTATCTGGCTCTTGCTCTGTCCCCTCCTTGGTGCTATCGACCAAATCCTTGTAGGAAAATCTAGGGGCAAAGAATATTGAGAAGTTTACGGTCAACGTTATCAAGTTTCTTGGTGTTGGTGGCGTTGATGGTATTGGTGGTATCGGTGATGTTGTTGTTATTGTCATCGTTTTCATCGATGTTGTTCACCGATAGTTGTTCGATGTACAGGCCAATGGCGCGTTGAGCGGTTCGCTTTACGCGCGACGATATGCGGGTAACATCTCAGAGCGATGTTTTGATTGCTGAAAGATGGTTGGATGCTGCTGTCTGATCAATCCCATTGCTCGAGTAGCGTTGGCGTTAATTGTACCAGTGCCAAGAGTTCGTGTTAGGTGATCCCACTGCATTGCATTGACAAATTCCCTTTTGTCCATGTTCGCCACGTCCCGCAGTCGATGTTGCTTAGGTGTGGCCTTAGGGGAGGTATTGATCGACGGATCTATGATACAGCTATAAATATACAAAGTCGCCAATTAGTTTTCTAGGTGTAGTGTCTCAGAGAGTCAAAGATGAGGGAGAGTGTCAGGGAATGACCGACTAGAGAGCATATGTATGGGTTTGTTGTGATGAGGAACGAGGTGATGGTAGTAGCTATTGGTTGGAAAAGAGTACTCTGTGTCTGAGGAGTGAAGGAACGACGATTGGTATCCTGCCTGATCGAACGAAGGAATAGCGGACTAGCTATTGTCATACGCATATGGTCCGGGTGCGATATCAGCTGGCGCGTTGGAGTTGTGGCAGTATTTTCGATGTTATTGTATTGTTGATGAAAGAGTGTCTGATGAGAGCTGCTGATTGTGAGGGTACTGAAGTAAGGGTTGATGTTGCTGGTGTTGCTGGTGTTGCTGCAAGATCAGCATCGATCGTTTAAGCAAGGACGGAAGTTATTGGTCGTCGACAAAGAGCCGGATCTACTTTTTTTTCTATCCCCCCTCAGCCCTTCTTACAGTGGGTAACGGCATAGCAGGGGTTTGAAGGAAAGAGAGCGAAGGAGAGGCGTGTTTGTGAGAGTATGTGAGTGTGTCTGTCACCCCTGTCCTTATCAAATGATTTTCTTTAAACACGCTGCCATGCAAACACGTTACTCTTATCATGGCCGCAACCCCCGTGCTATCCCCATGTAAAAAATGGTGCCTATTCTCCGACGTACGAAATTTAGTCCGTCCACCAAAATTAAAGCCCTCACTCGCACCGTTGTAGAACGAAAACCTTCTTTCGTCTGTCAAACACGCGGTTACAAGTATACTTTGTTTACTCCATTGGTCACGACGCCATTTGATGCTCTCTTCTTGTCTTTCTTCCTTGACATGCGCGGTGCATCTTTTTTTTTCTTCTTGGAAGGCGGGGTAACAAGGTGTGAGAAGCAATTGACCCCGCAAAGCAACAAAAACAACACGGGCCAAATTCGGACTTGTCTCTCCCTCTTTTCTTCTCCCTTTGGAGGCTATCCAGGACAAGGTTGTGAAAGTCAGACAAACAAAGGAAGGGGAATGAGTGGCAGAGTACATAAATGGGCAAAGTGGAGGGATGTGCAGTCAGAGATAGTGAATCCACACATACAGATCCCCTACTTCGTAAGATACAGAGGACGACGAGGACGAAAAAGATCTGATTTTTTCTACTGTGTGCCACGATAACCCTTATTGTGTACGTCGTTGCGTTCGCTTTGATTTGCATCTCATTCAATTGCTCACCTTCAGTCAGGTCCATACGTGTTACCTTTTACGCTTGTCAGTACCACCATCTTGCCCTCGGAACATGCCTCCTTGAAATTCCTGTCTTTCGTTGCTATCATTTCAGTCCAGCCCATCCTGTCATCACCACCATTCATGGATAAGGACGTGTGAGTGTGTGCATACCTTAATAAACTTTCCGGAGATCTTCATCACTCCTTCTTTCTTGCTCTTTCCTTTGCATCTGGCAATTGTATAAAAAGGCCTCCATCCCTCCCTCTCCCGATCACTTTTCCTCAGACTTCATCTCTCAGCCTCTCTCTCCTTCTCCTTCCTCCTCTCGCTTCTCTCCCATCAAGTTGTCTGCAGTCCCTTACTTTTTTGACAACCTCCTCACCTTTTCCATCTTTCTCCCTATTGTTACTGCATAGTATCCTGACTCGGGTTCTCCACCTGCTTCTGTCCATTTGGCAACTTTTTTGCTTCTTTCTTTTTTTTTTTAACTTTCTTACACTCACCCTCATGGCTGAAGCTATCTTGAGTCAAGGCTTTGGATATGGAATCGGTAAATACCCTCTCCTCCCCACCCATTTCTCACTTTCATTGCCATCGTCTTCGCCAATGATGATCCTCTGCCTAATCTAATCTGATTGTCGATCTTTACATACCTTGCTAACCACCCTTCCTTTGTTCATCACCAACCAATCAAAACAACAAAAAATAGTCCTGGGATTCGGATTGGTGTTTGCGGCCCTCATGACATTGATTACCATGATCCAGAAGCGCTTCCTCGGCGAAAAAATCGACTCGGAAGAGTACATGGCTGCCGGTCGTAACGTCAAGACGGGTCTCGTCGCCTCTGCTGTGGTCTCTTCTTGGACATGGGCAGCAACCTTGTTGCAGTCTTCTTCGGTCGCTTACAAGTATGGTATCTCCGGGCCCTTCTGGTACGCCTCTGGTGCCTCTGTCCAGGTAATTTTAACTTTTTGTTAGTTTTCAAAGGAATGTGATGCTATGATCTGGAATGCGGCATAGGTGTCAAGGAGCAAAAAAAAGTACGTGCGCTCACATTTTCTTAATCACTCTCCTTTTATATCCCTCTGACGTGGAAAGGTGCTGTTGTTCTCGGTGCTGGCGATTGAACTCAAACGCAAGTGCCCGAATGCCCACACTTTCCTCGAGATCATCTCTATCCGCTACGGTCGCAATGCCCACTTCGTCTTCTTGTTCTTCGGTCTCTTGACCAACATCATTGTCAGTGCCATGTTGCTCCTTGGCGGATCCGCCGTCGTTACTGCCCTCACAGGCATGAACACCTACGCAGCTTGCTTTCTCCTTCCCCTCGGCGTCATCATCTACACCCTATTTGGCGGACTCAAGGCAACCTTCATTGCTGACTACACCCACACCGTCGTCATCATGATCATTGTCCTCCTCTTCAGCTTCACCGCCTACACCACCTCGGACTTGATCGGCAGTCCTGGCGCCATGTTTGAGCTCCTCCAGCAGGCATCCATCCGTCACCCCGTCAGTGGAAACCATGAGGGATCTTACCTCACCATGGCTTCGTCGCAGGGTCTTATGTTTGGAATCATTAACCTGTGCTCCAACTTTGGAACTGTCTTTATTGATAACGCCTACTGGCAGCGTGCTATTGCTGCATCCCCTCACTCGACCGTCAAGGCTTATCTGATCGGTGGACTCTCCTGGTTCGCTATTCCTTTCACTTTGGCGACCACCCTCGGAATCTCGGCTGTCGCTCTGGAGAACCACCCCAACTTTCCTAGCTTTCCCAACCGTCTGACGACAGCCGATGTCGGTGCTGGATTGGTTGCCCCCAACGCTGCTGTTGCTCTCCTCGGTAAAGGAGGTGCTGTTGCCGTCTTGTTGTTGGTCTTTATGGCTGTTACTTCTGCGGCCAGTGCTGAGCTGATTGCAGTCAGTTCGATTGTTACCTTTGATGTCTACAAGGCTTACATCAAGCCCGACGCCACCGGAAAGCAGATTATTACGGTCTCGCATGCTATTGTTGCGTCCTTTGGAATCATCATGGGTGTCCTTGCTATTATTCTCAAGGAGGCCGGCATTGATCTTGGCTACCTCTATTCCCTGGTAAGTAGCATTTGTTACTGAAATGATCTTGCATGAACCACGCTTGTCATTTTTCCTGTAAGGGAATTTTGCTAACCACCTACTTTCTTTTCTACCCACTTTTGACCAACAAATAGATGGGAGTGTTGATTTCGTCTGCGGTGTTGCCAGTGACATTCTCGTTGATGTGGAAGAAACAGAGCGCGACCGCCGCAATCGTCGCCCCTCTCGGAGGACTCGTTATCTCCCTCACCGCATGGTTGGTCTGCGCCAAACTCTACTCGGGCGAGATCACCCTTGCATCTACAGGAACTGACCAGGCCATGCTTGCCGGAAACCTGGGTGCTCTCATCAGCGGAGGCGCCATTTCGGTTATTATTACCTTGATTAAGCCCGACAACTATACCTTTGATGGCACCCGTGCTCTCCAGCAGGTCACTGACGATTCCCCCGGCGGCATGCCCTCCACTGACTCTTCTTCCGACGACGGTTCTCTCGAAGAGAAGAAGAAGGGCGGTGAGAAGGCAGAGGTTACAAGCGTGGACGTTCCCGCACCCAAGGGAGGCTGGACATTCTCGGCCGAAGAGGACGCAAAACTCGCCAAAGCCTCCCGCTTCGCCCGTTGGAGCTCCGGTGTCCTCACCGTCATCCTCATCCTCCTCTGGCCGTTGCCAATGTTCTTTTCGAACTATGTGTTCACGAAGGGATTCTATACTGGCTGGGTGGTGTTGAGTATTGTGTGGGCGATTTGTTCGACGATTGCCGTGACGATTTATCCGATTTGGGAGTCCCGGGGTGCGATTGCCGAGGTTGGGAGGGGTATTTGGGGGATGGTGACCCGCAAGTCTTCTACCGCTGCTGTTTGAAGTGGGGGCGGGCGCCACCAATTGTTATCCACATATAACTCCTTCCCCCCCCCCCCCTCTATTTCTTATCTAATCTGTGTACATACGCTATCACACATCCAAAAACTTAATAAAATGCAAAAGAACACAAACAAAAAGTAACAGCCTTGTCACCTTGTGGAAAAAAAAGAGAGCACAAATGGCTTTGTTTGTTTATCTTGATTTCTTTGTTTCTTGGTATCTGTTGGCTGCGTGGTAATCTGATAGGGGTGGAGATGAGATGGGAGGATAGGGAGAGGAGAGCTTGTGTGTGTTTGAGGGTGGTCTGTACTGTAACTGATCTGTGATCTAATGCTTCTTTGCTTTTTGTTCTGTTTAGACAATGCAGACGGGAACGTGCGCACGACAGAATCGACAAAAACGAATGCAATTGGGTGTTTTCGATGGTGACAGATATGGATCAGTCTGACCCTGAACAATTGGATCGACAGCAAGGTCGAGTCGACCCTTTGTCGTTATGTGATGACCTCCTTGTGCCTTGGTCTGGATGACTCCCTTTGTCCCATGTCCATGCCCCTGGAAATCGATAAGGAAATTGAAAAGTGAGCGAATGGATCGATGATGACATCAACATAATGGAAAAGGAGAACAAGGAGGCTAGAAACAGAGAAGGGCTTGATGACGGGTAACACAAGGTAGAGGGAGGAGAATTTGTTTGTGAATGTAGACAGGCATGTGCTAGTGCGAATAATAGGCAATTGACTGGTGGTATATGGAAGAGGGTGACCTGTTGAGGACCTGGGTGCTGATGGGTTCCCCTACCCCATGCCCCATAACGAGTATTACCTTTGGTGATATCGTGTGTCGGGGTCTTTTCTGATCGCACTTTTTATCTCTGGGGCTGGGAGCCTAAATTGACTTGGTTCACTTTGACCTTTTTATCTAATTCGTCAATTCGTCGTTCATTTTTCTTCTCTCTCTCTCTTTCTACTCTTTACACATCGCCCACTTCTCTCCACTCTTCTCTTCCCTTTACTCTTTTCTTTGTTGATCATTCATCTCCTCTGAATTAGACATCAGAGGCGAAAGCACACTTGCTTCTTTCTTTTACATCCTACTACCACCCACTGTTGCCAGTCCCATACATTACAAGCGCACACACCCGTTCATTCGCCCACTGCCATCTCATCCTCTTTCTCCTCTTGTACATTCACTCACCCATTTATTCTCTCGCTCTCCTCACTAACCAAGACGAACACGATGTCGATGCCAGCGTCCCCCACTCCTTCGTTGACAACCATCAACGGTGGTTCCAGAGTCGTGCCCCTGTCAGAGCTGGCAGAGACAAGCCAGATCATCCTCTCCAATAAGCCAAGACTCATCAACGTCACCCACCAAATCCCCTACGCCTGTACCCTGATCGACAGAACTGCCAACTACAGCCCTTCAATCAATGGAGGTGGTCTTGGTGGGAGTGGTAGTGGAGGTCTGGGGTCTGCTTCCAGCTCTGGATCGCCTCCTGCGAACAGAAGGTCGTCGTATATCTCTCTCCGTCAGCAGCACCAGGCTGCTGTTGCTGCTGCCGCTGCCGCAAAGAGTCTGGCCTCATCAGGAGCAACTGCAGGGATCGATCCTACTGCGACTGGCGCTGCTACTCCAGAGGCAACACCAACAACAACACCAGCACCAGGAACGCATGAGGATGGAGATTGTACTCTGGAAGGACGACGAGGCCATTCAGCACTCTACTCTGGGATCATGTCGCTTCGCAAGGATCTGGAAACGATCCAGATCGGATGGGTCGGAGAACTGGCAGATCAGGACGGCTATATTGTTCCCTCCAAGAATTTGAACGAGTCGCATAAGCAGGCGATGAAAGAGAAGTTGTGGGCCAAGGATAAGGTCGTGCCTATTTTCTTGGATGATAGCCGGGCTGCTGGGCATTATGAAGGCTACTGCAAATCAGGTAAGCCCCTGTTTTTGTTTTTGTTTTCGTCTCATTGACTCATGATAACATGATATTAACAAGGGGGAAGGGACAGACAAAACAAACACACAAACAAACAAACATAAAGGAGCCCTCTGTCCTCTGTGCGTGCTTTGTTAGCATCAAAATGCGTACACACAGACACTGACAGACGGGCACACCATAAAAATGAGAGCCAAAAAATGAAAGAAATGGTCCGAATGTGACTGACATATCTTTCTTTGTTCTTTATCGCATTCTGCCCTAAACCGATAATGATTGATATGATTTAGTTCTTTGGCCGCTCTTCCATTACATCCTCTGGGACGAGGCAACAGATGGACGCATCGAAAAAAAGAGCTGGGACGACTATGTCTTTGTCAACCAGCAGTTTGCCGATGCCATTTTCGAGCAATACCAGACCGGAGACATCGGTATGTTCTTCTGTCTTGATCAGTTTCATAGTTTGGAGTTGTTATCATTGTGTTTGTTGTTGCCAATTGTCATCATTCCTGATCAAAAAACAAAGGGGGTTCGTTCCTTCCCTACCGCTCTCTAACACTTTTCTTTTTCTTCTACAATGAAAAAATAGTGTGGATCCATGATTACCATCTGTTGCTGGTCCCACACATGCTCAGACAAAAGCTCCCTGGCGCTGCTATCGGAGTCTTTATTCATGCGCCCTTCCCTTCCTCCGAGATCTTCAGGTGTCTTCCAAGTAAGCCAAGTGAGACTGATCCAAAACGAGACAGAAAGAGACCAAGAGAGAGGAATGAGGGAGAAAAAAGAGTCCGAAGGAAGGAGGTCACTTTCAGGAGGCATGCATTATTCGCATTGGTATCTCTTCTGTGCACAACAACAAACAACCACATGCTTATGGACAAAAGTGTCGTCAGAGTAGACGAAGCGCATGGCATTGTGCTCTCTGTTACTGGACAACGATGAAGGACGATGCACATGGCTGTTTTTGGGGTCAACTTTCAGCAATGGGTTTTTGTCTGTGTGTCTGTATGTTTGTCCGAGTGTCCGACTCTCTCCACTGCACTCCCTCTAATTCTCTTTCTCTACTTTGTTGATACATGTGTTTGTGTGTGAAAAATAGAGCGCGTTGAAATCTTGAACGGTCTCCTGGGTGCCAATCAGATCGGATTCCAAGTAATGGCACTTTGATTTTATTTTTTATTACCCGAGATACGAAAGAAATGTGACACCAAGGGGTTCACCCTACCCGAAACAAATTCATGCCTCTTATTAACCAAATTGTTCATTTCCCTCTCATTGCATAGACTTACTCCTACGCAAGACATTTCATCAGTTGCTGCACCCGCGTCAATGGCTACGAATCAACTCCTCGGGGCGTTGACGCAATGGGATCAACAGTCTGGGTCGGCACCTTCCCTATCGGTATCGATGCGGAGCGAGTCGAGCGTCAACGCAAGGCTGCCGAGGTGTTGCCAAAGATGGACGCCATTCGCAAAACATACAAGGGCAAGCGCATCATCGTCGGCCGTGACAAGCTCGACCTGGTCAAGGGTGTCCAACAAAAGTTGCAGGCTTTCGAAAAGTTCTTGAACGACTATCCAGAGATGCAGGGAGAGGTTGTCTTGATCCAGGTGACATCCCCTCCTCTGGTCGAGAGCCCCAAACTGGAAGCCAAGATTGCAGAGCAGGTCGCTCACATCAATGGAACCTACGGATCGCTCAACTTTACGCCTGTCCACCATTACCACCAGCACATTGATCGGGACGAGTACTATGCTCTGCTTTCGGTCGCCGACATTGGTCTCATTACATCTGTTAGGGACGGCATGAACACGACCTCGCTCGAGTACATCATGTGTCAGCAGGAAAATCACGGTCCACTCATCTTGAGCGAGTTTACAGGAACTGCTGGCAGCTTGAGTGGTGCAATGATGGTCAACCCTTGGGACTACCAGGGTGTCGCCAAGGTCATCTATGATGCCCTCAACCTCAGCGAGGAGGACAAGATCTCTCGTCACAACGTAAGTCCCCCTTACACCTCCATGATCATTTGGCAAAACTGGCACAAGTGAATACCAATGCAGATGGATCTTGGTTATTGAATTTATCTCGTTGTTATTATCTGCAAACAAATAGCAACTCCACAAGCACGTCATTACCCACACTGCTCAATACTGGGCCAAGACCTTTATTGCCGAGTTGATCTTGAACGTTGGAACAGGAGAACAGTCCGCGCCCACGCCTTACCTTGACCTCCCTATCATCACCGATCAGTACCACAAAGCCAAGAAGCGCCTCCTCATGTTTGACTACGACGTGAGTTACAATTGCCACCTTCTTACCTCTTTGACATATATCGTTCATGATTCTGACACCCATACTTTACACCATCTATCTACTTCTAGGGAACGTTGACGCCAATTAGAAAGACGCCTGGAGCAGCTGTTCCTCAGGAGCACATGCTAAAGGCATTGGCGGCGCTGTGTGCTGACCCCAAGAACATTGTGTGGGTCATTTCAGGAAGAGATCAGAAGGTGCTGGAGGAGTGGCTTGGACATATCCCCAATCTCGGCTTCAGTGCCGAGCACGGATCATTCATGAGACAGCCTGGGGGTCAAAAATGGGTTAATCTGACAGAGTCCTTGGATATGGGCTGGAAGAACGATGTTATTGAGATCTTTACCTACTACACCGAGCGGACGCAAGGTAACTTTCAGGGCTGCTAAAATGGTACTATGGTTTGTTCTCATGTGTGGAAAATGAAATTAATTTACCGTACCCGTTGTCAACAATAGGCTCGTTTATTGAGCACAAGAGGTCGTCGTTGACGTGGCATTACCGTATGGCAGATCCTGAATTTGGCGCGTTCCAGGCCAAAGAGTGCCAGAACCACCTGGAGAATGCGGTCTTGTCCAAGCTCCCCGTCGAGATTCTTGTGGGAAAGAAGAACTTGGAGGTCCGCCCCACAATTGTCAACAAGGGAGAGATCGTCAAGAGGTTGTTGAGTCAGCATCCGGATGTCGAGTTTGTGATGTGTGCAGGTGACGACAAGACGGACGAGGATATGTTCCGGGCTCTTGTTGGGCCCAACAACAACAACAACAACGCCAATGCGGCTCGCAGGAACTCTAACGTGGTGGTGGAGCCTTATAATAATGAGCTGGTGGCAGAGACGGCGGAGAAGATTGCTAATGCGACCTTGGCGCATTCTCGGGAGCACTCGCCTGTGATGCCCCAGTTGCACCTGTCGAGCGGTCATATTGCGAATGGATTTGCACCGGGAGTTCAGGATGCGACTCATTTGATACCTCCTCACCACCCTGGCACCGCTGTGAGCGCAGAGACGACCACTACCAGCAGCAGTCTGGCTCCATCTTCCAATGACCTGTCAAGGTCTTCGATCAGCACGCAGGGATCGGCGGGATCTTTCTCTGTTGGCATCAACAACGGCAACAGCAGTGGCAGTGCGTACAATGGAGAGCGGTTCTCGATTACGATTGGACATGCGTTGAAGAAGACTCTTGCCAACTGGCATGTTACCAGCCCTGAGGAGTTGATCCGAGTTCTTGGTATTTTGTCTGGTACTGTTGACTCGTAACGTAGTTGATTCTATAGACATTTGTGTGCTTTCAATGGTAAAAAAGAAGTTTTTTGTATGCTTACTATCCTGCTCTGGGAGAACTAAGGGGGGAAGAGTGAATGGGAACATGCGGGTCATGGGGGTTATGGGATATGAGAAACCAGCACAGCTTAAATCAAGCAAAGTTGGCGCAGACTTAAAATGAGTGTTGTTTTCTCGCACACTCATTTCTCTTGTTTTCTACCCTCCCGCATTACTTCTTTCTACCCTTACCTTTCTTTCACTTCATCAAAGCAATTCCGATTCATCAACGCAATTCCGATTCATCAACCTTCCTTTTGTGGTTCTTCCATTGTTCATTCACGGAATCAGTTCGTCAACCATTTACAATAATACCCTCTTCTCAAGGGTATGTCTCCATACTATTCTGAAGGCATCACCAGCAGCAACGAGGCAATTGAAACATCCAAAGCACACATACATCATATTCCACATACTAAACTTGTTTTTTCTCCTTGATCTTGTTCGTCCCCATCACCATTAGTCAAAACTCCATGACCATGGTCAACAGACCAGGAATCCGCCTCAGCCAGGCTGCCAATGCGACTGCCCACCCCTACTTGAGAGAACGCGAGCAAAGCCGAAGTGCTTCTTCGACCCAGCGCTCAACCAGTCGTCCAGGTCCAGGCTCGCCTCCAGTCCCCCCTGCTCAGTTTGAAAACACCACCCTAGTCGAATGTGCCCTCCACAAGCTCCAATGGCAACGGCTCGAGGAGGCACAACTACCTGTCTTCATCTCTCCTATGGCCAAGGATAACCTGCAGGCCCTTGACGAGGACGTCTTCCCCCTCTGGGAGAAGGTCCAAGAGTTCTTGGCGAGCGAGCGGCAGGTCATGTTGATTCTTGGTGACTCAGGTGCGGGAAAGTCGACTTTCAACCAATATTTGGAGCGCCAACTCTGGACCGTCTACCAGAACAGCGACCCCATCCCGCTCTTCATTAACCTCCCTGCCATCGAACGTCCCGCCAAAGATCTGATTGCGGAGCACCTCAGGACCAACAACTTTTCTGTGGAACAGATCCAGGAGATGAAACAATATCGCCAATTTGTCCTCATTTGCGACGGGTACGACGAGAGCCAGCTCGCCGTCAACATCCACACCACCAACCTCTTCAACCGGCCTGGTCAGTGGAACGTCAAGATGGTGATCTCCTGCAGGACCCAATTCCTAGGTCAAGACTACCGTAGCCGGTTCATGCCTGAAGGGTCTAGTCACTACACCCGCCAAGCTACCGACCTCTTCCAGCAGGCTGTGATCGCGCCTTTCTCCAAGAAGCAGATCAAGAATTATGTCGACAAGTACGTCCCCCTCGAACCGCGGACCTGGACCACCAAGGATTACATGGACAGGTTGACCACCATCCCCAACCTCATGGATCTGGTCAAGAACCCCTTCCTTCTCTCACTATCGCTGGAGGCACTGCCAGGAGTTACCGAGGGCAAGCAGGATCTATCGGCCATCAAGATCACGCGTGTTCAGCTTTACGACACGTTCATCAGGCATTGGCTGGCTGTCAATAGCCGCCGGCTTCAACGGAGCGTTTTGTCCAAGGAGGATCGGGACGTGCTGGACCAACTATTAGAGGCAGGATTTATTTCGATGGGTGTTGACTACTCCACCAGGCTGGCGTCGGCGATCTCTGAGCACCAAGACGGAAACCCAGTGGTGCAGTACGTTCACATCAAGGACAAGGAGTCATGGAGAGCCGAGTTCTTTGGTCCTGATCCTGAGACCCGACTTATGCGGGAATCATCGCCACTTAACCGTACAGGTAGCCAGTTTCGATTCCTTCACCGATCAATGCTCGAGTATTTTTTTTCACTTGCTGTCTTTGATCCCAGCAGCCACAGTGACCACGACGAATTTGCTCCGCAGTCCGATATTGGTTCCACTGACGTTGCATTGCTCGACGCCGAAGGTCCCTTGTTTAAGCGCAGCCTCCTCACCGAACCTTCGGTCATCCAGTTCCTGTGCGAGCGAGTCAAGCAGCACCCCGATTTCGAGAGGCAGCTCCTAGCCGTCATCGAGCAGTCAAAGTCTGACGCCAGTACTGCTACCGCAGCCGCCAACTCCATCACCATCCTCGTCCAAGCTGGAAGTCGATTCAACAATGCCGACTTCCGTGGCATCCGCATCGCAGGAGCTGATCTTTCCGACGGCCAGTTCGATTCCGCCCAGTTTCAAGGAGCCGATCTGAGAGGGGTCAACTTTACAAGGAGTTGGCTGAGGCACGTGGATTTTGGAGATGCACAGATGGACGGTGTTCGGTTTGGAGAGCTGCCATATTTGAAGGAGCACTCCCCAGTTAATGCCGTCACGTTTTCGCCCAATGGGAAGATGTTTGCTGTCTGTCTAGATGACGGAAGTCTCATTATCTACGACACTACAGCATGGACTCGAGCTTATCAACACAAAGAAAAGAGTGTGGTGTGGAGTATCGCCTTTTCACCCAACAACCAACACCTTGCGCTTGGGAGCATGAACGGAATCTGTCGATTATGGGATACTGTCAGTGGCGAGACTTTGTTGGTCATGGAGGGGCATGCAGGGTGGGTGAGGTCAGTGGCATTTTCACCTTGCGGCGAGCAGATCGCATCAGCCAGCGACGACGGAACGATTCGGCTGTGGAGCTCGGAGACAGGAGAGTGCTTGTTTGTCCTAAGTAACCATCGAGGCATCGTTTTGAGTGTCGTGTATTCAGCTGACGGAAGGAGACTTGTATCGGGCAGAGACGATGGGACGATTCGAGTGTGGGATCCAGAGACAGGAACACCAGAGGCTGATTTGATCATTCCCTATTTTCCTGGTGCTTCGCGCGTGACTGTTTCTGCAGATGGAAGGGTGTCCGCCCTCACAACTCATACGTGGAGCAAGATTCGCTTGGTGGATGCAATCACCGGAGAACAGGGTCTGATTCTCAAGAACGATATCAAGTGGCTACAAGGTGTTGCATTTTCTCCAATTAGCGAGTTGATTGTTTCGTCAAGCGATGATAAGACCGTTCAACTGTTGGACTCATCGAGTGGAAAACTCATTTCCATGTTTTCGGGTCATCGCCACCGGATCACCACCTGTACCATTTCCCCAGACGGCCTACAAATTGCTTCAGGAGATCGGAGCGGGATTGTACGAATCTGGGAGGTGAACACCAACTGGTCGAGTTCCATCATACAGGTAGTTGCCGCGAAAGTTCGAGCTGTGGTGTACTCTCATGACGGTCTGTCTATAATCTCTAGCCGGACCGACGACACCATTCGACGCTGGGACTCTTCCACAGGAGCCTCCGGACGCATTCCGCCATCGTTCACATTCGATGTCACCTCTGTCGCGATTTCACCGAATGGCCATTGGTTTGCGATCGGTTGCAAGAACGGGAACATTTGGCTGTTGAGCGTCCAAACCGATGTTCTTCAGCGCGTTCTCCGCGGACCTTCCAGCTACAAAGTTATTGATATGAGTTTCTCCCGCTGTGGTCGGTGGTTGGTCTCATGCAACAGCATGAGGTCTACACTATTGTGGGATCTTGATAATATCGATGATCAAGGCAAAGTGGTGAGTGAAATGGCCGATCAGTACAGCAGTGGAGTATCCGTGGTGTTCTCCCCCGTCGGAGATCACTTTGCCGTTGGATCGCTATCGAGGTTACCGAAACTTCTTCTTTTCGATCCCCGAGCTACAGACCTTCGTCAACCTCTGAAGGAAATGTATCTATCAGGCATGCTACTCCCAATGGACTACTCACCAGATGGCCAGCGACTCGTACTCGGTACTGAAGCCTCCTCGATCATGCTCTGGGACCTTCAGTCGTACAGGCCTCATTTCAAACTAGAAGGTCACACTGGCGCGGTGCTCAGCGTCGCCTACTCTCCTTGTGGCAAGTGGATCCTCTCTAGCAGTCAGGACAAGACGGTGCGTCTATGGTCAGGCGAGGTTGACAGTTGGTCCTGTGTTGCTGTTGTCAGTGGATGTTCAGAGGCCGTGAAAAGCGTTGCATGGAATCCGGTGGTGCCGATGGAGTTTGTCACTGGTTCCGATGATGGGTCTGTTCGAGTGTGGCGTATTTCGGGTGCCGAGACAGGAGACGTGTCGATTCGTATGCGCTGGAGCTCTTACATTGGACAGCTATACGTTGTTGGTCTGACATTCAAGGGAGCCGTTGGTCTCAGCTCGCTCTCCAAGAAGTTGTTGGTCCAGCGTGGCGCTATTGATGGATCGAACTCTGAAGAAGGAGGCGATGTATCCCTAGAGGGATGGAGTGGGCCAGGAATGGTTTGTGAGAAAAAGCAGAAATTATATTGGAAGGGGTCATAGTATGAGGATGGGTGGATGTGATGTGGGTGTGGATGTACATTAATAGATTTTCAACCGTGAATGGTGTTATGTAGGATCTTGGCTCCTATGACTAAAAAGCAATCAAGATTTTGCTATTTTCTCTCCTTCGTGATTGATAGTGCATTTAATTGTGCTCCAAGATTTCAGTGGCTGGGGGTCAACGCGATCAGATAAGATACGAAGGTTGCCTAGTCGGTTGACTGATCAAAAATTCAAATCCACAATCTTGTTTGTTTCACTGATGGTAAAACCATCTTTTGTAGATCGCTTCTTTTCAGGGTTGAAGGGGAACAGAATAAGGGTAAAGAAAGTCAAGCAAGGGGAGCAATGCGATAACAAGAGAACAAGCATGGCGCATCGTTTTGGTTTTTCACTTCTCTTGATTGTTTGTTTCTTGCGCCATGGTGTGGCAATTCCTCGTGTAACATCAATGAAAAAGGGCAGAAGAACAGTGTTTTTGGGAAGGATGAGAAAAAGCAAAAGTCATAGCCTTGGGCCATGTCCCAATGAGCAACAGACCTCAAACAAACAAACAAACAAACAAACAAACAAACACACATGGGGAGAGTCGGGTCCCTCCTTCTTTCTTTTCCGGCTTCTCTGTTTCTCTTTTCTCCCACACTCAGACGTGTTATCTTTTCATAGTCCTGCCTTCTTTGTTTTGTTGTTTCTTTTTCTTTGTCAACTTCCCTCAGCTCCACTTTGTTGAAACACCATCGCTCATCTCTTTCCTTCTTACAGTTCATTGCATTACAATTCATTGCGCTCTTCTTGGTCCATCCTGTCGGAATCAGTCTCACTGCCAACAACAAACACCAACAACACTAACACACTAACTAGAACAACACCACCAACAACAACAGCTCTAGAAACAGAATACAACAAACGCAACAAGCACACATACACACAGACATATATACACACACGCACGCACACTTACCACTCTGTCACCTCGACAACTGCTCCTTCCTTACCAACCAAAAACCAAAGAAAGTCCATCTCCCTCCATCAGTTAAACCAAAACCGCAACAACACCGAAACATCATAAAAGGCTCAAACTGCTCCAACAAAAGAACAAACAGTACGTTGAAGAAAGTATCCGTCTTCGCCATACAGAGTGCAACTGATCCTGGCTACGGACTTCTGCTCACTTCTTTCCTCTTTTTCTCTTATGAACAGTCTAATGCACCCAGCAGCCGCTTAGCCAGCACCCGAACCAACACAAAAAAGAACCCCTACTCTACATTTTGTGTAAGTACATTGCATATCTCACTTAGGACGGTAGTAAGCAATATCCGAAAAGGCAGGAAAAATAACCAATTTTGTTTTTATCTCGCACCCACAGCTGTCCTCGGTCTCCTTCAAACACCCATCGACCGACGTTGTTGACCAAACTCAAAAGCACATTCTCCAAACAACCAGGTAAACTTATACTACATCAGATCGTAAAAAGACTCTAAAAAGATGCAATTGCTAAATGATACTATCTATGGTTCATGTTGACACTGCTAGTGCTCTCACCATGTCGGACCATCCTCTCTATCAATTGGACCCCTATGTCCCTGGCAGCAACAGTGTTAGTAGCACCGCGCGCATCAGGAAGCGCGACAGGTTCCGCGAGTTCTGGGGCCTCTCCAAATCCAAGACCAAAGAGGTCAAGCTCAAGACCTCGAACCAGTCGCTTTACTCTCGACCTGCTTCACTGCTGTCCACTCGACCTCCCTCTGTTGTCTCCCAAGCCAGCAGCTGGCTTTCAGGCAACCGCCAATTTACTCGTACTACCGACAACCAATCTGCTTCTCCTACAAGCGACAACCAGTCTACCCCTTCCACCACCGTGCAGGAGAAGGTACTCTCAGCGTCCCTTTACACATCGCGTATTCTCGAGGACATCTTTGACGAGGATGTGCCCAGGCCCACCATGAAGACTGAGTTGCCTCAACCTCAGCAACGCATCAAGATGACGCAGCAATTGGTCTACTGCAACGCCTTGCTTCTACGGGATACATTGTCCCCATCGAAAGTTGTTACAGGAAAAGACGTGGGCAGGGCTGGCCCCCTTGTTCTTCAAGAACCCGTCTTCGACAAGGCGGAGCTCGACTGGTTGGAGACGACAAAGAAGGACCTCATGGAAGTAGATCGCCTGGGTTGGCTGGCCACTCGGGTGGTGGAACAGTTTGTCACCGATGCCAACAAGGACTTCACCAAGATCGCCGAGATCGTCGCCCTTGGACCTGTCTTGGAGAAGGAGCACTACCGCAAGCTGCTCTCGACCTTTATCAAGGAGTTCGACGATGATCGCATCCTGGACGTGAATATGATTCAAGGCCTAGTCCAGCTGGCTCAGGATACTTCTCCTGGGTATCTGGAGTCGGATGACTTGGTCAAGATCCTTGGCATCCTTAGAGTCCACCTGCAAGGCACTCACCAACAGTCGACCGAGCACTCCTACCACCTTACTCTAGCTGTCTCGAGGATCCTTGATGTCATGGCCGACCACAAGGTGCAGGATCTGGATCATGTCCTCGAACATGAGCCACTGTCGGGAGTCTTGTCGGGACTGAAGGATAGCTCGGACCCCTACTTGATGTACCAAGCCTGTTATGCCTTCCAGGCTCTCCAGTATGTGCCTGATGACGAGAGCGCTCTTCAAGCTGTGTGGAGGCACTCGATCGGTGTGGTTGACGGCCTAGTAAAGGTCACTGCCGTCTTCAGGCTGGACCTAGCGTCGGTTCTCGAAGGTCTGAGAAACTTGCAGGACGTTCTTGGTGGTGTGATATCAGTGACTGGTTCTGTGTACGAAGGGATCTGTTCGTTGATGGAGAGCGGCCGAGGTGTTCTGGACAGTTTGAAGGACGGACTTGGATCCGGCCAGAAGCAACTTTGGTATCCTGCTGTCAAGGCTGCCTATGCTTTTGCCCAGGCTGGTCAGCTCAAGGATCTGAAGGTGTTAATATTTGAGGCTCCTTGTCGCCGAGACCCTTTGTTCCAGTGGGGGATATGCCAACTGTTGAGCGAGATTGTTGTTGATCCCGCATGGGTTGTCTCTGCACGCCAACAATCCGTCACTCTCCTCGGTCATCTCTGCCAGCACGGTCAAGACTGGGGCCAGGATGAGAGCGTCAAGGCATGGATGCTCACCATCATCACCAATCTGTGCGCCTCCTCCGACCAAACCGTCAGTGGGACCGCCCGTTCTGTAATGCAGGATGTGACAGTGCACCAAAATGCCTTGATCAATCACCCTTACTTATTGAGGGCCCGTCTCCCCTTACCTTCCGCATCGCCACTCCTTTCCAAGGTCCAAAACATCCAGTACGTAGAGTACGACCTGCATAAGTTCCGGTCGCAGCGACTGGACGAGGCCAAACTGCCAGTCTACATCTCTCCTATGGCGAAGGCCAACCTCCAAGCCCACGATGACGAACTCTTCCCCCTCAAGGAAAAAGTTCAAGAGTTCTTGACCAGTGAGCGACAGGTCATGCTTGTCTTGGGTGGCTCAGGAGCAGGCAAGTCGACCTTCAACAAGCACCTCGAATCCGAGCTCCTGCGCACATACACCTGCGGTAGCCCTATCCCATTGTTCATCAACTTGCCCACCATCGACCGACCTGAGAAGGACCTCATTGGAGAGCATCTGAGGACCAACAACTTTTCTGAGGAGCACATTCAGGAGATGAAGCAATATCGCCAGTTTGTCATCATCTGCGACGGGTACGACGAGAGCCAGCTCACCGTCAACTTGCACACAGCCAACCACTTCAACCAGCCAGGTCAGTGGAACGTCAAGATGGTGATCTCCTGCAGGACCCAATTCCTAGGTCAAGACTACCGTAGCCGGTTCATGCCTGAAGGGTCTAGTCACTACACCCGCCAAGCTACCGACCTCTTCCAGCAGGCTGTGATTGCGCCTTTTTCCAAGAGGCAGATCGAGGACTATGTCGAAAAGTACGTCCCCCTCGAGCCGCGGAACTGGACCACCAAGGACTACATGGACAGGTTGATCACCATCCCCAACCTCATGGATCTGGTCAAGAACCCCTTCCTTCTCTCACTATCGCTGGAGGCACTGCCAGGAGTTACCGAGGGCAAGCAGGATCTATCGGCCATCAAGATTACGCGTGTTCAGTTGTATGACACTTTTGTGAGTCATTGGTTGGCTATCAACAGCCTACGGCTTCAACACAATACTTTGATGAGGGAGGACCGAGATATGCTGGATCAACTATTGGAGGCAGGATTTATTTCGATGGGTGTTGACTATGCTACCAGGCTGGCGTTGGCGATCTTTGAGCACCAGGAAGGAAATCCAGTGGTCCAGTATATCCACGTGAAAGACAAGAACTCATGGAAAGCCGAGTTTTTTGGCCCTGACCCTGAAGCCCGAATGCTGCGAGAATCGAGTCCCCTGACCCGCACTGGCAGCCAGTTTCGATTCCTTCATCGATCACTGCTGGAGTACTTTCTTTCATGCGCTGTTTTCGATCCCAATATTTATGGCAACAACGACGACTTTTCTACACGATTTGATCCTGCGTCCTCTAACTCTGCGTTGCTTGAGGCCAACGGTACCTTATTCAAGCGTAACCTCATCACTGAACCATCGGTCATCCAGTTCCTGTGCGAGCGAGTCAAGCAGCACCCCGATTTCGAGAAGCAGCTCCTAGCCGTCATCAATCAATCAAAGACCGATCCCAGTGCTGTCACCGCTGCCGCCAACGCCATCACCATCCTTATCCGAGCCGGGGTCCTTTTCAACGGCGCCGACCTCCGTGGCATCCGCATCGCAGGAGCTGACCTTTCCGAGGGTCAGTTTGACTGCGCCCAGTTTCAAGGAGCCGATCTGAGAGGAGTCAACTTTGCAAGGAGTTGGCTGAGGCAGGTGGATTTTGGTGATGCACGGATGGACGGTGTTCGATTTTGGGAGCTGCCATATTTGAATGAGCGTGTCGGAGTCAATGCTGTCGCCTTTTCTCCAGATGGAAAGTTGTTTGCTGTTGCTCTGCGTGACGGAAGTCTCATTATCTACGACACTACAGCATGGACTCGAGCTTATCAACACAAAGAAAAGAGTGTGGTGTGGAGTATCGCCTTTTCACCCAACAACCAACACCTTGCGCTTGGGAGCATGAATGGAATCTGTCGATTATGGGATACTGTCAGTGGCGAGACTTTGTTGGTCATGGAGGGGCATACAGATTGGGTGAGGTCAGTGGCATTTTCACCTTGCGGCAAGCAGATCGCATCGGCCAGTGACGATAGAACGATTCGGTTGTGGAGCTCGGAGACAGGAGAGTGCTTGTTTGTCTTGAACGGTCATGAACGAAGCGTTTTGAGTGTCGTGTATTCAGCTGACGGACGGAGACTTGTCTCAGGCAGTTTGGATTTGACGATTCGAGTGTGGGATCCAGAGACAGGAACACCAGAGGCTGACTGGGTCACCCCCCTTGTTGGCGCTTCGCGCATGGCCCTTTCTGCGGATGGAAGACAGTTCGCCCTCATAACTGGTTTCAGGGATTCTGAGATTCGCTTGGTGGATGCAATCACCGGAGAACAGGGTCTGATTCTCAAGAACGATACCGAGTGGCTACAAGGTGTTGCATTCTCTCCAATTAGCGAGTTGATTGTTTCTTCAAGCAAGGACAAGACCGTTCGGCTGTGGGACTCATCGAGTGGACAACTCATCTCCATGTTTTCGGGTCATCGCCACCGGATCAACACCTGCACCTTTTCCCCAGACGGCCTACAAATTGCTTCAGGAGATCGGAGCGGGATTATACGACTCTGGGAGGTGAATACCAACCGGTCGAACTCCATGACACAGAAACGTGCCGCCAAGGTTCGAACTGTGGCGTTCTCTCCTGACGGTCAGTTTGTAATCTCTTATTATAACAACAACACCATTCAACGCTGGGATTCTTCCACAGGAGCCTCCGGACCCATTCCGTCATCGTTCACAATCGATGTCTATTCTGTCGCGCTTTCACCGAATGGCTGTTGGTTTGCGAGCGCTTGTGGAGACGGGAGTATTCATCTGTTGAACGTCCAAACCGATGTTGAGCGCGTTCTCTTCGGATCTTCCAGCTGCCAAGTTGTTGATATGAGTTTCTCACGCTGTGGTCGGTGGTTGGTCTCACATGATAGCCTCAGGGTTACACGCTTGTGGGATCTTGATAGTATCGATGATCAAGGCAAAGTGGTGGGTGAAATGGCCGATCAGTACAGCGGTGGAGGATCCGTGGTGTTCTCCCCCGTCGGAGATCAGTTTGCCGTTCGATTGGGATTGTCGTTCTTATCAAGGCTTCGTCTTTTCGATCCTCGAGTGACGGACCATCGTCAACCTCTGAAGGAAATGTGTTTACCAGGCATGCTACTCTCAATGGACTACTCACCAGATGGTCAGCGACTCGTACTCGGTACTGGTGCCTCCTCGATCCTGCTCTGGGACCTTCAGTCGTACAGGCCTCATTTCAAACTAGAAGGTCACACTGGCGCGGTGCTCAGCGTCGCCTACTCTCCTTGTGGCAAGTGGATCCTCTCTGGCAGTCAGGACAAGTCGGTGCGTCTATGGTCAGGCGAGGTTGACAGTTGGTCCTGTGTTGCTATTGTTAGTGGATTCTCAGAGGCCATTACAAGTGTAGCATGGAATCCGGCAGTGTCGATGGAGTTTGTCACTGGTTCCGATGATGGGTCTGTTCGAGTGTGGCGTATTTCGGGTGCCGAGACAGGAGACGTGTCGATTCGTATGCGCTGGAGCTCTTACATTGGGCAGCTATACGTTGTTGGTCTGACATTCAAGGGAGCCGTTGGTCTCAGCCCGCTCTCCGAGAGGTTGTTGATCCAGCGTGATGCTATCAACGAGGGTGTGGAAGGAGATGACCTCGAGCCTCGTGAGGAGATTGAGTAGCCAGCCTATAACCCGGAAAGGTAGCGGCTGTTGTGGATGAGACGTGTGTGTCTTCATTTCTTTGCTCTAGCGTTTCCTTTTTGTCATCTCAAAGCCATCATCCTCAATGCTTCCATAAACATAGGGCCCTAAGAGAGTGACTAACTGACCATTCAAGGACACCATGGGAGATAGCAACTTTATTTTGTTTTGCCTTTTTGTGATTGAGGCCTGAGAGTAATATTTTTTTTCACAGAGAAGTGAATCATCCTCTTGCTCTTCTGTGGGCACAAATGCTGTGTAACTCTTGATACTTTTCATTTCTCTTCTTTTCGTATGCAGAATGGCCCATTGGCATTCCCTTTTCGCGGTTGCGGTTAACCTTTCATTACTTCATTTGCCTTTTCATCACATCCCCTTTTTTTCTTATTCTTTCCTTTTCTTTTCTTTTTTCTTTTTTCTTTTTTCTTTTTTTTTGGATAATGATAGGACATATCCTTTGCTCGTTTGAGCGGATGGGGATCTTTGATGAATTAATGAGAGTCTCCAAGCCGACATATGATGCGACGTATTACTCTGCCGAGTTGAAGAAGACTGCCTACATCTGTGTATAGGATGAGATGTAAGTGAAAACGGATGAAATTGGAAAGAACGCGCTTTTTTTTTTTCAGACACAGACCTATTAAGCAACTATTTGTAGCATGCCAGGTACAAACGCACTCATCATTTTTCTCCTTTTATTTCACTTGTGTAGAGCTGGGCGCCCAGACCTGCACAACCTCATTTTCAACAAGATCCCTATGCACATGACCCACATGTCCAAAAAAGTCCTCTCGTTCCAACAAAACCACGAAGGCGTCATGCTCCGCTTCAGCGACAACACTACCGTCCACGGGGACATTCTCGTCGGCGCCGACGAAGCCCACAGTAGTGTCCGTACGCATCTCTACAAGACTCCGGATGAACAGGGGTTTCTCCCAAAGGGGGATACCAAGACCATGAACAAGAGGTATATGTGCCTTCTCGTAACCACTCTACCCCAGGATCCGAATGAGGAGCGGTACAAGGATCTGGCGGTGGAGGATTCGAAATGCTCGTTCCATATTGATGATGACTCGATACCCCTTTACGTGGATGACGTACACGGTTCCCGGGAACCGGATCTGTTGGAATGTTGTGATTCAATTGGAGCTTGCTGAGATTGAGGAGGATCAATTCTGCCAGTCGGATTGGGGAGCCCGAGACAAATGGAAAGATTTTGGATCAGATTAGGGAGTTCAAGACGACGTATGGGAACGTTGGGGGATATTGTTGATGCTACGCCTAGAGATCGGATGTCGACGGTGTTCTTTGAGGATATGTTATTTGAGACTTGGAAAATGGGCGTACTGTTCTCATTATCGATGGTTAGTCAAGCGTGTTTTGTCATTTGTATGTGATATCTTTGTATTGAAGTATGATTTGGCTGATCAAACCGTTGTATTTTCATATTTTTTCATAGGTGCAAACAAGGTATACCACAGGTTGCCGTTTTCCTTTTTTTTTTTTAGCAAAGAAAACGGAGAGAAAAAAATAAAAGAAATAGCAACAGGTCGCTCACTTTATTTTTCTTATGTATGTTAGTTACTTCCAAGCACGGGACAAGGATCAGTGAATGCAATGATCGACTCGGTAGTCCTAGCCAACTGCCTCTACGACATCAAACCAACCAGTTACGACAACATCAAGGCTGCCCTAGGACACTACCGTGAACAACGATTCGAGAAGGTCAAAGCCCAATACGCAGACTCGCACCGCAACGCCAGGCTCCGCTACGGCCATGTACGCGTCTCTACCTATCCTCATGGTTGCAAATTCAAATCCCGCTGAAAAAAGAATTGTTGCCAACTGGGGTTTTTCTTATTTTCGGAGATAGACACTTTGGGAGCGAATAATTAAGTGTATGATCCTGAACTGGCTGCCACAGTCGATGATGGTGAAACGGGTCATAAAGGATTCGGCGTACAGGCCACAGTCGAACTTTTTTGCCGCAGGCACCTCAGCAGGGGAATGGGCCTGTCATCTCCCAGAAGCCCTCGACGCGTCCTCAGAAGGAGAGGGAGAATCAAGAAGAGACGACGGCGGAAGGGGTTGCTGCTTCTGCTGTTGCTGTTTGATCATGTCAATTGGAGGGGTTACAACGAAAAAAAATGCAGTTGAGAATAAAAGAAGATATAAAAAGGCCAAGTTCTCGCAAAGAAAAAAAAGTGTGGCAATGTAATGAACAAGAAATACATCGCACGACCATTTCTCTTGAATGCCCTCACCAGAAAGCGCCACTAACTCATTCACCATCCCGTAAGCACGTGACTATTAAGGGCTGTATTAATTTCTTTACAGCGTCTGGTGCCTCTGCGTTATGCCAGGTGGTTGAACAGGCAAGCGGGGATTCTTCCTTTTCCAACTCACCACCAAGAAATAATGGCTGTTACCATCCGCAGTGGCATTCGTTCTGGACAGAACCACGGACACATCACCACCGTCCGTGCGTTGAAGACTCCCATGTCCTACAAGAAGGGCGTCGTAAGTCACCGTGTCATCATCATCGATGGAGCGAGCAAAGAACGGAGGAGGGCTATCGATCGATGGATCGATGGACGAGTTTGGGGTGGATATATGCGGTGGATACACGATGAGATGGTGGATTGGAAGGAAACAGAGTTCGGGATTCGAATTGCGCATTCACTTCGTCACTAGTCTACAGGAAAACGACCAACAGCAACACTGCTCCCCATCCCCCAGTAACCATCACCCATCAGGAAGGAACCATCAACTTTATACCTACAACTTGAGCTTTTAGAAGGTGGAAAGGAGAGAGAGAGAGCCGGTAGTAGGATTACGATCGGTCTTTGCAGAGGAATTGCAGCAACGAACCCAACATCCGATTATGTGGCCGATACACTCACGTCCCCTAGCAATCAATTGTCTCAGGAAGCAACCTAGCAGCACAGAACAGGAGATCATGTCGAACGTTTGATCCCATGGGTTCGATTGTTCTACCCACTCACCTTTTCATCAACAGCAGGACCTCACCAGGCCAGTGAGCAAGCAATAGCACAGGAGGAACAGAGAGGAGAATGAGGCGGAAGAGAGATCTACAAAAGAGAGAGTTCACACAGCGCCAACAGAACTATACAGGACACAGAAACAGAGATCTTGATCAGCCCAACTCACCAACTTCCCCTTTTTCCCCACTACCTATTTGTAGGCTGGCAAGCGCGTCGTCTTCGTCCGCTCCCTCATCCGTGAGGTCGCTGGCTTCGCTCCCTACGAGCGCCGCATCATGGAGTTGATCAAGAACTCCAAGGATAAGCGTGCCCGTAAGCTCGCCAAGAAGAGAGTACGTACCTCCCGTTTTTCTACTTGGACCCCCTCTTTGGCGGCCACAGGACACAGCAGGATTGACAGGAGCGACCTTTTACTGTGAGAGTGGCCTGGGATACCTTGTTTCTGCAGGATCTCGATGACCTTTCACACAACATATCGACAAATCGACAGTTTCTGCAACCACGTTCCACTCAGCTTCAGGACTCGTTTTCCTTATGTTGCCGGACCTGCATACGTGAATCCGCCTAGGAATCGCACAATGACAGCTGGGAAGAGGTCATGAAATGCAGGCAGGGTGCCCTTTCCTTGTAGCAGGGTGCGTGTGCCGCCTGCAAAGAAAAGAGTGACAAACAGCACATTTCCTCGCCAAAGCGCTACACAAATCGACAACTTCGCGGTCACCAACAACCGCACCTTTGTTTTTCAGAACACACGTTGACAACCTTACGAACTATCTTGCGTAGTCCTATCTCTGTGAATGTCCTTTTGCACACGGCTAACCAAATCCTCGTTTTCTCTCTCATTTCTTCTACCTCCAATCAACCAGCTCGGAACCTTCCTCCGTGCCAAGAAGAAGGTCGAGGAGATGACCGCTGTCATCGCCGACTCCCGTCGTACTGCCCACTAAATTGTTTCCTCGTAAGAGAAGCAATTCTGTACCACAAAATAAAAGAAATAACACGACTCTTTCGTTTTGTAGCCATTTTTCACAACTATATGGACAGGGGGGGAGTGTGCAGTGCTTGTTACTTTTTCCTGGGTAGCGCGTGCGGTGATGATTTCGTGGCAGATCGTTGGGTCGCAAGAGCTAAAATAATATCAGCACAAAGGAACAATAAACAGCGATTGACTACGGTATGACGTTTAGACTGCTGTTGGCCCAAGCCCTGACGTTGTTGGTCCTTTGGTCTTCTTTCTAGACTTTACGCCTATCAGTTCGTTCTTCAGGGCTATTCACCGGAAAAGATATCACCCAGCACTGCCAATCAAATGCGTTCTTGATATGTATTTGTGTATCGGCATTCTCTTATCTCCACTTCTTTTCAGCTGTCTCTCTCTCTCTCATCCTGCGCCATCTCTGTGCGATGGGTACTGGCCTAATTGCTTGTTTGTTGTTTGCGTTTTGTTGTATGGTCGTTGTGTGTCGGGAGTGGGCGAAAAAGGGTTTCGGTCATTGCGCCCGGACGCAATTCACCCGATTTGGCAAAAGTGCACAGTAGCGATATGAGAGTGAAAGGGAGGGAGAAAGAACGGGGTTATCTGGATTTTGACCGAATGCCGTGATGAGGATACGAACCGGGAGAGGACCAAGGAAGGAGAGGGATGAATGTTGTCGCAGCGAGTACGCGAAGAGGTTCAACTTCTTCCGAGACAAGACGTTGCAATTTTTTTCACTTTACGGTGTCGTGATGATGATGATGACGCTCTCCTTATTGTGCCTTGGAGCCTTGGATAAAAGAGGTGCATTATTCATTGCTAACACACATAAACACATCTCTTCTTCTCTCCCTTTTAACGACGCCCGTCCTTCTCCACTCTCCACTCTCCACTCCTTCTCTCCACTCCTCTTCTCTCTCTCACACCCTCCTCCCACTCATTTTCAACAGTTAACAACACAAAATGGCGGCAACATACCAGGCGCAGACACAGAAACAACAGGCAGCTATTGCCCCCACTGGAGTTGGCCTCTATGCACGATTCGCACTCGCCGGTGCCATCTCCTGTGGTACCACCCACGGCTCTCTTACTCCAGTCGGTAAGCACCTCTCCCCTTATCTCCTTTCCTGTCCCTTTTGTTTCAGTTGAACTCGCACACTTTGCATACTGCGATTCTTCTGTCTGACTCCTACTCTGTTCATGTTTTCAACTGTACGTTGCTGATTGATAGATGTTGTCAAGACTCGCATGCAACTCGACCCTGTCACCTACAACAAGGTAATTTTTTTCTTGGCAAACAACGCTGCAAACAACGCTGCAAACAACGCTGCAAACACAGAGAGCGTTGGCTAAACAATGCTGCGTTCATGATGTCATCTTCATTCCTCCTCTCCTCCCTTTCATGCACACATTCCAACTGCTGCAGCATTCTAATTCCTATCATGCCTAACAATTCACTCACAAAAAAAAAACAATAGGGCATGATGGGCTCGTTCAAACAGGTCATCAGGAACGAGGGAGCAGGTGCACTTTTGACAGGATTCGGACCCACATTCATCGGATACTTTCTCCAGGGTGCCTTCAAATTCGGAGGATACGAGTTCTGGAAAAAGACTATTATCGACCAAATCGGTGAACAACGCGCGATCGAGAACCGAATTGGTGTCTATATGGTCGCCTCGGGTGTTGCAGAATTCATTGCAGATATTGCCCTATGCCCGTTGGAAGCTACTAGGATTCGTCTTGTGTCGCAGCCGACGTTCGCGAAGGGGCTGGTGTCTGGGTTCAACAGGATCCGGGTAGAGGAGGGAATCGCGAGAGGGTTCTATTCAGGCTTTACACCGATTGTGTTCAAGCAGGTGCCGTACACGGTCGCGAAATTCGTGGTCTTTGAACGGGCGAGCGAGTCGATTATGAAGAAGTTGGGTGGAGACCATGACTCGTTGTCGGAGAGAACCTTGACCGGTGTGCATCTCGTCTCTGGTCTGATCGCCGGATTTGCGGCTGCTGTGATCTCCCAGCCGGCGGATACATTGTTGTCAAAGATTAATAAGGCGCCGGGTGATGGACCTATCACGACGAGGTTGGCTGGGCTGGCGAGAGAGCTTGGGTTCAGGGGACTCTTCCTTGGCCTTGGACCTCGTATTATCATGGTAAGCTTGCTCCATTCTTTCTTTTGTTTTGCGTGGTGTATGCGATACAAACATGTGGATGCGTGTATGACATCATGGTGCAAGTTCCTGATGCCCTTTTTGTTCCGTTGTTACTGTTTGTGTGAAATATTAGGTCGGCGCTCTTACTTCGCTGCAGTTTGGTATCTATGGCGAGTTGAGGCGAGTCTTTGGCGCTGGCGAAGGCGTCATTATCATGAAGATGGCCGACGACTAAGTTGTCCTCGATGTACAATATGCTACACTCTCTGTAATACCTTCCTTCCTTCCCTCCCTCGCTCCTATTCTACCCTCCCCGCTCTTTACCCCTTCCTCTTTTGTAGAGTCTCTCCATCCCCTCTCTTGTTCATTTGGACATGTAAACAGAACACTTTTTTATGAATACACAAACATACACATGACCCCTGCATTTGAGAAGAAAGAATTGCGTGCAAACAAAGGCTCAATTGCTATTTTTTGTTGCTTTCTGTGCTGCCACATGCTTTGACCACCACACTCCAAAGTTTCTACAGACATGCATACCTCACAGGAAATAGATGTGTGGAAAGACGAAAAAGAATGAGAGACGCTGTATTTACTAGAGAAAACAGGGTATGATATATGAATGTGCGTGCGGTGTGTTGAGTTGTGTCGTATGTAAGTGAGAGTAGAGGAGTGTGCAATTGCGGGGTTAGAGAGTCTGTGGAAGAGAGAAGAGGGGAGATTGAAAAGAAGAAAAGTATCCGAGTTCTAGACTTGGTCGGCGGTGTTGGCACGAAGACGCTGGACTTCACTCTGGGACTCCTTTAACTCGTTCTCCAGCAACTTAATCCTCTGCTCCAGCGCCGCAACCGTCGCCTGATTATGCTCGACCGTCTCAATTGCAACCGTCCCTGTCAACTTTACAACTCTCCACAACCGGAAGATAATCAACAGCGCTCCCAACTCCTGCTCGGCACCCTTCAAGAACACCTCCAGCAAGAACGAGATGATAATGATCAACGCATCCAACAAGTGCAAAATTCCATGTGGATTCCCTGTCCAGAAGAAACCGAGTCCGAAAGAGTAGACCTTGAGGACGATTTCGAGGACGAAAAAGGAGACGATGGCGAGGGAGGTGTGGGCGAGAATTTCGAGGAACCATTGGGCTTCCTCTGTATCGTCCAGGTGGAGGAGGGATGCGGCGATTTGGAGGATGACGAGGGCGACGTCGATGGCGGTCAGGGTTAGGATGAGGATGTGGGCTCTCTTGGACTCGAGGATCTCGCCAATCTGGTGGCGGGTTGAGATGTCTTCTTCCGAGGAGGCATTGATGGGGTTGGTGTCGTTGTCATCGGTTGGGATCGCGCCGTAGGATGATTGTGACATGATGACAGAGAGGGAAAGTGGAGAGTGGAGAAAAAGGGGTGATGAGAGAGAAGAGGAAGAGAGAAGACGAAAAAGAGAACAGGAAAAGAGAAAAGGAAAAAAGAGGCACCGTTGGAGGTTTGTCTGTGTACCGACACGAGGAAGGCGCTCACAGCGATTCTTTTTCCCCTTCTCTCTTCCCGCTCTCCCGTCAGGCGGTGTTGATTATGTCAATTTGAGCACAGGAGCACAGGATGCATGGTGCCTGAGCGCCTCTTGTTTTTCTCGAGAAAACTATGTAGCCTGTCCTTTACAATCCATTGTGGCATAAGGAAGCAAAGGCTAGTCATGTTCGATTTGCTTCTCCCATGCACTCTGAAGCAAATACAATAAACCGGCAATGAATGGATGATAGATAGCCAAGAGAGTCTCCGTCCTCCTTCGTTCGTTCAATGCTTTTCTACTGAAGGCTGGACATAACTGAACAAAGCAGTCACCAAAAGTGACTGTCATCTGAACACAACAACACTTTTCTTTTTTTTTACTTTTTACGGTTGGCACACGCTGGACTCACTTTCCTTAGCTTCGCATCAGACAACGGACGACAACAACCAACGCCGACCGCATCAACCCATCACACAGGACACAAGGACACCCTTCTGCTACTACCACCCAGAAACACATCCACCCACACAGTTTCTAGCCAACTTACATCAACAGAGCAGAGTCAGCATGGTATGTCAAAACAACAACACCACTCGCATCAACTCGCACTCTTTGAAGTTACCAACGGGCTTGTGCCTGAGTGTTACTTGTCTCTGAGGAACTCACGACAACTCAACTCATCTCAGCTGCAACTCGACGCTAACCACAACACTTGCACTCTCCTACTTATCACATTCACGAATAAAAACAATAGGGAAAGACAAAGTCAACAAAAAAGTTCGCGCTGGTTAAGCGCATGATCAACCCCAGCGACGCCCGTCTCAAGGTCAACCAGGAGAAGCTCAAGAAGAAGGAGGAGGAGAAAGAAAAGAAGGTTGTCCGTCACATGTAAGCATTTACGTCCAGGAATATCAAGGACAAGCAGCCTTGTGCTTATTGGAAACAGCAACATGCGAACGACATACGGCCGGTTTCTAACACCACCTACGCTCATACCTACCTTCTCCTCAACCAAAATAATAGTCCACAGGTGGCATCGTCAATGTTCTTCAACTACAACTCGGCTCTTGGACCCCCATACCGGATCCTGGTCGACACAAACTTCATCAACTTCTCCATCCAGAACAAGATCGAGCTCGTCAAGGGCATGATGGACTGCCTCTACGCAAAATCAATCCCCTGCATTACCGACTGTGTCATGGCTGAACTCGAGAAACTCGGACCCAAATTCAAGGTCGCCCTCCGTGTCGCTCGTGACCCCCGGTTTGAACGTCTGCCCTGCACGCATAAGGGTACCTATGCAGATGACTGTCTAATCGAACGTGTGATGCAGCACAAGTGTTATATTGTTGCGACCTGTGATCGCGATTTGAAGAGGAGGATAAGAAAGATCCCGGGTATCCCAATCATGTACCTTTCGCAGAGGAAGTATACGATTGAGCGACTCCCAGAAGCTTACGGCGCACCCACCAACTAATTGTTTTCACATGCTCACATACACTCTTTTTACGCGGTTGTTATTTTTTGTCATGGCAACGGCCACTTTGCATTTTTCTCCCCCATTTCTTTCATTCCTCACTCACTCATATCAAATGAATAAAAAGTCCTCCTTTTTTGCTGGCAAAATAATTATCTCTGCACTTTCTTTACATGTGTCTCCAGTATCATTGGCAAGTACATCATTTCTCTGAACGCTGTGTTTTATTTTGACAAGGCAAACATCGGTAACTTTTTCTGCGATATTAATGTACAAGTGCGAGAAGCCACGAGATGAAAAGCTACTACTGCTATTGTTAGTGGTGAGAGCGGAGCTGGTGTTGGTGCTGGCGTAGACCACGTCAGATTCCAATGCGAGAGAGAGTACGAGGGAAAAGATCAGTGGGCGACAAGCAGCCCAGAAGAGTCCGTGCGAAGATGAGGCTAATCTTTGCAGGCCACGAGTAGTTCACTCGACCAGCAGCTAGCTGGTAAGGATCAGAGTAGAGATCGTGGGGAGTGACGGTGGCGGTGTGTTTGTTGAGGCAGAGCAGGTTAAATAGTTCTACAGCTGGGTTCCATCCATGAGGTTGTAAATGATGAGGTGCTGGCATTCCATTGGGAGATGAGAGAGAAGGTCTATTGTGAATTGCGAATCGGAAATGGAATGCCGATGAAAAGACAATGGAGTGACGAGGAAGGTAGGCAAAACTTGTGTATTTTTGTGGTTATGGCGGAGGAAAGCAAAGAAAGGGGCAGATGAAACAAGGATACACATTAAGCGTGTGTGTGAAAGTCAGAAACGACGCCACCATATTTACATGTAATGGATCCACCCAAAATAGTCCCCGGCCAGACTCATTTTTTATGCTTTCTGGCACAAGGTTCATTCAAATGTCGTCGCAAAATGTGCACGTCGTGTTTTTAATTGTTGCAATAGTACATCCACTGCGGCTACTCCTCCTACTGCTTCTTTCCTCTGTGGGCTCTTTCCTCTCTGAAGGACAATAGCTCTACTAGGGTCCTAGGCTCTACAACAGCACCGCGCTAGACCAACAACTTGCGATAGATCGGACTGAGACCAACGGCTCCCTTGAAATTCAGATTCGCGGTGCACAGCCGCCCGATGTGAGAGCCCCAGCGCATACGGACCGAAACGTCTCCTTCTTCGGCAACCGAAATACGCCACACTCGAACAGACCCATCATCGGAACCAGCGACAAACTCTAAGGGGACCACCGGATTCCATGATACGCTTGTAACGGCCTCTGAACATCCACAGACAACAGCAACACAGGACCAACTGTCGACCCCGCCTGACCAGAGACGCACCGTCTTGTCGCGACTTCCTGAAAGGATCCACTTGCCACATGGAGAGTAGGCGACGCTGAGCACCATGCCAGTGTGACCTTCGAGGTTGATATCAAGCTTGTCTGATTGAAGGTCCCAGAGCAGGACCGAGGAGGCATCAGTACCAAGTACGAGTCGTTGGCCATCTGGCGAGTAGTCCATTGAGTTTAGCCTGCCTGATAAAGTCACTTCCTTCAAAGGTTGGCGGAGGTCTGTGACTCGGGGATCGAAAAGACAAAGTCTAGATGGGACTTTTGAGCTTGATGGCAATCCAACTGCAAGCTGATCTTCGACGGGGGAGAACGCGACGTAATCTCCCGGGCAGTGCAAATCGGCCCTCTCTTGATCATCGGTACCATCAAGGTCCCATAATCGTACAGACCCTACACCGTTGCGTGAGGCCAACCACCGACTACAGCGTGAAAAACTCATATCAAGAACTGGGTGGTCGGAAGTTCCGAGGAGAACGCGCTCGATAACATCGGCCCCGACGTTCACCAGCCGAATATTCCCGTCTCTGCAACCAACCGCAAACCAATGGCCATTAGGTGATAACGCGACCGAGTATACATCGGGTGTGGACGATGACGGAATGGATCTGGAAGCTCCTGTGGATGAGTTCCAGCATTGAATGATGTTGTCGCCACTATGAGAGATTATAAACAGACCGTCAGGAGAGTATGCCACAGTCCGAACCTTGGCGGCAAGTTCTTGTGTGGCGGAACTCGACCGGTTAGTGTTCACCTCCCAGAGTCGTATAATCCCGCTCCGATCTCCTGAAGCGATTTGTAGGCCGTCTGGGGAAAAGGTACAGGCGGTGATCTGGTTGCTATGGCCCGACAACTTGGAAATGAGTTGTCCATGCGATGAATCCCACAGCCGGACGGCGTTGTCCCCATTCACCGAGTCATACAGCAGGATGGTATTGTCCCCACTCGGCGAGTCGATCGACATGCCAATTGGATAGAATGCAATATCTGTTAGCGAGGTGGCATCACAGTTCGGAATCAGACCCGCCTCTCTGGTCATTGCATCCACGAGTCGAATCTCGGCACGCATCGAACCAGCCATGAGGGCGAACTGCCTTCCATCTGCAGAAACGCCCACGCGCTGACAATTAACACGAGGGATCACCCAGTCAGCCTCTTGTGTTCCTGTCTTCGGATCCCACACTCGAACCGTCCTATCAGTGCTGCCCGAAACAAGTCTCCGTCCATCGGCTGAATATCTAGCACTCAAAACAATATTTCCATGACCCTTCAAGACAAACAAGCACTCTCCTGTCACCGAGCTCCACAACCGAATCGTGCTGTCATCGCTGGCCGACGCGATCTGCTTGTCGTAGGGTGAAAATGCGACCGACCTCACCCAACCTGTGTGTCCCGCCATGAACAACAAAGTCTCGCCATTAACAGTATCCCATAATCGACAGTGCCCGTTTTTGCTCCCAAGCGCAAGGTGTCTGCTATCAGGTGAAAAGGCGATACTCAACACCCCACCACTCTTTTCTTTGTGTTGATGAACTCGAGTCCATACTGTAGTGTCGTAAGTAATCAGGCCTCCGTCGCTTAGACAGAGTGCAAACACTTTCCCATTGGGCGAAAAAGCGACGACTTCAATTGCATCGCGCTCTTGTCGATATAGCAGCTTCTCAAACCGAACATCATCCAGCTCCTCAAACCGAACACCGTCCATCTGTGCATCACTAAAATCCACCTGCCTCAGCCAACTCCTTGCAAAGTTGACACCCGTCAGATCGGCCCCCTGCAACTGCGCGGAATCGAACTGACCGTCGGAAAGATCTGCTCCTGCGATGCGGATGCCTCGAAGGTCGGCGCCGTTGAAAAGGACCCCGGCTCGGATAAGGATGGTGATGGCGTTGGCAGCGGCGGTGGTAGCAGTGGCATCGGCCTTGGACTGCTCGATGACGGCTAGGAGCTGCTTCGCGAAATCGGGGTGCTGCTTGACTCGCTTGCACAGGAAGTGGATGACCGATGGCTCGGTGAGGAGGCTGCGCTTGAACAATGGACTTTCGACATCGAGCAACGCAGGGTCAGTGGAACTAATATCGGACTGCGCAGCAAATTCGTCGTGGTCGTTGTAACTGCTAGGATCAGAAAATAAATACACGAACAATGATCGGTACACGGAGGCATCGGGTGTCTTTTGGGCGATCGTAGTTGAGAAAATCATCGGGGATGGAACAGTGGGAGCTGAAACAGGGACAGAGAGTGTTGTGGCAATAACAGTGGATGCTGAGGCTGGAATAATAGGCGTCATTAACACCTTCATGAGATCTCCACCAGTCTCAGGCAGCTGAACCGGCTCCGTGCTTCCCGTTGCCATTGACATATAGTCGCTTGGAATAGAGACGCCGTCCAGAACGGCATCCTGGAATAGGTTCCCAGATTTGAGCAAGATGGTGATGGCATTCGCCGCGGCCATGCTAGGAGCGGAGGACACCTTAGATTTCTCGATGGCTGAGAACAGCCGCTTCCTCAAGCGTGAATCCGATATAGCGCGGTCCACCAAAAACTCCAGGACCGACGGTTCCTTGAGAAGATTGTGCTTGGAGAAGAGGTCGCTTGATGTGGAGGGACGTGACTTGGTGGTGTTGCCTTTTCTTTTGGAGCCGGCATCATCCTTTGGCCGACGGGAGCCATCTTCATCCCCGTTGGAGCTGTCCTTGTCACCGCGAGAGCCGTCGTTGTTGCCACCTGTGGAACTCCCACCGCTGCCAGCAGATGAATTACCGCCGCCGCCAGACGAGTTTTGGTTCCCGCTGGCAGAGCCACCATTACCACCAGACGACCCACCGTTGCCACCCGACGATCCACCATTGTTGCCTGTCGATTCAGCATTGCCGCCAGTTGAGTCCCCGTTTCCGCCTGTCGAGTCGCCATTGTCGTCAACCAGGCCGTTGCCACCATCGCCCAAAGAATTTCCTCCGCCGCCATGGAAGCCATCTCCCCCGCCTCGGGAATCGTCATCGCCGTCATCGCCGTCATCAAAGTCACCGTCATCGCAGTCGTCGGGATCGAAGAAGGCGATGGAGCGAAAGTAGTCGAGCAATGACGTGTGAATGAACTGGTATTCTATTCCTGCTCGTTTCAAAGGACTAGCGTCACGTAACAATCTGGTCTCGATTTCTGGCCCAAAGAACTCCACCTTCCATCCTTTTTTGTCCTTTCGTAAGAACGTGACGACAGGATTGCCGCCTTGGTGATCATATATAGCATTTGCGAGTCTCTTGAGGTATTCGGTGACGCGCCGGGCAAATCCGTCCTCGAGAAGATTGTCGAAGGCCGCGCGAATATCTTGCTTGGATATGGTACCTTCGAGTCGATCGCGTTGAACCCGAACCCACTCTTGAACGAAACCGTCGTAGAGATGGTGTTGCATGGCTCGAAGACCTTTGGAATCTAGAGCCTCGATCGACCGCGACGGCAAGGCCTTCAAGGCGAGGGTCAACAGGAACGGATTCGAGACTAGGTTCATCAAGTTGGGGATAACAGAGAGTTTCTTCCAGTAGTCATCGAAATTTGGAGCGGACGGATTGTCGGAAGGCACTTGGGCGGCAAAGTTGAGTACATACTGCCTGACGAATTCCTGGATGTCGCTCTCCTGGAATGGAGCAATGGTCGCCTCCTCGAAGAGTCCAGAAGTGTTTTGGTATTTGTCGTTTCCAAGAGGGTAGAATCGGCCTTGATATTCCGGACTGAGATAGTTACTGCGGCAGGTGATGATCGTCTTGACCTTCCACTGTCCCGGTCGATTAAGTCCGTTGGTGGCGTGAAGGTTATGAATAAGGCGAGGTTCGTCGTATCCGTCGCAGATCAGTACAAATTGTCGACGGTCCTTCAAGTTCTGGATTATCGGCTCCGAAATGTTGTGGTGTTGCAAGAATTTTTCGATGAGGCCGCAGTGAGGGTTGTCGATGGAAGATAAATTGATGTAGAGTGGGATCCTGCCACCGTCGCTGTGTTGGTGTTGGTTCCATAGTTCCCGTTCAAGCTGCCTGCAGAATATCGACTTTCCAGAACCAGAGTCTCCTAGTAACAGGAAGACAAGTTTGTTTGATTGTAGGAACTTTTGCACTCTCGCCATCAAAGGAGGTGACTCGTTTTCTGGTGCCGGCAATGTTGCCTTCGCGCGGAGTGGAATGGAGATGGGATGTAAACACTCTTCGAGGCTTCGGAACCGAATGCAAGCTAGCTCGTGATCAATGTCGGCTATGTCCAATGCTCGCTCGAGAAGAGGGAACACTGTCGGTATCGGCAAAAGCGTATGCAGTGCGCGGCATTCCTTAATGTCGAAGGTGTGCTCCTGCTGCAGGTCGTCAAGCAATGTGCGCGCATGACTACTGACTTCTGGCGATGTCGAACTGGAGATTTGTTGAAGAATGGACGCAACCCACTTCCTGACCTTGATATCTTTCCTCCGGACTGCGTCAGTTTTGAAAAGCTCTCCCAGAAAGTCAATGGCACTCCTACGACTCCCATCATCCCATAGCGGGTTAAGAGCAACCTCTCCAAGGATCTGGCAAACTCCGCGCTGAAAGTTGACGTCGTAATGGCAGGTGGCATCACAGACCAGGGTGTTGAAATCGACCAATCGACCGTCCTGGACAAACAAATATCCCACCTGTAAGGCGAGAAACCAGGGCTGCTTTTTCTGGGACCAGTAGGCCATTTCAGCGGCCTGGGAGGCTCCTTCCGCAGTTGCTTGAAAGGCCCGGACGCCATCAACGCTGAACTTGACGAGATCAATAGCGTTGCCAGCAACTTGCTGGATATGATCTACAGCAGCAAGGGCACTCATGGGATCCAACTTGAAGACGCTTCCGACAGCCGAAACTCCGACTGCAACCGACTCGGCGTATCGCAAAAACGCCTGAAAGGACGTCTCGTCGTCAGGAAGATACAATGACATCTGGTAGGCGTAGCTGACTAGGAACTTGAGAAACTCGTCATCGTCCACGCCTTTCAGGTTGCGCAAAGCTGCCAAAAGCGGTTGATGGTCTCGCTGGCGGTTCAAACCCTTGACCTCTCCCCTGACCATGACCTCTAGGACCTTGGAGATTGCAAAAACCAGATAGTAGATATGAGCTCTGTCAGGCGCATGGGTGGATTCTAGGCGCATGCGAAGAGAGCTCGCGATGCGGACCAAATCATCATCAGTCAGAAACCCGGACGGTGCGGACTGGAGCAGTTGGATCATTCCTTGAAGAAGGTCATTGAGCAGAGCAGACTTGTCGAATCGCTCAATGAACCACGAGAGCAATGCACGATAGTCGGCTTCACAAAGAACGGGACCAAGGATAACTACTTCAACGATAGCTTCAGGTCCAGGAGATGGATCCTTAAGGAACTCTGCGACTAACTTGGACACCAACCAGCGAATGCGAGTCTGCGCTGATAGATCGTCCTGAATGGCGTCCAACCATTGGCGTTCAGCATCATCGAGGACGCAGACCCCGGTGGGCCTGCTTTGAGATGTTGAAAGATGATGGTCCTCGATCAACAGTCTGGCACAAAACATGAGCTGCAAGGTGGATTCCATCCGTGCTCGAATATGTATAGGAGTTGGAGATCGAACTGTAGGTTTGGGAGCGTTCGCATGGAAAATATCGTATCGAAGGGCGGAAGTCACCAAACGCGAAGGCTGAGCTGTGCCGCGTGAGCCGGTCGGATTGGAAATGAGTGGTTGAGGAGGAGGAATGTTTCCTTCTGACTGAAGAAGTTGTACCGTTTCTGACTCTCGTGTAATGGTAGCCCCTGTCGATTCAGGAGTATCGACAGTGATGACTGGTACCGAGACGTCTGCAGGTGATCCTGAGGGCAAGGCGTGGGGAATCTTCTTGGATTTATATCTACCAAGAAGACGGGCTTTCCGAATAAATTTTGAAAAGAATCCCGAATCGCTGCTATAGCCCCTTTCAGACCTATTATCAGGGTTTAATTCCAGAAGGCTGACATCCGTGGTGCTGCTGGAGTTGGTCCTGCGGTGGACCTTCTGTGTGACGTTGAGGAACCTCGACGAAGAGGCAGGAGTAGGAATATCACCAGGAGATAAGACAGTCATTCTGCGGGAATCATTCAAATGCAAAAAAAATGAACACTGTTAATAGCTGAAGTGTGTAATTTGGCGTCGCGACAATACAATAAACAACTGGCTTATACCTTTGTGGTGTCCAAGATAATTCAGAGGAAGAATGGCGGAGTGATGAGAGTATCGAACTTGAAAGAGCTGGAACTTGACGCAACTATTTTTTATTGTAACAGGTAAATTGTAAAGATTTAGTGAGCGGTTGTATTGACGACAGCATGGAGACATTATAATTAAACATTCCTTTAGCATCCATACCTTTGTGGTTCCCAAAGAACTTTTTGAATGTGGGAAGCTGCGATACCGCAGAGAGTTTTTTTTTGGATATGTATGACAGGTGAAGCGTACTGTGAAGATACATAAAGACACGATGTTAGCGTCCGACGATTACATGAATTGATTCCAAAATTCTAATAATTACTTTATGCTGTATTACCTTTGAGCGCAATGGTCTGATAGAAAGCTGACGCTTCTGGATGTTCGAGAGATAAACGAGTCTGCTGCTCTTTGACGCAGTCTGAAAAGGTGGTTGGTGTAGGTTTCGTCGGTACGTGTAGGTCTAAATAATGTACACGTTGCAATGAGAGACAGGGTAAATAGCTGACCATGAGATCGTACTGGTACGAGAATATTATTTTTTAACTACTTTTCATTCCTACCAAGGAGAGAAGAATGTGTTGTTGCAGTGCTGTTTGTTGTTGCAGTATGTGTAATGTGTTGTTGTAGTATGAGTGCTGTTTGCTGCTTGCTGTATGATGTTTGTTGCGCCGGGCGAATACTGTAATGTGACCTCCTGCCCGGGTACTAGGAGCACGATACCTATAGGAAACACACGTCGGTTAGTAGCTGGCGTATGTTGCTCTGGTCATACTGAAAGTGACAACAAGACGGCACACTTACAGTGTTCGCGGACGATAGGCTTTTGTTTATGCGCAACCGAGTAGAGAAGAGGTGCAAAAGGAGCAGACGCTGAGATCCTACAGCTGTTAGACGGAATATGAACACGGCGGGGTTTAGATTTACATCTTGAATTGACGAGCTTTTCTTAACACTGTCTACATGAACTAAGGAGAAAGCGTCAACGTACTAGACTCTGAAAGGTAGAAAAGTGTCGCTAATGCTTAGAAGCGCCCGATGCTGTTGTCTCGGTGGGAGTGAAAAGATGATTAAGGTGACGGAGTCGAAATGATTCGATTCCTGATGGTCGGTTGAGAGTCAATGCGGTTGGCGAGTTGATGATTCGAGGATGGAGAGATCACTAAAGTGAGGAGTGAAAGGTGGGTTGGGAAGGACCGACCAGGGTAAGGCGCTTAGTGAGAGTGTAGGGAAAAGGGAGAAGGGAAAAGGGAAAAAGGAGAAGGGAGGGGAGGGGAGGAGGAGGGAAGAGAAGAGAGGAAGGCGAAGGGAAAGGAACGTGCAAGGACACAGCAAAAAGAAAGAGTGAGAGCAAGCAAAAGTGTTGTGCCATGGCCAAGCAACAATTTTCAAAGCCTCTTCCTACCCTACCAACCATGCAACTCAGCAAACCCCATGACTTCTCATGTCTATTGTCGCACAAGCCAATGTCTCTTTTTGTTTGTGTGAACTTTGAAGAAGAATAGACAGGGCGACATGATTCAGAGGATTAAGATCAAGCAAGCCCCACATACACTTGTGTTTTGGTTAGAAAAGCAACGAGCCAAGTTGATTCTGAATCCAATTGACCAATCACTCAACGCCACTAAATTACACGAATCATTCGCGTCGAAATCGATCCTCGTTCCCCTGCGACAACAATACCGTGTTCACATCCTCTTTTCTCTACTTCTGTTGCTCTTCTCATATCTGTGCAATAACATCATGTCCTGGTGTTAACGTAAATGGCATCTGAACTACGAGTCAACTCGATTACTCACTTTTCATGCCATGATGTTGTCTGTAACCAAGTGTGTGTGTGTGTGTGCGTGTGTGTATGTGTGTATGTTTGTGTCCTTGTCGCGTTTGTTGTTTTTGTGTTTCGGGGGTTGTCGTTGTTGTTTTTGATGTTGATGTTGATGTGGATGGTGAGACTGAGGTGTAGTCATTGGGACTGATTTCGAGAGGATAGCCCAGAAGAGCGCGATATTGTAATAGAATGAACTGTGAGAAGAGTGAACGAGAAGAGCGAACGGGGAAGTGCGAATCAAAAAAGTGGAGTTGAGTAAAGTGACCAAGGGAAAGAAATGAAGCAACGAGGGGACAAATAAATAGTACAGGCGTCCGAGTGTGCGAGAAAAATGAAGAGGGCAAGGGGGAAAAAAGAGGCATGGTAAAGAGAGGAGACCCGACTCTCTCTCTGACTTTTCCCGTTTGTTTGTTTATTTGTTTGTTGTTTGTTGGCGCATGGTCCAAGATTACGCCTTTTGTGGCCCTTTTTTTTCCCTTTACTTTCCCGTGCATCTACCCATAACTCGCTTCCTTTTTCTTTTCTTCTATTTTTTGATCGAAGCCTCGATGCTTTGTTATGTTTTGGTTTACACTAAGCCGAGAAGTGAGAAAAAAATAGCGTAAGCTGCGACGAATGACAGACAACATTGACCAAAAGCAAACCACCAACGGTAACATAGGACGGCATAAAGGGACTAAAAGTGCGTAACGCCCTCAACGTCGTCAATTGCCCTTTGTTCTCTTTCTCCCGGACCCTCTTCGTTTCTTTAACGGGTCAAAACAACGCCATTAACAAAATGGTCAAGACGGGGAAGCAAACCTTGGATTTATTAATTTACTCACATTGCAGACGAATGACAATAAACAGAGCAGATCTCGCCATAGGACGTGTCATAAATGTACATCAGTACCGGGAGAACCGCTGCATCGTCCGTAGCACTCGATTCTTTCAACATCCCGACTCCTCTACTTCTTGCTTTGAAGGCAGCGCACGACTGGTGTGCACATTCTTGTAATGGTAAGTAGGCTGTTGGGTCCTCTGCACAGCGATCATCTCTCAAAGCGTAATATCCTCCCACCCATCCAGGACCTAATCCTCGAGATTCGGAAACATCCCGTCATAACGTCCTACATGTACGCATTTTTATAATCCACCGACCCTGTAGATACAGCCGTCATAGTGAAGGGACAACGATTCTTTCTGGGGAAAAGTCGGGTCCACCAGATAGAGGGTGCGACCAGGCCCTCGGGGATCATGATCAGACTGTCGTTGCCAACCAAGTGCATATCCAACGACATGGACCGCAACGACGGACAACCCGGGAGGAACTTGAACTGGATACAATACGTAAAGTCAGATGTCAGCTGCAAATCCGCCAGGCAGGGAAGATACCAATCCCACTTCCATCAAGGTCGCCAGATCGTGGGGGGTTCCTGGAACTCCGCTCGATTGTCGTCCTCGATTCCATAGGACTATTTCAGCTCGCTTGGTAGTGGAGTAAAGCACCCATCCCCGCCGTCCAATTCTAGCGCCACTTCCAGCTTGGTCAGCTTGCTTGTCGAATGAAGGGTCGCCTGGTGGCAAGTAAGGGCAGTCACGCCATCCTGTCAGGTCCAAGGTGTCCACATGGGCGAGGTGCGCTACCTGACAGGGGACGATATCCTGGCACCGATACCCATACATCCTTTTGGAAAGTCTCACACATGTCACATTCCGACAGCATGGCAGAAGCTCTGGGTGGAGGTCCAGACGTGCAAAGTTGGCCTGAATCTCGAGTCGAGTCCACATAGAAAGATCCACCCGTCCTTGTCTGAATTGGATTGGATCCAGCGCATCTTCGTATCGGTTCCTGTAGTCGTGACCGTGATAGCGGCCGGTGTTTGACTGAAGGCGAAGGCAACATCGTCTACCTCGTCCATGAGGGGTTTTTGTTGTACCTCAATAGTAAAGTTCTTGAGAGGCACCAGACTGTGAGGTAGAGGATCCTCTTCCCATGCTACCACTCCCTGTCCCTTGTTGGCGATGATCCTGCCCTCGTGATCTCTCTTTTCCTGAACTGCCCAAGCAAAACTACTTTGTCCCAACGGTAGTATATCCAAGTTCTTCAGGGCTCGACATCTTTGCAACAGTTGACGACAATCGTAGCTGGAACCGAACCATTTCTCTGTCGGTATGCTAATACGTAACGTCTCGAGATATTGCAGGTCGGTCGCCTCTGGGTGCGCAGCAACTTGCATCCAGTTGTCTCCCGTCAATGATTTCATCTTCTGGACCGGGGGATAGCATCCGAAAGATTTCCAGTTGAGCATCCTTGGAAACATCTGTCTTGAATGTCCTGTTCGCTTGTCCCAGTTGCAGCAGGATACCATCCTGAGACGGCTGGGGAAGAGTCGCATCATGACCCTTGACCAATTCAACTGCCAAAGACAACACCTCCTCCTTCCACATATCCGTCTCCCCAGCACCGTCGCTGTTCCTGACGACAGGATGCGTCTAGACCTCATCCAGCAAGTACCGAATAAATTCCAGACTCTCCAACATTGGTGTAGCGTTTGATTTCGGACATAGGATCGTCAGGGATTGCAGTTATTGAGGTAGTTGAGCGAAGAAAGGATCGGGGGTGTCACATTGCAATTGCCCTATCTTGTGCGGTTGTGTATATCAATTGTGGACGCAAACAAATGGAGATGAGGTTGAAAACGCGGTGAAGGGAGGACGGAGGAAGAGCATGCGGGTGAGGAGTTGGTAGAACTTGTCTGTTCGAAAGAGTCGAGTGTTCTTCCTATGTTCTGAGGAAAAGGCGAGGGGGAAATGGTTGGAGTAGAGAAAGGGAAGAGTGACGGAGGCAAGGTACTTGTTGACGCATAGGAGTTGGAAGAGTGTTGCCAGGGGTTTGTTGTTGTCTGTGAGGATGAAGTGTATGATGACGTGAAGGCATTAGAGTGGTAATTACGAGAGGGGAGCCATCACGTTGGTGGATGGTGATGATGAAGGAGAGGGAAACAGGATGGTAATGCCAAAGAGCTGGAATGAGGGAGGGTGATCAAGAACAATGAATGTAAGAAAGAAAAAGGAATGCAGAGTAAAATGGATGAGAAAAGCTGCGTAGGTGAAGGGGTTTGGAAAGGGAAAGGGAAGAAAAAATAGACAAAGGGGGACAAGGAGAAAGGAAGGCTAAAATCTAACGAACAGACGGTTCGACGCCACATTTGCATTGGCCATTTAAACTACGAAATGCGTGTTCTTCTATGCAGCTCTCTCAAGCATTGGACAAAGAAAGTAAAAAGCTAGTGCAATATTTTTGTGCGGGTGTAGGGAGTTGTGTAGCCCTTCTTATGAAGGAAGGCTAGGTGCTTGGCTCGGCAAGGTGAGGTTCGTGCTATCGTTTCGCAACAATTATTCGTCATGGGCGTTGTTTTTTTGGAGGAACGAGAGGGAAGATGCAATAACACATCGAGCAATCTGTCTGAACGACATGTCACAGGGCCTATCATTGTCCACACTATATGTACATACACGGACTACAAAAAGGGAAAATAGGGGTATGGCAAAGATATGTTACCACGGCCACAAGAACAACAACAACAACAACAACAACAACAACAACAACAACAACAACAACAACAACAACAACAACAACATTCGCAACAGCAACAACAAACAAACAAGGCTATGATATGAAGAGCGATGATCGATCAAGTAGGAACAAAGCGAGAGGAGAGGGGCAGGGAAGAGCTCATTAGTAGAGAGACGGCTGAATGATGACCAAAAGGTCCGCTGATCCTTTAGGTACGGGGCTTGTTTAACTTCAAATCAGCATTCCTTTGTTGATTTGTTGTTGATGCTGTCGTTTTTCTCATGAAAACATGATTGGATAGCCCCCATGACGCAGGGGTCAGCCCTTTGATCATAGCAAAAGCACAGACCACAATGTTTTCCCCAACTCTAATCCTCCAACCAGAGCAACACCCTGTGCCCTCGTAATTCCGTAAATTCAGGGGGTAGACAGGAAAGTCTCACTCTGAAGTGGAGCAAGCCTTCCCTTTCTCCAGAGATGGGTCAAGTCCATGGACATTTTGATTAAGCTCCGATGCCAATCAACGGTGTGCCTCGCTTCGGTATTTCTTTCCTTCGTCCCTGCGGGAACGAATGGACCCTTGTCTGTCTGCCTCTTTGGAGAGGTCAAGTGAGGCATTGTGTTCTAATGCAGTAGCAACAGAAGAGGGGTAGCAGACAAGAGCAGGAGGTAGAAACAGATAGTGTTTGTTGTACTGACAGAGAGGGTATTTATGTGTGTAATATACATGGGAATAGGGGTAGGGAATGAAGGATGAGGAATGGTAGTACAGAGGAATGGGGAATAAAGGGCTGAGGCATGTATGCATAATGTTTGTGCATACTACGATCCTGTAACATCTAATATGTGTGGAGATGGGCGCATCGGATCGATGAAGGTCAAACATAGCTGAACCGAGTTCACATCCGTCCTTAATATATAAAAGATGGCTCGATCCTCTTTCTTGTTTTCCCTCAGCAACTTCCACTCGCTCTCTCTTCTCCACCACCTCTTCAAATCAAATAGGGCCGGCTTCTCTTTCACTTTTTTTCTTTGTCTTCCACGCCCCAGTCTAGCCCTTACCCTTCTTTACGATCCTCTACTGGCTACCTTCTCATAATGCTGTCACTAAAGTCATTGGTCTTGGCAGTCGTGCTGTTGACCTTCAACACCCTGTTGCACACCGATGCTGCGCCTACAAGAAAGTTAGAGAAGAGACTTATGTTACCTCTGGCACCAGTTGCCAGCTCAATCAACGGTGTCAGTATCCTTCTCGAGAACGACGTCGACTCATCCAAAGTCAAATTCTCCTTTCTTCTCCTGTCCCAGCCTAGAGGATACTACGATGGCATGGACTCTTGTCTCTCCTTGGGTGATGGTAAGTATAGTTTACCCTTTAAATCGAGGTTTGTCTCCTTTACTTTATTTCTTTTAGCGCCCACTTTCTTTCTCATACTATGAATGATTCAACTAGGGGGGTATACCTTCATTCCAGGAACAGCAGGTGCAACTAGTTTGATCTCCTTACTCAACAACAACTCTGTCGCTCAGCAAGAGGTCTCTAGTTACTCTCAGTTCTGGGTCTACAGTGGTAAGTAATAGAATTAACACAACGCCTCTCATTGGATCGATAATAAAATCAGTTATTCCCTTTTTTTCCTTCTCTCTCTTCTCATTCTTCACAGGCGTTCCCGGAATTCTTTCCAACTGCCTCGCCGTCAATAAGATCACCAAGAAGACCGACTGGATCCCCTGCAGCACACAACTCCCCACAGTCTGCTTCAACAGCGTCCTGCGGCGTGTCCTCCTCTTCCAAGATACTAGTCGCCAAATCAAACTTGACACACCTATCGGACAACTCCAGGGCTGGCGCGACATGAACGCATTCCGGTTCTTGGGTATCCCCTACGCTGAGGCTCCTACTGGTGCACGTCGCTTCGCAGCACCTGTTGCTAAGGCACCTTTTACCACCACCCGAGACACGACCGAGTATGGACATATCTGTCCACAGACACCCAAGTCGAAGGGGATCGAGTCGAGTATTCTTGCGTGGCTTGAGAACTCGGCGACGGAAGATGAGGATTGTTTGAATCTGAATGTGTATACCCCGAGTTTGAAGGGTCAAGGGTTTGCGCCTCTGCCTGTCATGTTCTACATCCACGGAGGTGGATTCGCCAAGTAAATCCCTATTCATTGTTTTATTGCTAGTGCTCGCGTCAAATAATTAAAAAGCATGCATTGACATTTTTCCATTTTGTTCTATTCCATTTTCAATAGCTACTCGGGATCGATCATCTTGTTTGAACCTGGCAATGTAGTCTCGCGTGGAGGAGTAGTCGTCGTAACCATCAATTACCGCCTCGGTCTTTTTGGCTGGTTCGAAGACACAAACTCATGGTCCCGATCTAATGTCCCCGGCAACCAAGGCTTCCGCGACATGATCCTCGCCCTCCAATGGGTCAAAAAGAACATTGCTTCTTTCGGAGGTGACCCAAACCGCGTCACCGTCTTTGGCGAGTCTGCAGGCGCCACCAGCATCCGAGCCCTCCTCTCTGCCCCTTCCACGTTCGACCTCTACCAGAGTGTCATTGGCGAGAGCGACCCCATCAACATCCCTTACCATACCCCGCAGTCTGCCGCCAGGCTGACCAACTACCTCATGGTTGCCTTGGGCTGCAACCCTGGTGACCTGGCCTGTGCGCGTGCCAAATCTGCGAACGATATCCTGGAAGCCAGCTTGACGGCTGATCAATTGCAACTCAACGACGATACTTGGACGACCTTTGGGCTTGTCGAACGACCCACCACCGATGGCGATCTTATCCCAGCCGACTTTTCGGCACTTGTCAAGGCAGGAACATACAACACAAAGGCCAACATCATATGGGGTACCACCAAGGACGAAGCGGGTCTCTATGTTTCGCTCTACTTCCCCAACCCGGTCCCGATCGCCAATGCCTCTGATGCTCTTGGGTTGGTCTTTGACAAAAACCGGACTGCTACAGTTATGGGTTCTCCTTATTTCGCATTGCCCCCTGTCAACACCGACGCCGTGCGCGATGCGTTCACACACTTTGGTACCGACTACTATTGGCTCTGTCCACTCCAGTACCTCAGTCGTCAGATGGCGGCTCACAAACCGACCTACAACTTCCGCTTCTCCCGTGGTCGTGATACTCCTCTTGTTGGTGACAATTACTGCTCCTCCTCTACTGGTCGTGTCTGCCACTCCGCAGACGTGCAACCCGTCTTTGCTAGCGGGGTCTCAGTTCCTGGATACAGCCAATCCGGCGATGATGCCCGCTTCGCACGCCAGGTGGTCGATCGATTAACAACATTCGCCAAGACCGGAAACCCGAACCCTCAGCCTGGACTTGTTGGTGTCGAGAACCAGAACCCAGATGCGATAAGCGTGCAATGGTTACCTTACAGTGCAACGAACCCAGTGTTAGATCTGAACGTGCAGAGCAAGATGGTGACTAATCTGGAGGCGGATGAGTGTCAATGGATGGATGACGTCTTCCTGTACGACTTTTGGATCCGTATTCCTGATAATCCTAAGTAACCTCGGGGTCGACTGACTGCACATTTTATGGCGTTGAGTGTGCACATTGATTTTTTTTAGTGTTCTGTGCAGTTTCTTGATATGAACCTAATCGAATACCATGGGCGTTGGGCATTCCATGAGCTAATAGCGTGTATGTGTGCATGTGTAGGTGTTGCTCCAGACCATACCATCTTTTTTCCAACCCTTCGAATTGGTAATCCAACGGTATGCCAAGGCAATTGAAAAAAAACATCCTGGGTACCTCTCCCGCGGAGAAAAAGGCGAAACGAGGAGTGCATGCTAAGACCTGTGGGTTATGAGCCTTGGGCCCCACTGCTATGCTCAATCAGCAGAGAAAGAAAAGATTTCGAACAGAAAAATAACTAAGTGTCAGGCAAAAAAAAACTAAAAATGGGGTACCAACAGGGAACAGGACGAGCGAGGGGTGTCGTTTTTTTTCCCGCATCTCTTTTTTCTCATAGGCGTTTTCCATTGTTGTGGTATTCGCTTATGCAACTTCCATCTCTTTTTTCTTTTCGCTCTCTTTTCTCTTTCGGCTTCGTTGTGTAACACCAAGAAGAAATCCGTGAAGACGTGAAAATAAACAAACGAACGAGAAAAAGAAAGGGCAGAGAGCTAAGGGCAGAGAGCTAAGGGCAGAAGAGCGAGTCAGGGGCACATGCATGCGCGCGTTGGGAGGCAGTGTCGGGAAGAAGAGAAACGAGAGAGAGGAGGAAAAAAGACAAAACGAGTTGCAACCCCTCGACTGGACGGGCCACGTCGCCAAAAAAAAAAACAGCCTCACAAGAAGAAAGAATGGGAGAGTCGACAGGGGGGGAGACGGGTAACTGCCCGACTTTGTGTTTGGATGAGGGGGTGTCTTTTCTGGACTTTTTTCTCACACGTCCACTGTTCTAACTCTTCGCCTTTTTTTTGTGCCTCTTTTTCTCTTTTGATCCTTCAGGTCCATCGCTACACTTTGCTCCCCTCTTTCTCTTTTTTTTTCTTGATTGTGTTCATCCCCTCGTTGTATATCTCTCTCTCATTTTCTTTCTTGGTCACGGACCTGGTACTTTGGGCACACATAATCACCTTTGTCCTACCCTTGTCTCACCTTTGACAACACAGCTCCATTTCTTGGTAAGGCTGAGTTGCACAAAGGAACAGCAACAACAACAGCAACAGCAACAGCAACAACAACAGCAACATCAACAACAACAGCAACATCAACAACGACAACAACAACAACAACAACAACAACGACAACAACAACAACAACAATAATAATAATAACAACAAGAACACACGACCAACGCGTCCACTTTCCCTTCCTCTTTTCCCTTTTCCTCTATTTCTTGGTCACCACTGGTCTGGTCGAAGGCCTACCCTCACACCTTGTCGCCAGCCCACCTGCCGAATATCTCACAGAGAAGACGCCACCCTGCAACTACCAACACGACAACGACCTTACTAGCTACAGCAATAACAACAACAAAAGGAGCACACGTAACTGACAGTACAAAAGTACGTCCAAGGGAGCGCACAGCTTCTTTGTAAGGCAAGGCAGTAGCAGAGGAGGACCCATTGCTTACTTACATTACGCATTCCACCATTTTGATTAGGCTTTTCTAACCTGTCCAACGGACCGAGTGGAGTCTCGCTCCTCAGCGCGTTCAGAAAGCCAACGAGGCAAAGAAAAGAAAGGTAACTGCAGGCATTTACATGTAAGCACCTGCAGTTCTTAAATGACATTATGCTAAGCAACTTTCTTTCTTTTCTTTTTCGACAACCCTATTTTTGCATGTCAATTAAAGTGCACGAGCACTTTCCCTGTAGCCCAGGCACAAGACTCCACCAACAACACTGCACCTGTTGACATCGACAGCCATTAGAACCTCCCAACATGGACGCCCTCCCTCTCGACCAAATGAAACCGCTCGTCATCAACACTCACGATGACGACTCCAACGTTAAAACAAGAAAGCGCGATAAGATTCGAGCCTTCTTTTGTCTTTGCAAGTCCAAGCCCAAGCCCACGAAGGGCAAGGGCAAAAAGGCCTCCGAGGGCATCAGTTATAGTGATCTTCCCGGCACCGTGCAGAATGGGTCTGCATCCCAACCGTCAGCAAAGCCAATCTCTGCTGTTACCCAGGTCGACAACTACTCAGGTGTCGGCAACGCCACTCTTCCTAATAACACTACACAGGATAAGCCTGCATCCCACCAAGTCGACAACGGTTTCTCAGGCGACTACCGCTCTGTTCTTTCCATCGGCACAGCACAAGACGGGCCCGCATCCAACCAATCGTCAAAACTCTCCTCCATTGTCGCCCAGGTCAACAGATACCGCTCAGTCCACAACCAATCCTATTCATCTCCGACCAAACAGGAGTACTCTGTGCCGCTGCGTCCAAGGCGTTCACTCTCTGTCCTTTCTCAAGGCAACAGCGACTTCCTAGAAAGCAGCCAGTCTTTCCTGCCCTCCATCGAGCAAAATCGGTCTGCATCCCGCCAATCGGCAAGGTATCCTTCTGCCACCACTCCAGTCGAAAGCCAGCCCCCGCAAAGTAGCAAGTTTGTCCTGTCGTCCGGTAGCGTGCATGATGAGTCCTCCTCCACTGTCACTCAATTCGACAACGTGCCTTCAGACAAGCAGTCATTCCCCATTGTGACTCAGATGGATAGCGAGTCTCTAGGCTACATCAACTCTGTTCTTTCCTCCGCTACCCTGCAAGATGACTCTACATCCCAACATTCGGAGAGTTCCTCCTCCATTGCCACCCATGCTGGCAACGAACTTTCAGACAACGGCAGCTACACTGCTCCCTTCGATTCAGTGCAAGAAGAGTCACCACCAATAAGCTTCTCCTCCACCACCACCAAAGTCAACGACGATCTCTCAGCCGACAGAAACTCTATTCTTTCCTCCGGAACCCAGAAACATGATTCTATCGCTGCTCAAGATGACAGCGAGTATTCAAGAAACAGCAAGTGTGTTCTCACTCCCACCACCGTGCAAGAAGAGCCTTCATCCCAGAAACAGGCAAAGCCCTCATCCATTGTTACCGAAATCAAAATCGACAACGATTACTTTAACTGCAAGTCTACTATTTCCCCCGGCACCGTACAGTATTTGTCTCCATCCTTACTGCGACAACAATCGCGTATTCTCTCTGAAGTCAGCAGCGAGATGTCACCTTCCGAGCCACCCATTCCACCCAAAGGACCCAGAGAGTCCAGAACAGTTCAGGATATGAATGCTATGAGCGAGTCATTGAACACGTTATCCCCAGGCCTCGACCATTCCTCACTTGACGATCGACCATTCTTGTCCAGAACCGTTCAGGACACATATGCGATGGATCAACTCCACCATCCGTCGTCTACTATCTCTCGGGGTAATCGTACCCCGCTAGCCAACAACCGACCTGTTGCCCCCGTCGCCAGCCAGCCTGTTCCATCCAGAAATAGCCAGCAGGCTCCCTCTGTTGACAGCCAGGTTTTCCCCTCTAGCGACAATCGGTCTGTGTCCTCATGCGACAGCCGCTCTATTTACTCGTGCGAAAGCCAGTTCACGTCTAACAGCGACATCAAATCTGCTTTCTTATACGACAACCAGTCTCTTCCCATCAACAACAACCAGTCTATTGCCTGCGGTGATATTCAGCCTGTCCCCTCCAACGCTAAACAAAATACGTATTTGCCACCACTCCCAACTGTGGCCCAAGCTTTATCAACTCTTCCCAAGGAGCAGATCCAAAGCTACACTGCGCAGCAGACCAAACCACCAACTCTTGACCCACATTCGCCCATCGGAGAAGTCTTGGTTGCCGCATTCACTTCCGATGGTCGACACATTCTTACCTGCCCCCATCACCAAGGTCTAGAACAGTGGGACTCTCAGACAGGGGCTCGTGTGCCTCTTCCTCACGAGATGACAGGCGGGGTTTGCGCGTTCAAGATTTCACCACAAGGCGCCCAGGTGGCGACTGGATGCTTCGATGGATCGATTCGACTATGGCGAGGTCAGACCTATGCAGCTGAGCGGGTTCTCTTGGGACATACTCATGCCATCTCCAAATTGGTCTATTCACCCTGTGGTCGATGGCTCGTCTCTTGCGACACTCACGGAACCGTACGATTGAGGGACCTCCTCGACCTCGACGACCAAGGGGAGATTGTCGAGACGGGAGCTGGAAACAGCATCTTCAAAGACGTGGTCTTCGGTCCTGCCGGACATGAGTTCACGGCCCTTTCTGCTGGTTTTGTTCGCTTCTACGACCCTAGAAATCGGAATCCTTGCACAATTACACAGAATGCAACCTTGGGTAATCCAATTCGCCCACTCGACTATTCTCAGGATGGCCTCCGTTTTGTCTTTGGTTCGGGATCTAGGAACTACTCCGTGCACGTTCATGACCCTCAATTGGATAGTAACTTTGAGCTGGTGGGGCATGGTCATGAAGTTGTCTGCGCCGCCTTTTCTCCCTGCGGCAAGCGGATCCTCTCTGGCGGTCGAGACAAGACGGTCCGTCTCTGGTTAGACAAGGTCGACAGTTGGTCCTGTGCTGCTGTCGTCAGAGGATGTTCAGAGGCCATCACATGTCTTGCATGGAACCCGGTGACCCCCAGGGAGTTTGTCATTGGTTGTCGTGATGGGTCTGTACAAGTCTGGAGGCTGTCGGGTGCTGAAGCAGGGGACATGTCAGTTCGTATGGTCTGGGGCACCGATGTAACAAATCTGACATCCAAGGATACTGTTGGCTTTGGTCCGATCGACGACACATTACTGGTCTTGCACAGAGCGAGCGAGGCTTTATCGACGATTGTCCAACATCCAAACACTTTGAGCACTCAGAGTGATGTATATGCTGTATCTACACTTTTCTTTTCTTTTATTTATTTTTCTGGAGCCTTTCATACATTCTTCTCCCCGCTGCTGTTGTTGCTTTTGCTGGTCGAGCAAAAGAGTGTCTTTGAATAGGGTTTCTCTTGTATATACGCTTTCACTTCGCATTTTTTTCTCTTTCATATCTCGTATTTTTTGTTCCAGGGAATAAAATCACAAAATACATACTCTTGCCTTGACACCTTAATGACGCGTGTGGACAAAAAGACATGGAAAGCTTATATTCTTTTTTCCCCCAAAGAAAAAAAATAGCACTTTGCTGTATGATCCGCAAGAGCTGAGCTCCCAAAACGGATGGAGAGTGACAAAAAACAGGGAGAAATCCTAGTAGAGACAGATAAAAAAACTAAAAGGATGCCCCCCTTTTCGTTGACTGCGTTTTCAACTCGAAACCCCCCTCTTCTTTATTTTACTTTTGATGCTTGCGCCGCAGAAAGTGAGATTACCCATATCATAGCTACTTGTGCCAACGTGTTTTTTTTTTTCTTTTACCATTGCTGGCATTCCATTATGAATTGCGAATCGGCAATGGAATGCTGATGTAAAGACAAAGGAATGAAGAGGAGGGTAGGCGTTAAGCGTGTCTATTTGTGACTATGGCGGAGGACAAGTGAGGTAAAGGGAGAAGAGCTAGAGAAAAGAAAAGAGTAGAGGAAGAAAAGGAAAAGGATCCTTGCTAGGGGGTGAAGTAGGTCCCCCCCCCCCCCCCCTAATAGAGGGTGGTGCGACCGGGTCGTCAGGGATCATGACCAGACTACCATTTTCGGCCGAGTGCATGTCCAACGTCGAGGACCGCAACGATGAACAACCTAGGAGGAACTGGAGCTGAATACAATATGTAAAGTCAAAAGTCAGCTGCAAATCCGCTAGGCAGGGAAGATACCAATCCCACTTCCATCGAGGTCGCATGATTGCGGGGGGTTCCTAGAACTCTGTCCCCACTCGACTGTCATCTTCGATTCTATAGGACCATTTCAGTGCGCCTGGTGGTGGAATAAAACACCCATCCTCGCCGTCCATTCTAGCGTCACTTGCAGCTTGTCGAATCAGTTGCGGTGTCAATGTGTGGATGACTGAAAAACAGATCTGTCTGTATGTGTTTGTGGACAATGATAAAACAACATGATCGGCCAATTGTTGAACAACGATTTGATCAAATTATTTTGTACCTGAATTTTACTCACGAAGGTGAATGATCGTCTCTTTTTTATTATCCAAAAGCAACTAATCAGAATCAGAAGCAGCAAAAGAGGTAAGAGAAGCAGTGGGAGAAGGGTCTCGGAGAACAATATACTCAATTCCCTGGAAATGAACCGAAAAACTGAAAGTGGCATTGGAATCCCCCATGCGTCCAATACGACGGTACAACCCAAGCTCCTTCTGCTCCTCCAACGAAGGCTCCGGAAGACCAAGTTCCATCGTCCTCATACGCGTGGGGTTGTCCCTCAAAGTATTCACCAATGCCCTATGACTGAATCCGCTACATTCCGACATCGCCACATATCCCAGCTCTGGAAACATGCCATCGAAGAGCAGCGGAACAAGAGTATCGTCCAGCACCCAAAGTCCTGTCATGCATAGTTCCTTGAGGGCTGGAGCAATGATGCGCTTGGGTTTGGGTGTTGGCTGCTGCTGTTGTTGTCCTGAGGTAGAGTTGATGTTGATGGTGATAGTATCGGTCACGAAAAAGTCGTCCCGTGTAAGAACTCGGGAATGCGTATCCTGTGCGGTAGCAATCTTCAGCGTCAAGCTCACTAGAGAAGGAGATCCTTGTAGCATGCGGAACTCGAAACGGTAGGCAAACTCTCCCTTAAACTCGGCGATGGTCAACTGTGGCAAGATCCAGTCCCAAGTCCAAAGGGGACGGCGCCCTACCCCAGGTCGAACTTCTCGTCCTTGATCTCCTACAGTTCTTGTTCCTGTTGCGCTCGAACAAAAATCTTCCAGCACGCAGAAAGACTGCTCCAGCTCCTCGACAGGTGGGATAAAGCAGTCGTCCTTATAATACTCGCCCGAACTAACGCGAAGCAAACCCAGTTTGGACATCGAGTGAAGACTTGCAGGATGAAACGTCAGCGCTGGCCAACCCTCCAATTTCAGTTTCAAAAGCTGTCCGAGCTGAACTGGGAAGGCGGACACAATATTCGGGCACAAATATCTCACTGTATAGTCCGTGAGGTTGAGTATGGTGAGATTTGGGCAATGCCTAAGAAGCAATGGGTCGATTGCCAGTCGGCTCTTGCGGATGCTCAACGTGAGGTATGTCAATTTTGGCATATCCACCCATCCCTGACCGATCCGAATTGTTGGACCACCTCCGCCCTGTGCAATGTCGTCGACTCTGATAAACTGCAATGTGTTGGAAAAGGCGAATGCGATGTCGTTGATTTCGTCGGTAAAAGAATGATACTCCCGGATGTGAACTCGCTGTAGTGGTACCAGACTGCCACACTCTGCATGCATCGCCTTCTCCTGAACTGCCCACTCGAAGCTGCCCTTGGAAAGTGGTCTCATCTCCAAAGACTTCAGATTCCGGCATCGTCGAAGAAGTTGGGAGTATTCGAAAACGGGCTCCTGCCACTGTCCATGGTCCGCGACAATCGCCTCTACATATCGCAGGTTGGTTGTCAGGGGGTGGCACATCAGCCGCGCCCAGTTGTCCCTGTTGAGGACGGTTGGTGGAGGCATTGGCGGCAAATGTCGATAGATCTGCGACTCGATATCCTTGAAGTTGGTTCTGTACTTCCTTGACCACAAGGAGGAGTCGTAGATGTTGGCGGTTCGGAGGCGTCCTGGGAAAAGTCGTACATGGTCCTCAACAAATTGCATCATCATCCGTATCGCCTTGTCCTTACACCGTTTTGTTGACTCGTCCATCTCCAAATCCCCAGATTCGTATACCTCGTCGATGCTAAGGTCGATACATTCCAGTCGACCAAGGCGATTGACCACCTGTAAGTAGCGGTCAATCTCGGACAGTGGGATAGTCAACGACTCCAGTTGGTCGAGAATAGGCGATGCAAGAGACCAGATCACCTCTCGATGGACGATGACGCTGTGAAGCTCGCGAAGAAACCGCGCCTCTGAGTTGTAAGAGTCGATAAATGACCCTAGGACACAAACCGATTGACGGAGATGAGCGTACTCTTCTCCTTGGAGATAGGCCAACTCCTCGGTGGTGGGCTCCTTGTCAGGTTGAAAAATGAGTGGTTCCCAACAATTAAATGCGGGAGGATTCAGGTGACGGACGTGGCTGAGGTAGTCGTATGTTGGTCTTGGCGCCTGTGTGTACAACGGATCTCGGGAGAGACAGTGGGCAAGAGTGAGAGGGAGACTGGTGAAAGGGACACAGGCTAGGAGAGCACTGGTGCATTGTCTCTTTTTTTGGCCTCGGATGTCCACTTTGTGTTCGCCGGAGTGAGGGTTGCAGTAAAGAAAAGGGAGAGTGACTGTGGAGATGTATCGATTGACACGAAGAAGGGCGGAGAGAGTGGGGAAGACGCTAATGTCTTGAGCTTTTTCGCATGCGATGATCTCGATGATGTGATGGAGGCACTCGAGGGGTAATCTCGAAAGAGGATCCATTGCAGCGAGATGTAGATGTAAGGGATCCTGATGTGTCTGAAGGAAGAAGATGAGAACAAGAAGGAGATGATGAATGCGAGAACGAAAGGTGGTTTATATGTGAGTGGCGTGTGTGTGCGTGCAGTGTGACGTATGTGTGCGGCGTGTGTGAATGTGTATGTGCGGGAAGAGGGAAGACCCATGGGTCAATGCCTTTTCGTTTCTTGTTATTCTTTTCTGCGTGCCAATGTTACACAGGCAAAAAAACGAGATGGGGAGGGGCGGGAGATGGCATCAGCTGCTCCGCCCTTTCAATTGAAAGACGGCGCATGGTAGCATCGACTTACTCCCTCCGAGAAAGACAATTGACACATTCTTTATTCTACCCTCTTTGTTCTGTTGCTCATCCACACAACCCCTCCTTGTAGATAATATACTCCCTCCCAGAACAAAACAACCTGTTCTGCAGAACCCCCTCGCTCTTCTTCATACGCACAGACGACCGAGGAACAACCCCCACCCCTCTCCCTTCCTCCACTGAAGGACCAACCAGGTCTGTTCTCACCATCCTGACATGCCCCGCTGTTGTCCTCAACACCTCAGCCAACGACCCGACAGAAACATTACCCCACCCTCTCGCCGTCAATCGCTCAACTGCTGGGAACATCTGACCCAGAAACTGGGACAACGCCGATGCGCTCGAGAACACCCAGTGGCCGTTCATGTACACTTTGCGCAATTTGGGTGCAACTATCCGCTCCCGTGATCCATCTGTGCGAGAGACGAACAAGTCAGCCTCGGAGATTGTTCGAGTATGGCTGCCATCCGCAGTTCGCATGTGCAGTCGCAAGGTGTCGAGACGAGGACATCCGTGGAGCATCCTGAACTCAAACATATAGGCAAACTCGGATGTGAGGTTGATGTCGACCAGGCGAGGGAAGCCCCAGTCCCACGTCCACCGGGGTCGAGTAATGAATGTAGGCGCCGCGTTTGATCCAAGACCATAGGATGCGTTCAGTTCATCGACCGGCGGAATAAAACAGTACCCGTCCTGTTTCGCCATGCTCAGCTTGAGAACAAGAAGCTCCTTTGACCACTCGAGTGCTGAAGGATTAAAGACCAAGGCGCCCCAGCCTCTCAGGTATACCACTGACAAAGCCGCGCCATGGGCCAGTTCACAAGGGACAACATCCTCACACGAATACTCAAACGTTTCGTCCTTGATCTTGGTGTTCTTGAGGCGAGGAAAGCGGGTAAAGAGCAACGGGTCCAATACCAGTCGGTGTGCATGTGCCTGTAGTTCAAGACCAGTCAAGCCGGGAACGGTACACCATTCACGTCCGATATGGATCGTATGAGTATTCTCGGGTCCGAGAAGGGCTTCGATGCTGAGCATATACAATGATTGACTGAACGCAAAAACAGCAGCATCCAGATCTCGCGACGGCATCCTACATTCCTCGAGTATGAGCCGCCCAAGTTTCACTAGACCGTGGTACACATGGGCCGGCTGTGGGGGTGGGCTCTCCGACAGAATGTCCTGCTGCTGTCGGCCTGGCGGCCTCCTTATAGGAACTGGACCGACAACGGTAGTAGTTTTGGTGCTGACGTGAACCTGACCTAGACGCTCCAACTCCATCTTCTCTTGCACAGCCCAATCAAAACACCTTCTCGCCGGCAGAGCCTGAACAGTAAACCAGCTCAACCCCCGACATCGCTGCAGAAGCCACTCATGATCAACAACCTCTCTCGGAGGAAGCCATTTGATCTCCCTAACCCTACTCAAGTCAATCGTCTCCAGGTGCGCCGCAACCTTCCTCCAGTTGGCCTCAGAAATAGACGTGGGCTGATATTGCGAGGGCAACATCTTGTAGATCTCATGTTCAACCTCGTCAGGGCAAGACTGTGTACCCTCCTTCCAAAAGCCGGCATCGGATGTGGTGACGGTCTCGAGGCGACCAGGGAAGATCCTGACATGCGCCTCGACAAACTGGACTAGGTCGCGGAAGGTTTTCTTCTTGCGTAGTCGCCTTGGCTCTTGAGGTATGTCGCTCCCATCGCAGCAGTCGCAGTAAAAGGCCATATCCAGATGAATGTGGACACGCGCAAGTCTCACAAATCGACCGACAAGCATGAGGTACCGGCAGATATCGGAGAGAGGGAATGACAGCGACTCTAGTTGTTCGAGGATAGGCTCCGCTAGAGACCAGGTTGCTTCGCGGTAGAGGACGTTGGAGTAATACTCCTGGAGTTGGGAGGATGGATTTTCGCTGCGGCAGGTGGCGTCCTTGCGATCGAGTAGGTACAGTTCCAGTAAGTCTTGTCCTGAAATGTACCCCAGTTCTTCTGGGGTGTAGTTCTTGTGCACCAATCCGCCTCCTTCATAATCCATGAAGGCGAATGTTGGAAGACTGAAGTAGCGAATATGATGCAGATGATTTACAGAGATGTAAGAGAGAGTGGCGGTGTCGGTGTTGGAGTCGGTTTCTGGTTCAATTCTGGCGACTAGCCCAAGGAGCAAGGCTTGATGGATTTGGATCGTAGGGATGTTGGTGAGAAGAGTAGTAAGGAGACACCGTAACCGATGACCTATGTCAACGTAAATGGCATTATCAGTGAGCAGGTTGAATGGATTGTGGTACAGAAAGGAGGTGGAGACTCCGGAGATATATCGGTTGACCCGGCAGAGAGCGGACAGGGCGGGACGGGAGGTTGAAGGGGGCGCACTGACGATGTATCGTAGAATTTTCTCCAGACACTCTACTGGTAGCCGAGAGAGATGGTCCATGTTAAGGAGTTGAGAGAAGTGAGGGGTGGGCGTTGGTGGTGGAATACAATGTAATGTAATGTAATGGAGAAAGGAGAAAGTAATGAAAGAAAGAATGAAAAGGTGATGATGTCGACCCTCCCTTTAATTTGTGACCGCCGACATTCTTTGTCTCAGTCAGTGATGAGAAGTTTCATCTGCGTGTGCACATCCCTCGACGTCTTAGACATGGCCCTGAACACTCGGATGCGCCCCTTCACAGAAACTCCGCTCCAGCCGTGCTCTTGCATCTCCCATCGACCGTGCCTCCGCAGTCGGCGGGCCGCGGGAGCAATAATTTGAGTTGGCGCTAGTGAAGGTGGCGATGTTGTTGGATCGGTGACTGCGGCATCTGCGCGTTGTCATGAGTACGGTTCGCCACCTTGAAAGGCCTGCTGCTGTTCGGATGTCCTAGCTTCGTTATGTGGTGGGCATCCTCGCTTTCACGACGCCCGTACACCTCGACCTTGAGGCAAAGAAGGACGTCATCGCCTGACTGGATCAAAGGACTTGACACATTCCTTGCCAGCTGCTTGCTGTGATCTGAGAACCGTAGGGTGCAAATTGGATCCTTGACTCCTAGAGCCTTGTAATTCCCGATATCCACCAACGAACAATAGGCGTGCGATCTCAGCGAAAGCTCCAACTTCGAATCAACAATGACTCTATCTGACCGGCGCTTCATCGGACGAATGTATGCTTCCGTTCCGTCACCCAATCGCTTGGAACTGCCGACCGGAAGGTAGGCGTACACTTTTTCGCCTCTCGGCAGCGTAACCTCCGCTTGCTCAAACAGGTCGTTCACGAATCGAGCAGTTGCCGGGTGCCCAGTTTTCGCAATCAGCTGGGCGTCAAGCTCGCTGAAATCATCGTCCTCTTCAGGCCAGGACTTGCAATCCAAAATGTGGAGTTGGAGAGCCTTGGCGGTCTCAATTTTGACTCCGCACACAGTACACGACCGAGGAAAGGAGAGGTCGTTGAATCCAGGACATGTAGAGAAATGGGTCTTTACTCCCTTCCGAGTTTGATATGCCTTTGGACACCAGAGGCATTGAAGACGCCTAATCCGATGGCGTAGACCATCGTGGGCTTCAGTTTTGAGAGTTCGAAGAACCTTTTCTGACGCTGAAACGTGGCCACAGAGAAAACAGATGAGGTTCTTTTCCTTCAAAGCTTCTTGGTTCGAAATGACGGACTCGGAGGCCACTGGCTCTTGTGGGCTTTGACTTGAAAAGACGTCCATGCTCAGGGATGATAAAAAGAAAGGTTGAGGTGTAAATGAAGAAGAAAGGTTGCAGAGCAGATGAACAACGCACATTTTAAAAGAACCACCACACACATTTGAGATTCTCCCTTTTTTTCTTGTTCTTCCCTTGCGAGTTCTCCGCTCATCATTTAGTCAAAGGACCTTGTGAAATCACTCAGAGACAGATGGCCGAGGAAGAGAGCAACAATCAGTAAACAAAATTGACACACGGCGCGGGTCACTCTTCAGGTGGAAACAAAGCACTTGCTTCCGACAGAGATAGAGAGAGAGAGAGAAGAGAGAGAGAGAGAAGAGAGAACGGGACCATGCTCCTTCGCATGGGCATCCAAAACAAGATCCATAAGCTGGACTGTGTTGCTTTGGATGGTGGATACACTCTATTCGTCGGTGAGCTACTGGACAGCTCGGGTGAGCTCCAGTACGAGAACTTTTGTTATCCAATCCGTAAGATGCGTGGAATTGCACTGACTGAGGAAGAGAAACCCTACAATGAGATCTTCGGGAGCTTTCGCTCTCGTATAGAGAGCTATTTCGGAGAGATGCAGTCGACGTTCACCAAGTTTAGTCATACAGTTGTGAACAAGGTGGCAGAGAAAGAGACGTTTGGTGTTCAGTACAAGCTAGTGTGTCTCCTGATGAACATCAAAAGGTTTGTTGCACTGAGGAACATCCCCACTGAACAACATCACATGTTGTGGCTTCAGGACGGCTTTGACTACCCCAGCAACACAGAGCAAGAGGCCAAGTACACTCTTCCGAACATCAAAGTCAAGCTGTCCCAGAGCTAAGATTTGCTTGCCGCACGGAAGGCTTTCTTCAACATGGCTATTTCCCTTCAAGCAGGAGCCGCTGATGATGACATGGCATTAGAGGACGATGACAGAGCGAACGAGGTGAAGGCAGTGAGAGAAAGTATCAGATCATACAGAAGAGTGGTGGATTGAGTATGGCGATACCCATTCCAGTCTATGACATCAAGGACAAAATAAGGGTCGCTGAGTACGTGAAGTCCATCCAGAGCTTCGAATAGTTCCAGAAAAGTTGTTTCAGATCTTGGCCCAAGAACGCCACAAAAAAAAAAGAAGCATAAAAGTAGGCCCTGTGGGCCGTGTTTTTAAAACAGAGTGCTTAGTCAGCCAATATGTCTTTTTCAATAAAGTGGTGGCCTTGAGCATATTTATGTACGCTGGTAGCTGTGTTGAAATATAAAAAATGCGCCTTTCCATTTCTCGAAAGTGAACGATCAAAAAACATAGTGTTTCTGTTCCTGATTTTTTTTGGCTGTGCATGGCTGATAACCTCATCTGACACCAACCGATAGAGAGCCACACTTCGGTGACGTAATTATGGCGTCCATTGTCCTGTAACCACCTACCTTTGCCTTTCCCCCTCCTCGTCAACACACTCCGCTTTTCCACGTTTTGTTGTCTCCTCGCGTCTCTCATTAACACCTCACTTCACTTCCATCGCCACTCCTTTGCTACCGTCTCTACACACAAGCACACACATTCTTTCACTCCCCTCGCACTCTGTATCGAGCACATTGTCGCAGAAACTTTTCCTTACTCTCGCAGTCTCTAGTCCTTTCTTCTACATTTACAAGGCAAGTACAGTTTGAAGATTGTTCCCTTTCGGACGGTGCTGCTACAGCCACCTTGGATGAGACCATGCGGTTCACTCGAGTCTTGAATAGACCCGTGTTTACCATTGACATGGAATCTAAGCGTTGGTCCATGAGATCCAGGAGGTAAACCCCCAACTCTTAAATGGAAGGGAGTATTCGACCTGGAAATGGAGTTACAGCAGCGTTGAATGTCAGCCACCCTGGATGAGACCATGCGGTTCACTTTGGACTTGTATAGAGTCGTGTTTACCATTGACATGGAATCTGGGTGTTGGTGCATGAGATCCAGGAGGACATGCAACACCTTGATGTTTGCAAGATTTTGTAGTTCGACCTGGAAATGCAGACATTGTCCCCAGGCAGTTTAGTTGCTGAAGCAACACGAGCATTCGCCCATGTACTGACAATTATTGTTTTCTAATCCATTTGAACCTCAATAACCTTGAAGTATAGGCACGATCATCAACTCTTCCCCTACATTCTGTCATTGTAACTCTTGTCTTTACGTTTCCGCATTCTCTACACTCACACGCCGATATGGTTCATCACAAGTTCAAGGCCTTCCGCGACAACAATCCAGATCTCTCAGCCATCTGTCACGTCGACTTCTTTGACAGTGCTCCTGATTTATCAGAAGCAGACGCATGCCATATTTGGCTGAGCTGCTTGGCGGAAATGGCAAAGGATGCAGACCCAGCTACAAAGGCGTCCATGGCGTTGTTGAAAGAGAAGTATCTCAAGGATAAAAAAAATGGAAATTTGAGGCGGTACTGGGACCGACGTAAACTCGAGCAAGAAGCAGAGAAGTCACAGAACGAGGCCACAATGCAGACTGCTATCACAGTAAACCGCACGGCAACGAGAGTCGTGCAGTCGGCAGAGAAGCAGGTCAATGGTCATCTCGAGAAGATTGACAGCTCCGTCTTTCCAGGTAATTGATGCTTTGATTCCATTGGCAATCTTTCTTGCATCGCAAGCGTGCCCCAAAGTGTGAGGAGGTCGATTGTAGACTTATGTACGCATGTTCTATTATGGAAAAATAGACGATGAATCATCTGGTCAGGCTGCTGTTAGGACTTCTTCAGTGTCCTCATCATCGTCCCTGTCAACACTGTCGTCAACAGCATTGTCAAGTCCGAAGAAGAGGAAGCGGTCGACTATGGTTGGAGGCTCGATGTCGACAAGGATCGAAGACGGTGGAGAGTCTCTTTTGAAAAGTCGGAAAGAGGTACTTAATTTTACATTTCACCAGTATTGTTATTTATTCGCGGATTGGTGACTAACAGGCACTTTATGTTTAACCCTACGATAGCGCTTTGCCGCCATGAATCCGTCTCGTTTCTGGAAGCTCCGAAGCGGTAGAACAGTTGAAGAGATCCTCTACATCTCAAGCTTGAACATGGATGCCAATTTTAAGTACTTACTTTGCGATGTTTCTTTTTATGTGGCGTTTATTCGTAATGCATGGTAACATTTTACTAACGGTGTTCTCTGTCACCATAACAGAATGCGGTCATATACGATTGATTTTGGCTGCGAGAGGACGAAGGCTGCCTTCTCCGATGATGAATGGATGGAGATGGAAGAGTTGAATGATTTTCAACTACCAAAGATACCAGAATCGACCCGGTAAACACCAGCTTCCTTCCGAACCTGCTGAATCATAAAGGAGGGAGGCTATTGTTGCTCTCACCCCTGTGAGTGACCCGCGCCGTGTGTCAATTTTGTTTACTGATTGTTGCTCTCTTCCTCGGCCATCTGTCTCTGAGTGATTTCACAAGGTCCTTTGACTAAATGATGAGCGGAGAACTCGCAAGGGAAGAACAAGAAAAAAAGGGAGAATCTCAAATGTGTGTGGTGGTTCTTTTAAAATGTGCGTTGTTCATCTGCTCTGCAACCTTTCTTCTTCATTTACACCTCAACCTTTCTTTTTATCATCCCTGAGCATGGACGTCTTTTCAAGTCAAAGCCCACAAGAGCCAGTGGCCTCCGAGTCCGTCATTTCGAACCAAGAAGCTTTGAAGGAAAAGAACCTCATCTGTTTTCTCTGTGGCCACGTTTCAGCGTCAGAAAAGGTTCTTCGAACTCTCAAAACTGAAGCCCACGATGGTCTACGCCATCGGATTAGGCGTCTTCAATGCCTCTGGTGTCCAAAGGCATATCAAACTCGGAAGGGAGTAAAGACCCATTTCTCTACATGTCCTGGATTCAACGACCTCTCCTTTCCTCGGTCGTGTACTGTGTGCGGAGTCAAAATTGAGACCGCCAAGGCTCTCCAACTCCACATTTTGGATTGCAAGTCCTGGCCTGAAGAGGACGATGATTTCAGCGAGCTTGACGCCCAGCTGATTGCGAAAACTGGGCACCCGGCAACTGCTCGATTCGTGAACGACCTGTTTGAGCAAGCGGAGGTTACGCTGCCGAGAGGCGAAAAAGTGTACGCCTACCTTCCGGTCGGCAGTTCCAAGCGATTGGGTGACGGAACGGAAGCATACATTCGTCCGATGAAGCGCCGGTCAGATAGAGTCATTGTTGATTCGAAGTTGGAGCTTTCGCTGAGATCGCACGCCTATTGTTCGTTGGTGGATATCGGGAATTACAAGGCTCTAGGAGTCAAGGATCCAATTTGCACCCTGCGGTTCTCAGATCACAGCAAGCAGCTGGCAAGGAATGTGTCAAGTCCTTTGATCCAGTCAGGCGATGACGTCCTTCTTTGCCTCAAGGTCGAGGTGTACGGGCGTCGTGAAAGCGAGGATGCCCACCACATAACGAAGCTAGGACATCCGAACAGCAGCAGGCCTTTCAAGGTGGCGAACCGTACTCATGACAACACGCAGATGGTAATCATTGGGACGGTGCGGTGGAATGCCTTGGTGACAATGGCGGTTTTGGTGACAAGTGGCAGGGTGATTGTAGGGTCACACAATCCCTGGTTCCATCCTCATGCAGCATCACACGTATGGCTTCTGAAGAATGGAGACGAAGACCTTAACAACAACGTGGAACGGCATACGCGCTCCAAGTTCGACCAAGCGTCGTCGTACGAGTTGTTTGCAGCCGCGCACCCTCGATTTCTGGGCCATTGCACCCTGCCAGTCACCTTGAGCACTCTCTGGGACTTCAAGTAAAGAGGAAAAGGAAAAAATTGGTCAGGTGCTAAGCTTGCATCATTCGTTTTTCACCAGCTCCTCAACCACGGGAAGATGTTGAAGTCGGACTTGAAGCAACGGCTGGATGAACTTGAGACACGCGAGAACGGTCCGGCAGAGACGACAATCGATGGGATTTTAGCGAACTTGAGGCGGCTGTTAGAAGCCATGAGGGATGAAGAGACGAAACCTGTTTCGATGAAGGTTAGCAATGAACTAAGACAGCTTGCAGAAAAGTTACAAGGCGAGATAACCAACATCAACAAAATTACCATCACGGATGAGGTGAAGATCGTGATTGGGTATCTAATTAACAAAAGTTCAGGTTTGGAATAAAATCATCAAGTCTTTGTTTGGTGTTGTGGGAATTGAAAGCTGACATCATCTGATCTTTGAGGGCTGTCTTCGGCAAGTTCCTTTTTCTTTTTTTTTGAACAACTGCGAACACTCAGCGAATTCTCAGGGAATTTTTTTTTAAAGCGCACTCAGCGAACGCTCAGCGAACACTCAGCGAACACTCGGCGAACACTCAGCGAATTCTCAGCGAATTCTCAGCGAATTTTTTTTTCAGCGAACACTCAGCGAACGCTCAGCTACAGTGCTCCAAAAAAGTGATTCATCTTTTTGCGATTTCGACTTTTTTTTTTGAAATGCTCATTCATCAATGTTCCGACCGGCCCCCAGATTCCTGTCATTCATTCTCTCGATTCGTAGCCTCCTTCATTACAACTTGCTTCTTTTTGCATGGACCGACATCGGGTCATCGTCGGAATCGAAATGCCTGAATCAAATGAATCAGTTACTTGGATTAATGCATCCCGATTTTCATTTTCAACTTGTGCGGTCTTTTTAATATCTACCTACCTTTAAACTTTAATGAGTTACGTACTGAATCCTGTAGGACTATCTGTAAAAGTTTGGAGTTCTACTCATAGTCTTTTCTACATGACCTACATGCCTGATTTACATGGACTTGGCATGTGTTTAGCTGTGCTTTTTTAACCACAAGCTCAGTGCGCTTACTACCGGCAAACTGAAAGCTGGTCCATGTATAAGACATGGAGTGGATTATCATCATAGGAAAGGTACGGGATTATCATAACGCTAGCATGAAATATCACTCATGTAAGTATTGTTACATGGAGCTAGCATGATTTCACATGTTGTCATGACATTGCGCTCCATAGAGAATAACTGGCCTCTTACATTGACCACATTTAGATTATACACCATGCGCTACAAATGGGCCAGCTTTCAGTTTGCCGGTAGTAAGCGCACTGAGCTTGTGGTTAAAAAAACACAGCTAAACACGCGCTAAGTCCATGTAAAATCTGGCACATAGGTCACATAGAAAAAACTATGAGTAAGAACTCCAAACTTTGATAGATAGTCCTACAGTGTTCAGTACGTAACTCATTAAAGTTTAAAGGTAGGTAGATATTAAAAAGACCGCACAAGTTGAAAATGAAAATCGGGATGCATTAATCCAAGTAACTGATTCATTTGATTCAGGCATTTCGATTCCGACGATGACCCGATGTCGGTCCATGCAAAAAGAAGCAAGTTGTAATGAAGGAGGCTACGAATCGAGAGAATGAATGACAGGAATCTGGGGGCCGGTCGGAACATTGATGAATGAGCATTTCAAAAAAAAAAGTCGAAATCGCAAAAAGATGAATCACTTTTTTGGAGCACTGTAGCTGAGCGTTCGCTGAGTGTTCGCTGAAAAAAAAATTCGCTGAGAATTCGCTGAGAATTCGCTGAGTGTTCGCCGAGTGTTCGCTGAGTGTTCGCTGAGCGTTCGCTGAGTGCGCTTTAAAAAAAAATTCCCTGAGAATTCGCTGAGTGTTCGCAGTTGTTCAAAAAAAAAGAAAAAGGAACTTGCCGAAGACAGCCCTCAAAGATCAGATGATGTCAGCTTTCAATTCCCACAACACCAAACAAAGACTTGATGATTTTATTCCAAACCTGAACTTTTGTTAATTAGATACCCAATCACGATCTTCACCTCATCCGTGATGGTAATTTTGTTGATGTTGGTTATCTCGCCTTGTAACTTTTCTGCAAGCTGTCTTAGTTCATTGCTAACCTTCATCGAAACAGGTTTCGTCTCTTCATCCCTCATGGCTTCTAACAGCCGCCTCAAGTTCGCTAAAATCCCATCGATTGTCGTCTCTGCCGGACCGTTCTCGCGTGTCTCAAGTTCATCCAGCCGTTGCTTCAAGTCCGACTTCAACATCTTCCCGTGGTTGAGGAGCTGGTGAAAAACGAATGATGCAAGCTTAGCACCTGACCAATTTTTTCCTTTTCCTCTTTACTTGAAGTCCCAGAGAGTGCTCAAGGTGACTGGCAGGGTGCAATGGCCCAGAAATCGAGGGTGCGCGGCTGCAAACAACTCGTACGACGACGCTTGGTCGAACTTGGAGCGCGTATGCCGTTCCACGTTGTTGTTAAGGTCTTCGTCTCCATTCTTCAGAAGCCATACGTGTGATGCTGCATGAGGATGGAACCAGGGATTGTGTGACCCTACAATCACCCTGCCACTTGTCACCAAAACCGCCATTGTCACCAAGGCATTCCACCGCACCGTCCCAATGATTACGACAAAGGTACTGATAGTGATACAAAGAGATTTCGCCCGGAAAGGATTTGTGTGTATTGACTGTCTCTGGTCAGAATACCCAGCTTAAGTTCTTGCAGGGAAGGACAACCCACCAACATCCAGAGCTCGAACAGGAACGCAAACTCGGACGTCGGGGACAAGATCGTGAGCAGTGGGAGGTGCCAATCCCATGTCCGCCAAGGTTGAATTGCTGCTGTTGGTGCGAGAGCAGAAAATGAAATCGTCTGCTCCTTCTTGGTCCTGGGACTCATCGAGTGGGAGGAGGCCATAGGATCGACAGAGCTCGATAGCCAGAGGGATGAAGCAGTGTTTTCCAGGAATGAACGTCCGTACTTCCAACGAGGTCAACTTGGTGATCGAATGCAAATTATCCAGATGAAACGACAGCGCAGACCAGCCCTCCAGAGCCAAAATCCTCCAGACAAGGTAAATGAGCACGGAGACAGGGCTCGATTCCCTGCAGCCCATACTGAGCAGAATCCTGAGGCTCACAGACACAACGTTTGAAAAACTGCATCAGCAACATGGGATGGATGAACAGATGTTCCGTCTTGTTGATCCATACGTAAAAAGAAAAATGGCTCAGCTTTATCAAGGACGAGAGCTAAATAAAAAAAAACGAAGGTCAAAAGAAAATGAACCTCAAAGTACATAACATGAACACAACTTAACAAGAGATCAGAATTCTAACCGGTCCGACCTGTTTTTTAGGCGCCATCAACGCGTTCTTCATATCATACCAATCCACTCGCGCATTTTATCCATTTCACTTTTTCACATCAATGATCACGTCCCGCGCTTATGGGTCTGATCCCACTGATCTACACGCGTTTGTCTTTGTTTCCCCCTTTTTTTTCTTTATTTCAAGGGAAGCTTCTAGCACTTACCTCCTCGCCAACAAAAAAAAACCAACCCTCCAACTTCACAGGCATCACTAACTGCACCTTTACTATTCCCTCGCTTCCTCCACATCCTTCAACACAGCATACTCCCTTTTATCGCCACCACGACCAAGCACAAAATACACCTTAACCTTCAAAACTTCCACATCCATCCCAACTTTCAAGGCTCCCATATCCACCTTCCACCCCGCCTTCCGTAATAGCCCCAACTCTTTCCTTTCCTCCTGTGTCGGTTCTGGGATAGACACTAATACCCTTGAGATACGCTCGGCTAGTGTCGTCAGGAGACAGGTGATTAGAGCGGGGAGGGTGAATCCGTTGCAGCCGGAGAGGGAGACCTCGCGGAGTTTTGGGAAGGAGTCGTACAGGAGTGTAGGAATTAAGGAGTCGGACAGGATCCAGGCGCCCCACATGGTGAGGATTTCGACAGAGTGGGCGATAATGATCCTCGTTGGTTCCTGTGCTGGCGCAGTTGTTGGGTCCATGGGGTCAAGTTCGTCGAGGCCGGTCTCGTCGTTGGGTATGTAAAAGTCGGCGTGGGTGAGGGCTCGGACGTGGCTGTCTTCTTGTTCAGTCCCCATCTTGAGGGTCAACTCTTTCAGGGCTGGACACCCATGCAGCATCCGGAACTGGAACCGGAACGCAAACTCGCCCGTGAATTCCAACTTCTTCAACTGCCGGAACTTCCAGTCCCATGACCAAGCCGGGCGCTGTATCATCAACGGCAGCATCTCCCCTCCTTCTTGACCGTCTTTTGCTCCTGTGGCTAATCCATCTTCATCTTGATGACCTCCATAGGATCGATTCAACTCTTTAACGGGCGGGATGAAATGGGCGCTCCCCGCCACTCGACTATCAACACAGATCCGCAACACCTTCAACTCTGTCGCCCAAACAAGCGTCGCTGGATGAAACGTCAACGCCGGCCACCCTTCCAACTCCAACTTCGTAACCTTCTCCAGCTGTGCCGGCAAAGCAGGTATAATATCCTGACACTGGTACATCCGCGTGTTATCGGACAAATAGACGGTGGTGAGATTCGGACAATGAAAGAGGAGCATCTGGTCGATGAGGAGTCGATGACTGTGCGCTTCTATCTTGAGGTCCGTCAGAACCGGCATATCTACCCACCCACGACCGATCTCGATACTCCGAGGCAAATGCGAGCCTTGGGTTTCGATAGCGGTGTAAATGTAGAGAACCTTTAACGTGTCGGAAAAGGCGAACGCAATGTCATCAGCCTCATCCGTCGATGTGTCATAGTTCAGGATATCCATTCGCTCTAACGGCACCAAACCACTAGCCTCTCTACCTCTCCCTCGTCCTTCTCCAAGCATATACTTCTCCTTCTCCTCCACAGCCCACCGAAAACTCCCTCTCCCATTGGACCCCAAAGTCATCCGCCTCAACATCCGACACCTCTGCAAGAACCTCGGGTACTCTTCCAACCCACGATCCTTCGAAATTCGTCCGCACGCCCCAGACCTGTCACTCACCTCCTTCACACGCCCCAAATCCGTGATCTCCGGATGCGCCAACAACCGCATCAAATTCTCCCGGGACAGAAAAGTGGGTCGGTCCATCGGTGGTAGGAGTCGATAGATCTGCATCCAGAAATTGTGGTGCCAAGGCTGATCAAAGTACCGGGACCGGTGATGCTGAGTACAAATGTTGATGGTTTGGAGTTGTCCCTTGAAGATCCGTGTATGCTCTCTGACAAAATGGACCAACAACTGCATCGCTTCGTCCTTGTACAACCTGGTGGCTTCATCGTCGTTGATAGGGTCGATAGAAGACTTGTCGGGAGGGATCTCATCCAGGACAAACTTCAAGGTCTCCAGTCGTCCAAGCCGGCCCACAACTCCAGTCCAGCGATAGATATCGGAAAGAGGAAAACTTAGTCCCTCCAATTGATCCAGCACAGGCGTGGAAAGGGTCCACAGAGTGTCTCGATAAAGACCCACCTCCCAGAAGTACCAAGCCAGCTCCTTCCTCCTCCGGTCCAATCTCTCCTTGAGGTCGTTAGAGTCCATGCTGTTGTTGTCGTCGTCCAGTTCCATGCTGCTGCTGTTGGTGTCTGGGGTCATGCTGTTGTTGCCGACAGGACACTGACTCCAAAACTCGCCCCCCTCGATGTAGGCCACTTCATCCTCCGAGAGTTCATCTCGCTCCTGGAGAATGGAATTTGTAAACCTGCCCATAGGAAAGTCAAGGCACCGAAGATGGCCAAGGTAGTTGAGCGGTCTCACTTTCGGATAACTGCTCTTCGCGTCAGTGTCGGTGTCGGCGGCGGAGGGCGAGGACAAAGAAGAGTCGAGTTTGAATTCTCCAATCAAATCCTTCGACACCTCCCCACCACAAAGGAGAACATTACCAAGCAAAGTCCTGACCAACTCTCGAAGGCCCCGCTCCTTGAAGTAAGTATAGACATGTTCACTTAGGAAGGGGCTGTGATAGATAAAAGGGAGCGTGACTTGGGCGATGTATCGGTTGACGCGGAGGAGGGCGTTCAGGGAGGTTAGGGTCTCGCGGCGGTGTCTGCTGGTGATGATTTCGAGGATTCGTTGGAGGCATTCAAGAGGTAGTTGTGAGAGAGAGTCGTTCATTTTGTTATTGTTGTTGTTTGTGTGTGTGTGTATGTGTGAAAAAAAGAGAAGGGTGTTATTTTTTGTGTATAGGAGAGTGGGAGGAAGAGTGGATGGTGGATGAAGAAAAGAAAAGAAAGAAAGGTGGTGGTGAGAAGAGGGGGGAAAAGGAAAACGAAGGAAACGAAGGAAGGGTACTGGGAGGATAACGGAAAGAAAAAAGGAAACTGCATTTTGAGTGCCCTTTAACCTTGCGCGCACTACATGAGTCACACATATTAGTTTTCGGCGCAGCAGCAAAGACCCCTTGCCGTTACTCCAGCACGGAAAGTACTTCCCCATCATCGGTATCGGGGTTGGCGGCATCGGGATTGGTGGCGTCAGTTGCATCCTTGAACAATCGATAGACGAGATCCAGAACTTTGCCACTCCATCGCTTTAGAATTCCTCTCCAACAACTGCCGCCTCTGGTTCTCAACCCCTCATCCAACTGAGGAGGCACCTACCCCCTACACTTCCGGTTCGGTCTGTACATGTGCAGACGGATGTACGGGGAATGGTATATCAACGGACGAGTCGCGTGGGCGAGGTGTTTGGAAACGCAGACGAGAGGGAGGAGGGTTATGTTGTGGTAATGGCCTTAGCCGGGGAGGGAAATGGTGAGGAGTAAGAGGATCTGGTGCAGGATTTCTGGAGGCAACTTGGAGAGGTGGTCCTTGTTGGCAGTGGTGGTGTAGGGTGGAGTGGAATGCATTGTGGATGGTAAGAGAGATGGGCGAGGGTTGTTTATGAGTGAGTGAATTGTTGTTGTTTTTTTCACTCGAGTGATGTAGATGTTTGGAAGGCAACGAATGTGTGAATGGGAGGAAAGGTAGAGGAAAAGCAAAAAGTCAGGAACAAGAAAAAAAAAGGAAAGGGGCATCACCGCTGAGCGGCTGTATATTCTCAGTGAACGAATGCTCACCATGGGTTAAACGTCAATGTAAAGTTATCATTCAACGGAAAACACACAAAACGCATACATATTTTTCACATCCGATCGACTCACACAGGATCCCACAGCCCACAAAGCACACAACAAAACACGGAAAAATAACGATACATTCAAAAGCAATGAGATAAATCCTTAGAAACAACTACTACGGGCATCGCGCTTCTGCTTCTCATCGTTCTCCTTCAGGAACGACAACAGTCGCTTCTTGTGGATCATTCCATAGTGCTCTCCTGCCTTGACCACACACACATACTTGATCCCCAACTTGATGAACAACTCCATCACCAGATCCATCGACGAGAATAGACTGACTGACAAGGGCGCCTAATTATTACCATGATGCACATTGAAGAAAAGTCGTTTGTTAAAAAAGAAGACACTTATAGCATGCATGCAACGCCTAAGCAAGACGACAAGATATTAGTCACAGTGAACCAATTCTGTTACCTGGTCGGTAAAAGGCGTAAAGTCCATAGTACGCGAGGGATCGCGCAAGAGATCACTGGTTCCAGTACTGCTGTAACGACGAGGGTGCGGCCGCCGCGATCCATCAGGGTGCAACAGATCCGCATCATCATCATCCGGGTGCATCTTGTTTCCATGGCTGCCCAGATACTGACTGTCCCGAATAGGTCGATCGTACCCTTGCATATCGTTGTCATAGTCCACTCCACTCCTGCCAGAAGAAGGAGGAGGCTGCACCCAATCCTGACTCGAATTTTCAGGCATCCTAATCGACTGCCGGTGAGCCACATACTCTGACGAATACGACGCGTCCTGAGTAGGTGACGACACCTTCCCGACCTGTGCCTCGAGGCCGTTCAGCGACGTGATAATCTCAGTCGCCGGGACATTCGACGACGCACGGTTCCTGAAAACACAGATACAATCCGGATGCTTCTGCTCCGCCAGATCCAGCGCATGACCCAACTCATTCGATGCAATGTACCCCACAAGAATCCCGCGGTCAACAATGGGAACCCCCCCATCCGAGTACCCCGAAGCTGCCAAGATCTCCACTTTCCGTCTCAATGAATCCACATCATTGATAGCATTGACATCAATCGTCTCCAGGTAACGATCCGCAATATCGGCCGCAGTTCCAAATGTGTTGTAATCCTTCTTGTTGTCGAGGTAAGGGTGCTCGTTGAGGTCGATCAGCTTGTTGAAGAACGCGTCTGGTGAAAAGGCATCGCCAACAAACTTGCCTATCATCACAGCCATCATGATCGGGAGGGAGTAGGTCATGGCGCCCGTGAGCTCAAACATGATGACGACCAGTGACACGGTCATGCGTGTAACTCCCGAAAGACATGCCGCTGCTCCTATCATCGCGTAAAGACCTGGGATAATACAGTCCATGCTGTCGCCTTCGCACACCGCAAACACCTGGTGCTCCGGGTACTTGCTATCAAATGGAGGGATATGATCACTATTAATACCTCTTCCCTCGTCGTATAAATGAAACTTGCGAAAAAAAAAAAAAAAAAAAAAAAAAAACCTTGGGGCTGATACTTACACAATGAGCCATTGGACACCGAGTCCAACCATGCGTCCAAAGACGGCACCGGCAACCATGGTGGGGATGAAGATGCCTCCGGGGACCTTGACTCCAAAAGTAATAAAGTTCAGTACCACTTTCATCACAAAGACCTCTGCCAGTAACAGGAAAATTGGGTAGATCTGATCGATGTTTGTTCTATATGAAAGGAAAATATTAAACGCGATTTTAGTACTGGTACTCCATGTTGTTAATCCACATTACGCCAATACTAGTGCTCCGTGTCGCTGATCCACATTGAGCCTGGGACAGATTGGGTTTTGTAGGGTCAAACTTACGCGCACATGCCGTTGAGGTTGTTTTCGGGGGTGCATTCACTGTAGAGGTTGGTGAGGAGCTGCAGCAGGTTGACTCTGGTCCAGGGGTTGAGCCACTGGATGGCACAAGTCAGGAGGGTCACAATAAGGACCTCCTGCACAGGGTGACGACCGATCCATGTCCTTGATCTGAATCGAGAGTAGTTCATGTGGAACTGCGAGAATACTGCTCCATAGACCCCCTATTTTCATTGCGGAGATGAATATTTAACATGGTAAGAATCGCATTTCAGTCGCAATTAGCCGCATACCAAATAAAGATGCGGAGCCGAAAGTTAAGATCATTTACCCCAAAGACACTGATGAAGAAGAAGGGGACTGATTCGAACAGATGCCAGTCGCGGTCATATGTGACCTGGAACAGCACAGTCTTGCCGACACGGTACGGGTTGATCATCTATGCACACATGGTAGAAGGACATGTTGTCAGTCTTAATTGTTGTAGCCATGAAAGCGAATTCTCAATAGCAACTTACATGAAGAATATATACCTTCAGGACGACGGCAGAGACCAAGGCACAGAAATAGGTCCGCCACATCGTTTTGCTTGGGAAGTAGTACGACACCTCCTCCAATGAAAATAAGACTCCACCAATAGGAGCGCCGAATGCGACTGCCACTCCTGACGCCGCCGCGGCCGAAAGGATCTCCCTGCGCTTTCCTAGAGGTATTATAGAATAATAAGAATGAATTAATAACCATTGCCATACACTAGGCTCCAAAACAAGAATGTTGCAGTGACTTACCGTCGTTCCTGTTGTACTTGTCAAAGATACGGCAGACAATATTGGCAACACAGCACGCGATGTGGACCAGTGGTCCTTGTTTTCCCATGTTCAATCCAGATGCCACCATCAGAGGCTGAGGTAGAAAAATAAAGTGAAATGTTAGTGCTGTGAACATTGAGTCCTCAGGTTTCACAACCAAGAGCAGGAACTTTCACCAAGAACGAAGAGACGTACGAGTCCGATAAGCTTGATCATGAGGGTCCTGAATCCCAAGAATCCCCGGATAACGAAACCACCAAGGATAGTCTTGACCTCAGGGATACCAGATCCAGCTCCGAAGTAGGCAATCTTTTTGGGTTGAGAAGAGTTGAGGACGGTCTCCATCGATGTCCTTGAAGCTGATCTAGGGATTCCGCCACCGGTGCCGTTGGGTTCGTTCCTGCGCTTGGTCGATCCATGTGATTTCTGTTGAGACACTGTTCCGTCCGATGTCACCATCACTACACAGATCCCTGCAAACAGCACCTATTATTGTTCCGATGGACCAGTAATATGATTTAGTTTGAGAGGGAGAATATACGATGCAACGAATCACCCTGACTTGAGCCGCAGTAAGCAATGGCAAAATAACTTACACCGAAGCAGCAGTAAACGATCCAGTCAAAGGTATCACGGCTAAGTCCCAAAATAACCTTGTCGGACGAGAGTGCTTGTGACCATGAGACCCACTCTGGACATGAACCAGCTACATAAGGCGGAGGAGCGGGAGCGGAATGTTTTGAGTAGACGTTAACAACTGAGGATGGTGATTCTCTGAGTCAATCTGCCAATCAGGAACAAAGAAGAGGATAGATGGATGACTTACCATCAGTGCCAGCAGTACCCCAGCAGCAAAAGTACTGGCTCCACCAAAAGTTGGTTGTGCAGTATCCCATGCGTAGATCTCCGAGCCACCAACTTGAGACATCGATGAACGCGGCGAGACAGGCCGTGATGACACCTTGAGGAGACCATAGGAAAGAATAAAGCACAAGTAATACAGGTTGAGATCGGACGGAGAAGGGATGAAGGATAGATGGCAGAATGTACGAATGGACAGATGGGAAATCGTTGAACCGGGGTTAGAAAATCAGTCAACCATCAGCATTAAGGTTACAAGAACGATCAGTCCGTCCTGAAAATAAATCTGACCAGATGGCGTGCGCAACACACCACACACGACCAGCCAAAGGGAATAGGATGAAATGGGAGGGAAAGGATAGGAGAGGGGGAAGATTGATTGCTGACTTAACATCTATGAATGTACTTACCGGTCAAGAGGACAAGGACCCAGCCTTTCAAACTATCTGCTCGGTTCTTCAGCATGCCTCGGATACCTCCAATCGATCTCAGGTGACGCAGGCGCACGCGCTCCTTGACAAAATCATGGATCCAATCTGGTTCAGACACAGATGTACAAACAAAACAATTGGTGAGCCGCAATGCACTGACCAGGTATTTCAAACATGAACAAAATAAAGTATCCGTGACAAATAAAAAACGTTTGCGATGGGAGATCAACAAGAGCACGAACAAGATGCAAGATGAAGACGTGATTTCTTTCGAACGTACCAATGGTGGTGTAGTTGTGGTACCAGATGCGGATACCATTGTTCTCCTTGACCAATGCCTCCTTGGCATCATCATAAAGGCCACTTCGACGAGTCAGCAGCTTTTCCTTGACGAGATTGATGTTAGCTATACTAGATCGACGCAAGTTTTGCAGAGCCCTGTTGCCGCCATTGCTCCTGCCTCGGCCAGATGATGGATAGTTGCGAAAGATGACCCTGCCTCTGTTTCCACGACGAGACTCCATATTGGGCGAAAGTGATCTAGCCCTACGGATCGTTGAAATGGAGAAAAAGGAAAACAGATCGGAAACAAGAGGAGTGAGATGGGAGATGGAAGGTCATGTTACGCAACAACGGTCGAATCGTTGTCGTGTGTTTCGTGCGCGCACGGATGGACGCCCCATGCATATGCATGGTGGTTGCTGTTGTTTATCTGTTGTGGTCGTCTGACATAAATAAAACAAGCTGGTTTGCACGGCATCTTGATGGTATGACAAAGAGCAGGGAGTAGTGGAAGATGGCATCATCTGGAATTAAAATGGCGGGTTCAAATAGTCAAAAGGCGATCTGTATACCTGGATGGTCTCCGCAAGGAGTCCGTTTCGCTGGTGTTGTCCAGACCATCGCCATCGCCATCGCCATCTTGCTGGTCGGCATCGACGGCTGGGCCGTTGTAACGAGGAGTTCTCTTTCTGGACCCTTCATTCGTCCAGCGTTCTTGTTGTTCATGTCCATTGCCATTGCCATTGCCCTGAGGATTTCTTGATCGGCTACCGCTATTGTTGCCGAGCAAGGAGGATGTTTCGTTGAGGAGGTGATGGTCATAGTCTGACGGGTGTGCTGCCGTTATTGTCGGAGTCGGTTCCTGCGAGGACAACTTTTTTGTTTTAGGAGGAGAAGAAGAGGAAGGCGCGCGAGGGGGTTTTGAGGAGAGGGGAGCACCCAGTTTGTAGGCGGGTCTGGAGGGATCGGGCACCTTGACCTGGCTCTTGTTTAGAGGGGGTAGCCTAAGAGTCGGTGTCTGGCCGTTGTTGCTGCTGTCGTCGTTGTCGTTAGAGTTGCTAGTACCAAGGATTCCTTGACTGTTGTTACTGGATGGGCGATGTTTCAATAAACCTTGTCGCTCGTCGTTGTCCACCTGATCGTCGTCTTCTGCATTATCATCGTTGTCAGAGGTGAAGGCTGACCCAGAGAAACTAGGTTGGTTGGCACGTCTGGCGCGTGCTTGCTCCTGCTTGTTTCTGCCTGTGACCGCATCGACAGCATCCAAGAATCGGTTAGAAGGGGACGTAGTGGAGGAAGGAGTGGTTTTTGTCTGACCACCAGCGGACGAGGTAGTAGAAAGGGGCCTGTTGTTGTTTGAGGAGACGTCGCTGACAAAGTCGTGATAGTCGGGGGCGAGTTGGGCAGAAAGTGACTGGCGCGGCTGGTTAGGGGGCGACATGGCGGGGTCAGGAGGTGCTGTTACTGATGGAAAAGGGATGTCGTTGAGGTTTGTTTTTGAGGGTGAAGGGTCGTTGCTCATTGTGAATGGGAGGGAGTTCACACTCCTGCTGTTAAAGAAGGAGGGGGTGATGGGTTAGTTGTTGGCGATGTTGTTGTTGGTGTTGTTTTAATGAAGGACAATGCAATGTCAGGACAGGAAGGGAGGGTGAGGGAGAGAGAATGTTGTCTTGGTGAGGGAAGGCAGGGGATGGAGGAGGCGCGTGAATGCTAATAAGGGACGGAGAGGAGGAAGAAAGGAGGAGGGAGAGAGTGTAAAGAAGAAAAAGAAGAGGAAGAGGGTGTAGAAGAAGAGGAGGAACAAGAACAATAGATAAGCTAGAAAAGCAAGAAGAGAAGAGAAGAGAAGGCTGCATGGTGACCCAATAAGATTAGGATGAGAGCCAGGTACAAAAATCAAGCATGAATGTGAGTGATCTAGCGTGTGCAAGAAGGTCCCATCCATTGCATCCATCGGCCTCTATGAGAAAGAGAAAGTAAAGGGCTGGCTGGCTGACAGACATGCATAGAAAGGAGAAAAGGAGAACAGCTGGTGTTGTCCATTGGAAGACATGAACACAAACAAACCCCTTTTTTGCGAACATGACCACTCGCTTCCTTTTCTTTTTTTCACTCACGCTTACACATACACACACATCCATGCCAGTTCTCTTCACCCTTCTTGCACAATACGACACCCGAGGAGAGAGAGGAGCAGACATCAAAAGTTACATGACTCAAACAAGGGTCAAGGGGTATGAACATTGTGATGATGAAAGTGTATTCTCCCTCACCTCCACTTTGCTCCCATTGCTGTCCCAAGTACGCTTTGACAACTGTACCGAGGGAAACAAAAACGAAAAACGTGCTCGTTTGTTCTGCCTATCTGATCCGCACAATATTCCTTGTCCTTCCAGGTGGTTGTTTACTTTGCACCCACCCTTATCTCACGCCCTCCACCTTCGTCCTTCCTTCCTTCCCTTCCTTCCTCTCCACAAATCTCTCTCACACTCCCTTCAACAGCACACATGCATACTCATTTCTTTGTACTTATGCAGCACACACACAGCTAACATAAGAAACAGAAAACCTTGTTTTTTTCCTTACCCTGTATGTCGTTGTTCCCTCCTTTCTCTATTTTTCTTGGTCAGCTTCTCATACCCTCTGCACAGGAATACAAAGAACAAAAGATGTCCACGCCTGTTCTTTGTCTTCTTTGGGCGAAATATTTAATCCCCGATCCATCTAATTGGCCCTTGGTCAAGTCGTTCTTAGCACGACGGCAAGCAACGGAAGGCGCGAAGGAAGAACACGAAGACGGATAGCGAATGGGTTAGCCATAGCCAGCACTCCATTGTCATCATGACGATCAATCCTTTCTACAGATTTGTATCTGCCAATTCTTTGTTTTTTTATTGTTGTTGTTGTTGTTGACTATGTACATGTTATTGCTAAAAGGGGAAAAAGAAAGAAAAAGAGGCAACGAACGAAAGAAACAGGCACTAGCAATGAAAAAGGGAAAAAGAGAGAGATTTTGGACGATCCAAACCTCGCATCCACGTGGAGTGAGAGGAAAGTCATCCTTTGTACAACCTTCAAAAAGACAAAGAGGGTTTTTTTTGTTGTTTGTGGTTCAATGCGATCGAGTCATCCAGTAGTCCAGTATCAAATCCACGCAAGAGAACCGGCGAAAGTAAACGACAGAAAACGAATCAGTTTAGGCGGTGCCCCACCAGTGCATGATGCAGGAGAGGAGGATAGTGCTAGAGAAGGTGCTCAACAACTTGAACTTTTGCAAATCGCAAGAGCGCTTCTCCCACATCGCCTCGGAAATGATTGTGGGGACCTGAACACCAAAGTACAGGAAGGCTCCCAGCTGGGCAGCCTGTGACATTGTACGCGCCTGCGTCAAGTTCAACAGCAATCCTGTCACCCAGGCCTATTCGCCATAATATGTACGGAGTGGGTAAGAAAGAATTAGTGAGTAATAGTTGCGTAAGAAACAAGAAAAGTAAGCTAGCATGGTTACCAAGGGAAGTGAAGAGAGACACGACACCATTACATGTTGCATAATGTGGATCTTGAGTGAAAAAATACTGGGCTGTTTCAAGATGCATTAACCAAATGTCTGTGTGCATTGGGTTTTTTTTATCCGCAAAAGATCGTCTCGTCATGCTGGCAGCTGCATTGCATTAAAAATAAAGTGACAAACTTACCCTTCCCAAGCCCAGGGCAAACTCCTTGGCCATCAAGACGGGCATGTTGTCCTTGCCGTTCTTGTCCATCCAGCTATCACCACCCTTGTCCTATTTATTCGTTCACATCAGTAGGATATGATCGTCATTATGACCTCATTAGTACTAAGCGAATGAGTGGGTCAAATACAAAAGTGTTATGCTCAGATGAATACCTTGTTCATGGCATCGAGCCAGACTTGGCCAAACATGGGGCCGTAGACAAAAGCACCAGACAGCTGGTTGTAGAGTGCGCCAATGACTATTATCCAGTTGTAGAAGTAGAAGAGAGTGAGTGTAAGTACTCTTTGTGTTACATTTTCCCTTCGGTGTTGCAAACAGGAAGTCATCCAGTTTGTAAGTAGTTTGTTGCTGTTATTGTAGCTGTTATAACAAGGTGAGAGAACGTACGGACTGATCCTCCGGCAACGTATGGGATGTGAAGCATCTTGTTGTTGGTTATTGTTGGTATGAGGTGAGTGAGTGGAGAAAAGTGTGTCGTTGAAGAAAAGAAGGAGGTATTTTGGTAAAGAGAGATGTGGGAAAGTAAAGAAAGAAAAACGGAGCACGGATCTCCTCTCACACAGGTTGAGACATTTTTCATTTGCAGGAAATAATGACATTGGATCTGCGCTTGGAAATAAAGCTACTGTCTCTTAGCCTTTTTTCACCTTCAAACAAAAACACACAAACGCGAACAAATAGACGCTTACCCTTACTTGCCAACCGCCCAACTTGACACCACCAGGACAGCACACCTCCATTCACCCAGGGAAAACAACCATCTCACATCAATAAATAACAAGGAACATTTCGACCCAATGTCATTCTTCGCAAAGAGACAAACAACGGCGGGATCTTCCTCCGCCGCCGCAAACGCCACTGCTGCTGCAGCCAACAAGCCCTGGATTGAGAAATAGTGAGTTTGCACTCGAAGTGAAGGAATCTCGAACAGTCAGCATCACTACTCTCTTGGCACAACCACCAACAGTCGTAGACATCGCTGTTAATGACTTTTCTTTAAAGTGATCACTTTGGACCATGGAGAGAGGGCACGCTGATCAGAAACATGCTCCAACTGAAACACCTCAGGACTGACTGTTCTCCCCCTGTTGCCACCATTTTCTGCTTTTAGTCGCCCAAAGACCATGGACGATATCAGTTCACAGGAGCAAGCCGTCGCCGTTCTCAAAAAGACCATGGAATCTCAAAACGTACGTTCACACAAGGAGTCACCATGCCACTTTTTTTGTTCTTATAAACATCACAACGATCGCCGATAGAGAACTAAACAGAACCACTCCTTTCTTTTTGCGGATGATAAATAGTTGCCACATTTGCTTTTCTATGGACCTCCAGGAACAGGAAAGACATCGACCATTCTCGCCCTTGCCAGAGACATCTACGGGTACTTAGCACACAGGAGTTAACATTCAGGACTGATGGGCAGTAGGACATATAGGACACCACGACTAACGCGACTTTTCTTCGCCAACGTAGACCAGAGATGATCGGATCGCGCGTTCTTGAACTCAACGCATCAGACGAGCGTGGTATTCAGGTCATTCGTGAAAAAGTCAAGAACTTCGCTCGCTCCACCGTCTCTCACAACATCGGGTACGTCTCTTTTTTTTAGTGTGTGTACATGAAAGCCACCAAACTATGTCTCTACTATCAAGAAGAGAAATAGCCTTCACTAACAACTGCACACACTTATGACCGAGTAGAACCCAGAGTTGCCCACCATACAAGATCATCATTCTGGACGAGGCAGATTCAATGACAGCAGACGCCCAGTCTGCACTTCGCCGAACCATGGAGACATACTCCAAATTGACCCGTTTCTGTTTAATCTGCAACTATGTGACCCGCATCATCGAACCCTTGGCCTCGCGTTGTGCAAAGTTCCGGTTCAGACCTTTGGAGGAAAAGCACAGCAGGGAGCGTCTGGAGATGATCTGTCGCCAGGAGGAAGTCAAGATCTCACCTGAGGCCATTTTGAGTCTTATTCGGGTATCTGAGGGTGATCTGCGGAAAGCTATTATGTATCTCCAGAGCGCCTCTCGGCTTATGGGCAAGGATACCGAGATTGGCGAGGATGTCATTGCTGATATTGCTGGTGTAAGTCTCTTCTCTTCGTCTTTGTTCTCTTCGTCTTATTTTGCATTTTCTCCTCGCGTTCCTCAGTCGTCTCTCCTTCTCTCTAGTTTTCGTTCTCTTTTTCTCCATTGCATTTCTATCTATACCTTCTTGTCAATTTGCCCCTCTTTCTTGTTACTGCTCTATCGCTGCTATTGTGCATGCAATGTGTGTTCCCTCCCCACCCAATATCACTCTCCCTGTCCCTTGGGTCCTTCTTTTCCATTTATCCCCCTTATTGTCTGCAAGATACCCACCTACGTAACACTGATGTGATCGTCATTTGACACCCTCTTCTCTTTATGAATGAAATACTAGACGGTACCAGAATCTGTGATTGATGGACTGGAGGGATGCTGGTTGAGCAAGGAGTACAAGACGATTGCAGCCGAGGTACAGAACGTTATCGCGGACGGACATTCGGCGTCCAAGGTGCTTTCGCAGTTGCATTCTAGGCTTTTGAAGAACGAGCATCTGAGCCCGTTGCAGAAGGCTAAAGTCGCCGAGATCTTTGGAGACACGGACAAGTGTCTGTGTGATGGAGCCGATGAGCAGTTACAGCTCCTTAGTATGATGACCCGTGTCTCTTCTATTGCTGCTTGAGCTCCATCGTTGTAGTTGTGTATAGATAGCATGTAGCATTTTTGTTTCAAAATTACAAAACAAAAACGACAACAGAACAGGTGACAGAACGAACAGGCCCTTTGGTATTTCGTTACACACACAAGACCAGATGCAGAAGAAAGAAGGGGCAACCGATTTTATTTCAACAAAGGCTGCAAAGAGAGATATGGTACAGACATAATACTACAAATTGGGTTGGGATAGAAGGGTCGAGCAAAAAGCAGTGTATTGGTGTTTGATTGTTACAAGACGAAAAAAAAGAGGTGGACTAACACTTGTGTCTCTCCCTCTTACGCTTTAGGTGCGCTCACCACGGAGACGGCGGGCAAGGTGAATATCCTTGGGCTGGATGGTAACACGCTTGGCGTGGATGGCAGCCAAGTTGGTGTCCTCAAAGAGGGAAACGAGGTAAGCCTCGGAAGCCTCCTGCAAGGCACCGATGGCAGAGGACTGGAAACGCAAGTCGGTCTTGAAGTCCTGGGCAATCTCACGGACGAGACGCTGGAAGGGGAGCTTGCGGATCAAGAGCTCGGTCGACTTTTGGTAGCGACGGATCTCACGAAGGGCGACGGTACCGGGGCGGTAACGATGGGGCTTCTTGACACCGCCGGTGGCGGGAGCCGACTTGCGGGCGGCCTTGGTGGCGAGCTGCTTGCGGGGAGCCTTTCCTCCGGTGGACTTGCGGGCGGTCTGCTTGGTACGGGCCATTTTTTATGTTCTATTAGAGCGTAAGTAGTTAGGAGTTGAAGAGAACGGGGTGGGTAGATGGTGAGTATGAGTGTTACTTGTTGTTGCTGTTGTCAACGAGCGTGTGGTATGGTGTAACTACATAGGACAAGTAGGGGACAAGTGGGTTGTGTGTGCTTACCTTGTGATGAGGAGGAGGAGTGGAATGAGTGGGATGAGAGGGATGAGGAAGAAAAAAGAAAAAGAAAAGAGAAGAAAAAAAAAAGTGGGAATCGCACTGTTTATTAGAAGAAAAATGAAGTTGTAAGCTCTGGGTTCTTAAGGGCAAGTCGCAGGGAGAATGTTTCCCTCCCCATCCAGTTGGTGTGGTCATCGGCAGCGATTTCTAATATTGCGAAAAGGGTGTCAGAAAAACACTGTATGTTTGTTCTTTTTTGCACAGTGAGAAAGTAGCAAAAACACGAGAAATCGCTGCCAGAAAAAAATCACTGCCGAAATGTTTGAACCAAACTTTTGATTTTCGCTAATTGAATGTCTCAAATCACGTGGTGTTATTTCTCTAATTGACGATCGATCGTCTGCTATCTGGGACGGTGGGACGGTGGGACGAGAGGAGCCTTCTTTCTCCTCCTCATTGCATGGCACTTGGAAGAGCGAGATGGGGGAAACAGACACACACAACACCCTTCATCTTCTGCACTTTCACTCATACCCCCCCACACACACACACTACCACCTTTTCTTTACAAGAAGAGTCAGGAGTATATAAAGAAACAATGGGTTGCTGTTCAAGTATACTAATCGAAGACGACTCCGAGCCCGGCTATGGCGGTATGTTACATGTATCTCTCTTGACCGATACTCTTCACAGCGACAAAGGCATGTCAAGCCCAACAGTCAGGACTGCTAAGCTGACCATACTCACACACTCAACACACCACCCCTTCCTAATTAAATAGGCCGTAAGATCCTAGCACTAAAGCGTCATCGATGGAAAGCCCCAGTTCCGCCACCGACAAGAACTCAGCTGGAGCGTGATAGGGAGGAGTTCTGGGACACTGCCCCCATCTATGACGTACGTTTTCTTGCACTTCCTCTTCTCGTTTTTTTATCTCGAATCTCTCTGTCTCTCTCTCTCTCTCCAGGATGGTTGTCCAGTAGGCGTCGGTCCACATCCATCAGTTGCTAATATCTCTAACAACGTTATTTTTTGTCGTCATGTCTGAACCATACAGGGACGCGCGGAGGTATGGCAAGCGTTGAAGGCAGTCTGCTGTGACACCGAGAACGACCCAGACCAATTACAAGCCATCCTCGATGAAGCCCGCATCACCGTCCCCTCCTACGTCGCCCCTGAACTCACAGCCGCTGCTGCTGGTAATATTGACAGTGCCGAAGGAGGTGGAAGTGCGAGTCGGAGGAGTCGGAGGAACCAGAGACAGGACCCGATGGCGCAGTTGGCGTGTTATGATCACTTGGGGAATTTGTATGTCGTTCCTTTGAGGATTCTGTCGGATCCTGGAAACCTCGTGGAGAATTCTGGTCTTGGTGGTGGCAGTGGAGGAGAGGGAAGTAGTGGTAGAGATGCGGCACAATCGCGACGCGAGCAACAGCAGCAGCAGCAGCACAGTGATAACCTGGTCGTGCCAGCGGAGCAACAAAGTCAAGAGACGACCGTCCGGATTCGAGTCTCCAACAGCCAAAAGGAAGTGTCCCTGTCAGTACCGGGGTCACACACGACCATTGGACAGATCAAGGCACGCTTAGTCGAGGGAGGGTTCGTGAGGAGCGAGAAGAGTTTTATGAGAGTGTTATTCTTGGGTCGGGTTCTGGAGGATAAGGAGCGTCTGGAGGGTGTTGTGCACTTCCAGGTTGGGGACCAGGGGACTGTACTCCAGGTCCTTGTCTCTGACCCGTGAACCATACATAATAATAAACGGTCGCGAGGGGTAGTATTGGCAAAAGAGAACAGAAAGCACGTTGTTCGTTGTTCGTTGTTCATGTAGAATAAAAGAGAAAGAGAGAGCATTGACAAAGACCGCGGTCTGGCGTTGTTTGTTCAGTTACGATCTAGATCGTCGACGGGTGGACCATTGATGATCATTTTAATTCGTCCCTCTCCTCGATATTTCTTACTCCCTCTCTCTCTCCTCATGACCAACCAAACAACCAGCCAGCTTGTACTTGTCTTTAGCTCTCATGCATGCATGGAGGAATGCTCCCCTCTCCTTCTCCGCTTCCTCCCTTTGTCCTCGTTTAGCCCTTTGGAGAAGAAGCAAAACAAAGGCACTCGTCCTTGTCCCTCCGTTCTTCTCCCCTCCTTCCTTCCCTCTCTGTCTCCTTACCCCCTTCCTTATTACCTTACTTTACACCCCTTCCACCCCTTTCCCCTTCTTTTTTTTTTTTTTTTTTTTATTCTTCCCGCATAAAATGCATCGAGTGGTTTGTTTTAAACGTCCCGCCCTCGGGGCGCACTCGATGGGCTGGATGGTCCGTTTGATTTATATTTTCTCTGTGGAGGTTGTGCGCGCATCCTGAGCTGCCGCTTGGGAATCTCCTGTGGCGGAGACTCGATCGATTCATACTTGTTGCACCACTTCACGTTGTACTTTGTTATCGTTGTCTGTGTGTCCTCGTCCCATGATCACGACAACGAAGGGGGGATATGAGCAAGGAACAAGGGAACAAAGGCGACGGACGGACGGGGACTCGGTCAAAAAAAAAATTCAAAAAAAATGGCGTTATCACTTCATGAGCTGGGTGGCGGTGAGCGGGCAGTGGTGCGGAGAGGAAGTAGATTCTTGCCATGCTCTCTCTCTCTCTCGCTCTCTCGCTCTTGTTGTTGATGACGAGAGACGGGAATAAAAGCAAAGAAGAAAAGGGGATGAGGAATAAAGGAGGAGTGTTGATTGCTCCGTTCGCATTTGTTTTGGACCCTTTTGCGGCTAGGTACCAGGGATGAAAAAGGAAAGGAAGGGAAAGGAAAGGACTTGAAGGAAAGTCCACTGATCAACAAGCGGGAGAAAGACAGACACCTGGGTGTATGAATGGGTTTGGGTTGGATGAAAAGGTACAAAAAGGTACAAAACGGTAGGGGCATGGAATATGCGCCTTGCAAGGACAACCACTCATGGGACGATGGTGCTGGAAGGCGAGGTGATGAGGACCCTCTTCGTTGTTCAGGTTGTATTGGTCGGTTGATATGAATGGAAGTGAGATGGGTTGAACACGCGTAGAAGTGAGGAGCGTGTTAGGACAGAGATGATTACGGATCGTGTTTTACTGCCAGTCCTTTCGCTAGGGCGAGGCCATCCTTAAGCAATCAAGCTAAGAAAAGGCAGTAGGCGAGGGTGACGTTCTTTCTCATCATAACTGACCCCCATTGACAATAGGGGGTGTCCTAGTGTTTAACCATTAGACTGCTGTAGTGGTCTCCAAGACAAGAGGGCATCTATATCTATTTCAGGTCGTCCCCTCTCTTGTTGGATGGACTCGCGAGAAATAATCGCGAAACGCGACACGTCTTAGATAGTGATTATTCTTCCTTTCCATGGACTCCATCCGTGTGTATCATGCTGCTATAAAATGGGGACCTCCAGATACCTTGCTCTCTATCTCCTGTCAGAGAACTAAGGGTGGGATGGGAGTCCCTGGAGTTGTCGAATAATAGGCTTCAGCCGTCATTACATTCGGCATCGCCTTTCATTATTTGTTATTCGCGCGATTGATCAATGAACGCAGCGTGGCTCCTTTGTCCTTCCCAGGGGAGAGAGAGCGAGAAGCAAGACCATCCTTGCTTAGAAAGACGACGTGGTCAGACAGAGAGGTAGACAGACAGAACACCTTCTCTTTATGACGACGATGATGTGTTGGTGCGTGTTTGCCCTTGCCGAGCAATAGACAATGGAGATTGACTTACCATTGAAATGCCACAATGCAAAGTAGCACGTATGGTACAAGGGTGGAAGTTGTTTTCCTCTATTAAGGCCAGTTGACGACTCATATTCCTGCATTTTCATTGACAAGCAAGCAGGATAGACAAACGCACCCCGTGTGGTTGTTAAGCAAAGGGTTTCGTTCCCTTCCCTTTCCTGCTTTACCTTTGTTGACAGTTTTCCATCCCAACTCGCATTCCGTCAATTGTCAAGTACATGGCGGCCAGTTAGTTATTCTCAGTGCCCAGATATATTTACACCCCTCGGCTTTGTTCTCAATCCTCCGTCACGTCCATCCCTCCCCTTTGTCGCCTTCTCTTCCCTTCCCTTCCCATCCATTGTTGATCGAACCCGTAAATGAACAACAACAAAAGACCACACCGACAGGCAGACACGCTGACTATTGTTTGTTTTTGCTGTGTCTCCTTTTTTCTATCCCCTTCCTCTTCCCTTCACATCCTGCGGGTTGCAAAGACACAAAGAGGAGTAGAGAGTAGATAACCATTTCTACTAATGTAAAAATGGGCGTGGCGCTTTTCCTCTCTCTCTTTCGCAATGTAAGTGTCCTAGTCACTTCGCCATAGTACTTTTATTGCATTGGAGTTTATGTATGTGTACTACAAACACACGCACTCCTTCCAGAAAGATCATAACGGATGCTGTATCTTGCAGGACGGGCATACCCGTTACTCATATGTCGCTGTTGGTTTGTATTTTCTTTCCCAACTGAACAAAAAGAAAAGCACAAGCGAGCGTTACATGGGCGTTGTTTTTGGTCGTTGGTTTATGCATACACTCGCCAACAGTAACAAACAACAACACATAAAAAACGTTCATGCTTCTTTTGCTGTATGCGTGTACAACTGATGGGGTTTTTTCACTCATGCAAAGTGCTTCTTTGTTGTTTGTTTGGTAAAGCAAGAAAAGGAGGACATTGCTGTCCTTATCGAACAGGTTTTCTTTACCTTTTCTTCCTTTTCCCCTTATTATCTAGGAGTTGTATCTTCCTTTGTCGAAAGCGAAAGGCAATAAAGGATGGATGTAACCATCATCTACACTTCTTTACATGGTCAATTGGATGTCTTCGTCTTCAGTGTGAGTATTCCGTTGGGTGAGACGTGTGCATGGTTGTTGTGGTGGAAGTGATACAATTGCTTTTCTGTCTCTCTGCTGCTCATCTATTTATCCCGTTCCCGTCTCAGAACGGTCTGTCAACATGCCATCCATCCATGATTTCCTACTATCCCACTCCCTCCCTGCTCCCCTCTCTTACCAGAAATACCGATAACTCTTTATTTTTTCCTTCGCCCCCTGTTTTTTTTCTTCTTCCCATGCTCCCTTTAATAATATCGAAAGCATTGACGACGGTGGACAACAACAGTGGGTGGGTGGGTGGGTCGATGCGTTGTTGTTGTTGTTCTTCTTCACTCTTTTTTTTGTTCATTTCCGGCTCCAGTCTTCCATGGATCTTATTTATTCAATCGTTCCCAATCGCCACTTCTCTTCATTCTTTTACTCTTCCCATGGTCATGCCCATGGTCATGCCCATGGTCAATTAGAAGGGTTTTAGTAATTGTAAGCAAAGAGTGAGAAAGCAAGGGTATGATCCCTTTCATTGCTCTTGGCTATTCACATATGGCTCGTGTAGGGGCAAACGTGGGCTTATTCGTTTGCACTGCACGTTTCTTTGTTCTTCACATCGTGGTCTTCCTCTTCATCCTCGCTCCTTCCCCCCTTTTTCCCTCTCCTTCCCTCAAAGGAAGATATTATTCAAAACCTTTGTGTTTTTCTCTTTCTTCTGGTTCTTCGTTCGTCTTCCTCTTATTGTTTTTATTTCTTCTCTTCCTCCATCCCCTTCTCTCCCTTTTCCCTCTCGCGCACATCCCTCTTCTTCTTCTTCCTCTCTCTTCTTTCCCTCTTTTCCTCTCCAATTCCCCCACTTCCCTTCGCATACTCCTCTCATTCTCATTTTCTCATCCTCTCGCGCACTCACCATCTCGCCTTCTTTGCTTACCCACTCGGTTCCTCCAATAGCTCCACCTTCCTGTATCCACCATCCTTCTTTCTCTTCCTCGCTCTGCCACTCCTTTTCCTGTAGTACATTTCACTCTTTCAATCGCTCAATTGTTACCCCTCTTTTCTCTTCACCTCTCTTCCCCCTTCCCTCTTTTCTCTTCACTTCTTCCTTTCCCTCCTTTTCTCTCTCACTTTCTCTGTCTCTCCCTTACAAGCCTATCATCCCTTTCCTCAACATTTCATTGTGCAACAACCCTCACTATTTTCCTTTTCATCTATTCCTCTCCCTCTCCTTTTCTAAGTGCTGACCCCGACTTTTTTATCTTACACAGTCTCCAAGGTGAGAACTCCCAACTGTCATTCTCCTTCTGTTCCTTGACCCCACCATCCTTCCTATCCAGCTCTCACTACACCCTGCTATTTTCCTCAAACTGGCCCAAACGGATGTTTTCACAGGAGATCGTGTTTCTTTTTCCATTCTGCCCCTTTGTCTTTTGTTTGAACCTCAAGCGCCCCTTTTGGAGTCGCTCTTGTAGCTCTTCCCAGCAAGTACCTCTTCGTCCTTGTTCATTTCATTATTCTCGACTAAAGAACAACAGCTGTGTGCCTTACAGTATGTGCGATATTCTTTTTCTGGCCCTATTGTCGTATCCGAAGCAACACGCTACAACAACCTTCTCCTCACGTTCATTCGCCTATTCTTTGTACAATTCCAATATCCCTCGCTCGCCCAATATACATCACATCCATTCCCCCTTTCTCTCGTGCTTGCCCTATCTCACTCGTCCTATGTCGTCCCGTCCTTCTTGTGAACCCTGTGCGAAAAAAAGTATTATTCTTCGCAACCCTTGTTCTCACTTCCTATCCTCCTTCCATCCCCTTCTCCTCTACTTCTGATCACACCACTGCCATATTATATCTCTTGTTCATTTTTTATTGTGGGCGCGGGTGCTTGTTTACTCGGATCGACTGTTCCTTACTTTGTTTTTTCCCCACGCCGCCACTGTCACACCACGCCCTTGCACTTCCCAGTTCTCGTTCATATCAACTTGCATTCATGCTCGCTTTCTCTCTCTCCCACATACTCGTCTTGACAGTAGCATGCTGTTGTTGAGCCCTCTCTCTCGTGTGTTTGTTTTCACTCCCTCACTCTCTCCAATATGTATCAATGCCGTTACGTCCATTGTCATGCATCGAAAAACGAGGCGTCCAAAGGAAACAAAGCAAAGAGGGAGACAGAGAGAAGGAAATGAAAAAGTGATTGCTTGTCGGTTACGCAGTGAAAAGTAACAAACAAAGAGAGCACACAAACCAAACAAAGCGGACAAGCACGACGCATGGTCCTTGTTGTCTCTCGATTTCATCGGCAAAAAGAAAATAGAGTACGCATGATATCGAATGCATGAATTATTATGGATGAACCTTTTTTTCTTTCTGTCCTTGTGGTGTCCTTTACTTTGTTTGTGGCTCCCTTTTGCGACCCCCTGCGCACAATGCATTGTCCTTCTCTATCTCTGTCTGTTTATATGTCCTTCTCTCGCTTCCTTCATTGTCCTTGACAATGCCTGCCTGACTGCCTGACTTGGCTGCACTGGGTTATTAGTGTCCCATTCTTTTACTCTGCTTGTTCATATGAATTAGCACACTCCGTCAGTCCTTTTTTTCTGCTTTTCTTTTCCACAATGATCTTGCGTTCTTCCCTTTCTCTTCATTTTCTGTCTTTCCTGTCCCTTTGCCTTTGCATCCTTTTTTCACACTCCTCTCACAGTGCTGGCAGCTCTTCTCTCCATAATCGTCTTTCTCTTACAACTCATTCACTTCCGACCTCACTCGAATCCCTTTTCCTCATTCGACTTTAGTCACTGTAAGGACAAACGCTAAATCGTGACCAACCCAACTCTTCGGATATTCCTTCACACCTCTTGCCCTACTCGATTGCACTCCTCGACACTCCTCTCTCTCTCTCTTCGCTGACTCCATGGATGTCCTTTATGCTCGAAGAGTTCGCCTACTTAGTTCATTCAGATACTCCTTACTTGTTGCCTTTTCTTGTGGCTCACGTGGCGCAAACCACACGCACCTTTTATACTCGTGCCCCTTCCCTTGTTTTCACCATCCCCTATTTTATTTTATGGATGGCCTAAAGGTGCATAAACGACCCTAAGAGACGAGAATGTTTTCCTTTGTTTTGGTGCACCTTTCCTGTTGTTCTGCCTTTTGTTTTTTTTGTCTATGTCTTTTTCCTACGAAGACACCCCGCAAGAAGGATAGGCATAAACGCGCTGATCAGCCTTGACGCGTCGTTCATAACTGATCGGTTATTAATTGAAACTCCCTTCTCACGTCTGATAGGTCGCCACTTGTCACTCTCCATCATCAAACAATAACATCACTCGCCTCTTTGCCACCAACCTTCTCCTTGTCTCTCTCTCTTACTCGTACCGAACTGAATGCCCGAGCAGACAGACAAGCGCCGCTCCTGGTGGGGGATCCTAACACCAACAGAAAAGGCCCCCCAAAGTCTCTCAGGGGCAGCACGCTTATCCCAGCCAGATCTGTTTGCAGGATACATGGCCTCTCAACATCACAACAACCAGGACACAGATGTCAAGTCTCGGATGTTGGTCCATAACCAGCATGACCCTGACTTTATGGCCTCGACCACCACAGTGACTACCACCAAATCCGAGCATTCAGGGACCGGAAGCCACCATGGGACTTCCAACCATATCGACGGCACACAGTCATTACGACGGGTCCCCTCGAAACTGGACCTGTTCAAAAAATCGACGCTCTCAAAACGCAACAAGAACAAGGACAAGGGCGCCTCTAAGTTTGCAACGATCACCACTGCCTGGTCATCCAGTCGATCGACACTACCAGACAGGACTGCCGTGGGCTCTGTCTCGAGCACCACCATGGATCTGACACACTTTGAAAAGGCAGCTGCGATGGAAGAACAACAACAACAGCAAAATGATGTCATGGTCTTTTCGATTTCTGAGCAGCAGGACATGGTCGATGGAGAACGGGAACGCGATGTTGTAAGCCCCCATCCTGCTTGCCTGACACACAGACCTTTTGTTTCGTGAGATAGTTTTATTTTTTTTCTTTCAATTCAGGAAATGCTCAGGAGGGGTGAAAAAGGGAGGGACAAATGAAAGACAAGAGGAAACACATCATCCCCTTGCTTTATCACAACTTTCCTTTGCAGCCTTGGACGTCTTTTTAATCTTTCGACTCACATTTTCTTTCCTTCTCTTGTCTTCTCTTCTCTTGTCTTCTCTTCTCTTTACTTCTCTCTCCACCCCACACTCACTTCATTTCTTCCCCAAAGGCATATACGATTCGCGCGGAAGGCATCACCAAAATCATCTTAATTACCAGGCGCATTTCCGACTTTTTGGACTTTGACGAGAAGGTAGGCCCTTCTTTATCGTACAAACAAAGCAGGGGTCGCATTAATGAACGGCCAGTCTGGACTTGTCTTCTCTAACGTCCCCATCACCCACCTTCTCACCCGAAATCCAAAAACAAAGGTCAGAGTACAATTCCCGAAATCAAGACCGGCACTCCCACTCCTTGACGACCGACGAAAATCGTTCCTGGTCAGCACTCGCCAATTCTTCTTCCCTCGCAAGAACATTGCCGAAAAACTGGAGGTCTACTTACGTAAAGTGGCGTCGCATGAGCCCCTCCGGAGCTCGACCGTCTTCCAAGAGTTCTTGGCTGTCTCGCAGGAAGGTGATTTGGTGTATTCCAAGGAGCAGCCTAGGAATGGGTTCGGCGGGCCGGTTAAAGGAAGAGGGTATGAGTCGTCACAGTCGGATTTGGATCTGACGAGTGGGAGTGATTCGGATTCTTCGGCGGCTGTTGGGGCGTATCATAATCATCATCGGCAAGGTAATGGTATCAGCAGGCAGGAACAAAGTGTGCCACAACAGCAGCAGCACCAGCAGCAGCAGCATGTCGAGGAGACGGTGGAGGTTGTAAGGAGAGAGCCTAAGATGCGCGGGAGCAGGGTTCGACCGGGTTTGCCCCAGATCCAGGAGCGCAAGAAGGTCTCTATTGACGACTTCCAGCTCATCAAAGTCCTCGGCAGAGGTTGCATGGGCAAGGTAACTACACTTTGTTTATTATTACGGATGGAGATGGAGCTGCAAGGTTTATGTTACTTCGAAGTTGGATGCATGTTCTTTGCCACGCACACTCATCTTTTTTTTTTCCTTTCCAAAAGGTTATGCTGGTGCGAGAACACAAGTCCAAAAAACTCTTTGCCCTTAAGGCAATCTCCAAAGAATGGGTCATCCTCCAACGCGAAATCGAACACACCAAATCTGAACGCAACATTCTCGCAAACGTGGCCCGAATCTCCCACCCGTTCCTGATCAAGCTCCGGCATTCGTTCCAGTCGAACGCGCAGCTGTTTATGGTCCTGGATTATTACCCTGGAGGCGATATTGCGACCCAGTTGGCCAAGTGGCATCGGTTTGAGCCTGAGAGGTGTTTGTTCTATGCGGCAGAGATAGTTCTGGGGATTGAGGAACTTCATCGCCAAGGCATCGTCTACAGGTAACCAACTGCTTGTCTATTTTCATTGTCATTCAACATGAGCACCGTCTGAAGGTAAACTCTTTGGAACTAACCAATGCACATGTTAAATAACATGTATAATTAAATAGGGATTTAAAGCCAGAGAACATCCTGCTGGCGTTCGACGGCCACATCGTCCTAACGGATTTCGGTCTCTCAAAACAGTTCCCAACCTTCGCATCCGCATCGTCCCCTGACTTTACCGAGGACAAGACCAACACCTTCTGTGGAACGGCCGAGTACCTCGCCCCCGAGATCCTCATGGCGGCAGAGTACAGCTATGCAGTCGATTGGTGGAGTCTGGGCACTTTGCTCTACGAGATGTTGTCTGGCATCGTAAGTTTTTCTTTCACGGCTGTTAATTTTGGTGTAGTTTTATTTGAGTGTCGGTTAGGAGCCATGGTTGCTGACCCGATCCTTTTTTTTTCATTCGTATCTTGGATAGACCCCGTTCTGGGCTGAGAACCATTCGCAAATGTATCAGCGGGTACTAGAAGACGATCTGGAGTTCCCGGCGGACGTTGACCAAGACGCCGCCAGCTTCATCGCTGGGGTAAGTTAACAGTTCGGTAGACAATAACATACCATAGAAGCTGCCTTTGTCTCCACCACAACCCGTCTTCTAACATCTCTTCATGTTCGTTACCAAAAATAGCTGTTGGAACGCGACCCAGACCACAGGTTAGGTTCTCAAGGCGTCCAATTTGTCAAAGAACATCCATACTTTGACCCTATCGACTGGGACCTTGCCCTCAAACGCCAACTCCCTTGCCCATATATCCCCGACCTCGTCTCTGAGGAGGATCTTTCCAACTTTGATGACGCCTTCTTGACAATGACGCCGAGGTTGTCGCCAGGGAACCATACACTGAGTAACAGTATCCAGAACTGCTTTCAAGGGTATTCGTATTCAGATAATAAGCTGGGAACGACGCTGCCCAGGACTGATAGTAAGATTAAGTTGGATCATCGTGTTGGCGGTGGAGTTGGGACTGCGGGACCGAGTGGGTCGTATATTGACGGATTTGATCAGGAGGGTCCGAGTCCACAGACGAATGGACACGGACACGGTAATGGAAGCTATCACCACGGCGCAAACGGGAACACATTCAAGGGCAACAACCACTACCACCATCAACCCTTACACCGCTCCCCGCTACAACAAATGGACTATGACAACATGGATACTGACGATCTGACCAACCCCGCCGAAGACGACTTTGAAGAAGAAGACTTCTATCGCGGACGACCCCTCACTCAACTCTACGCACCCCCAAGCGCCGCCATCTCCTCCTCGTCTTCTTATATCATCGAGACAAAAGCTCAACCGACCTCCCCAGCCCTGACACCGCCCACACAGTACCCGGAAGATGGACGGATGGTGGTCGTGGCGGATCGGATTTCGATGAGTAAGATGGGCGCCGCGGCGGATATCCTGAGGGGTGTGTCGGAAAGGAGTAGTATTGACACCCAACGACATAACAGTACGAATTCCTCGCATTCTAGTGGTACCATCGGCCGGCGACTCAGTCGTGGTTATGTGTAGTCCTTCCTTTCTTCCCTACTCGTTCTTGTTTTCCGTTTCTCTTCTCCCTTGTTTTTTATTTATTCTCTTGATACCATAGTTTGTTTTCTCACAAAAAGTAAAAGCTTCTTTCCCTTTTCAGCTTTCTACACATTGGATCACTGTGAAATCATGTTATTTAATAATTTTCAAAAGTAAAACGCGAAGAGTGAAATTAAAAGATATCGTCATCCTCAACGTCCCACTTGAGTTGCTCAGGACGCTCAGCAGTAGCACCACAACGAGCACGCTCCGCCCAGTACCCAATCCGTCCACCAGCCTCCGCGCCACTTCCCAGCGGTTGACCAGGCATATCACGACCGACAAAGTCCCATCCATCATCCGCCGCATTCCGCGTAAACCAACGCGGTTTGAACTCTTTACCAGGAGGCAAGAGCCGACGCTTGGCACGCTGTTTCTCCTCCAACCGCTGCTTCTCCGTATTGGCAACATCAAAATCGCCATTCTCCATGGCCCGCTGGTCAGGACGGAGACGCGAATCGGTCGGGCAGAGATGTTTCTTGAGCTCGTCCGGACAATCGTTCAGGGTCATCGCAAAGGGCGTCAAGTTGAACGGTGTAGGTGTCGAAGGGACAGGATCACGCTTCCAGAGTAACAAGACCTGCTTGGGCAACAATGATTCCGCTGACCGCGGTTTGTGCGACGAAGAAACACTAGGAGACGCTGCACGACCAGCAAGATCTCCCTGGTCGTCCTCCGCAACCTGAATCGCGCCCTCAGCAACAGCATCACTGCCCAAATCCCCACTATTCCCCCCACCAGCACGACGCGCTACAAGTCTCGAATCCCACCGTCCAGCAACCTCCCAAACCTCCTTGCCCTGACTATCCTTTGCAGCTCCACGGATCTCATACGCATCTTTACCTCTCCATCCACGAGCCTTGAACGTCAACAGACAGGTCTCGCCCGTACGGTGGTTGGTGATCAACATATCTCCATAGTTGTCGATCCAAGGGGTGCCCACAATCAGGTTCTGAACACACGTTGTCACCTTCCTCCACGAGTAGTGCTCAATAAACTTATTCTCGTCGTTGGGGTCGGTCAGAATCTCTTGGGTGCCCTCGGCATAGGACTTGGGGACCTTCAAATCCACGTGCGATGTTCCCTTGGGAAGAACCTCAAACGACTTGCCCCAGAACTTGGACTTGACATCAACCTCTGCGTAAAAGTTGTAGTTTGGCGACTCGCAGTAGCATGCGCTAATTGGCTATTAGTTATGAGAGAGAGAGAGAAAATGTCAGATGAATCATGAATCATAATAATTAAAATCAGTAATTCTTACAGGAAATAATGCAGACAGCTTACGGGATGATGGGAGACTTGCTCGGAGATGTAGCGGAACTTCTTGTCCTCGCGACAATATTCATAGGTCTCTCCAAGGAGGGGGTTGAAGGGCTTGGCGACACGTCCGATGGTACTCGAGTAGTTACTCATAGCAAACGCAGCAATGAACAGGATACGCTCGGTCGCTCCACGCTGACGGGCGGCCTTGTCCAAAAGGTCAATGTACTCGGCATCCTCAGCCATACGCTGCAGCATCGACGTGGGCTCGTTGAAGTAGACAGGCAGCGTAATCTTGGACAAGTCCTTTCCGATCGAGTTCTTCAAAATCGCCCAAAGTGACACATCGGGGCGCAATGACGTCTGATTGGTAGGGAGGCGTTCGCGGATCTTCTTGGGGTATCCCTTGAAGGATGGGGCAGTATAGGGTTCTCCATGGGACTTTGCGCCAACGGCAACAGTCCGAGAGGCACCGTCCTCGGCCTGTTCTGCATCCACAGTTGTCTGTGAGAAGTCGTCCTCATCTTCCTGATCGTCAAAGTCGACAATGTCATCGTCGCCCACTGCGTCAAAGAACTCGTCGCCTGACTCGAGATCCGAATCATCGCTAGCATCTGAATCATTCTCGTTCTCAGGCTCTGCCTTGGAAACAATAGAGACGTCAACCTCGACCTGCTGCTGATGCTGAGTCTCTGCTGTTGTTGGCGTTGAGGCCAAAATAGAGTTGGAGCGAAGAGTAGGCGTGCTGGGCTTGGAACGGACAGAACGGTTCTTCTTCATCTTGCGATTGCTCTCCTCGGCCCTCTGGAGAACTCTCTGCATATCCAATTGCTCCTGCGACAGAAGCTTAAGACTCTCCTCCCAGAGCTCACGCTTCTGCGACTCCTGCTCCAGAATACGCTGCCAGTAGACCTCCCTGTCCTGTGTCATGTCATGCAGCTTGAAGATGGACTCCTTGACAGCAAGCGACAATTCGTGTGTCGCCAAAGTAAGTCGCATGATCTCCGAATCCTCTGGCACCTCGGCAGCTCTCTGGACGCGGATCAGGTTTTCGGCCAGCTCTGTCTGCATCTGAATCTGGTTCTGGACATAGTTGTTCATGGCGACAAACGAATCGACGTGGGGAACCTGGACCTGCTCTGGGGCGACACCCTCAGGGCTGAGAGAGGACGAGCGGGAGCGCACCGACAGCGAGGCGGTGCTCGTGTTGTCCTTTGTCACAGTGCGGCCGCGGGAGATAACCGATTCGGCACCGCTCTTGGTGCGGATACTGTCCGAGGAGGCCAGGTTAATGCTCTGACGAGAATCCATGAACGACGCGCGATCATTGCCAGAGGTGTCCTCAATCCATTGCTTGGACTGAGTCAGGGCGAGGATCCAGCGCTTGGCCTCGTTGGCATGTCCAGCTTTCAGATGGTAGCGAATAGAGCCCTTGCCAATGATGTCGAATCTCTGCTTGTCGTTCGAGTCGATCCAGACCTTGGCGATACGCAGGTTGATGCTACCTCTGCATGCGTTGCCGGCATCCTCCTGGTTGTGGAAGTACGACAGAATTCCGTCTTCAAGCACGAACCATCTGGCCTTGTATCCTGAAGCATAGTTGGTCCACTTGAAAAGGGTTCCTTCAAGTCTGGGAGGCTGTCCAGGTGTAGTAGCAATCAATGGTGCGACCGATCCTAAAAATAGTAACGAATTGAAAAAGACGTATTAACGTCGGCAACTCCATTTAGAATGTCAAGATATCTCGCCATGAAAGATAAAGTCCAAACGCTTACCCTGGGAGCGAGAGTCGTTGAGGAGGGTCTTGATTTTGCTGTCCTTTGTGACGTCTGCAGCGGTTTTCTTCTTTTTGTCGCGGAGGAGGGTGTCGATGCCCTGATCGAGAGCCCATTGAACCATGGCCATGTCCTTGCGCCTGCTGGCGGCGTGAAGGATGGTGGATCCTGTCTCGGTGTTCTGGTGGCTGATATTGAGGACAAAGGCAGCACGGGGGTGGTCAAAGAGACCGATCAGCGCAGACAGGTCTCCCGACTCTGCGTACTGGTGCATCAAGGCTGTGGTGCGAGTGAGGTATTCCGTGCGATGGGCTGAGTCGGAATACAGCGGAGGTGCAAAATCGTCCAAAGTGGCAAGAGAAAGGAGTCAAGTAAAAACGAGCGTGGGTTATTATTTTTCTTCGCACATGAAACAATTTTAGATAATCGGATGAGCGCATTCGTAGAACCCTCACTGTCACCCCTAGCGCTTTGTTCTTTTGCCCATACCTCTTAATCCTCAATATCTCTCTATCTCTTCTGTCTCTTTTGTTTGTCTGCTCCTGCCTCGTTATACGTGCGCTGGTGTTAATGATTCGCGAGTGGTCCCTTTCCTCCTAGCTTTGTTCCTGTTTAACACCCTGTTGTGATTGTCATTTTCTACCGCATTTTGGTATCCTGTCTCTTTTTCACTTTCATCTTTGACTGTCTGGTTATGTCCTTCCGTGTTTTCATCCTGATTGTTCCTACTTCTCCTGTGTTATACAGCTCCGTTCATTTTTCCTTGTAATCATATGTCCACATGAAAAAAATACCTTTCAAGACGACGCGCACTTCGGCGGTAGAGGCGACGTCGATCGCGCTTTTGCCCTTGTGATCAGTGATGCCATCATTAACCTCATTCTTGGACAAGAGCAACTTTACGACGTCCAAGCGGCCCATGGACGAGGCGATATGGAGCGCAGTCGATCCGTGATGGTCCCTTGCGTTGAGGTCGACTTGGGGAGTGTTATTGAGAACATATTCGACCACAGGGAAAGTTGCGCACTGGACAGCGAGGTGGACGGGTGTTGTCTGGTTCGCCTGGGGCATTATGTCGAACGACTGTGTGCTGGAGATGGATCCGCCGGGTGAGGTGGCCATCGGGAAAGCTGGTCCTGCTCTGTACGTCGGGAGAAGTGTCGACAACGCGTTGAGGTCGCCTAAGAAGAGTTGGAAGGTTGTTCTTTTAGTCCATTGTACTTGTTTATAGGTGAAGTGCGCTACCACTCCTGTGATCCCTGTGAGGCTCCCAAGAGGAGGGCAGTACCTTTCTGCAGGGCCTCGAGGATCTTGAACTTCTTCATGGGGTCATCTAATTAATGATTCACACAAACGCGTGTTAGCGTTCTTGACACTCATTTGCATTTGTTTCTTCTTGTGCTGCTGCTGTGTTCTTTATGAGAGAGTGAACGAATGGGAGATGAAAATAATAATACCAGTGGAAGAAAGCTGTTGTGGTGGTGGTGGTTGTTGCCTTGAAGCGGCGGCGCCGAGACTGTATTCTGAGCGACTCTTTGGCGGCATAGAGCGCAAGACCGATGGGACCGTGGACATTGAATCCAAGGATGGTGGTGTTGGGTGTTTTTTCGAGTGCTGGAAGTGTTGTTGTTGAGTGAGGAGGAGTGTGAATAGAGCGGGCGTATAGATGTGGTTGTGGGTAGTTGATGAACGGGAAAAGTAAAGAAAAGAGAGTGGCAATAGAAACAAAAGCGGTGGTCGTCGTCTCTCCCCTGTCTGTCTTGACTCTTAAGGCACGGGAGTCGCCTGGACGCTGTCATGGCGTGAGCATCTCACCAGACTGACCACCACGGACCAAAAATGTCCCGTGATCTACTGACACGTGACATCAGCATGAATGCTATGGCCCAAGCCAACGCCATGCATGCATGCACATGCTGCACAAGAAAAATGAGATACAACCTTCCTATTCTCCTCTGTACATGCAGTATCAAGCTATAAAGGAATTGGCAATTAACTTTCATATTGGGCTCAAGCTGGCTTCATCTTGGTTGTTCACCTTCTTTCCCTACCCTATGCCTCCTTCTTTCCTTCTTTCCTACACTTTGATGACATTTCCCCGACCCACTTCCGCGGACTGAAAATAAAAAAGGTGATCGGCTTGAAAAAATCAAAAAGAGCAAGTATATGTTTGTAGCATGCAAGATAGCATTTTAGCGCACATCTATTCGTGTGTGAACGGCCTTCTCTTTGGTAACAAGGGACACAAAAAACCTGCTTTCGAAGGAATTGAGTGGAGGAAAGAACGAAAAAGAAAGTGCTCTCCCACTTGGTGAGCAGTTAAAGTCAATGGTCAAGAAAACATGACAACACAGGCGGCAGACAAAGCCATCTGACGAGCAATAAGCTAAGAGCGAGCTGGAGTAGAGTGGTGAGAATTGGCAGAAGGAAGACAGAAAAGTGGAGAAGCATTTAGCCATGTGCCCTTACCAAGAAGACTCCCAATCATCCGATCGATCCTCTCCGTCATTATTACTTATTATTTCCTTTAATCTTTCGAACTTTTTTTGTACGCATCCTTAGTTCTCTGCTCTTCTTACTCCTTCAGTATTCCTGTATAGCTTCGGTTCTCTTGGTTTTCATCTGGTATGAAGATCAAGTTAATGAATGACCCCTAGCAATTAGCCAATGGTTTACATGAAGGCGCAACACTAAAAGGAAGGAAGAATAAAATTGACCATTGGTGACAACTTGAGAGCCTTTTTTTTTTTATCGTTGATGCAAAAGCAGAACGAGATACAAAAGCTGAACGAGAGACAAACAAATCCAACATCAGTGGCACTCCACTGCCCATTCAGCCATGACATCGTTCCATCCATATCGAAAATATGAGCGAACAGAGAGCAAGAAAAAGAAGGTGGAGTGTCGCCCTCTGTTCTTGCTTGAATGGTCTCTCCTTTATGTACCTGCCCAGGATGATTGCTTACAACATGCCGCTGGACCCACTTCTATCATTCCATCCCCTCTACCGGCAGCGTGTCCGATATGTCTGTATTCTCATCGAGGAGAGCCCATTTTGGAGGGCTTGGAGGACGACCAGGTCCCCATGTGTGTTGTAATCGCATGTACATCTATGAATACGTGAAGATGGCAACAGGGGCGAGCAAGCAAGCGTGGGTGTCTGCCAGGGGGAGAGGCAAACTGGGTTCCAAGACCTCCAACAAACAAACCCATCTTTACAGGCCCGCATCTTTACATGCCATTGGAACCTCCTTCCTCTTCATTGTTGGTGTTATTGCTTTTCATACTTTTCCTGGCCTTATTCTTATTTTTTTCCTCTCTTTACCCTTTCTTCTTCCTCCTCACCTCCTCCCTTTCCTCCATCCCTGCATCGCCATCCGTCTTCCCTTGCTCTTCTTCTCTTCCTCTCATCACCTTGTCCCTTTTGCTCTCTCATCACCCCTCCTTCATCCTCTCACCCCTTCTATCCCGAGATCTTCATTGATCTCACGCCTTCCACAGTTCACACTCTTCCTCTCCCAGATCACCCTCCCACTTGCCCATCCAGAGTAAGTGTTTCTATTCCACCCACTTCCATCTCTCGAACCCCTTCCTCTTTCCATCAACACTCGCCACCCTTGCCACAACCACGTTTCTTGCTCCTTTCCTTCTTCCCCTTTATTTTTGATCGTGCCTGAATTCTGCTGAAACATCCCCAACCACCACGCGTTCTATTCCGACGCATATCATCATCCTATCCCGTCACTTCCTTTTCGACACCATCCACACCCGCCCGCGTCCTTTTCAATTTCGTCGACACCTCTTCCTCTTCCTCAGCCCTCTTCCTCTTCCTCCTCTTTTCCTTTACCGCTTCCTCTTTGTGTTCAACAATGCGTCTTTTTTCTGTTGTGTGAGACAAACCCATGGGCCACAAAAAGACAAAGCGACCCTATGTGAGACTAATATGCACCCTTTCTTACCCTTGTTGTTCCCTTTGTTTTTCTTTCTTTTTTCCTTGTCTCAAATGAACAGACAGAAGAAGAGTAACACAACACCCTCGACAATCCCATCCCCGACGATACGAACAACAAACAACTACGTCCCTCCCTTGCATACATATTCCACATACGCCTCATATGAACTCTCACTCGCACTCACCCATGACGACAGAGGCGCGCCTCCAGCGCCAGTTGGATCACAATAGGAAGCTGCGCGAGCAATTCGAGCGTAACCGTATCTCAGTCTCCCAAGCCAGCATACTGTAAGTCTTTCACACACTTTTCAACTGTTTCTTGGGCGTCGGACTTTGGCAACAACACGATTGTGCAAAAAGTCCAACTCAAAAGCAACACAACCCAAAAAAAAACATGAACACGAACTCGAACACAATGGAAAATTGAGGTCAAAAAGAAAGAACCAAAATGTAACGGCACTAAATCCTCCATCCTTAACCTTCTCTTCCCCTAGCTTGATTCAGTACTGCCAAACGAAGAGGGATATGCTCATCCCAACCGTCTGGGGTGACTTGGATGTCAAGGATGATCCCTTCGAGGCCAAGACTGCAGGATGCGGATGCTCTGTCATGTAGACGTCTCCTTCCTCTCCCTTCCCTTCTCTCCCTTCCGCCTCCAATTTCTTGTTTTTTTTGTTGTTGTCCCTTCACGTTTGACGCTCTCTTTTTCTTTTTCTTTTTTTTTTCTTCTCTGCCTCTTTTTGCATCCCCCTCCCTTCCATTCGTTGTCGCCATGGATCCAAAGGGGGCAGGAAAAGAGGAAAGAGAAAGAGAGCAATTTATGCACGCTCTCTCACACAACACACATACAAACAACAGAACCAAACAAACAATCCACAAACAACGCAACAAGTAACGGCTACCCCCACCCACCCATTACATCCACATGGAAAGTAGAAAGAAAGAGCAAACAAGCATTGGGGACCATGAATTACCATATATTTTTCATTCTTGGTCGGGATAGAACCAATGGTTCCTTTTTTGCAACCCATAACTTCCTCTTTTTTTTTCTCGTTAAAGTTGTTTTTCTACCGACCTTGTTTATCTTGTCATTACCATCTTCCTACCCTATATACAACCATCTCCACCGTGTTCAATATTCCCTACCCTTTCTTTGCTTTTTTCTCATTTTCTTTTCTTTTCTTTTTTGTTGCTCCACATCACACCATCTACCCAAACAAACCACACTGGGCGCAAAACACCATACCCTTCAGCCCACACCGGAGATTTCTCAAATCTCTTTCTCCGACTCTTGGTTGTCTACACCCTCTATCTCTCTCTTGTTTTTATCTTCCTTACATCTCTCCAACACAACACACCCTTAGTAATGTATCCTAATAGTCACCCCACCCTCGCCCTTCCCACAGTTTTCATTGCACTTCTGCAAAAAAATACAAATAAACAGAAAAAACAATCATAAAACAACTCGATCGAGCCTAGATCGCCACTTGCTTTGCTAGGAAAACAGAAGCAGGACCATTATTCAAGGGCCAAGAGCGACCATGCGAAAAAAATAATAATAATAATATATGGTGTTCCATTGTTTTCGTTCTTACTATTCCAAAAATATTACGAGTTTTGTATTACTGTTGTACACGACGACGGTTGGGTTGCACACATTTTTTTTTGTTCATTTTTCTCCTTCCTCCTTCCTCCTTCCTCTTCCTCTTCCCTTTTCTCAAAGTGACCCTTCATTCCTTCCTCAATCATCCCTCATGGGCACTACTCAACCTCGAAATCTCAATAGGATCCAACCCTCGAATAGCCATTAACACCTGCCTCACATCCGGATCCTGTTCAAAAGGATACCTCCCCGCCAACGTCTTGAACGTCAAGATCCGTTTGATGATCGTTGCCGTTGTTCGGTGCTTATGAATGTTCACCAGTAAGCGTGGCGGTGGTGGTGGTGGTTCGGTGGGTGTTGTGGGTGTGGGTGTGGGTTGGTAGGAGGTTGTGGAGGATGATGGCGGGGATGGTGCGGTGGAAGCCGCTGTTGCGGATGTTGATGTGGATGGGCGCCTTGATGATGCCTGGGACCCTTGTGGCTGTTGCTGTTGCTGTTGCTGTTGGTTGTTTTGGGTGTTGCGGGTGGTTGGGTCGACGTAGGATGGTAATTCTGCATTAAACACCAGATCGGACAGATAGAGGCCTATTTACAAGATTAGACACAAAGTTAGAAAGAGAAACGAAAGAGGAAAAGAAAAAAAAACATAGAAACAACCAACGACGTGAACAAGAAAGCAGTTCCAAATTAAAACGCGCAGACGTACCGAGGAAAGGAATACATCCTTTAGGCTGATTGGCCTTGGCAGCAGCAGCATCCTTCTCTTGTTGACTCATCTTCAACTCCTTCTCCTTGGCATGCGTAGTCGGCGACGACACCTTAGACCCCAAACCAGACGAGGACGCCGTTCCTTTATACTGCAAAGCCAGAGCAGCAGCAGTCGCCATTGTAGGATCTTTCGAGGGTCGTCTCATTCCAAAGAACGAGGATGCCATCGTACCACCCGACGTAGGTGGAGCCTTTTCAGTTGCAGCAGGTACTGCCGCCACACTCGCACCCGCACCTCCACCTCCACCTCCACCACCAGAACCGGATCCTCCCCACTCGTCTGCAATACTCTTCATATCATCCCGGAGATGTTTCCAGTTATGAAACGGCGACGTGTACTCGACAAGATCTTCCATGATCCTCATCTCCTGAGCACGCACTCGCGCCCATGTCTGGTTCAGACGGGAGACGTTATGCGATTGTAGGCCCAGCATCAGTTGGATTAGCGAACTAAAGTTTGAGTGGTTGTAGCATGTCTGTTTTGAGGGCGTTGGATTTGTGTTAGCGAGAGATGGTTGTTGGAAAGGAGAAAGATAGATTAGAAACGCGAGGATACAATTATTTACACGTAACAAAAAAAGGCCGAGTGAGATAAAGGGTGGGAAACCTTACATGGGCAATGCGGATGAATTTCTCGACGACTTTAACTCGCTCTTGAAGATCCTCTGTGCGAACAATCTCAGATGTCACCCATTGACATGTCTTCGCATAGGGCAAACGTGTTAGTTTTTAAACTCATCGTGAGAATTTACAACATTGCATTAGAATTGTTGAGTACAGAACAAAAAAAAAAAAAAAAAAGGACTTACCAGGTTGAAGCGATCGACAAGTCGCTTGATCCCAATACTATCCTCCACCACCTTTGAACGCTGCTCACCTTCCACAGGTCCACTTGCGCCTCCTCCACCACTGACTCGGGCTCGGGGAGTAGGTGTTACAGTGCCTTCAGACCTACGCACAGAACTGCGATCATTCATGTTACCACCACCACCCTCCAATTCATTCTCCAGTACACTCACCTTCCTTCTACTTCCGGCAGCAGCCACAGCGACCAAACTGGCCTCGTTGATATGAATAGAAGACGCCACCGACGACCCACTCCCCTTGGACGGCTCCTTCTGCGGAGAAGCAGCAGAGGAACTCGCCTTTGTAGAGGGAGTTTTCTTCTTGGTCCACCCAGCATCAACTAGCTCATACCACTGCACCTGACTCAACATCTCGCGTTCGATTAAACACAGCTGTTGGGCGATCAGTTCAGAACTGTACTGCAGCACTATTGATACCGACTCTATGGGTTGAGGTCGTAGAAGACGTGACGGGCTGTCGACTTGGATCTGGAGGCGGGGTTTCTGCGGAGTTGCAGGAAGGAGAGGTGGTGGGAGGCGGGGTCGGTCATGGCGCGAGGAAGGAGAATACGTTATTTGGCTACGACTGGTTATGGAAGAGGGGTCGAGGCTTCCTCGTCGGGTGCTGGTATGGTCAAAGGAATACTGATGGCGTTGCTGGTGGGTGAGGCGGTGAGGGATCTGGTTAGGGGGGGTTTGGGAAGATCGCTGGGTATTGTTGGTATGGCGACAGTTGTCTAACAGGTGCGAGTTGCGTCCTTGGCGATGATGGTGATGTTGATGATTGGGGCTCCAGGGTGCAACGCCACTGCCTTCGTTTTGGAGGGCGGAGTCGGAGAAGGTTGTGAGGAGGTTGGGTTGGGAGTTGGAGCGGCCGGGATTCATTGCTGGTTTGGTAGGTTTTGATGTTGATGGTTGGGACTGGATGAGCTCACGAGGACCTTCAGTTTGGTTGCCGAAAGGAGGACTGGGTGAGATGATGGGTGTCAAGGGACCGATAGGGTGCATATCAGAAGCAAATGGATGGATGCTGACAGGCTCTGCAACGTAACCCCCTTGAATGTGAGCAGGAGGTGCAATAGCAGTCCCCCCAGCGGGCACCTCAGACGACTCGAATGTAGCCCGCAACCCACCACCAGCAGCACCAGCCTCATTCGCCTGATCATTTTGAAACTTTTCCACAAACCGATCAACGTTTCCAATAGCGCCCCTCTGCCGGATAGCTTGCCGAGGCGGTAAATGGTTTCCATTCAACAACGGTCCAAACATCGACGATGTCGTCGACGACAGGGTCATCCAGGACGCTCGCTGATCCTGAGCGTGACGGTTGCGTTGGTTGGTCCTGCGGAGGTTCGGGACTCGACCATGGGTCAATGGGTGGTCTGCGGTGTCGAGGTCCTTGGTACACTCGCAATCTCCTTGGCAATGACATTCTTCGGGATTCGACTCAGGATCGGTGTGAGATCCGGCGTCTCCTTCTTCGGCTTTGTCGTCCTCCTCTTCGTCCTCGTCGGCGGTATCGACAGTCAAGGAGATGGGTCTCTGCAGGGCCGCGGGGCTAGAAAAGTACTGCTCGCGCTCACATTCAGAACAGACGCTCTTGCCGCTGGTCTCACTATCCATGTCAAACGACTCGACTTCCTGGACATCGTTATCAAACAGACCTGCGCCATCCTTGGTCGGTGTCGAGACTTGTTCAATGGTGGCGGCCGAATGATGATTAGAATGACGCTGATGTTGGAGGCTGTCATGTAACGGCGAAGGTTCGCCCATGTTCCTGCTGCCACTGCCCTTGGCGAGTTCCTCATCCTGGTCGCCAGCGTTCGAAAGAATCTCCTGGTTCCTCTGACGGGTAAGCTCATGCTGTGAGTAATCTCCTTCACTCGACCACCCACTCCGCCCATCCTCCTTGTCCAACCGCCCTCCTCGCTTATTCCCGGACCCTCCACGACCAGAAGATCTATGGCGGTCCTCAGAATTCGAAAGGAGGATGTTCATCCCAGGACAAGCCAACAAGTACGACACCTTCTCGCTTTCAGGGTCGGACATGTTGCCTTGCCAGTATCGATCTGACCTTGTACGACCAAAGCCCGTGTTGCTTCTAACACCACTTCCCCCTCTACCTTCTCCAGATCGACCGTCGTTCTTGTGGTCGTTGGAGGAAAAGACTCGCTTCATCTTTGACAGTCGACCGACAGTGGCGCTCATGTACCGGGACCAAGGTTTCTTCTTCTCGGTCGAGGCCACCGACCTCGGTGGCGGGTTCATATAACGTTCAACAGAACGAAGTGAGCCCCGGGGGGAAAGCGGGTGTGCTGAGAGTGGAGGCGACAATAGTGGCTGGAACGTCGAAAGTGGTCGCGAATGTGTCTTTGCCCGACTGCTTCTCCTACTGCCGGCGCCAGCGCCGACGCCTACGCCAGAGGAGGTCTGGTGCAGCGGACTAGGATTGACCTTTGAGTTGTTGCTGTTGGCATTGATTCCGGCTTGGAAATCGGGCAGACCCGGTCGTGTACCTCGAGCACGGGTTCTGGACGCTGTCGAGCTGCCAGCGCTCGGTCCCAGACGGGAACTGAAGGAGCCCGAGCCTCCTTGGTTGTTGGGTTTGCCCGACCGCGGGGAGAATGCCGGTGAGGGGAGGTAGCAATCTGACTGTAGGGTTTCCTCCTGCTGTGCTGACGATACAGTCAGACCTTCTACCTCTACAATTTTCTCGGCGCCAACGCTAGCAGTCTCCACTGTCCATTGCTGTTGATCCTGCTCGCCATCCACCGCATGGTAATCCTCCCCTTCCACAGAATCCGAGTACTCCGAATCGTACTCGCTATGGTACAGACTGTTCTCGGATGAGGACTCAAACCCATCACCCTCTGCCGAGGCTCCCGATTCTGAGTATAGGCCCTGACTGTCATCCTCATCTAGATCGTCGTATAGGTCACCATCCTCGTCATAGAGATCCTCGTCGTCTTCGTCAAAGTTGTCGCCCTCATCCATATCATTATAGTCATCATCCGACTGGTCGCTGGATCGGAACTCGACCGTGAGGATCTCGGTCATTGCCTCCGACTCGGCGCTTTGCCTGTTGGTGGTCGTAGTAGTGCCAAGGATCACGCTGGAGCGGTTGCTGGATGGCTGGCCCTGAGGGATGGCAGAGAGAACAATTCCAGACCATGGGCGGTCAACAAAAGAAGAACCTATGAGATATGAAAAAGGGGTGTTTGTTAAAAAGTCAAAGTGACAGGAATGTTCCCCCTTCGTCATGCAAGCCATCCAATGCAGCATAACACAAAAACATAAATATAAAAATACCTCGACGACCTGCGGAGGATCTTTTGGCTTGAAGACGACGTCTTCGTTCAACCAACAACTGTTGCTGCTGTTTACGACTCTGCTTCTCCAGTTTCTGCTGAGCCAACTTCCGGTAATGGATCGTCTTCAGACTCTGCACATACCGTCTCAACTCCTTGACAATCCGCTGCTCGCGCATACTGCTCGTCACCCTGGGATGCTTTGTCAGGGAGCGAAGGTAAAGCCCCAACATCTGGCGGAGGTCCTTGGATCGCATAAAGTCGAATTCAAAGTAGTTGAGGAGCCAATGGCGTAGGGTGACAAATGTCCTGATCCGTACGATCTGTCGCTGGGGAGAGTCGTCAACTAGAGCCCAATGGAACCTGACGATGATGAGTTTCAAGAGTGCCATTGGTGTGATGAAGAGTCGGTAGATGAGAAAAAAGTCCGTCAGGAACGTGTAGTCTACCAAATTCAAAAAAAAAACAAAGATGGATTAGGAAACGATGTATAAAGCAAACAAGAAGTTGCAAGAGAGATGTGTTGAGACTCCGAAAGGGCGGGAAAAAGCAAGAAAACGCTGACAAAGATGGGCGTCTCACCTGTTAAACTTACCAATCTCACTCGTCAACTTCTCTACCAACTTCTCGACAGTGGCGGCCATGATCACTCTGTTCTTTTGCTGAAGTTCTGTGGCGGTGGTAGTAGTTGCGGGGGTAGCAGTAGTGGTCAGTGTTTTCGGAGGTCGAAGATTGCTTCCTGAGGTGGTGGCGGCGGTGGGTGTGCTGCTACCGTCCTGCTTGGCTGGTTTTGATTGACCGAGTGAGTCGAGGGTCTCTGTTGACCGATTGGCTTCTTTGATACGGACATTCAGGGGTTCAATGGTTGACCATCGCTTCTTCATGGAACGATCCTGTCCCGCAGAGGTCTCTACTTTGTCCAACGATGACGATGGATGTTGTTGGTGTTGTGTTGCTGCTGTTGCTGCTGCTGTTAACGAAGATGCATCCGATCCTGCGGGGTGCTTGACTGATTCTGGCAACGCTGAAACTGAAGACACCCCTCCTGACGACGGTCCTGCCGTTGACGTTGAGAGTGGTGGTTGTTGCTTAGTTCTTGTTGATGGTATGCTCCAGATGATATACGCCTCATTGTCGTCCGAGAGAATGTCGTCAAAGATGGACGGGTGGCTGTCTGGTATCATGTCCGGCATAGCCAAGACACTGTCGTTTTCACCAACTGCATGCTCGCCACTCCAACGATATCCTGATCCTAATTCATAAACGCCGTTGCTGCTGCTCTCAGTATTCTGGAGGAGAGCGTTTGTGACACCACGATGAATATCCCTCTGATCCTGTATGTGCTGCTCCTGATGCTGCCGAGACTCTACATGGAGACGCTCGTCCTCGACAATGGGATTCATGCTGGTAGTGCGATTTCTATCAAAGCGAAGGCCGAGCTCCTCAAAGGTAGGTATAGGAGGAAGCACCCATGACGACTCGGTACGGGCAGATGACGACGGCAAGGACTCGGATTGAGTGTTCTGCTGGTGTGATTGTTGAAGGGTAGAGTGACAATCGCCCATACTGGTGTTGCGACCCTGCTGCTGCTGCTGGCTTTGTCCTCCGTGATGGCTGTTTCGGTTGCGACGAGCGAGGTGAAGCGACGCACTCCTGCTGCTTCTGTTACTGTTGCTGTTGCCTGGACGAGGAAAAAACAAGACAAAGGTGGAGGGAGAGAGAACGAAGGGTGAGGAGAAGGCGAGAAGGAGGGCGGTCAAAGGATGTGCCTGCATCGATCCTTTGTGCCACAGTCGGGGTGTATTTTTTTTTCTGATTTTGGTTTCTTTTTCTTGTGTTCAGGGGTGTAGAAGGGATGGTTACAAAAGAAGGGGTTGAAAAGAGAGAGACAGAGAGAAAGAGAGACAGAGAAAGAGAGACAGAGAAAGAGAGAGAGAGAAATTTTGTGTATGTACTGTACCTTTGGGATCAGTCCGCCTTTGTGTCACCGAGACTTTGTCGAACGAAGGACTCTCGCTGCTGTTGTGCTCAAGTCCCCCCGCGGTGAAGGTTGGCGGAGGGGACACTGGAGGAAAAACGGTTGGGAGACGGAGCCCGTCCGTCTGAAGCTGGTCGAGCGACCAATGTTTCCGTTCCGTCCGAGTTTTTGTTCTTGTGGTACTTGACTGTGGGCTCCTATTAGATCTCAAATGAGTAACGCAGCAGCAAGAACACATTTGGAAAGGGAAAAAGGAAGGGAGGGAAGGAAAGGAGGCAGAGAAGAGGTGGCAGAGGGCAAAATGACGTTACAGGGCTAGGATTAGTGAAGGGGTCGAAGGATGTCTAACTTGGTCCACAAATGCAATCCACTCCACATGCTGCAAGGGCCAAAAAAAAAAAAAAAAAAAAAAAAAAGATGTGGTATGGGATTGAGCCGTAAAAATAGGGGGTTTGTGAATGAAGGGATAGCAGGGAGGATGTGAATTTTTAGAGCAATTGAAATGAAAACAACGATAACGCAGGTGTTAACAAGAGATGAGAGATGAGAGAGGGATGTAAAGAGTATTCGTGCGAAGTGTGAGGGTAAGACAAAAAAAAAAAAAGGAGAGAGGATGGAGGAACGCGCGAGAGAAAGAGGGAGAGAGCGAAAGTGAGATGACGATGAGATAATTATGAAAACGAGATGAGGAGAGAAGAACGAGAGAAAGGAGAAAAGACACGGAAGAGAGGGGAGAGAGAAGGGAGAGTCTCTAATTCATTAAAGTTGCTGGTGTGTACTTTAAAACGGGAGTGGAGAAAGAAAGAGGGCTCCTCCATCCTCTTTACTGCCCATTCGATGCTCGGTCCAGGCCAGTTTTACTTTCGCCATTTCTCCTTTTTTCTTCTTTTCTTTCATTTCTTCCATTCGTTCATGAGTGGTGGGGTTGGTGTGTTATTAATATACGAAGCACATAGACCCTCTGAAAAAAAAACCTGTCTACGTGTGTAAGGCAGACACCAAGATATGCGTAAAATGAACTGCAAGGTCGACTTACGATATTGGAATATGTACGTCCTGTTCCTGTTGTTCCTGTTTCTCCTGTTGGTCCTTTTGGTCCTGCCTCTGCTTTTGTGTTAATTTCTGCGTCAATCCTTGTAGATCATCAGTAGGCAGTGGTCCTCCTCCCTGTTCTACTGCTTCTTGCGCGACAGGAATAGTATGTGGTTTGAGTAGTGGTGGTGGTGCTAGGAGCGGAAGACTCGAGAAAGTCTCCTGGAGAATTGGTATAGGTAGGGGGTGTTGTGGTGGAAATGAAGGCAAGTGATGCTGATGATGACGGAGCTGTGGTACGGAGATTGCGAGCTGCAATACTTCAGCCTCGCTATCTGACGGGGAAATGTCGCCCCGCTGATGTCCATTGACGGAGGACGAGGTTGATTGAGAAGGAGAAGGGAGGCATGAAGGTGGTTGACCAAGTATCCTTGTCCGTTCGACTTTGATGGGCTGTGCGTCTTGGCTGCAGGGTGCATGCTCGTAATCCTGATCATGGTCTTCAAGTGTTGTTGAAGAAGAATCCTGCTGAGGGATGTTCGCAGGTTCAAAGAGAGGCGCCATTATCGAAAATGGAAGCGATAGTAGCGAGAGAGTGGGAGTTATATTGTAAAAGTGTTGTCCTCAGTGAAACAAGGCAATGTTGGTGGCAATCTCGCAATTGGTATGCTTGGAGTCCCTACTTGGGGTCGCGTCCTGTTTCAAAAAGCAAAGGAAGAGGAATTGACGCGTCCAAATCGCGTCGCGTCGTCTTTTTTTAGGACCAATTGATCACTGAGCAAGATATCAACAGCGAATGATGTAGATGCTGAGCACAGTTCGGTAGAGAGAAAAGGAGAGGAAAGGAAGGGACGTGTTGCTCAGTAAGCTTGGCGAGCGCGGTTTGATGATTGACTCGTGATTCCCCGAAGGGCGTGATTCAGATTCGCTCTGCTTAGATTGCGCACCTTATTGTTGTGTTTCGAGAATGTAGGACAATGTCAGTTCTTGTGAGCCAGTTGATGACGATGAGTCCTTTGTGTTCCAACGATTTGACGTTAGTGAGTGATTGCAAAGGCGATGGTCGTTATGAGAACGTCGAAATGAGTTCGATGAGGGCTGAGGAATGAACGACAGTGAAGTGAGTGCAAAAAGGCAAAAAGAAGGGAGGAAGAAAAGAAAGAAGGGAAGGAAAATGGGAGGGTGCAGTGTAAGGTCGAGGGGGTGGAGGCAACAAGGTAAAAAAAAAAGCCAAGAGTCTACTGGCTGGCTCCGTCCTTGCTTCTTTTTTCGATACAAGTGAGGGAGGGACCGTGGACAGACAAGCTATCCTCTGTTTTATCCACTCTCTCTACTCTCCTCCTGTTTCTTTTTCCATGATGAGAACATTGGCTGAAAAGGCGCTGTTGCTTTTTAGTTGGATAGTCAGGGAATAGGTACGTGAAGACAAGAGAATGCTCTTTGGCGGTTTTGTCGTCTCTCTCATTGGCCCCGATTTTTTTTTTTTTTTTGCTTCTGTTCTGTTGTTGACCCACCCCCTAACTCAAAATACAAGGGCGATTTTAACAGAACGACGTTTGGATGTCCATCCAAATGTAATCAGGGAGGCACCAGCGGGAGAAAGAAAGAGAAAGCTTGATGCACCAGGGAGGGAAGGGGAAGGGAAGGGAGAGACAGAGCAAAGATACATCTCAAGTGGCCTGTCCATACTATGTTGGCTGGAGTTGCATGCAACCTGTCTGTTGATAAAATAAATAAAAAAAAAGAAACGGTTTCCAATTCAAGGACGTCCTATGCGCACCCGTAAGTATGGTCTTTCTCCCTCTTTTTTGTAGTTTCTTATCATGTTGGCCATGGGGATCGGTTGCAGCCACCAGGAATGTAGGAGTAAGAAAGTAGGCAACCACGATTGAGATGACGGCCATTGCATTGTATCCGGAACTGGATTTTCCCAGACAGGTAGTTCCAAGATCCCATTCCATCTATCTTTTTTCATGGAGGAAGGATGAACTCAATAGGGAACAGCAAGAGCGAATGGCACATTGGATTGGTCAACGAAATGGCTAGGGTACGGAGGTAGGGCCCATGTTTCAAGGGGCAATGAATAAGTCCCCCATGTCCACAGGGGTAATGACAAAGGAAGGAGTTCCTTGATACTTGGGCGTACATTATTCTTGATACATAGAATGTGACATGGAGGGGGTTGTGGTGTCGTGCAATAAGTAAAAAAAAAAAAAGAAGAGACTACCTCCTTTCTTCCTCCTTCGATGGTGTTCAATCTCGTTTTTATCTTGTGCAACCCTTTTGGTGTTGTCCATGGGAGCGTTGATTATTGGAACAGCAATGTTATCCCGCCAGCCTAGCTACAAAGGTGTCCGAGGACGAAAAGAGGCAACGATCGAAGGAAAGTGAAATCGCTCACTTACTCGTAAGCCCACACCCGGTATTGAGTTATGGAGTAAGACAAAGAGTGCAAGCACTACAAGAAATCATTAAATGAGAGCAAATGGTCGAGTTAGCCTAGAGCTTAAGTATGCCTTGTATACGTCTCAGCACAGTACACTTTGAATGTCGGACTCCAAGTGGTTCCCCTACCACCTCTCAAAGTTCCCCTTTATCATTAGTCCCGCCCGGTGGCTGGGTGACTGGGTGGCTGGTCTCGAGCATTTGTCATTCATGATAGACTATTGGTATCACCAACAGTAATATGGCGTTTCGAATCGCCGACGGATATTACCTTGAGTGTGTATATAAGAGTTTCGTGTACATTATGGCATTGTCGTGTAGATGGTGTGTTTGATGTGTCAGTGGACAGGTTTTTCCTTATTGCAAACAGACACGGAGGTTGGACCAGATGGACAATCAACTGACCTGACAATAATATGTGTACGATGGTAAAAAGAGGTACGAGCAAAGCTTCGGCAAATAAAGAAAAGGAAAAACGTTGAAGGCGTACAGATCGATGAACGTGTTCTAGGGCCGGGTGTTCTTTCTTGGGAAGGGTTCGAGTTCAGGCAAAGTTGCTGTGGGTGTTGTTGTGCTGCAAGAGTGGAACACAATTGTTTTTTTGTTATTTGGGAGTGCGGGAAATTTCATTTCAGCATTCATCGACCGTTTGGATGAGCAATGAGGGACAGTTACTACAGCTACAGTAGATACAGTAGACTGTTAAACAGCATTAAACAGCAAGGCAATAAGATGAGATGACTGGGTATGTTGAATCTGATATGTCCGTGTGTCGGTGATCGAAACCGGACACTCTTCAGTGTTCAATGGACTGAAACGCTTATTATTATTATTTTATTTTTCTCCGCCACCAGCCTTTTTGTGCTTCTTTTTCCTTTTCCTTTACCTTTTTTTTTTTTTTTTTTTTTTTTTTTCTTTCTTTCCTTTCTCCTCATCCCTTCTTCTCCTTCACTTCATCCGTCTCCTCCTTCTCCTTCTCCTCCGCATCACGACCACGCTATTCTCCTTCCCTTATTTCTTTCTTAATTGTCCTTGTCTCCCTCCTCTGTCGACAAACACAGCCTATCTCAGTGGCAGCAGGAGCAAAAAAAACAAGCACTCCTCTCTCCCTCCCCTCTTCATCGACCCTTACCTTATTTTCCTTTGGCCGCCAACTCATCAAAGTCGTTGCTGTTCCTACATAATGGACTACCGCAACAATAACGGCAGTAGCCGCAACGGAGGCCCTGCTATGGGCGCCTCCTCCGGACACGACTACCAGTCCTCCTACGACCCGACCCAAGCCAACACCCTCGCCAACAGACGCACCTCTGTCGACCACCAGGCCCACATCACCAAACAACGACCCATCACCGCCTACTCATCCCTCATCCCTCCCCCTTCTCCTACTTACTTCCGTCTCCAGGAGATGGGCGCACGCACAAGTACCTACGGTGCACCCGGAGGAGGTGCAGGAAGCGCTGGAGGACCACGGGCACCACCACGAGGCGAGCTGGACCATCTCCGTCCTCTTGAGAATGGCAATGGAGCAGCAGCAGCGGTTGTGGAGGAGAACATCTCGTGGTACCAAAGGCTCAACATCTGGATGATCAACGAAGGTATACTTTCCCTCCTCCCCCTCTCTCTTTTCACTCTCCTTTCTCTCTTCCGCTTTCTTTCTCTCTCTTTTCTTATTTGGAGTTGGCCCTTTCGCTCACTCCGAGAGGGAGAAGGGCGAGCGTACAGGACAGTACATCATGCTATTTTTACCTTTTTCTTTTTTTTTATTGTTTCCAGATGCTGGGAAGTGGAACCGACAGACAAACAAAACGGACACACGGATGGACGGACTGGACGCAGAAAGGGGCAGACAGTGGGTACTACCCCACACCTACATCGATGCAATGACAACACAACACACTCTGCATACACGCATACATGGCCCACATGGAAATAGAAGCACAGGAAAAAAGGATGAACCGGATAGACCAATTGTGTCAGGACCAGGAACAACGAGGATCGACGTGCAGGAAGCACTAGCGCCACGATCATCATTACTCCCTCTTCACTGTGTTCATTTCATACACCCATCGAAGGACACAGTTAGGCGGAGAAAGGATGCGCCAGGATAGACACTAAAAAAAGGGGGACAAACGTACAACAACGGCCAACTCGTCCAGTCGAACCATACATACAGGCTGACTGTTTTTGCTCCTGTCTCCTTGCTCTCTACTCTCAACTCGACTCAACTCAATAGGAAACAGAGTCATCTTCTTTGGACTATGGATTATGGTCCACATCGGACTCTTTGGACTCGCATTCTTCAACTTCTTCTATTCGGACAACTTTGTCACCTCGCGTGCAATCGTCGGCGTCACCCTCCCAATCGCTCGTGGATCTGCTTTGGTGCTCCATGTCGACGCTGGTGTCATCCTCCTCCCTGTCTGCAGGACCCTCATCTCTTGGCTTCGTTCCACCCCCCTCAACCGTATCGTGCCTTTCGACAAGGCCGTCACCTTCCACAAGGCCATCGCCTGGAGTATCGTCTTCTTCTCCTTCCTCCACACCTTCGCCCATTACCGCAACTTTTACCTGCTCTCCAAGGCAGCACCCGAAAAGTACAACTTTTGGCACCTAATGTTCGTCTCCGGACCAGGATGGACCGGTCACATCATGCTCATCGTTCTCGTCGTCATAGTCGCCACTGCCCTCCCCTCTGTCCGCACGAAGAAGTTTGAGACCTTTTGGTACTGGCACCATCTCTTCCTGGTCTTCTTCTTCTTCTTCTCCTTCCACGGAGCATTCTGTCTCCTCACCCCCGACCGCCCTCCTTACTGCAAGGATATCTCTGCTTTCTGGAAGTACTGGGTCGCCAGTGGCTTTATTTACCTGCTGGAGCGTATCGCTCGTGAATGGCGCGCTAAGCAAAAAACTGTCATCTCCAGAGTCATCCTCCACCCTTCCAAGGTCGTTGAGATCCAGATTAAGAAGGAGGACTGCCGCGCTCTGGCTGGACAGTACATCTTTCTCTGCTGCCCCGAGGTCTCGCTCTGGCAATGGCATCCTTTTACACTTACCAGCGCACCCGAGGAAGACTACATCAGTGTCCACGTGCGTGTCGTCGGAGACTTTACCAAGGAGCTATCCAAAAAACTCGGATGTGACGCTGAGGGTGTCGGAGAGTGGGAGGAGAGTTTGGGCGATCGCAATGGATTGGTGACAGTTTTGCCCAGGATCATGATTGACGGACCCTTCGGAGCTGCCTCGGAGGATGTCTTCAAGTACGAGGTGACGGTGTTGGTCGGAGCCGGTATCGGAGTGACACCCTTCGCCAGTGTTTTGAAGAGTATCTGGTACAGAGTCAACTACCCCACCAAGGCCACCAAACTGCACAAGGTCTACTTCTTCTGGATTTGCAGAGATAAGGAGTCCTTCGAATGGTTCCAGTCGCTTCTGTTGGCCCTCGAGTCCCAGGATTTGAACCAGTTCATTGAGATTCACACTTTCTTGACTGGTCGTCTGAGGCACTCGGAGGTCGGTAACTTGATGATCAACGAGGACAGCGCCTTTGCCGATACCGTGACAGGATTGCGCGCCAGGACGTGTTTCGGACGCCCTAACCTTGATATGGAATTTGACCGCATCAGGAACAACCACCCCGACACTGATATCGGCGTCTTCTTCTGTGGACCCAAGCGCATGGGCAAGCAGTTGCATTCATGCTGTACAAAGTTCAGTGGTTCCGGCACCTCCTTCTTCTGGCACAAAGGTACCTTCTATTCCTTGTATCTATGCCTGTTTTGTTGTTCAAATCCCTTTACCTCAATGCTAGGCAAACACTAACGAAATCTCTCTTTATTCCGTAGAGAACTTCTAAGTGCTCATTGGTCGCAGGAACGATGTTTGTACAGGCTTATTTTTGCGTGTCATTTTTCAACCATATATCCTTTTGATTTGCATTCAACATCCACGACAACAAATAAAAGCATTGTTTACCGCAAAGAGGCATATCCTAGGGGGTGGGTGATACTTGCATTGGACAAAGTTAGATGCTACATATTGGTTAAGTGTAGACGGACTACAATGTCCTTTTTCATTTCTCCTATGTAAAAGTGGCAATCGCTTTGCTTCCTTTTGTCACGTCTTCCACCAACGAGTATTGGCCAACATGCAACACCGACGGATCCTTGACCATCGGTCTCCTCCCAGAAAGGGTCGATTACGACTGGGAGACAGCAAACAACCCTTTTCTTCAAAGTCACCAAAAGAAAATATTAACCCCTTTTTGTATCAAGTCTGGACATCTTCCTGCATGCTCCGTTTTTAAATGTCGAAAAGGAGTCTTCTCTTGCATTTTTTCTTTCATCTTTTTTTTTGCACTTGTCCTTCACATATGCACGCTCTCTAATCAACATGAAGTCAACATTTTGCTTGCGTCGTTGTCATCGCCACGGTAGTCTCTGCAGCCGGCCAGATCTTTTTTGAAGAAACATTCTCCGACAGCAACTGGCAGGATGTAAGCCGAACCCTCAGGCCCATAGCGAAAAAAGACTGAAAAAAAGCTACCGACAAGCACGCGAGAACGATCATTAGCCTGAAACATATTGTTCATACGACAATGATAGATACGGACAACATCGTCGACAAAGGGCGATTTGGGATTGTTCACCTTGTCATCAGGCACCTTCTACGCCAACAAGTACTTCAAACCTCCCAGGGCGCACGCTACTATTCCATCTCGGCACCATTGACCTCCGTCGTCGACAACTCCAAAGATGACTTGATTGTCCAATACACCGCCAAACAGGAAGTCAACCAAGAATGTGGCGGATCCTACCTCAGGTTACTCCCGGAGGGGTTTGATGCCAAGACTTTCAACGGTGATAGCGAGTACGCGATCATGTTTGGACCGGATGTCTGTGGGGCCCAGAACCGGATCCATGTGATTTTCCATCATGAGGGGAAGAATTATTTGACAAAGAAGGAGTTCCCGGTACACAAGGATACTAAGACTCATCTCTACCGTTTGACTGTTCACCCGTACCAGAAGTATTCTTTGTTGATTGATGGGGAGACCAAAGCGGACCATGTCCCGTTGGAAGAACATTGGGATGTCTATGCGCCCCGGACGACCGCCGACCTGAACGACAAGAAGCCGATAGATTGGTGGAAGAAGGATATATCGTGGACGAGTCCCACAAGAAACCCGAGAACTATGACCAGATCCTACAGACGATCCCCGACCCGGAAGCCAAGCAACCCAAAGAATGGCACGACGGCGAATGGGAGGTCCCCGAGATCGACAACCCAGATTTCGAGGCATGGGAGCCCAAGATGATGACCAACCTTGCCAACAAGGGGGAATGGAAACCGGTTGATATTCCCAACCTCGATTTCCAGGAGCATCCGAGTCTGGCGCATTATCGGATTGGCCGGGTTGGGTTGGATCTGTGGCAGGTGAATAGTGGATCGATTTTTGATGATATTGTGGTGAAGACGGATAAGGAGGTGGCGGATAGATACTTAGGAAGAACTTTGTGGTGAAGACGTTGGTGGCAGAGTTGGAGGCCAAGGCTGCGAAGGAGAAGGAGGCGAAGGAGGCGAAGGAGAAGGAAGCCAAGGAGAAAGAGGAGAAGGTGAAGGCGGAGGCAGAGACCAAGGTTGCAGAGGAGACCAAGAAGGCGGAAAGCGGCGAGCTCAAGGAGAAGAAGGTGGTGACGGGTGGATCCGATGAACTGGATGAGCTTGATGAGGAGCAACATGATCAGAACCGCCACGACGAGTTGTGGCCTTTAGTACTTTTTTTGTAGATTGAGAAATGTGAATGTTGTGTTGTCTGTTGGGTGCGAACATTTGTGATAGGGTCTTTCCACCAAACCTTGTTGGTTTCAGATTGATCGTGTTGATCAGTTTATCATGGCCATGAAGTATTTGCGTCGTATGAAAGGTTGTCGGTAGTATTGTCAGTGAAGGCCTGGGGTTTATGTGCACTCGTTACTTGTTAGAATATACGACTGTCAACGATCGTTATCTCGGTCACTTTTGCTTCTCGCTGTTTTTAAGCAAGTCAGCAGCATATGCAACCTTTATCTTCTTCCTTTCTTTTCTACTCGTGTAACAACAACAAGGCGCACCAACCTCAAAAGACTGAACGCGAGGCGGCGTGATGCTATCGCCGTTCGACCGGCGTGCCTGAACTATGCCAGAAAGTTTGGTCCGTTTCTTTTTCTCATTTTCTCACACACTTGGACACTTTTCCCTTTTTTCTGCCGCGTTTTTTTGATTTCTTCATCTCCAACAGATCCGTTTTTGGAATCCTCATCGCTCTTCTTCGTCCTACTCGGTGTTCAGTGCATTACCCATTGCATTCTTCTGGGTCCATCCTCTCGGAATCAGTTCCAAGCACAACACCTCAGTCTCATTGAAGGCCCACACCACCACCAACAACAACCCCAAAAACAGAAACAGCAGATACGACAAACAGCTGCTCCTCTCTCCCATTTTCCTCAAGACAGTCTACAGTACTCTGGCAGCAATCCCAGAACTACGGTACCGCCAACATCCGAACCAACGCCAAAAAAAAATCACCACCCCCCTTTTTTTGCTCTATATTGTGTAAGTACCCTGCAACTGTGTGGTCTTTCTCTCGAGGTGGTGGTCAGTACACGCATCAGAAGGCAGGAAACATAACTTTATTTCTTATTATTATTTCTTTCTCACAGCTGTCCTCGTTCCCCTTCGATACCCATCGACCTCGTCGACCACACTCAAAGAACATACTCAAAACAAAAAGGTATACATGGTGCGTTATCCATCAGCGTCCTCATTTCTCGCTCCAGTTTGGAAACGATGTAGTATCTCATAGTATTATTTTCTCATATCCAATCTATTAGTACTGTCACAATGTCCGACCATCCTCTTTACCAGCTGGATCCCCGCACCCCTGGTAGTGACAGCGCCAACAACACCGTCCACATCAGGAAGCGCGACAAGTTTAGCGAGTTCTGGGGCTTCAAGTCCAACTCCAAGGAGATCAAGCCCAATGCCTCGACTCAGCCGCTGAGCTCCCGAACTCAATCTCAACAGTCGACACGGTCTCCCTCTGTTGTCTCTCAGGCCAGCAACTTCTTAGGCGACAGTCAGCCAATTTCTTCTAGCATCACCATGCAGGGCAAACCCTTACCACCCCTTCCTCCAACTGAGGTTAAGCCCCTCCCAGATATATTTCAGGAGAATCTGCCAAAGCCTGTCATCAAGACCGAGCTGCCCTATCTCCAGCAACGGATTGAGAGGATCGAGCAATTGATATACTGCAACGCCTTGCTTCTGCGGGATACAATGACCCCAACGAAAGCTGCCACAGGAAAGGATGCGGACAGTTCTGGCTCCCTCGTTCTTCAAGAACCCGCCCTTGACAACGCGGAGCTCGACTGGTTGGAAACGACGAAGAACGACTCAATGGAAGCAGATCGCCTGCGCTGGTTGGCCACTCGGGTGGTGGAACAGTTTGTCGCGGATGTCAACAAGGATTCCGCCAAGATTGTTGAGATTGTCACTCTGGGACCCGCCTTGCAGAAGGAACCTTACCGCAAGCTGCTCTCGACCTTCATCAAGGAGTTTGAGGATGCTCGCATTCTGGACGTTGATATGCTGCAAGGTCTTGTCCAGCTGGTTCAGGATTCCTCCCCTAGCTTCCTTGTCTCCGATGACCTGGTCAAGATTCTTGGCATCCTCAGAGTCCACCTGCAAGGCACTCACCAACAGTCGAACGAGCACTCGTCTCACCTCACTCTGGCTGTTTCCACAGTCCTCGATGTTATGGCAGACCACAAGGTGCAGGATCTGGATCGTGTCCTCGAACATGAGCCACTGTCGGCAGTCTTGTCGGGACTGAGGGATAGCTCGGACCCCTACCTGATGTACCAGGCCTGCTATGCCTTCCAGGCTCTCCAGTATGTGCCTGATGACGAGACCGCTCTTCGGGCTGTGTTGAGACACTCAACCGGTGTGGTTGACGGCCTAGTAAAGGTCACTGCCATCTTTAAGCTGGATCTGGCGTCGGTTCTCAAGGGTCTGGGCAATCTGCAGGAAGCTCTTGGAGGCGCGATATCAGTGGCTGGTACTGTGTACGAGGGGATCCGTTCGTTGATTGAGAGCGGCCGAAATGTTCTGGACGGTTTGAAGGAAGGACTTGGATCTGGCCAGAAGCGACTTTGGTATCCTGCTGTCAAGGCTGCCTACGCTTTTGCCCGGGTTGGCCAGCTCAAGGACTTGAAGCAGCTGATCTTTGAGGCTCCTTGTCGCCGAGACCCTTTGTTTCAGTGGGGAGTCTGCCAGTTGTTGGGTGAGATTGCGGTGGATCCTGCGTGGGCTGTCTCTGCACGCCAACAATCTGTCTCTCTCCTCGGTCATCTCTGCCAGCACGATCAAAACTGGGGTCAGGATGAGAGCGTCAAGGCATGGATGCTCACCATCATCACCAACCTGTGCGCCCACTCCGACCAAATCGTCAGTGAGACCGCCCGTTCTGCGCTGCAGGATCTCACAGTGGAACATAGTGGCTTAATCAAGCACCCTTATTCATTGAGGACCCGTCTCCCTTTGCCTTCCGCATCGCCACTCCTTACCAAGGTCCAAAACATCCAGTATCTAGAGTACGAACTGCACAAGTACCGGTTGCAGCGGCTAGAGGAAGCCAAACTGCCCGTCTACATCCCTCCTATGGCCAAGGCCAATCTTCAAGCCCGCGATGACGAGCTATTCCCCCTCAAGGAGAAAGTCCACGAGCTCCTGGCCAGTGAGCGACAAGTTATGCTGATCTTGGGTGACTCTGGAGCAGGCAAGTCAACCTTCAACAAGCATCTCGAATCCGAGCTCTTGCGCACATACACTCGCGGTGGCCCTATCCCATTGTTCATCAACTTGCCCGCCATCGACCGACCCGACAAGGATCTCATTGGCGAGCATCTGAGGACCAACAACTTCTCTGAGGCACAGATTCAGGAGATGAAGCAATATCGCCAATTTGTCCTCATCTGTGACGGGTACGACGAGAGCCAGCTCACCGTCAACTTGCACACAGCCAACCTCTTCAACCGGTCTGGTCAGTGGAACGTCAAGACGGTGATCTCTTGCAGAACTCAATTCCTAGGTCAAAACTACCGCAGCCGGTTTATCCCCGACGGCACTGGCCACTACACTCGCCAGGCTACCGATCTCTTCCAGGAGGCTGTGATCTCTCCTTTCTCCAAGGAGCAGATCGAGGACTATGTCGAGCAGTATGTCCCCCTCGAGCCGCGGACCTGGACCACCAAGGACTACATGGACAAGTTGACCACCATCCCCAATCTCATGGATCTGGTCAAGAACCCTTTCCTTCTTTCACTGTCTCTGGAGGCACTGCCAGGAGTTACTGAGGGCAAGCAGGATCTGTCGGACATCAAGATCTCCCGTGTTCAGTTGTACGATACTTTTGTGAGGTATTGGTTGGATGTCAACAGTCGGCGGCTTCAACGAAATGTTTTGACCAGGGAGGATCGAGATATGCTGGATCAACTATTGGAAGCAGGATTTATTCCGATGGGCATCGACTACTCCACTAGACTGGCGTCGGCGATCTTTGAGCACCAAGACGGAAACCCGGTGGTTCAATATCTCCACATGAAGGACAAGAAGACGTGGAGAGCCGAGTTTTTTGGCCCTGACCCTGAGACCCGAATGCTGCGAGAATCGAGTCCGCTAACCCGCACTGGACAACTCTACCGCTTTGTGCACCGATCAATGCTCGAGTACTTTCTTTCATGCGCCGTTTTCGATCCCAGCAGCCATGACGTCGACGATGAATTTTGTCCGCAACCCGTTCCTGACTCCACTCCTGCCCAACTCTTCGCCACTGATGGACTCTTATTCAAGCGGAACCTACTCAACGAACCTTCGGTCATCCAGTTCCTGTGCGAACGAGTCAAGCAGCACCCCGATTTCGAGAAGCAACTCCTAGCCGTCATCGAGCAGTCCAAGACCGATGCCACTGCTGCCACCGCTGCCGCCAACGCCATCACCATTCTTGTCCGAGCCGGAGTCCATTTCAACAGCACCGACCTCCGTGGCGTCCGCATCGCAAGAGCTGATCTTTCCGACGGCCAGTTCGATTCCGCGGAGTTGCAGGGAGCCGATCTGAGAGGGGTCAACTTTGCAAGGAGTTGGCTGCGGCAAGTGGACTTCGGCAATGCACAGATGGATGGCGTACGGTTTGAGGAGCTGCCATATTTGCAGGAGCGAGACTCAGTCAATGCCGTCGCCTTTTCGCCCAACGGAAAGTTGATTGCTGTCGCTGTGCGTGGCGGAAGCGTTATTACCTACACCACTACGACATGGACTCGAGTTCTTCAACACAAAGAGCAGAGTAGGATGCTGAGTATCGCCTTTTCACCTAACAGCCAACACCTTGCACTTGGGAACTTGAACGGGGACTGTCGAGTGTTGGATACTGCCAGTGGCGAGATTTTGTTGGTTATGAAGGGACACACAGATTTGGTGAAGTCTGTGACATTTTCACCTTGTGGCAAGCAGATCGCGTCGGCCAGCCATGACAGCACGGTTCGGTTGTGGAACTCGGAGACAGGGGAGTGCTTGTTTGTCTTGAAGGGCCATGAGGATATTGTTTTGAGTGTCGCGTATTCAGCTGATGGACGGAGACTTGTTTCGGGTAGCAGCGATAGGACGATCCGAGTGTGGGATCCGGAGACAGGAATACCAAAGGCCGACTGGGTGATTCCCCGTGTTGATGGTCCACGCGTGGCCCTTTCTGCGGATGGGAGGCGGCTCGCCATTGTGACTGGTTCGAAACGTTCCAAGATTCAACTCGTGGATGGCATCACCGGAGAGACGGGGTTGATTCTTGATGACGATGCTGGCGGGCTAACAGATATTGCATTCTCTCCAAGCGGCGACTTGATTGTTTCGTCAAGCAGGGACAAGACCGTTCGACTGTGGGACTCATCGAGCGGACAGCTCATCTCCAGGTTGTCGGGTCACAGCAATCGGATCACCACCTGTACCTTTTCCCCAGACGGCCTACAAATCGCTTCAGGAGATCGGAACGGGATTATACGAATCTGGGATGTGAACACCAACCGGTCGAGTTCCATTACACAAGAACTTGCCGCCAAGGTTAGAACTGTGGCATACTCCCCTGACGGCCAGTTTATAATCTCTAATCATGTTAACAACACCGTTCAACGCTGGGACTCTTCCACAGGAGCTTCCAGACCCATTCCGTCATCGTCCACATTCGATGTTTACTCGGTCGTGCTTTCACCGAACGGCCGTTGGTTTGCGAACCGTTGCAGAGACGAGAATATTCGGCTGTTGAACGTCCAAACAAATGTTGTTGAGCGTATTCTCTGCGGATCTCCCTACTACCTAGTTGTTGATATGACTTTCTCGCGCTGTAGTCGGTGGTTGGCCTCATGCGACAGTGACGGGTTTACAACATTGTGGGATCTTGAGAGTACCGATGATCAAGGCAAAGTGGTGGGTGAGAAGGTCGATCTGTTCCGCTCGGGAGCTTACGTGACTTTCTCTCCCGTTGGAGACCAGATTGCAGTTGGATTGCGAACGAGCCCATGGAGACTTCGTCTTTACGATCTTCGAGTGACAGACCTTTGCCAACCTCTGAAGGAAGTATGTTTATCAAACAGGCTACACTCCATAGACTACTCACCAGATGGCCAGCGACTCGTACTCGGTACTGGTTCTTCCTCGGTCATGCTCTGGGACCTTCAGTCGGACGAGCCTGATGTCAAACTGGAAGGTCACACTGGCGTGGTGTACAGCGTAGCCTACTCTCCTTGTGGCAAGTGGATCCTTTCCGGCAGCGAAGACAAGACGGTTCGACTCTGGTCAGGCAAGGTCGACAGTTGGTCTTGTGCTGCTGTTGTCAGTGGATGTTCAGTGGCCGTTACAAGCGTAGCATGGAATCCGGTGATGCCGATGGAATTTGTCACTGGTTCCGATGATGGGTCTGTTCGAGTGTGGCGTATCTCGAGTCCCGATGCAGGAGATGTCTCGGTTCGAATGCACTGGGGTTCCCACATTGGGCGGTTGTGCGCCGCTGATCTGACTTTCAAGGGAGCCGTTGGTCTCAGTACGATCTATCGCAAGTTGTTGGTCCAGCGCGGTGCTGTTGACGAGTTATTGTCCTCCGGAGAGGAAGAATCCAGCGGAGGAGAGATTGAGCAAGTGGAGTAGCCTCAGTGGATGTACTATCGCAATAATTAAAAACCAGGTAAGCGCATGCTGCGACGATCTTTGAATAAATCTTGTGCCAGAAATCATGACAAAAAAATGAGTCTGGTGGAGGACTATTTTTTTTTGTTGATCCATTGCATGCTATTTTGGCAGCGTTAATTCTGACCACTTTTTTTTCCCGCTGGTTAGCTCACACACACGCTTCCCGTGTTTGCACCGTTTCTTTTTCTTCCTCTGGTCTTATTCTTCTTGGGGATTCTTCCTTTCCAGGGACTACATCTGTGTGTTGTATCTTTCTTTATTGTGATCATGATTGTCCAGAAAACAAAAAGGGAGAGCTTACAACTATAAAAGGGGGACCTCCGGATACCTTGTCCTCTATCTTTCTTTTAATCACGGTTGGAGCACATCCCCGGATCTCCATCAATCGAGCCGTTTCTAGTGGCATGAATCTCTTCAGGAGCAACTTGCCCTTATCATGGCATGGACGGATCAACGTTCCGAAGGTATTGAGCAGAACAAGCACAATAACGCACAAACCGACGACTCCACTCTCGTTATTACCAAACCTCAAGCGACCTATATCGTCTTCACAAACCACGCCTCGCAATCTACCTGTCATAACCCTCCAGAAGGACTTTTTCAAAGCCATGCTGGACCCTGCTGAGAAACTCATCGACATGTCCGACTTTCACTTCGTGGAGGGAATGGGCTACGACGCCCATCCACTTCTGGACGCTCAACAAAAGGAACCTCGACTCAACGACGATAACAGTTTCGCAAAGAATAAAAGTGCTTAGATTCAGACCAGACTGGCCCATCTCACGTGCCCTTTGGACGCCATCGCTCTCATGGTAGCCAAGTATGACACTGAGAACATATGGAAGGACCGAGCAGTTTCACTCGCCAGCACGATCCGATACCTCACAGGCGACATTGCAGCTCAAGCAAACGAGTCTCGACAAAACATCCTCTACCGACAAATGGGTCTGGGCGACCCTACGCCCAAACCTGCTGCGGTTGCTCTCGCCGATGTTGCCGAGAGAAAAGCAGTCCTGGGCGCCATCAATACCGTTTTCCCTGTCAAGAAGAAGCACGACAAGACTCCAAACAAGGATCAGGGCAAAATGCGACTCGACCAACTCTGGCAGCTCCAACGACAAGTCCAAGGGCAAACCCAAGAACAACAAAGATCATGGCCCTGGCAACAACAACAACAACAACAACAACAACAGCAGCAACAACAGCAACAACAGCAACAACAGCAACAACATCAACAACAGCAACAACAGCAACAATAGCAACAACAGCAACAATAGCAACACTAGGCGCAAGTCTGAGGGCTGCAATCGTAGTGCCGCAGAAAAAACGACGGACGGGGAAACGGAGGAGGGGAGAAGACATACCAGTAGGAGGTCGTCGTCTTTACCAATTTCAGGAGGCATGGAGTACAGGAGTGCATGACGAGCTCGATCTTTACTTCAAAAAATGCGATAGAAGAATGCAACCGCGGCAAAGGATTCTAACATCTGACATCTGGACGCACTGTCTGCAGACCAACACCAGATTGAAAGCGATCTACGTTCCGTCAGCCTTCAATCCAGCAGACGCGCCATCCAGGAAAATGATGGCTCGACTGGAGTGGTCAAACGATGCTACATTATTCAACGAATTGAAAGAAAAATGGGGCACACAGAGCATCGACATATTCGTTTCAGCAGACAACACTAAAGTTTCACGGTTCGTGTCTTGGAAGCCGGACCCCGCAGCGGCGTCACACGACTCGATTCGCATGCGTTGTACGGACATGGGTCGAGTATACGTCTTCCCGCCCTGGAACTTGATTCTTCTAGTCCTGCAGAAGATCCGACAAGACAAGGTTCAAGCAATGGTGATCACACCTTTCTGGCCCAGCATGCTGTGGTTCCCGACTATATCAGCGAACGCGACTTGCAAACCACAGCCGACACCCAGAGACAAAGCCGTTCTGGCCCAAGGAAACAGTCCACACGTTCTGGCGCGTAATGCCATATGGTCTCTCGCAGCATGCAGCGTCAAAGACAATAAGCAATACAAGAACCTGTACATCAGTCTTGCGCTGCCTTCAAAGTAGGGAGTAGAGGAGATTAGGATGTTGAAAGAATCCAGTGTTCCGGGCGATACGGTGATTCTCCCGGTGCTTGTGTACTTTATGATATGCCCTATTGCGAGATCCTCACGGTTTACCGCCTCTCGTCTGCAGTGTGAGTATATACACAAGGTGCATTCTCTTGGTGGCGTTATTTTGAGTCATTAAAGAAACGAAGAGGGGCGTAGAGAAACGAGAATAAAGAGTAATTGACGACGTTGAGGGCCGTTACGCTTTTTTAGTCCCTTTATGCCATCTGCTGTTTTCCTCGGCGGTTTGCTTTTTGGTCCGCCGTTGCTTATGCAACATCCATCTCTTTTTTCTTTGAGTAAACCAAAACATAACAAGGCATCGATCAAAAGAAAAAAGGAAACGTGTCAGGGGTAGGGTAGATGCATGCATGCACGGGAAGTAAAAATAAATAAGTCCACAAAAGGCGTAACCTTGGACCATGCACCAACAAACAACAAATATATAAACAAACAAATGGAAATGAGAAGAGAGAGGAAGAGAGTGGAGTCTTTTTCTTCCCTTTCTCTTTTCATGTTTATCACATCTTCGAACGAGTTTGCGTCTTTTCTTTTCCTTTCCTTTGTCACTTTCCTCAGCTCCACATTTTTGAATCACCATCGCTCTTCTCGTTCGCTTTTCAAATATCGCGCTCTTCTGGGCCCATCCTCTTGAATCGTCCCCTCGAGCAACACCACCACCACCAGCGCCACTAACAGCAATATCAACAACGACGCCAGATACAAAAAACAACAAACGCGACAAGAACACAAACATACACACACACACACACACACACACACAGACACACACTTCAACTTTTCCCCTTCAACTACTCCTCTCCCTATTGTACATTTTCAAAAAACACCGTCTCCTCTGATCGGCAAAACCAACCTTCAACATCACCGATACAAAACAAACCAATTCAACAAAATCACAAATTTCGCCATAGGAACAATAAAACCACAAGCCTCAACTCGAAACGTACGTCGAGAGAAACAATCATCTTCGCCATTCAGGTAGCAATTGATGCTCATACGGACGCATAAAAGCACAAACTGGTCAAGCTAAAGGAACAAAAGGAACGCGCCAATCCAACGTGCCTTTAAGAGCAGCACCCCTTCTTCACCAGACACGTAGCAGGTGCCCGTTTTACAGACCTCTGCTCACCCCTTTCCTCTATTTCTCTATTAGGCAGTTGATAGTATCCAACAGCCTCATAGCTCACGCATAGCTAGCACCCGTACCAACAAAAAAGAAAGACCCCTACACTACATTTGTGTAAGCACATTGCACAATATCTTGTAGGATGGTGGTAAACAACCCAGAAAAGCAGGTAAATTAATCAATATTCCTTTTTCCGTGCTTCCATAGCTGCCCCCATTCTCCTTCCATAGCTGTCCTCATTCTCCTTTCATACCTATCCACATCGCTGACCAAACTCAAAGCACAAACCCAAAACACCAAGGTAAACACACAGAGCAGCAAGTTGTCAAATATTCCCGATTTGATTTCGTAGAGAAGTAGCTTCTAAATGTCATATTGTTCATATTTACACTGATAGTGCTCTCACCATGACCGACCATCCTCTCGACCAATTGAACCTCCATGTCCCTGGCAGCGAAAGTGCCAACAGCACCGTGTGCATCAAGATGCGAGTCAAGTTCCGCCGGCTCCGGCGCTTCTTCAAATCCAAGTCGAAGTCCAAGGAGGTCAAGCCTATTCCCTCGAACCAGTCGCAGCACTCTCGACTCTCATTCCAACAACCGACACGACCTTACTCTATAATCTCCAAAGCCAACAGCTTTCCTTCAGGCAACAGCCAGTCTACTTATACCACCGACAACCAGCTTACTTCTCCTACAAGCGACAACCAGTCTACCCCTTCCACTACCGTGCAGGAGAATGTACTCTCAGCACCCTTTTACATATCGCGTACTCTCGAGGACATCTTTGACGAGGATGTCCCCAGGCCCACCATGAAGACTGAGTTGCCTCAACTTCAGCAACGCATCGAGATGACGCAGCAATTGGTCTACTGCAACGCCTTACTCTTAAGGGATACATTGTCTCCACAGAAATCTGCTACAGGAGAAGCTGCAGAGAACGGTGCTACCTTCATTCTTCAGGAACCAGCTCTCGACAAGACCGAACTCGACTGGCTCAAGATGACGAAGAAGGACCCAATGGAAGCAGATTCCTTGCGTTGGCTGGCCACATGTGTGGTTGAGCAATTTGTGGCCGATGCCAACAAGGACTCCAGCAAGATTTCCGAGATTGTCGCTTTGGGACCCGTCTTGCAGAAGGAGCCTTACCGCAACCTGCTTTCGACCTTCATCAAGGAGTTTGATGATGGTCGCATCCTGGACGTGGATATGCTGCAAGGTCTTGTCCAGCTGGTTCAGTCTGCCTCTCCTGGGTACCTGGAGCCGGATGACTTAGTCAATATCCTCAAAATCGTCAGGGTCCGCCTACAAGGCACTCACCAGCAATCCACCGAGCACTCTTATCACCTCACTCTGGCTGTCTCCAGGGTCCTCGATGTTATGGCGGAGCACAAAGTGCAGGATCTGGATCGTGTTCTTGAGCACGAACCATTGTCGGATGTCCTGTCTGGATTGAAAGGTAGCTCGGATCTCTATCAGCTTTACCAGGCCTGTTATGCCTTCCAGGCTCTCCAGTATGTACCTAACGACGAGACCGCTCTTGGAGCTGTGTTCAGACATACAATTGGTGTGGCGGATGGATTGACCAAGGTCTCGGCCGTGATGAAGTTGGATTTGACATCTGCACTGGAGGGTCTTGTCAAACTACAGGAGGTGCTAGGCGAGACGGCTGAGGTTGCTGGGTCTGTGTATGAAGGTTTTTGTTTGCTGATGAAGGGTGGTCGAGGAGTTTTTGACAGCCTGAAGGAAGCATTTGGATCTGGCCGAAGGCATCCATGGTATCCTGCCGTCAAGGTTGCCTATGCTTTTGCCCAAGCTGGCCAACTAAAGGATCTGAAGGTGTTGATCGTTGAGTCTCCTTGCCGCCAAGACCCTTTGTTTCAGTGGGGGATCTGCCAGCTGTTGGGCGAGATTGCTGCTGATCCTGCGTGGGCTGTCTCTGCACGCCAACAATCTGTCTCTCTCCTCGGTCATCTCTGCCAGCACGATCAAAACTGGGGCCGGGATAAGAGTATCAAGGCATGGATGTTCACAATCATCACCAAGCTGCATGCCGCCTCCGACCAAGTCGTCAGTGAGGCCGCCCATTCTGTGCTGCAGGATCTGACAGTGAAAAAGAGCGCCTTGATCAAGCACCCTTATCCACTGAGGGCCCGTCTCCCCTTGCCTTCCGCATCGCCACTCCTTACCAAGGTCCAAAACATCCAGTATCTAGAGCATGACCTGCACAAGTACCGGTTGCATCGACTAAAGGAGGCCAAACTGTCGGTCTACATCTCTCCTATGGCTATGGCCAACCTTCAAGCCCACGACGACGAACTCTTCCCTCTCAAGGAGAAATTTCAAGAGTTCTTGACCAGTGAGCGACAGGTCATGCTGATCTTGGGTGACTCTGGAGCAGGCAAGTCGACCTTCAACAAGCATCTCGAATCCGAGCTCTTGCGCACATACACTCGCGGTGGCCCTATCCCATTGTTCATCAACTTGCCCGCCATCGACCGACCCGACAAGGATCTCATTGGCGAGCATCTGAGGACCAACAACTTCTCTGAGGCACAGATTCAGGAGATGAAGCAATATCGCCAATTTGTCCTCATCTGTGACGGGTACGACGAGAGCCAGCTCACCGTCAACTTGCACACAGCCAACCTCTTCAACCGGTCTGGTCAGTGGAACGTCAAGACGGTGATCTCTTGCAGAACTCAATTCCTAGGTCAAAACTACCGCAGCCGGTTTATCCCCGACGGCACTGGCCACTACACTCGCCAGGCTACCGATCTCTTCCAGGAGGCTGTGATCGCTCCTTTCTCCAAGGAGCAGATCGAGGACTATGTCAAACAGTATGTCCCCCTCGAGCCGCGGACCTGGACCACCAAGGACTACATGGACAAGTTGACCATCATCCCCAATCTCATGGATCTTGTAAAGAACCCCTTTCTTCTCTCACTCTCTCTGGAGGCACTGCCAGGAGTTACTGAGGGCAAGCAGGATCTGTCGGCCATCAAGATCTCCCGTGTTCAGTTGTACGATACTTTTGTGAGGCATTGGTTGGATGTCAACAGTCGGCGGCTTCAACGAAACGTTTTGACCAGGGAGGATCGAGATATGCTGGATCAACTATTGGAAGCAGGATTTATTCCGATGGGCATCGACTACTCCACCAGACTGGCGTCGGCGATCTTTGAGCACCAAGACGGAAACCCGGTGGTCCAATACATCCACATCAAGGATGAGAAGTCATGGAGAGCCAAGTTCTTTGGCCCTGATTCTAAGACCCGACTTATGCGAGTTTCGTCACCACTGAACCGTAAAGGCAGCCAGTTCCGATTCCTTCATCGATCAATGCTCGAATACTTTCTTTCTCTCGCTGTCTTTGATCCCAGCAGTCACAACGACCACGAATTTGCTATGCATTCCGGTACTGGTTCCACTGACGCTGCTTTGTCCAACGCCGAAAGTCTCTTGTTCAAGCGCAGCCTCCTCACCGAGCCAATGGTCATCCAGTTCCTATGCGAGCGAGTCAAGCAGCACTCTGATTTCAAGAAACAGCTCCTAGCCATCATCGAACAGTCCAAGACTGATGTTAATGCTGCCACCGCTGCTGCCAACTCCATCACCATCCTTGTCCGAGCCAGGGTCCTTTTCAACAGCGCCAATCTTCGATGCATCAGGATCGCGGGAGCAGATCTTTCTGACGGTCAATTTGATTCCGCGCAGCTGCAGGGAGCCGATCTGAGAGGGGTCAACTTTGCAAGGACTTGGCTGAGGCAGGCTGATTTCGGCAATGCACAGATGGATGGCGTTCGGTTTGGAGAGCTGCCATATTTAGAGGTGGAGGCCTCAGTCAATACCATCGCCTTCTCCCCTGATGGGAAAATTTTTGCTGCCGCTCTGCGTCACGGAAGGCTTATTACTTACGACACTACAGCATGGACCCGAGTTCATCAACACAAAGGACAGAGTTTGGTGTTGAGTATCGCCTTTTCACCTAACAACCAATACCTTGCATTTGGGAGCGAAGACAAGACCTGTCGATTATGGGATACTGCCAGTGGCGAGACTTCGCTGGTCATGGAGGGGCATAAAGGTGGTGTGAATTCTGTGGCATTTTCACCCTGTGGCAAGCAGATCGCGTCGTCCAGCAGCGACAGCACGATTCGATTGTGGAACTCGGAGACAGGAGAGTGTTTGTTTGTCTTGAGCGGTCATCGAGCGCCCATTTTGAGTGCTGCATATTCATCTGATGGACTGAAACTTGTGTCGGGCAGCAACGATAGGACGATTCGAGTGTGGGATCCGAAGACAGGAACACCAGAGGCTGACTGGGTGATACCCCGTATTGATGGTCCACGCGTGGCCCTTTCTGCAGATGGAAGGCGGTTCGCCGTTGTGACTGGTTCGAAGCGTCCCAAGATTCAACTCATGGATACAAACACCGGAGAGAAGGGTCTGGTTCTTGATGATGATGCCGAGCGGCTAACGGATATTGCATTCTCTCCGATTGGCGAGTTGATCGTCTCGTCAAGCGGGTCAAGCGGGGACAAGACCGTTCGACTGTGGGACTCATCGAATGGACAACTCATCTCCAGGTTGTTGGGCCATAGCGACCAGATTACCGCCTGCACCTTTTCCCCCGACGGCCTACAAATTGCGTCAGGAGATCTGGACGGGATTATACGACTCTGGGAGGTGAACATCAACTTGTCAAGCTCCTTCACACAGAAACGTGCCGCCAAGGTTCGAACTGTGGCATACTCTCATGATGGTCTGTTTATTACCTCTTATCATGACGACAACACCATTCAACGCTGGGACTCTTCCACAGGAGCTTCTGGACCCATTCTGTCATCGTTTACATACGGTGTCATCTCGGTCTCGATTTCACCTAACGACAATTGGTTTACGAGCAGTTACGGGAGCAGGAATGTTCGGCTGTCGAATGCTCAAACCCATGCTGTTGAGCGCGTTCTTCTCGGATCTTCCTCCTACCAAGTTGGTAATATGAGGTTTTCTCCCTATAGCCGGTGGTTTGTCGAGTCTGTACAATTGTTGGATCTTGAGAGTACCGATGAGCAAGGCAAAGAGGTGGATGAGACGGCCGATGAGCAAGGCAAAGATGTGGATGACACGGCCGATGAGCAAGGCAAAGATGTGGATGACACGGCCGATGAGCAAGGCAAAGATGTGGATGACACGGCCGATGAGCAAGGCAAAGAGGAGGATGAGACGGCCGATGAGTGCAGGCTGACAGGTTCTGTGGTTTTCTCTCCCAACGGCGACCAGATTGCAGTTGAATTTCTATCGAGCCCATCGAGACTTCGTCTATTCGGTTCCGGAGTGACAGGCCTTCGCCAACCTTTGAAGGAAGTGTGTTTATCAGACAGGCTACGCTCAATGGACTACTCACCAGATGGCCAGCGACTCGTACTTGGTACTGGTGCATACTCGGCCCTGCTCTGGGACCTTCAGTCGGACGAGCCTGATGTCAAACTGGAAGGTCACACTGGCGCGGTGTACAGCGTCGCCTACTCTCCTTGTGGCAAGTGGATCCTTTCCGGCAGCGAAGACAAGACGGCCCGACTCTGGTCAGGCGAGGACGACAGTTGGTCCTGTGTTGCTGTTGCCAATGGATGTTCAGAGGCCGTGAAAAGTGTTGCATGGAATCCGGTGATGCCGATGGAATTTGTCACTGGTTCCGATGATGGGTCTGTTCGAGTGTGGCGTATTTCGAGTGTCGAGGCGGGAGACGTGTCGATTTGTATGCACTGGGGCTCTCACATTGGGCGGTTGTGCGCCGCTGATCTGACTTTCAAGGGAGCGGTAGGTCTCAGTTCGTTCTCCCACAAGTTGTTGATCCAGCGTGGTGCTGTTGACGATTCATTGTCTTCGGAGGGAGCCAATGGATCGAACGAGGAAGAGATAGAAGTGGCTGTTGCTTGAGGGCGATCTTAGACAACTACACTTTTTTTTTGTATCAACTATATTTCATTGCATTCAACGTCTATGCCTTTATACCATCTCTATGTGTGGTGGATTCGGGCTTGTGTTTTGCTTGTTGTCTGTCTAAGAAAAGATGGGCGGAAGTGGTGTTCCAACTGTTCCCCGTCCTCACAGCACCCATTGACTTGAAGAGTTGAATCCCTGACTGCGGCAGAGAAGAACGATCACTCCCACAACTCTGGTCACAAAAATAAGAAAAAAAAGGGCGGGGCACTTTCTTCTTTCATCTTTCATCCTTCAATCATTCATCACTTTTTCCATTGCATTCCATTTTCATTCCACCGACAAGGTCGCAACACTCATCCTTCTCCTTGATCAAACTGGCTCTACCCCCGTTCCCTTATTCTTGCCATTGGTCCCCTTCTTCTTGCCATTCAACAATGGACCCATTCTCCCGCCTGCCTGTGGAGTGCCTGGAGCAAATCCTACGATGCATCTCTTCATTATCCGCCTTCCAGGCTCGCCCTACCTTGGCCGCCCTCTGCCGGGTCAATCGACACATTTCACGAGTCACAATCCCCTTTCTATATAAAGACCCGTTCCGACTGGCCGACGACCGCGTCTACAAGGTCAAAGCACCTCGTCTGTCTCGAGCCCTTATCCGCTCTCTTGTCATTAGGCTTCCCACCACCCACGTCCATCCAGCCTTGCTCCTCGGGTTGCACATTCCCCCCTACTTCACCACCACCAATAACAACAACAGCATTAAAACCAGCCCCGACAGCATGTCACCAACCTCTCGCAGCATCGACTATCACGGTCTTATTCGCCACCTCAATATCTATCCATCGACATTCTTGGTGTATAATAGCGCCGGGACTCCCAAACCCAATTACGCTGTCGAGAAGGCGTATATCCACGGACAAACCTTCCTGGATATGTATCTCAAGGATCGGAAGGATGCAACTTGTGTCAAAACAAGTCAGTCCTCTTTACTCCTCCAGTACTACCCCAACGTTCTCCACCGAGAAGCAACCTGGACCCTCGCCGCTCCTATTCTCGACCAACTGGAATCCCTCACCATTCTTCTCTCCGATCTCGACCGGTACTGCCAGGTTGTCGATCGATTGGGCAGACTGGAGCACCTTGTCGTCTACCTGGATGTGGCCTTTACTTGCTATTGTTGCATGCGGTCGCCTAATGAACAAAGGAGAAAGTTGCGTGAGGAGGCGACGATGCGCCAGTTGGTCCAGCTAGTCAAGGACCACATCTCAATATTCCCTGGTCGCCTCAAGACTGTCGCCACATACAACTCTCCCTTTTGGGATAGTGCTGGACCCCAGTCATGCCCCAAGGAGATTAAGCAGAAGATTTTTCAGATGCTACCTTCATCGTACAGACCCGACTATATTTCGACATTCAACTGGGACAAGATTTCGACATTCCTCATGACCACGGACCTGAGTGGTGTCAAGACCATCCATTGGGTCTTCGGCCTTCTCCCGCCATACAGTTGGTTTGGACCAGCAGTGGATCACCAGAATATCCTCCAGCGGTGCCGGGCGTTGACACAACTCGAGGTGTACTGTTTAGTCCGGAACTGTTTCGATTGGGCTGTCCAGGAGAAGAAGGATTTCGACAGTCGACATCTTGATACGAGCGGTAGTTCGAGTCCTAGTAGTAGACTTGTGGCACTGTCCAAGGTCACTATCCAGCAGTTTAATTTGCCATTGCACGATCTTGATGCACTCGCCTTTGCTTTCAGTAGGACGTTGGAGCACCTCGATATCCTGTCTTTTTCGGGACCGGGCCTTACTCTGCCTGTCCACATTGGTCGTGGTTGGCCCGACCTGCGCCACCTGAAGATCCTGAAAATACATGCGCCAAAACATCGGCTCGCGTTGGATCCACTCCTGCTCGCCCAATGTCCCACGCTGACCGAAGTCAAGGTCACGGATGAAACCTACGAGTACTCCAGTGAGGATATCGTCCACTGTCTTTCGGCCGCTTTGCCTGGCCTCACGAAGCTATACCTGAAGGGTTGGAGTGCTTTGAGTTTCCACCCAATGACACTCAAGTCAACTCCAGAGCTGACAACTCTAAAGTTGAGCATGCACCGGTCCGAGCATTGCTTTATCCCACCTGTTGCCGAGCTGAGCAGTTGCCGTGGTTTTTACGCGGAAGGGGATGGATCTCAAACGGCGTCAGCTATTTTGCTTGCTCAACCTCAATGGACTTGGAGTTGGCATTTGCCTCGTCTGAAGCATCTGGCGTTGACATCCGAGTTTGCCTACCGGTTTGAGTTCAAGATGCTCCAAGGATGTCCAGCTCTCGAATACCTTCGTTTACACATGAGAACTACTGATCGACACCATGCTCGAGTGATCACTGAGAAAGATCTATATCTCCACGAAAGACGGATTGTCGCACCCAAGCTGCGCAAGCTGTACATGAACGGTCGTTGGTTCATCGAAAGCCCGTCGGTACTGCTGCCACAGTTTCTTGGTCGGATGTTCCCAAAGTTGGAGCGATTGGTTGCGAGAGGGTGACAAAATGTGAGTGTGGGATCGTTGGTGGAGGTGGTGAAGGGAGAGGGGGGGCATATAAAGATGGTGAGGACGGATATGGAGGGTCCAGTGTCGGAGGAGGATAAACTGGAGATGGGGATGGTTCTTCGATCGGATGTGTATATGAAGCCGGATGAGTTTATGCACAATCGGTTCTTTTGTTCTGGGAAGGAGTATTTTATGTACTGGCGGTAGCATTCAATTGGGGAATTAGAATCAACGGCATGAGTTCAATTAATTGAAGAAGGAAGGAGAGAAAGGAGTGTTCCTGATGTTTCTGAGCTGCTTATCCCTATCGCATTAGAGACCATAAGACGACATGGCCGTTTTTTCTTGGCTTCGACGGTGTTGAGTATCTCTTTTGCCGAGAACTAGGCAATCCAGAAAGCAGAATAAAATTATGGTTGCTTATATATCGAATACAAAGAAAAAGGAAAGAAATATAGATGGTAAATAAGTAAGGGGGAATATGACTTGTGTATGAGAGTGGCTTTCTATGCTTCCTTTCTTCTTGTATAGTCACTAAAACATTGGCGTAAGGAAGAGTAAGGAAAACAAGGCAAACGACTGTCTTACTGTATTGAGGTGATATGATGAAACGGATAACTAAAACTGAGATCGTTGATCATTGATCATCGAGCAAATGGTGAGCACAGACCAGTGATCCACGTGACTTATTCTTATCCGCACCTTCACGGTGTTCAAGCCGTGAAAAGAAGGTCGGGGTGCGGTCAAGAACAGAATGGATGATGTGAAAAGATTATCCAGACCGGCAACAAAAAAAAGAAAGGGAGACCAAGGTAAGCGATTGGGAAGAAGAACAAAGTAAGCAATGAGAAAGAACAGGACGGGAAGAAGAGGGTAGAGTGAGAAACATTCGGTGGGGTGTGTGTGTTGTGTCTTATGAGAACACAAGCCAACGGTCTTCCCGCGTTATGCGTACATGAGGGAGAGGAGTGTTGTCTTAGTATTTCCCCTTCTCTTTGTTCCGTCCCTTCTGACCCTCTCCTCTCCTCGCTCCATTCCATTTCATTCCTTTCTTTCCTTTCTTTCCTCTTCATTCCTCTTCATTATTACTCTTCACACACCACAACAGCCAACAACCAACAATCAACACACTCCTTCTCTCTTTACTCCTGACAGACAGCCACCTCTCCCTTTTATTCACACACTCTCCCATACTCACCGACTAGCCCAGCCAGGATCACAACTGCACAATCCACCCTTTATCCCTTTGTCCCTTTATCCCTTTATCCCTTGCACATTCCCACATTCATACACACAGCAACACCCCCTCCTCCTCCTTCAGACGGACCACAACCCACTGCTCTTCACCCCCCCTGCCATACTCAGCCATGGTCTGCTGCAGGTAACACTTTTACTTTTTACATTCACCCCGCCATTCATTCATTTCATTCTTGTTCCCCTTTTGTCAACCCATAAGGTGTAATGACCCTTTTTTTCCTTTTCCTTCGTTGCTGTCAGTTTGTCAATTGCAACTGTGACCCTTATCCCCTCCTTTTTATTCAAGGCGTGTCTTATCACGAACAACCACCCTCCTCTCTATCTATCCATCACCAAGCGAGTCAGTACGACCACGAGGCTGAGCACGGGTATCAACAGCAGACAAATGAACTCATGGGAAGGTGTTTGTTTGTTTGTATGTATGCATGTCATTCACAGCAACAGCTGCAAGAAAGAACAGCTGCAACAAACCAACAGCTACAACAACAACAACGAAACAAAGCAACAAGCTAGTCAACAACAGCCAACCTTATTGTTGCACATGTGGAGGAATAAGGGCGAGGCATGTGTCTCCTTTCTTCTCATAATGTGTGTATGACCCCATGTGTACGTGTGGATGTGAACATGCCATACCCGCCTCTGTACCCTTGCAGGACTATACAAGGTTGCTGCTGTCTTGTCCGTTGGACTAAGTACTTAATAGTTAGTGCAATAATACGATCTATTCGTCCTGCCTCCGCCTGGGCTCAGTTCCTCTCTCTCACTTGAGTCGTCCTTCTGGCCTCCATCGCCTCTTCTTGTCTTCTTCTCCTCTCCTTCTCTTCTCTTCTCTTCATCTCTTTCTCTTCTCTTCATCTCTTTCTCATCTTCATCCTCATCACGCCTTCTCTCCTTCCCCTCGACGTCGCTTCTCCCTTCCCTCGTCACTTTTTTTTCTTTTCTTTTCTTCTATACCTTTCTATACCTTCTCACCCGCCCGCCTTCTCTCCTCCACCCTTGTCTCCACCTCACTCCCTCCCTTCTTACCATCGAGATGACTTCTGCATCGGTCGCTCCTTCTACCCCTTCCCCACCCCCGACGAGATCTCGCGCTGCCTCCATCTCGGCCTCTTCTCTCCACGGTCCTAACGGCACTATTCTTACTTCTTCTTCTCCTGCTGTCCCCCCTGTCCCTCATGCTCATGCCAACGCAACCCACTCGTCGCTCATCCCCACCAGGTACGTCAAGCACGCCTCGCTCATCAACAACTGCTACCCTACCCGCCCGGACGAGAAGGGACCAAAGTCGAGCGAGCTGTCGTACTTGGTCTACTACGCAACTGCTAAACCCGCCAAGCTCTCCAAGGTCGGCAACTTTATCGAGCGCCGAGTTGTCCGCGACTACCGTAAAAAGCGCCTCTCGTAAGTGTGTCCATGGTTATCAATGGTTCAATTGCTACTGTTGTCCGTCTTTGTTCTCCTTCGTTTATTTTAAATGTTCGTAATTGCTTCTTAATGCACATTCATTCATTCCAGAAGAAAAAGTGATACAAAATGACATTTGAGAGCGGGGCTGTACATGGACATGTACCATCCAACTGTGTTTGTGTGGTCAGAGCTGGCTTCCAAGCTCCGTCCCGCCTTGAGGACCCTCTCTTCATTCTCACACTTTGGGTTTTCAGCTGTTAATTCAGCAGAATACCGACTTCTTTTTTTTCAAAGTTTTTTTACCCTGAGAGCACTGCACAACCAATTTGTATCTGTTCACAACACTCGACAAAGCTTTCATTCTCCTCTACATACTCCCTCTTAAAAACTTCTTACAAAACAAAAAAATACATACTCCTTCTTGCTCGCCGCCCCCTTCTCTGTCTCTTTCTCGCTCTCCCTCCTCTACAAACAACTACAAAAAACATCGCACACATCCACCCATCATCCAATTTATCACAATTTGTGGCCCTTTTGCCATTCATTTACATGAACGACTACTGCAAAAGAAAGTTTTCGACCCAAAATAAATCAGCAGCTTCCTCCTACCCTTGTGTTTACCTTTATCTCTCCCTCTCTATCCATGCTCAACTTGCGACTAACAACTTCTCCCTTTCCCGTAATTCGCTCCACACCTTTTTCCTTCCTTTCAATGTCAATAGAGATGTGCATTGTTCCCTCGAGATCATCAAAAGCCTTTTGCTCTCGAGCAAAGCTCACTTGAATATCTTTTCCAAAAATATTGCAGTCATCCTCGATACCCTCCTCGTCGACATTTCAGACTTTGATATCGTTCGCCACTGCCAGATCGTCTTTTCTACTTTTTGCTCGGCCCATGATGGATCTACTCTTGGTGTTGACCATGAGTTCAAGGTTATCTATGATCGTGTCGTTGCCCGTTTCTCCTTTATCGCCACCCTTCAAGGTGAAAACACCAACCGGTAAGTTGGATTTGGTAACATACGAGAAGGATTGATGTATGGTGAGGGCGCGTGAAAAGCACGAACAAAACATGATCCTGCTCAATCTTTGTCCACAGCCAGCAGTTTCAATGTTTGGAGAATGGAAGGATCAATGGCATTTCAATCCTTTCAATAGAAAGGAGGTGTTCATCAAGCAGCATAAACTAATACACAGTTCTCTAAAATAAAATAGGTACAGGATGGAGGGACTGAGGGCGGTGAAGGGAGTGGTATCTTCGACGGCGTTGTATGCTTGCGACCCTAGAGCACAGCTGAGCTTGGTTCTGGCCCCAATTCTCGAAAGTTTGATCGACACCAAGGATGGATTGCAGGTGCCACTGGAAGAGAGCAAAGAGACTGTAGCTGCTTCTCCTCGGCCATCATCGTCAATCCAAGGAACTCTTCACCCCGAGATGGAGGTTACAGACGAGGATGTTACCGCCGAGGCATTACAATGTCTGAACGCTCTTTTCAAAACACCCAACGGCGCCAATGTCAAACTTGTCCTCCGACCCACATTTGAATACCTGGACGAGCACAGTATCTGGTGGCCTGCCAGTTTTGGCGTCGGGATCATCAAGGCCATCTTGAACGCCATCATGGGCCAGTACCGCTACATGGTCGTCAACGAAATCCTGACACTCAAGGAGAGCGTGGACGAGACAACTCCCGATTGGACACTGAGGCTGCAAAAGAAGGCGACGCTTGTTTCTACTTTGGAGGCTGTGATGGTGTCGCCTTTGAAACTTATCGGAATGCCTGTCTTAGAGGTGTTGAATTCTCTCTTGACGGGCCTCGTCAAGTCATTGTCCAGATCAGCCAACCTGTGCAAGGAAGGCGAATCCAGTCAGCAGATTGTTCTCGAGACTCTCATTCAAGACGGACTTGTCAGGAGTGTCGGTATGCCCCCTTGTCATTTGTTATATATCAAACACTCTGAATTGACGCTGCCAGCAGACAACTTATCTTACCCTTTCTTTGAATATCTTCCTAGGTGGCCTGGCAACTCACATATACTACGCCAACCAGGTGCCTCATATCATTTCGCACATCGTTGGTAAACTGTCGTTCAAGATTGGCGACAAGTCCCAACCAGAAACGATTGACGGTGTTCCCACAGTTGAGTACCGCAAGGCCCTATTGAGGTGCTTGACCGCAGTGATCAAGATGAGCAAGGACCACGGACGCCGGGAAGCAGGATTCCATGCGACCGACATCTCCACTGACCTGTTGACACCCTGTCTTGGACTCTTGTTGGACGAGAATGTTGGCGTCCGTGCTGCCTACGCACAGGCACTCATCACCTTCCTGGCCACCGACGATGATAACCATGGGCATGATTCCGGTTTGGGCTCACCTGTCGCTGCCATCTCGGGAGACCTCTACTTCCGCGCTGCCACTCACCAGACCTTGCACACGTATGCCCGCCTTCCTACAGCAACACCCACAGACATGGCAGCCATCTATGGTATTCTCCGAGCCCTGTTCACGCACTTCCAAGATGACGAGTTCATGCGCGTAGTACCTGTTCTGTTCTCGCTCCAGGATTGGTGTTTGCAGGAGCCTCTCGAAGGTGAGCCCGTGGAACCTCATTTGGTGGAGCGGAAGCGAGCCCTGGCGACCGTGATGGTTATTTATTTCCAAAAGGCGCTCGGAAGCTACGGGATGACAGAGCCATTGGAGTACCTGGACAACATCCAGAGCTCGCGCGAGAATGAGTCGCAATGGATCCCGATCTACTATGAGAACCAAGAGTCGCTTACCCGGACAACAGGACATCAATGGGAGACGCCCTCGGAGCCTCTGTCACCCATCTTGACCCATCCACTTGCCCGTGACCATCTGGTGACTCTGTTGACCACGGTCTCGGACCGCTTCCGAGCAGGCGCCGACCGGTTCAGCCTTGCCTTCACTCCCGAGAGCCAGTCCCACATGACGACCCTTCAGTCAGCCAACCAAGAATTCGGGAGTGGATTGTTCCCTCCCCCTCTGCATGGAAACCGTGGTATGCCTGGTCACCGCGCGGACCGTAGCATCGATAGCAGGATCCGTGTCTCGCGACTGATGGAGGATTGGGCGTTGCCAAAGATCACGCCCCTGTCGTCGTCATCTTCAGTCGAATTGGGTCCTGTTTCTGAGGAAGTTTCTAAGGGTGGCCTCAAGGACTCTGCACAGGCAACCCGCGACGGCAGCTTTGTCAATGGAGTCTATAGCCGGAGTGACAGCGCGCTCTCGCATAGGGCGATCGGTGTCGACAACCTCAAGGCTGCCCTTGCAGCGACGCCTGTGACCTCGACCGAGGCCTTGAACGAGGCTGGCGCTATTGTCACTGTCACGGGCGGAGATGGACGAGTCAGTGCGCCGGCTTTGCAATCCTTCTATGCATTGTCGACACATGCACCCATGTCGCGGACGAAATTGTCCTTGGGTGTTACGGGGTCAAATGTCTCGATTGCTTCTAATCTTGCAGCTTCACGTCCAGATCTGGCGGACCTGTTGAACAAGATTCAGGTCACTGTGCCTTCCACCAAACAGCACTCTCTCATTACCCCTCCTTACTAGTTTTTGTCCTATATGACACCCACGACTTTTCCCTTTCTCCTCTCTCTCCCCCTATTACCACCGCCACCTCAACCACCCTCGTTAATAAACCATTTCACTCCACTTTGCTCAAATTCCCTTGAAAATTGTAATGTTTTGTTTTCGTTTATTGATTTTTGTGCATCAAAAGTGCATGCATGCAATGTGGGGGGGGGGGGGGGGTTGATTTGTTAATGGTTTCTCAGCTGAGACCAAGGCCAATGATCGCCGACTTTTGAATCGCGCTTGCCGACGCCGGACTATTGCCTTCATTCTGTGAACTCTCTCTCGACTCTGAAGAGCTAGACGTTGTCGTTGTCGTCAATGTCGTTGTTGGTGCTGTCGCTGTTCGAGGAAGAGCAAGGGGACTGCCATTGGATGGAGAATAAGCAAGCGCAGCCGGAGAAGGAGCAGCAGGAGCAATCACCTGTGACGGTGGAGGGACATTTGCCAGAGGTGACATGCGCTGGAAGGAAGACTCGACGTTTGCCAGGACAGGTGGCGGTCTTGGGAAAGGTATACTTCCAAGTCGAGGACTGCTTTGTGCAGATTTCGAACCTCCTCCTCCTCCTGGACCAGAGGCCATCATCACTCGAGAATTGCTCATGTCGCTCTTGGACCCTCCTGAGGATGTGATCCCGCCAATCCTGCTGGACGCTTGTACATCACTGAGTCTGCGTGGTTTGAGAGCTCCAGTAAGTGGCATGAGAGGTGGTGGAGGTGGAAGAAACGCCGGAGACCGAGATCCGTTCTCCAGACGCAAGTCAGGGGATCCCATCCCCTGCTGATGACGAATAGACGGTACAGATCCATGAGACCCATATCCGTTCTCTGTCAACGAACCCGCCCTGGACCTCGAAAGAGCTTGGTCCTTGACAAACAATGGAGACGACGGCGTACGCGCAGGCCCACCCGACGACGACGACCATTCAGCACCACTATCCTGCATCAGAGGTGATCCAAGTGCAACATGGTTTGTGGGCTGATCAGCCTTCCTGAACTCTTCTGAGGTAGTCTCGTCAGGATCGCCTTCCAGAATACCCGTCAAGGTCGACGACCGTGACCGACTGACAATCGATTTTATCGCCACTGGAGCCTGGATCCTGCCTGCCAAGAGCGGAGCCAATGGTGGTCGTTTCCTCCGAGTCTGCGGCAAGTGTGAAAAGTCGGGTAAGGGTGCATGCATCCCAGTCGTCGTATTTGAAGTCGTAGCAGAAGTGGCTGGTGGATTAGTTGATGCAGGCGTACTGGTGCTGTTGCTGCTGTTGGCAGAGTGGGCGGCCAGAATAGCTGCATTATACTGCCGACGTGGCCTGGAGCTCATAAAGTTGGCAAAGTTGGGCAGAGCCTTGGGAGGAGGCGGTGGTGGGTTGAATCCAATCACAACTTTGGTCGCTCCGTGCCGACTGTTTGTTGGCGGGGGGGTCGCTATCTGTGGTATTGGGTTCTCCTGTAACGATCCGCCCAGAGCAGGCCATCGTTTCCTGTCTTCCTTGTCGTCCTCCTCTGCGGCAAACATCTCGGTCTTGACTCTGGGTGGCAGTGGGGCAAGCCCTGCTTCCTTGGCGAAATTCTTGTGGTAGGGCTTGTTGGTATAAAGAATCTCATAGGCATGAGGCGGCGGGCGAGGTGGCGGAGGTGGAGGGAGAGATGGTGTATACATGGGCGAGCCAAGAGCAACGACTGGCGAAGGTTGCTCCAATCCTCCCGATAGTGGTCCGCCATTTGTATGAGCCTCGACCAGTGTTTGTGGTAACGAGGCATCCAACGGCGTCCGTGGAGAATCGGACGTGACGGACAAGAGTGCCAACTCGGGCGACAGCTCTTGAGACTCTGTCTGACCTGCTGTCGCTACTGAGAGAGAAGTGTCCAGACGCAAAAGTGCCCTGGATACTGACGCCATCGTACGATCCGTCTCCTGAGGAGGTTCAGGGGTATCAGGGGCTTTGGCAGTTGGGCTGGATACCGCAACGGGTACATCCCGCTGTTGCTCCTGTGCGATGGGTGAGTCGACCGAGATGGGCGACGTCACCCCGCTCTGGTAAGCACCCACTCGTCCAGGACTTGAGAGCAATGCTGAGGTACTGATAGGCAGTGGCGGCTGTCTGAGCTTCCGTTCGGCTAGAGTTCCTTTGAACAATCCCGTGTCGTTGGCAACCGGAGGCGACGACTGCATTCCAGTGGGCGAATCATCCAGGCGTTGGTAGATCTGCGAGGATCCACTCTCCGAGTTTCTATAAGAAAGCAAGGGTGTGGTCATGACACGCCGATTGACTGCCGCAGCCGACCTCGCTTCTGACGAGTAGTGTGACCCTGATGGCAGTCCATACGGAGTCGTTGTACCAGATACAGCGCTAGCGCTTGCACTCCGTTTGCCAAAGGTGAATACCGTCGAAGAAGTTCCCGAAGGTGTTCCAGCTTTCGTCTTTGACTCTGCAATGCACTCTCCAAATCCATCCAAGCGATCCCACTGCGTGCCCTCAAACTTGACGTCAAAGAGCCCCAGGATGAATCGGCGAACGGGCAACCTGAAATGGTAGTGTGCCAACATGTCGAGAACGTTGGTGTACAATGCAAGACTGGTGAAGGCGTTTGGATGCTCCGATTTGATTTTTGCGAGGTTTTTGGACGCGCCGTTGGTGAGGATATGGTTGCCGAGTTCTCCAGTCGCTCGTAGAATCTCCTTCTCCACTGCGTTTCCTTCTGTCGTCAACGATAGCACCAGCTTGGGTATATCTTCCTTGAACAACGCCCACCGCGGCACCTATACCAGCAAGCAGAATGATATCGCAAAGGTCAATATCATGCTAGCAAAGTAGTCTTCATGCAAACAGTAGTCAGATTATCAATAGTCATAGCGTGGTCAAATACCTCCAGAAACCGGCCAAGATCCTTAGGCAAGCACAGACCTCGGGGCGAACGGTCCAAGTGCAATATGCCCTGCCAGCCATAATCTTCAAGTATCTCGACACCGTGCGTCGTCTTGCACAATAAGCCTAGTACATAGAAGCATGTTCTGTATCATGAAGTGATTGCAAGTTAGTTCCAATCACGATGACTTGAGATGAAGCAAGGGCATTCTGGATGCCATGGTCTTACCCTTTGATGGAGAGGATTTTGGATCTCTCGGCCATGCCTACAATGTACTTGATAAGGTCTTCATCCTCCAGGAACGGTAGACCTCCTGGTGTGGATCCAATATTACCCTAGGAATTTTGAATGTAGGGCAATATGTTATTTAACCGTTTCCGTAGGAGAGCCTTGATAAATAATTCTTCACGGAAGAAAGCAACATTACCACTGCCCATAGAATAGACTTGAGTTCGCCGATGATGTTTGGGTCCTTGGACTCGGCGCAGTGTTCGCGGATGTAGCGAGCATAGTCCGAGAAATGCCCCTTTGCACGCAGCAGCTGGCATCCTTCCTCTGTCTTTGTCAGCTCGCCATAAAAGTGGGATCCTAGCACTTGCTTCGCCCGACTAAGAATGGCATAAAAGTAACGCCAAGTTAGTTCAAAACAGTGGTGCGACGATGGGGTGATGCGCATAGAAATGGCCGAGTCAAAAAGATAAGGGGTAATACATACGCTAGCTGGTGCTCTGTTTCGTTCTCAAACCTGCCATCCTCGGAGAATGCGTTGTAACGCTGAAGTTCCATTGCCTTTGCCAGCTTCACCTCTGTCTGAATCATATATTGCCTGTTGGCAAACTATCGGATCAAACGAAAGGTGGACATGCGGTTAGTATGGACAACAGATAGATCCGTGGACACAACACGACAAGAACAACTGCTACGTACCATAAACCACTCGTCCATCTCTCCTTCGATATAGGAAATATCATGAAGATGTTGAAACCCCTTGGATGTCGAAAGGAATCGTAGTAAAAGTGGGCTTCCCGCTTCTCCTAGATGATCCAAATTTGGCCGAAGTCGAATGAGTAGATCCAGGTTTTTGTGGTGAGAGCAAGCATCGTCAAGTGCTCGAACAGCCATGTGGGAGACATCTGACGATGGATCGCAGAGCTATTTGAGTAGAGTACAAAAAAGTTCAATGCGAGATAGAAATCCTGTCATAGCAGTATCAAAGACACTTAACGAGCAGTATGTGGACAAAGGAGGCATAAAATGCGCCGCCTACGTACCTGGGTGTACAGGAGCCGGATACCCCAGTCGCTTGACTCCCCACGTTCAATTTTCAAAACTGTTCCGAGATGCTGTGTCGCAAAGAGACGAATGTGCTTGTACCCAGAAGTCATGATCTTGGATAGAATAACTCGTGGATGACCATCCCTATATCGTTAAGATGTGTTTTCCGTTAGTATCCGCGATGGAGTAGAACAAGACTTCATCCCACTACTGCTATCAATCACAGACACTTACATGCTATAGTCTGTGGAGGTGATGATCTTCTTGACAATGTCGTCGCGACTCCTCAACTCGGAGAGTCGGTAGTACAGGTTGAATATTTTGAACTTTTCCAGCAACCTACAGCGCCATGACAAAATACGTGGCATTTAGAAAGATCGAATCGTGTCATAAATCTGCTGTAGCAAATGTAAAACAAAGAGGGGGGCCGCTGACGAACCTGCAACCACTCCGTGTCCTGCATAGGGTGCCGAGCATCTCAAAGTATCCGGAGGTCATGGTCGTCTCCATTTTCTCTTTTGAGAAAATAGGGTCCGATCCTGGATGCCCTTGCATCTAGAGAGCAAAATGAGAGAGTGCAAGGTCAGTGACATTTCCACAATGGCTACACACTCATAGCAGTGACGCAAATGCGAATCGAGTTCTTACAGGGTCCAGTTGAGCGAGACCGTCGGCAATGAGCCGCAAGATCTTATTCTGAGCCAGGTACTTGGTTCCTTCCGTTGAATTGGCGAGGGTATCAAAAAGCGCACATCCTATTTTCGTGTACTTGTGGTTGTACTGTTCGAAAGTGTCAATGTTGAGGCATTAGCAGGTCAATCCGACAAGGCAGTCATGGCGAAGAAAAGCGTATACATACATCATAGGCTGGCTGACTGGAATAGCGATGGTTGAGTGGCCTGTAAAAGGCGAGTAGCCGCTTGGTAAACTTTGTGCCTCTGATCGCCTCATCCATTCTCCGTGGGCTAACCATGGGACCTTGAATGATCTCTAGAATCATATCCCACCGCCACTTGGAGACATCCTTGGTAGCGAGAACCTAGAAGCATTTTCGATATGTTTCGTAAGGACATATATCACGAGCAAAGGAGTAATCACGGTCGTTTTTTCAACCAAAGATAGCGCCCCACGAAACAAAATGTTACCTGCGTGTCGTTTAAGAGCGTTCTAAAGTTGGCTTCATCCATCTGCGTGTTGATCCTTTGCTTTATCCGATCCACGTTCCTCTGTCCACGACCATCATCCAGGCTGAAAAGCAATGCATTATGGGAACAAAAGAGGGTGTTGAATTAGTATGTGGTAATGTAGTGAGTCCGTATTTTTAATCCATACTTGCGGCGGCGTAATACAATGTCCTTGTAGACTTACCTTTCTGGAATAGAACTGAAAGTGGTCCTACAGAGAGTATCAATGAACCGAAAAGCGTTGGTGGCAACGTGGCGAAGAATTTGGTCCTCAAAGTTGGAGGCGACCTTGAACAATGACGGCAACGTCTGGAGATAGGTGCTCTTGTGTGGAGGCAACACTTTGTGGGAGAGCTGCATGAGCTCAGGGATCAGAAGCGTCGCCTTCCTCAGGACCTTCCTGGCATCCGTATGTGTTGTCTTTGCAAGCGTGTCGTCCACAATCAGCGATATCAAGGTCTAGTTGTGGGGTGGCACTTGCGACCGGTGTTAGTTCTGGAATACAAATTTGGTTGCACCACGCAAGAGGCGAGGTTACTAGCGAAGGTGAATACTGACAAGACATACCTCGATCAGCCCTGCATCGATGAAAACGGTGAGCACTACACTCTGGTGATGGTCCACCAGTCCGAGTGGCTGCAGGTTGTTTCCCCAGTACCTTTCAAGGTCCTCCTGTGTTGGTTTAACTTTTTTTTTTTTTTTTTTTGAAAGGAATCGCGGTTAGTTGTATGTCGACTTCAGCGGCAATGAAATGATAGGATTGGGACCATCCAGGCATCCAGGCTCTCCAACTTACTACTCTTCCCGTCAAGAAAATCCTTCAGCCATCTCGGAGTCTGAATCCGGAAAATATCGTACAGCATGTCCAAAAGCACTTTCTAAGCACCAGGAAGAAATTTGAGATGTCAGCATGATTCTACGATCCTTGTTCATACATTGTAGAATGTCGTGCCAGCTAAGATGTCCATGAACATACTCTGTTTTCTTGGATTGGCAGTTTGATGGACTGAATCAATGACCGGACAGCTCGGCGGTCGTTGGCGCAGAGATCAAACAAGCCAGCCCAAGACCGGACCATGGACGTAACAATGCGGCTAGATGCTTTGACTCGGTCCAGATATGCAGGTCCAAGAGAGTAAATATCCGTGAAAACCGCCATCACCATCTATGAGCATGGCGAGGAGAAAGGAGTGTTAGGCGGAGCAAATTTCTTTCCGAACAAGGTTCGAACCTGCGAGTTGCGATTTCTTATCTCTCTATCTCGGGACATGCATTACCTCAGAGTCAAGTCCCTGACGAACGTAACCCCTTGTCTCCGGACTCTCCAACATGTACAAAAAGACTTTCAACAAGGCGTCCGATAGGTCCTGCAAGTTATCCGACAATGCCATTAGAACAGCTCTGAATCCACCACAGCGAGCCACTGGTTTAGGATCAGACATGACTATTCATTTGCCAACGGAAAAGGAATAGTGAAGAATGAGTTCTCGCGATCGTTTACCAACAACACTGTTCGCATGTCACCATGCAAAGAATTCGCTAGTTCATACTCATCTCGCCCAGTGTCTCCAGGCAGGCATTCCTGAGTTTTTCGTCCGTCTGCTCCGCAATCGCGATAACGGCCCGTAATACACTGTCCGAAACGTGCTGCATGCCCTCCTTGGTCGTCACAAAACACCGTACAAGCTTGAGCGCCTCGATCCTTTCTGATTCCAACCGGTGATCTGCCATGAGTGACCTATGCAGTTGATCATGAATATGCCTCGTTGAGCTCTTTTGCCTACAGTAAATGCACCTTGGCCTTAAAACATTGTGCATTCCTGAAACGTCGAGGATACGTACCTGACGATAAAAATGTCGACCTTGTGATAAGTCAAGATCGGACCTAGAGGACCTGCTCCTGAAAGCAGTCGAAGACACCGATACGCGTTTAGGCGGATCTCCCTGACAGTACTTGCTAAGCAAAAGCGAAGACTGGAATGCATCGAAAGTTTAGTTAGAGTGTCCACCAACAGTTGCCATCATAGTCTATTGATTCGGAGCGCGCAGTATGCCTACCATCCGACAAGTTCCTGTAAAGGGTATCCGGGATGAATGTGAAGGTTTTGTTTCAAGATGTTGACGAGGTTGGATAGGTTCTCAAGCCGAACTGAAGGCGAATCCAAAAGACTCCATAGTGAACTGATAATGTCGCCCAATTGAGAGTGTATGCTTTGCCGGTCTATAAAGTGAGCGGTAGACAGAATGGAGGTGAGATAATTTGCTCCTGTTGCTTAGCTACTCGCAAACACGCATCCCACTTGCGAACGACAGCCGCATTCATACCGTCTTCATTGTCGGCATAGTCACTGGTTGAGAACGAGTTGGAGTGACTCCTTCCTGTTATCACTGGGAAAGATTGTTGGGATTCTTTCAGCACCTGCTCGGGCACATATCCTAGTTATAGAGAAGGGACAGTCGATATAGGTGAGCTCATGACGTCCCTTGAATGAAAAATGTACTCCGACGAATGCGCAGGTTTCCAGTAGACTCTGGGGCGCTTACCAAACGATGGAGGGTCAAAAGCGCGCTGTTTGTAGTAATCGAGCTGGGCATTGAGGTCTGATAACCGCTCAATGGTAGCCTGTAGTTCCTGTTCGACCTGGTTCCTGAGTTTGTTGTTCCCTGTGGCCCCCACGTCCTTGCTTCTGTAAACCTAATCAAGGATATAATGACGAGATGCTAGCCTTGTCAGTACTCCGTTATATCCTGGCCATGTGTCGCTTCCTGGTATTGTCAACCGGAGCCACTTACTTCCAGCAGACTCTCGGCAGACTCCTATATTGGAGGAAACGTGGAGAAGGATGAGTGAGACGCCAATTGAGTAATTAATTCTCTCGATGAACGAGTACGACAAAGAACAGCATGCCATCCAAAAGAACAAACCTTGGCTTTGGTTTCGACTTGAAGTTGGTGATATAGCTCGTCCATCTATATAATTGATCCATCAGGCCGGTTGGATTAGACATTTGTTAGTCTATACTGATTGATATCCATGTTATCGAAAGGGAACAAATGTCGTTGTATATCCTTTCATTTGAAATGTCCATGTTGATATTCGTGCTGTGGAAAAAGAAAAGGACGACGGTGCACGTCCTTTCAATTGAGTGGTCAATGATGGTGGCCATGGTGCAGAAAAGAAAGAGACTACGTTGCGCATCCTTTCAATTGGATTGTCTATTGCTGGTATCCTTGCTGTAGAAAAAGAGACGACGATGCTGTATATATCCTGCCAAATGAAATGAATGGCCGTTGTTGGTAGTTGCTTTGTACCTTTGTCTCCAGGTCGTCTTCTTCATCCTAAAACCAAGGAAACCAAAATAACAACGCGTGAGAAGGAGAGACGATGAGAGGAGTGAGAGAGAGCGCGCACGTATTATAATCCAATTGCATAGCTGCATATGAAAGGTCATTTTAAACGCGTTGAGTAGATAAGATAGATATCATGATTGGGGGTGCTCTATTACATCGAGATCTTGTCCGTCGCCCAGTTCGGGATCATAGTTGTCGGTTGTATCGGGGTCCGAGTCCTGCATGTCCGCGTCATCATCCAATGTGCCGATACCACCCTCGTTGTCGTCGCCCTGGGAGGTTGTCCAGGACGCGGCACCTTCTGTCACCGGCAAAAGTGGTGGAGAGGCGTCTCCGTTGAGTTCCATCGAGGACTCCATGATATATTGGGCGTGGCTCTTTGCCTAGTTTGAGCGGAGGGGCAGTCAAACAAGAGGGCAAAGCGTGAAGACGAAGAAAAGAAAGACTTGAGTGAAAGTGAGGAGGGTGTGATGTTCCAGACTCTGTTTCCAGTAAGTGCCTTGGCTTGGTAGGTGATGTTGAGTGAGGTGAGGAGTATGCCCCTGAGAAGGACAAGGATGTAGCCGCGAGGAGGTGTGAAAAGAAAAAGAAAAAAAAAAAAAAAAAGAGAGAGATGTGCTGTAGACCCTTGGTTTAAAGAGAGTTGATGCGGTTGTGGAGTGTGGGATTGTGATGATGTCTGGAGAGTGGATGAGGACTGAGAGATGGTTGGACTGGTGGAGGGAGAAGGAGAGAAGGAAGAGGGGAGAAGCAGGAGGAAGGAGGAAGGAGAAGGGGGAGGGGCGGTAAAACGACCGAGGAGAAGAGCAACGCAGCAACAGAGAGAGAGAGAGAGAGAGAGAAGGGAGAAAGGAGAGGGTCAGAGACACAGCGACAAGGAACACTCAACTTCACTCCCAGGCGGTGCAGTGCAGTCAGTCAGTCAGTCAGCGAAGGAAAAAAAAGTTCACAGCGCCAACGGGCGGGACAGGGGGAGGGCAAGTGGAGAAGGGAAGATCGCATATATTACTCACGTGATTTGTTCAATAGTAACACACCATAGCCCTTGAAGAAGTCGTTTTCATCGCACATCAGTCTTGATTTTTGACATGATTTTTTTTTTATTCAACGCAGACAACACCAGACGAAGCATATGTCTAATGATGCAGCAGGGCATGATGTACGTAGGAGTGAGAACTGCCAGTTTGAACATGAAAAGAAAGTAACTAAAGTACTGTACGGATGTGTTGCAACGACAATCAAAAGTACAAGAAAGTCGCAATAGTTGCATAGTCTTGATGGTGTCCTCCTCTTCCTGCAAGACGCGCAGGATAAGGAGGTCAAGGGGACCTCCTTAGTCAGAGGCGCCCCCAACCCGGGACTCGCTGTCAGAGTCGTCCGAGACAGAGGGTGAGGGGTAGGCTGTGGGACCCATCTTGTAGAATTTGCCGACAATGTTGTAAGCAGGGGGGAGGATATCGGCAGCAACGACGGGCATGGCTTGAGCAGCGACCTTAGGGTTCTCGCCACAGGCGCGGGCACAGTTGACCGAGCAAAAGGGGTGACGGTGGCCGTTGGGTTCAACGTTGATGGGCATGGAGCAGCCTGCTCGCTTGCAGTCGATTTGTCCAGGAAGGGCTAGTAAGAAGATGGATGGTGTTGTTGGTCAGGGTGTGGTGTTTTTGGGACCAAGGCAAGGAGTGTGGAGGACAGGAAGCATGTCTTTTATCGTTGATGGCTTCTTTCTTAGGGAGCTGGCATACCTTTGCACATGTTGTTACTTTTGTTTTTGCTTTGCTCTGCTTTGTGAGTGAGTGAGTGAGTGAGTGAGTGAGTGAATGAGTGTGTTGCGTGAGTGTTGGGATGATAAAGAAGAAGAGAAAAGGAGAGGAGAGAAGAGAAGAGAAGAGGAGAGAAGAGGAGAGAAGAGGAGAGAAGAGGAGAGAAGAGGCGATGGAAGAAGACAACGGCCCTTTTCTACTCTCTTGTGCACACACTTGCACACTCTCTCTCCGACTGCTGTCCCGCGTGGACGATGACACAGTGTTTCCGTCGATAGTAACGAGCATTGGTTGATGTGGTGATGATGAACATGTGTAGAGTGGATGGATGATAGCTGTGATGGCGCATGGTTATGATGGGGAGGATATGCTACGGTGGTTAGAAGAGGCAGCTTGTCAGTGATGGGAAGTGAGCCTGTTGCTGTCACTATGTTCTCTTCTGTGTAGTTAACAAAGAGACTCTCCTCTAGTGCTGGTATCAATCAATCGATCAATCGATCGTGTAGCTTTCCTACCCACCCGGAAAAGGCTGACGCGACTTCTACTCCAGACGCGTCCAACAACCTCTAGACCCTAGACAATAGACAGTATCGTAGAGCGCAGTCTGCATCTAAAGCGTCACTGAACAAAATTAAAACGTCTGGCGTGACCGTGAGCATTCTAAGGCTTTCTTGTGTGCCTGAATGAATGTCGACTACTTCTTCTTCCCATCCTACTCTCTTCTCTCTTTTCTCTCTTTTCTCTCTTTTCTTTCTTTCTTTCTCATCCATCTCCAACACTCTCATCCCTCAAAACAAGGGACCTCACCTTACTTCCATCTCTACCCCCCCTCTCTCTTGCCCAAGCCTTTCCTCTCCTCACCCATCACACTCACCCCCTTCGTCACACTTACTTCTCCCCCTTCGTCACACTTCTCCATTCTTCTCAACCGTTTCAACTGCAATGTCAAAGAGATTCCTCGCCAACATCTCAAAGTACAGGAACGCTGTCGGCAAGGCTGCCAAGCACGAGGTACCTTCCAGTCACCTGCATCGTTAACGAACCCGCCTGGTTTCGTTTTTGACAAAAGACAACACAACTGACAACAAAGTCTCCTCCGAATCCATTGAAACGAATTGGCGTGATAGGAAGCATACACGGACCTGAAGCCATCAACGACTGCTACAACCGACACCAGCCAGCTTGTCAAGGTCAGCCAGAACTGGATCGCCTACAAGCATGCCAGCCTAGGTATGATAACTATGAATTGAACCCATCCTCCCTCGCCCACCTACTTTTTTAAAGTCCTTTCTTCTCAATTACCTGCATCAATAATTAGCGACCCGATTCGGAAGGCGCACTATTCCTTAGATGCTCTCACATATATGCTCGGTCCCAATGGAATGGTGTTGTGGAGAGAACAGCTAACAAGGACTCATCTATTCTTCATTCTCTTCACGCATATAGGCACTGTTGGGATCTTACCGGTTGGAACAGTGGGGCGTGTTGGTGCCGATGTGCATTTGCTCAACGCCCACGGAGCTGGTGTTTCCGACTGGGAGTTCAGTCCTTTCGACTCGAACGTCCTTATTACCGGATCAGACAATGGCGAGGTACAATCATCGATCTTTTCTCAGCAGCCCTCTTTCTCCACAACTTCCTTGATGACCCCACTTACCCTAGCTTTATTCCGACGACATAGATCAAAGTGTGGCAGATCTCGACCGAGGGTGAATCCATCACGACTGAATTGACGGCAACCATTGTCACTGGAACGGGCAAGACTGTCGACGCGATCGTACATCATCCTTCTGCTCACGGAGTAAGTCTCGATATGCCGTGCACAAATGTCTTTACCTCACCAAGCCAACAATATCGATACTCACACAATCCTTTTTCCTATGTTGAATAGATTGTGGCAACGACGTCTACCAATTTGGTGCAAATCTGGGACTACACAGACAAGGCTCAGGGCGCTACAATCTCATCAGCAGCCCACACACTAACTCATACCAATGCTATCTTCAGCATGTCATGGAAGGGTGACGGAACACTGCTTGCCACCACCTGCAAAGACACCCAAATCCGTGTTTTCGATCCCCGCCTGCAGGATACTCCTATCCATGTGAGTAACATCCGGAGAGCTACAACAGCGAGGATTTAGGATAAACGTGAAGACGTTTGAAGCTGACCAGTCATTACACGCCCTTTTCAACATAGACTGGACAAGGACCAGCAGGAAACCGCCCTTCGCGCGTTGTCTGGCTCGGTGAAAAGGACCTGCTGTTCACCCTTGGGTTCAACAAAATGCGCGAAAGAGAAAACGCTGTCTGGAACTCAACGGACCTGTCACAACCATTGGAGATCAAACGTCTGGACTCTTCATCAGGAATTGCTCTGCCCTTGTACGACGAAGATACCTCTATTTTGTTCCTCCCATCCAGAGGCGAATCTATTATCCGCTGGATGGAAATTTCCGAGTCAGCACCCTTCATGACTGAAGGCATAGCATTCTCAGCACAGGGTCCTGTCGCAGGTTCCGCCTTCTTCCCCAAGCAGGTCCTGAAAGTCATGCAAACCGAGGTTGTCCGTCTCTTGACCGTCAACACCAACGGACTTTGGCCTATTAGCGTCAGCATCCCCCGCAGGGTAACGTTTTACCCTCTTGTCTATGTAACATGCTACATGAATGACATGTCAAAACGATGTATTGACAGACATGCTTTGTTGTACCTCCGTATTAGACCTACTTGGATTTCCATGCAGACCTATACCCCGAAACGAAGTCGGCTGTGCCGGGACTTGAGGCATCGGAGTGGTTGCAGGGAGAGAACACACCAGTTCCAAGAATGTCGCTGGATCCAGGAGCAGCAGGAAAGCCAGAGTGGATTCGCCGAGCGATCTGGACTGCCTCTCCAAAGGACACCACCCCTGTTCCTGCAGTCGTTCAGAGGCAGCCCACTCCCGTCCAACCCACGCCCAGTCAACAGAAAGCGGCTGATCCCGTTACGCCTACCCCGCAGGCCCCAGCAGTGGTACCTGTTTCGCAACCCTCAAAGCCGACCTCTGAGCCTGTTTTGGCTGCTACAACAGAGTCGATCACTACTGAAATCTCAAGCCTCACGACATCTCAACGCACTCCTGCCTCACCAAAGGCAGAGGAGTCTTTGCCTACACCAACACCATTGACCCCTAAGGCTGTTGTCGACAACCGGCCTCATAGTGTCTCCACCCAGGCAGGAAAGACTTCACCACCACCTACAACACCCTCTACTGCAACACCTGTCAGAGCCTCGCCTCTTGCTTCGCGATTCGGAGCCCAGAAGGCGTCTAGGTTCCGTTTCTTGACCTTCAAGCCATACCACATCAGCGAGCATTTCGACAACATGTCTGGACTCAGCATCAGCACTGCCCCAGAGTGCAGCATGATCGAGGTAAAAAACGCTGCTTCTTATTTTCTAAAGTGTGATGGAATGTGATGACCGTGACAAATTTGATTAACTTCTCCGTTTTTTTTCAATCTCCACGAAATAGGTCAACCCCAAGTTTATTGCGCTGCCATTGAACGGAAGTGGCGGACGCATCGGTATCTTGAAGACGAGTGAGCCTGGACGTGTGGGAACCAAGATCCCATCGCTTGTCTGTTCGTCCGACCTTACAGGATTCAAGTTCGATCCTTTCAATCATAACCTCTTGGTCACAGCGTCTGACGACACAAAGATTAAGGGCTGGATCATTCCCGAGGATGGCATTGATAGTGAAAACGACGCTACTAAGCCCGACTGGGTGCTCTCTGCCCCATCCATGGACAAGATCTCGTTGGTCCTTTTCCATCCTCGCGCCAAGGATGTGCTCCTGTCGGCCTCTATGGATCGCAGCGACCCTACCATCCGTCTCTGGAACCTGAAGACCCAGGAGGAAAAGCTCGCTATCAAAGGACACAAGGACGTGGTATGTTTGCTTAGACATCTCAATCAAGAAATGGTCGTAAGAGTCACCATTAAGCCCAAGATCATGATATTTACACCTTTGTCATTCTCACTTTTTTGGGGTTATAGATCTTTAGCTGTGACTTTAACCACCAGGGCGACAAGATTGTGTCGGTGTGCAAGGATAAGAAAATCCGAATCTGGAATGCATCGACAGGAGCCTTGATTCAGGAGGGCAAGGGACATGACAGTCTTCGCTCATGCAGGGTTCTCTGGCTCGGAGAGTCAGATGTCATTGCCAGCGTCGGTTTTGGCCGGTAAGTAATCCTGTTTGCCACGTTTGTCGCCACGACAAGTTGAGAGTGCTGCTTTAAGGAGGTTTGGCTAACATAGTTGTCGTTGCTTTGGTGTAATAGTGGAAGCCAACGGGAGATCTTGCTGTACGACTCTAACGATCTTGGAAAGGGTTCCATCGAGTCGAAGAAGATGGATGCCTCGCCTGGTATTCTTGTTCCTCACTATGACTCTGACACCTCGGTGCTCGGCATTTCGGCGCGCGGGGACCGTGTTATGAAGCATTTCGAGATCGATGTGACTTCTCCAGCAGAGTTCTCTGGAAAGAGTCGGTTTGTCGACGTCGCCAGTTTGGAGCAAGGATCGTTGCAGCAGGATGTTGCCTACCTCCCCAAGCGGTACTGCAACGTCAAGGAGATCGAGCTCGCCAAGATGTATCGTCTGACATACAACAGTGTTGAGGTCATCCGAGTGAGCGTGCCTCGCAACAAGAAAGAGTTTTTCCAGGACGATTTGTTCCCGGACACTGTTGACGTTGAAACTTCATCTCTCGAGGCTGCTGATTTCTTTGCCGGCAAGGGCCTTGATGTCCCACCACGAAGAATCAACCTATGCCCCTCCGACATGGAATCCCGTAAGTCTGTGTTGCTTTTGGCGCCGCAGTGACATCTACGCATGTTTTGCCAGCACTGATACTAACATGTTCTCGTTTGTAACTAATAGTTGCTCATCACCAGGAAATGACACCAGCGACGCCTCAGAGTTCAACCAACTCGCTGGACAAGTTTTTGCAGGGAAAGCAACAGGCAGCCGAGGATGACAGGAAGAAGGAGGCGATGGAGCGCATGTTTGAGACCGCCAAGGAATCCAAGGCAGACAGGGATACTCTTGTCCCTGACACCGGCATCATTGCCGACGATGAATGGGACGATTAGAATATCTTCACACACACACACACGCGTTGATTCAATAAAACAAACAAGCTGTATTTTATTATTCTGGCTTTTGTTGCGCTCATTGTTCTGCAAGAAGCTTTTCAATGTCTTTAGCGATCGATGTGGGTGATGTGGCGGATGAATATCGTTCGTAGACGGTGCCATCCTTACGGATTAAAAACTTTTCAAAGTTCCACTTGATCCTTGTCAAACCCATTAGTCCTGACTTTTGTGACTTGAGGAACGTGTAGACTGGGTCTTCGCTCTTGCCGTTCACGTCAATCTTGGCCATCAAGGGGAAGGTCACCCCAAAGTTGACCTGACAAAACGATTCAATCTCTACTCGTGATATTATCAACGAGAAGTGAGTCGGGTTAATGCTTGGCTCAAGGCAGTTTACTACCCAGACCATCGAGCAATCACGGCCCGAGGATTAGATCTGTACCTTCTTCAGTCCCAGGTTCCTTGTCGGTCGCAGCCATAGTGAATAAGTATTGGCGTGAGTAAGAGGTAAATACGTTTCACAGACAGTCATGCCATAATAGAAAAGTCATGACAAGTACATATTAAGTGGTCATACCTGACCTCCAAACTGGTTGCAGGGGAAACCAATAACGGTGAAGCCCTTGTCCTTGTACTTTTTGTAGATCGACTCTAGTTCGGCGTACTGGTCGGTAAACCCACACTTGGAAGCGACATTGACAACTAGGATGACCTTGTTTTCAAAGTCGCTCATGCTCACTTCCTGGTGACGGTTCCCCTTTGCCTTGAGCTCGAAAAAGTTGGTTGTTGGACCGCCGTCGTGTTTGGTGCCGTGAGTATGGCTGTGGGTGGTGAAGGCAGCTCCTGCTCCTGCGCTTGCAAAGGCAACTCTGGAAGACAGGACCTGGTTGGCGGTTGCTTGGCCAGAAGCCCTGACTCTGATTGCGGTGGTGCCAGCGAGAGTTCTTGTGAAGAGGAGTCGTCCTGCGGGTGCGCGTAGAGTCTTGAATGAGTTCATGGCAGTGGTGTTGTTGGTGTGTGTCGGAGTTGACGAGAGAAGTTAAAAGGCGCGTCCGAGGTTGACCATAGGAATTTTAATTAAAAAATCGTCACGGAAATATTTGTCTGAGCATGTGCTTCGTGACCCAAGGAAAAGCGCAACTCTTTTCAATTTTCAGTTGAAGCACTTCTGTCTCGTTCCTCCTTTTTTTTTATCCTTTGCTTGTTGATCGACTCTCTTCTCCTCTTTCCCTTTGACAGAATCACCCTTTATTACACACACGACAAAAGTCAGGACAGGGACAATAGACACGGACAATCAGACAAACACCGGCCAGAGAGAGAGAAACATCAACACTCTCAGATTGCCACAGCACTCGTACATCCTCACCCTCGAACGTGTGTGTGATTACCTTACCTTGCTTCCTTTACCCATCGCCACCAAACACAACACATCAATATGAGCTTTGAGGGCCTTGAACGCTTGCTCGTTGGGTCAGTGCCCACAGCTTGCGCCAACTTGACCAATCACCTGAACCAGTGTTTCGAGTCGGACGTCCACGCGAAGAGCTTCTACGAGTTTCTCCCCAAACTCTGCCAAATTCTCTATGGTTCCAAGGAATCGAGGTAACCTCAGGATACAACACGGAAACAAGGATCAAACACGTCGAATATAACTACAGTCCATGAACAGCGACTAACGCAATGTTCATCTTCATGTTGATTGTCGATAGGGGTTGGCTTCACTTGCCAATGTCCAAGGCAGAGGAGGATCCTCTGTTTGAGCTGATTCGTCCTCGAGGGGTGCTCATGCGGTTTTTGCTCAGCCGATACATGGATCCCGCGTTTATCTACGAAATGGTTCCCGACTCGCTGCCTGTATGAACTCTCTCAACCTCGAATTGGTTGTTAAAACAAGAGCATCGTGATCCTCGAATTCAGGAACTAATCGGCTTTCGTACGATATAACCTTCTTGACAATTAATTAGAGGCGAACGCAAACAAAGTTGGATCCTACGCAGTACCTCAACCTTCCACCAATCTATCTCACACGCGTCAACTTGGTCAAGACTGCGGCACCCGTTGGTGCCCAAAAGACCATGACCACCATCACCAAAGTCAACCTCAACTTTAGTACGTGTCTTTGCAAATCAAACGCGACACGCAGAGCTGATTGGTACGCGAACGTGTGTGCGATTGATTTCTGCCATCGGACTACTCACAAATAATCTTTTCGTTCAACATTAAATAGACATGCTGGAATACTTTTTGTTCTACTTTGCATACGCTCTCACTCTGGATGACGACGATGTGAACTTTCGTGGAATGCGGAGGGTAAGGACCAAGGCTTGTTGTATGCGTCTTACCACAGTTTCCTGGACACGAGCCTTGAGGATAGAGCGGTGCATGGCTGATGCTGACAAAACTCTTTCTTTGTTTATAGACTGATCCAAAGCTGGCGTTCAAGATTCACGGACCTCCGGCAAGCGCCACCCCAGGAGCAGGAGCACGGCCGACAGGATGGGCAGCAGGAAACGCACCACCTCCCAAGACGCCCGCCTCCCGCGTGTTGGTCGATGGCTCATTCTTCAACCTTTATCAACAATACCTCCACTACTTTCTCCCTGTTCCCGAGCGCCCTCTGGATTCATCTGCAGAGAATAAGGAGGTTTTGGCTAAAAAGCGGCCATTGGACGTATTTAACGACACCGCCATCGAAAACTCTGCAGACAGACAACAAACACATCTCGGCATCTCGGAATTCTTTATCGGAACCATTGTCGAACTTTGGCTGGGACAAAATGACAAGGGCGTTGACAACCGGGTAAGGCTACCGGGACATTTTGAGGGTTCGGGACATGTTGTTACTGCTTTTTGGTTATGTAACCTAACCCATCTTTGCGTACACTCCTTGTCCGAATAGGTGGTACGGTATGTGCAACCAGGAGCCGATATTGCAGAGTGTGTCAGCGTCTTGCTATCACATCTGGCAAGCCATGACTGCTCGCAGTATGTTCTTGGCGGCGAGCTTCTCCCCACACACGTGCCGGATTCAACGGGAAAGATGGTCTTGAACGTTGCGGGCATGGCAAGGAAGAGCGCCTACCAGTACATCCGGCCTCAACTCTACACATTCCTCCAATTGGCACTCCAGTTTTGGCCTTTGGATGACACATTTCCCAGTCTTATCGATACTTGGCTGACATGGATTACACCTTGGCGTTACGGCCGCCGTGACGCTGCAGTCGCAGGCGATACCGTTTCCGAGAAATGGTAAGCGTTTGGCTCATTGTACCACCCACCAGGTCTTTTCAAATGCGACGTCCTGTGATGATGCGCCCTACTAATTTTGTCTGCACTAATTTCATAATTCCATTGTGAATAGGCAGCCGTTTGTTTTCGACAATCTCATGTTTTACACTGTGTTACTGGAACACTATATGCCTCGCCTTTCGAATGCGCCTCAGACCAGTCGAGTGGCTATTGTGCCCGCGCCTCTATCGCTCAACAAGGAGTTGCGATCGATCCAAAAGGTGATGAAGGTGTACAAGGCCGGGAACCTCAAGGAAATTTTGAAGATTGCAGAGCAGGCTATTGTTTGGCCCGAAAACTTTTCTGCGTCGTCATATGCAATGTTCGAGGCATTGGCGGAAGGGGGTGTTGCGGGGGGAGGACGACAGGATCCTACGTCCACTTTCCTTGCAAGCATGGTGAATGTCTTGCACAGACAGTTGCAACAACTCGAAGGAACCCAGTACAAGTATGAGGCACTTTTCCTGGTAGAAGGAACCGCTCGCAGCAAGGTACTTTTATGCTCCTGGTGATAAGACATTAGATGAGATAATTGTGTACATTGAGCTGTATAACGCGCAAACAGCTTCTAACGTGCTTCCAACTTATGTACATGTACTAGATCCGCATGATCTTGACAAAGCTTGGAAATGCTGTGGATCTGAGACAGGAACGCCTTCAGGTGCTGGAGGCCAAGAACAAGCCCTCAGATGAACCAGTGTCTGGCTGGGATTTGGTGTCATCCAAGATCAATGAGCTCATGAACCCAGCACCACCCAAGACGGTCTCTCAGGACCCAACGATCTACAAGCGCGAGTTGAAAGCACTGCGGGATACGATGGCCATTGTCGGTGAAGTGTTTGATCTTTTCCCGGAGGCTGTGAAGTCGTTTGAGAAGCAGCAACAAACCGGACCAGATCGCATCAGCACATTGACGGCGGAGCAATTGGAGTCGCTTATCCCACCTCTGGAGGAATCGGAGACACTTGAACTTTTGGGACCTGAGCAACAAAAGATATATGTGCCACGCGGCCTGGTGAGGAAACCAATTGGCGATATTCACGGACGAGGACGTCGCGCACAAGAACTTGTCCTTTCCTATGAGAGTGAATTCCTTGTCAACTTGACCCGCAGGGCAGAAAACCATTTGACCCCCAAGGTATGTGCTTATACCCGGTTTGCATTTTGAGTGTAGCTTGCATTCATCACCACATGTCAAGTTATCAGTCTTGTGTTAACGAGTACTTTCTTCTCTTTTGTTTATTGAATGTATGAAATATAATAGTGGCAGAGGGCGGTGAGGAAGGTGAACGGAGTGATTCCGTTGCCTGAACGAGTCAGGTCGAGTCGGGTACATTTGCGGTGGTTGGCATCAATCCCGAACCTGACTTGTTTTGCAGTGTTGGTGTTGGCGATTGTGGCATTTTACGGATTGTCGGCTTACTTGGGGTCCCTCGGACAGTCAGGAACAGGAGGAGGATTGGCAGGAGGAAGACAACAACACCTTCATCAGAAGCCGTTTGTCAACATGCCTACTGGCGACAATGACCGAGGGATGTTGGGTCAATACGACGCCCATGTTCAGCCTTTGATCCGATGGGAGAAACCAGGACAGGGATCATCGGGTTCGCATATGAAAAGCAACAGGAACAACAACAATAATAATCAGCATCGCCAACATTACCAGCACAACAACAACCATCACCATCACCACGACCATAATCAGCAGCAGCGACAACGGGCGACGCGGACACAGACCCCTCCCCCGTCGTACACGATTGAGCTGCAGGAGATTTGAAGAGTTTCTGTGTCTATCTGGGCACCCATTGATTTGGTAATATGCCCTTTTCCTCCTTTTTTTTTCTTTCTTTCTTTTTGTTGCAGGCATGGAACGAATAAAACAAAACAATGTTCACACGCAAATGTTTATTGGTGGATGTAATTGGAAGAGTGGTGAGTGTCTATGGATGCGTGTGTCATGATGATTTTAAGGTGTGTGAACTGACATTAGCAAAAGCAACAACAACAACAACAACAACAACAACAACAACAACAACAAACATCGACATCGTCATATCGGAGTTGACCTTTAGTCATGGTGCGGGTGCATGGAGAGTGAGCAAATGCGCATTTTCTTTGATCCTTTTTTGACTTTAGAATATTCCCTCGTTAAGCTTTTTTATGATTTTCAAGAACGACAGACAGTTCAGGAGAGAAGTGGCGCCGGTCCTTTTTATTCTTCTTCTCTCTTTCTTGTCTCTTTGTCCTTCTTGACCTTGCCCCCTCCTTCCTCTTCCTTCACTTTCCCACCCCGCCTTTGCTGTTGGCTGCCAACCGACTCATTCTCATCAACACTTCCTCTGACAACCCCTCATCTCCTCCCTCTCACACATTCATTCATCATACCCAGGGCACCACTTTACCACTCTCGCACACTCCCTCGCAGACCCTGCCTGCACTCGCACCTCACAGCCGGGAGCAGCAACAACAGCAACAGCAACAGCAACAGCAACAGCAACAGCAACAGCAACAGCAACAGCAACAGCAACAGCAACAGCAACAGCAACAGCAACAGCAACAGCAACAGCAACAGCAACAGCAACAGCAACAGCAACAGCAACAGCAACAGCAACAGCAACAGCAACAGCAATAGCAACAGCAACAGCAATAGCAATAGCAACAGCAACAGCAATAGCAACAGCAATAGCAACAGCAACAACAATAGCAACAGCAACAGCAGCAACAGCAAGGAAAAGGCTATCGGTCTCACAGCAAACGACCTTCTACTCTTTCTTACGTCTTCATGACCTCCTTCAACTCGGCGACGGCCATCACCAACACCGCCCCAGACAACGCCGTTGTCGACATCCCAGTCAACACCAGCAGCGATGACTCCGACATCAAAGTGGGTTACATCTCACCTTCCATAGACACCATGATCCCAACCCTTCGATTCATGATCCATAGAAAACTCAGACGCAAAGCACATGGTAACTCACCTTGCTTCGCTTGTAATCATTCTTGCACCCCCTTGCAGGGAACAGGACCAGTAGTGCTGACACTAATATCCAATTGGGATCAATTTACATTGCTCACCGGAGATAGGTCAATACAGGAAACATAGTACTCGCCGATACATTTTCTCTGCGATTGTGATAGCGCTGTTCATGACCCTGGTTGGAATTGGTGCGCAGAAACTGGAGCTGGCGACCAGCTGGCCAGAGCTCGGCCTCATTGTCATCCTGCTGCTGGTCATGATCTACATTGTTGTCAAGGTCTCTATCATCATCCGCTGGTGCTTCTACTGGTATGTTTTTGTGTGTGTGTCTCTTTGTCGTTCAAACCCCGCAAGACAGCCTCCCAAAGAAAAAAAAAAGTTGCCATGCTTTCTCCCTTGAATCTTTATCCTCATGCCCAATTGGTCACCGAGGATGATTTCCGCCAAGTCAACAGCCTGCCCTGAACATTTCACAGCTGAAGTTAACAATGGGCTTCTCTTTTTCTTTTTCTCTTTGTCTTTAATTCTCGGGAGCCACACTTCTAGGCTGGTCTTGGCGACGCTGGTACTATTCGCAGTCAATCGGGGCCAGCTGTCCAATATAAACGGGACCACCAATGCACCGGACGACAAGAGTAACCTCATCGCCAAAATTGTGGTCATCGTCTTGGCCTTCCTTGAAGGTGCCACCCTCAGTGTCGTTTTTTTCCTTCGTGTCGCCTACCCAAGGATTGTCCTGCGGGCCAAATGGGTCAACAGCCGCATGTGGTGGAGAATCAAGGAGACCCCACTACCCCTGTCAAAGAGTGTCAACTATCGCACCGTGATGTTTTCGTATGTCTCCTGGGATCCTGATGAGTACCGCCTTTCCAGGAGCTCAGTCTCCTATGTCGGCGAGTTTGACGATCAAGGTCGCCCCCATGGTCTTGGTGAATGGACCGATCACACTTTTATCGGTGAAGCCCTCCAAGGTGAGTCTTATTGTACATATCTCAGTCTTGCCACTAATGTATTATATGATGCTCTTACTCACATACTCTCGTCTTATCACTGTCATAGGAATCTGGGAGCATGGTGTGCCGGTCGGACCTTTCAAGAGTCAGGAGTATGGAACTGGCAACGCCTTTTGCAACATCAGGATCGGATTCTGCAAGAACTCCATCGACAAGAACGACTCGACCGCATTCAAAGCAGCTCGCGACCCCAACGGACCTTCCTATGGAGCAGCAGCAGTCGAGTGCTCCGTCTCTGGGTAGGCTTGATTGTCTGCTGCAATACACTCTTATTGTTTCTTCATTTCCAACTGAAAAAAAACCTGAAGACTAACTTTTAGTGCCTTCCCTTTCCTCTGAACCAAACAGCAAATTTTTCCACCACTTGCCGTATGTCAAGATCATTGGAGACGGCGTTCTGAGATCGGAACTGGAGCAAAAGGCAAAGGATGATCTAGAAGCGCCGACTATACCTCTTTCATACCCACTCTCGTTTCTCTCCACATTTGTTGAGAGTCTTCAGAGTCGTCCTTCCATCCGCGGCAGCTTTCATGGGACGGCGTCACCCCGCAGCGCACCCCTCTCAAAGTCAATCGTCGTTCGGTACACAGACAGGGGCATTTTCATCCCAGGATACATCATGAGCAGAAGGGGAACCAATGTCAACGAGGTCTCGATCAGGCGCATCTGTCCGCCACATCTCGGGCTGGAAGGCGAACACCTGGGGCATGGCGATGTTCACGACTCTGCACCAGGAAATTCAAAGACAGTCCCTCTGTCCACATTACTCTTGCCCTCACGTCAAGATGGGTCGAGCTCTGCCAGTGTTGCCAGCGATGACTCGGACTCTGGGGTCGACAGACAGGGGATCCACAGAATTTCGTCTTCTGGGAGTACAGGAAGCGATCAGGGTCGCTCGATGGACAAGGCCAGGAAGAGGCGACTCACGCAGGCTGGACTGGCGGTTGATGGATGGCGTCAAGTACTCGACATCGATGGACGTTCTTCCTCAGCAGTCGCTGCGTCTCGCGCAGGATACGAAGCACTCATCTTTGTCCACGGATATAACTGTGCCTTAAGCTACGGCATTGGACGACTTGGTCAGCTCTTGGCGCTGGGAGAGTTCCCAGCCTATATCAAACCATTCGTCTTCAGCTGGCCTTCGTCGACGACCATGGGCTATTTCACAGCAAAGTCGGTCGGCTGCTCTGACGATGTCGCCAACGATCTTCGACAGTTTATTATCGACCTCAGGGAGGCAGGCTTTCGACGAGTCCATATCTTGGCACACAGTATGGGTGCACGTATTGTTCTGTCGGCACTTCGGAAGGACTACTTTGACGGTGTCCTGGCAGAGCGCGAGGTTGTTGATCCAGAGCAGTCGATCATTTCCAATGAGGACAGCAAGACGCACCTGCAGGGGCGCAAGTCGGTCAAATATCGGGATCGTCCACGACAGCGGACCAGGAGTGGCCACAGTTTGACGGAGGAAGAGGATGTCGGTACCATTCAACTGGCGACCTTTACACTGCTCAACCCTGATGCGGACCTGGATACTTTCTTGGAGGAGGACTATTGGACGCTGTCCAAGTACTGTCCACATATTACTCTGTATGCAGATGCACACGATGGTGCGTTGTTTTGGAGTGAGGTCCTTGGACGAAAAAAGTCACTGGGAAGGCATCCTCGGACACTGGTGTATTCGCCCACGGGGGAGGTGTTGGATGTGGATGTGATTGATACGACCAGTCTGGATGTCAACATTCATTCGATCCGCCACAACTTTTTCAACTTGAACCGTATGCTAGTGGACGACCTCTATGATGTGGTTGTCCTTGGTCGTCGCGCCACCGAGCGTGAGGCCAGACTTTCGAGCCGGTGGACCTTTGCCGATGACGGTACCGAGAACGGTGAGGTCTATACCTTTCTTTGTGCGCCCAGTTATGTTGTCAATAAATAACAGGCATGCCCTCGATTTTTTTTTCACTCTTTCGGAATTAGTTTATGCTGTCTCGTAGGCCTGGGGAAAAGGCACAGGCGGTGGCGATCTCATACATTGTATGTGTTGGTATTGTGTGGGTGCTCACATGCGTCTTCTGTGACGTAATATGCGCGCCCATTCTCCTTTTGACGTCCTTCATTATTTCTTCCTACATCACCTTCCACGTCTTCCTGATCACTATAGTCGTCTCTTCAATCCGGTAAGCGTCCTATCTTCTATTGAATATTATTCATCTTGGGTTTTGGCAATTACAGGTGTTTCCTTTGGACCTTCCGCTGCGTGTACTTCTATGTATCAAAGCCCATTTGCATTTTCCCTTCTTTCCGTGACATCACTGTAATCACATTTCTTCTCGGGCGTGAGGCAGTCCACAATCACGGTCAAAGACTGCACTGTCAGGCGCACGCCTACGGCGGTCGCTAGGACGGCTTGATAAGCCGTTTTTGGTTTTGACTAAGGAGCGCCAGATGATGTTTGGTGCCAAAGGTGTAGTATCTTCTTCCGAAAGCCATCGCCAGGGATTAGGAAGTCGAGTCCTTTTTGGAGTATCTGTAGTTATTACACTTTTCCATCATTTCTTTCGGGTGTGAAGCAGTTCGCAATCACGGTCAAAGACCGCACTATTAGTACCAGATGATATCTGGTGCCAAAGGTGTAATATCTTCTTCCAAAATCCATCGCCAGGGATTAGGAAGTCGAATCCTTACAATTTCTCCAGCATTTTGTTCAGGATGCCGCTAATGCACCATTTCGTTCAATTCTCATATACTGTTGTCATCATCGTTAGACTCATCCACCATTATCCCAGCAACATGTTTCCCGCTCTAGTTTCGGCCGTTGATATCAAAGTCGACATCGCTATCGAAGGGCTACATGGTTTCTTTAATGAAGAGCATCCCACACGATGGACCCCGACACACTTCGCTACTCGACCAGACGCAACAGACTATATGGACTGCATACGAGGACTACACAAAATTAAATCCAAAGGCCTACCGTCCTTAAGCACGTATTGCAGCGACATTATCCACTTTTTGCGGAAGGATCCTGACGGCACGGAACAAGTTGAACAAGCGAAGCTTTCAATCCGACTCAGAAATTCACTACAAACGGAAAAGGAGGAGGAGCTAATCTTCAAATCAAAGGTGTCAGCTAATCATCTGAAGCGTAGCTCGGAGCAGGTAATATAACTTGTACGTCTTGTCTTTGCGAGTTGGATTATTTTCTTCGAGATGTTTCTAGCGCCCAGTATGCCTGTAGGAATGCAATACAGGAACTCGGACATCGCGGAAACCAAAGTCCAGGAGTCGGTTTACAGGTAAGGTCAATTGTTCATGCACAGCTCCACTCAATGATACGACTTTTTCGATGCTTCAAAGAGCGATGTGTCACTGGGACTCACATTTCTTATTGTTACAATTGTCGCTATTACTGATGAAGTCCAGCCTGAACGAACAAGTGTGGCCCCATGTCCTGTGGGCATAAGATCACCAGTGGAAGCAGGTATGTCTTGTAGCTGTAATGGTTATGTTGTGTGATTCAAGTACCAAGTTAATTAATTGAGTTTTACTTTTTTACCAGCACTGATGCACAACCATCTCTCCAGTCCATTGGTTAATGATGACAATGCCGTCTTGCCAAAGACGCCATTGAACAGATGTGAGTACAATTTGCACAACCGCCAGGACAAGATGTTTCTTTGTTTTATTTACTGATCGTGCTGACGATTGTCTGCACTGTTTTTTTAATAGCTCCTTCTCCTATGCCCATGCCCACCGAGACTGTAGACAGCCCTCCGGAAGTCTACACTGCTGGACAAGAGAAAACCCCCTTCCAGGCTTGCGAAGATAATGATGACGAAGAAGACAGTAGCAGTGCAGATGCTGGAGATGAAAATTACCTCCTTCTGCCAGACAACAGGGATCATGAGTCAGAACATTATGAAAAGGCGTGAGAAGAGACATGAGTCCACACGTTAACAAGGCTCAGTGATATTGAGGTACAAAATTAAGAGTGGTGACTTGGGTCACTTCCAGGCTTTCCTACTTCCTGTCTTCTACCTTATTATCATATCTCACCGCCTAGCCCTTGCGCATTGACACATATCCTTTATTATTCTCATACACCACCCCAGACGTCCTTCATTCAGCCTGCAATGACGAGCAGAGACGAAGACGAATGCACACAAAGTAACCCTACCACAAACTGCATTACATTATGCAACTTTATAAGCGCCTTGCAACCAAAATAATTAATTCGGACAGCTAACCCCTGATTAAGTTGCTGTTCACAACTATAATTTGTTCCGCGCCTGTGTACATTCCGCTCTCCACTGAACTTTGTTGGATCAGTTTTAATTTTTTTGCCTCATTTTGTTAGAAAGGCACAATAGGCTGCAAAGAACTTGGCTATTCGGGCACGGACAATAGCTGAAACGGTTACACATACGCTGGTTGAAGTATTAAGTTTCTTTCTCATAGGTAGCGAGCCTGAAAATTTGAGTGACTTTTACGTGTACGGTTTGTTTTAAGTATTTTTTTTAGAATGCAGACCAAGTTGACTGCAAGGGCATGCTTTAAGAGTACATTGGATACGAATCATGACCGGTTAATGGCAGCTGCTAATCCCTGCTTCAATGCCTATTACACTTCTTAAGGGACCGCTCGTGGTACCCTATTCGCATCCTTGGTACAGTTCAAGTAAACTGCTCCAATAAAATGATCAGTTGCTTCGTGAATACGACTTTTTTTTTTTTGAAATGCTAATTCACCAATTTTCCGAGCTGCCCTCATAACCTTATTTACCGTCGCTTGCCTTTTTTTGCATGGACCAACATTGGATCATCACCGGAGTCGAATTGCCCGATGCCGCATTGATCAATTTAATGGATCACATACATTACTATTTTCTTTTCAGCTTGCAGGGTCATTTTAGTTTCTATTCACCTTCAAACTTCAACGACTTTAATCTACCACATATGCAGCTGGTCATTCTCTCGTAAGTCTCATGCAAGAAGGGGGGAGATGTGCCTAATTCCTGCACGCGTTCCCAGAGCTCGTCTGTGCTTTCCGGCGGTCTGAGCTTGTTGGGCAATTCGATATTTTATGTAAGCCCAAGCGTGTTCGATAATGTTGAGGTGCGAGGAGTTGACTGGCCAGCCGACAACAGTGAACCCCCGCCCGGCAATTAATTTTTGTACCACGTTTGCTGTATGTACACAAGAGTTGTTCCGCTGAAAAATCGATTACACCGGAATCCATACCGTACCAAGAGATTGAGTTAAGAACATAATCGTTGAGGATGGCGAGGAAGAACTCTGAATTTAACGCCCCATGGATCCTCCTTAGGTTTCCCGTTTCGTAAATCGTGATGCATCCCTAGATCATCATCTTCTCTCTTCTACATAGGAGCGTTAGACGGAGCTGATGAGGCAGCAGACGCTTGTGCTCGTGGCCGCTGTAGTAGTACTTCATTTCGAAGGACCCCGCGCGATTGATCATGCTCTCATCAGTGAACATAACCCGCTTCCAGTCGTCCACTGTCCAGTTCTTGTACTCCTGTGCGAGTGCAGCTGGCCAGCCTTGAATTGACTCTGATGGCCACGTCCTCACCTTGGTGAAGTCGTCACTTTGGTGCACTTCTTCATTGAATAAAAAAAGGAGCAACCTACTCATTAACTCCTACCGCAATAATGGTGTCCTTTGGACTTATCGTTTACTGTTGCTACACGACCTTTCCAGTCCGCATATGAACAAATAAAGGGGCGCGAGAACGAGACTGGCGCGCGAGAATTGAAGGAAAAAATGTGAACATGGAGAAGAAAAAGGGACATGGGGGCGAGGGAAGCCAAAGAAAAGAAAATGCAAAGTGCGAAAAGGGCAGGGGATGTGCCAGTGTATGGAATGAGAGCTAAGCATCCACAACGCACGAATAAAGAAAATAGGCCTATTTACCACAAAACGAAAAGTGTTACAAAACGCAACAATTAGCGGGCAGGTAGTGAAGAGCACGGGCTGTATCCGTGATGCACAAAATATCCAATTGCGGGAAACTTATATTTTTATTCACAAAATTAGATTCGAAGACAATCGTCGATCACAATAAATATGAATGAGGTAGATACAGGGATTTGAGTGAGCGCCTGGCTAAAGGGAGAACCCTCAGGGATCCACGCCGAACGGGTCTTTTTTGCTTTGTTTAGCAAGTGTCCTGGACGGTGAAGCGGTTGCGATGGTAGAGCTCGCGTTCAATTGGAATGAATCGGAAACGTTGATTGTCCTCTCCAATGGAAGGCTGCAAGGTCACCTGCGGGAATTCATCCTCGTTGGCGGTGAACACCTTGTCGTCGTATGGCATCTTGATGGCGACCACAAGGGGTCCTTCACCGACCTGCTCGGTGTTCCATGTCTCGGGCTTTTTCTGGACGCTCACAATCACCGCGTTCTCTTTGGATGTGATTCTATATTTGTCGGGAACGCCGCTCCTGGCAGAGATGACGATGATGCCGCCATCGGCGCCTTCCTTGACGGTCCATGGCTCGAGGAAGGGACTACTTTCAGGGAACAGGCGGACTGCGACGTCAATGGATGGGTAGAGGCGGGGTACGGGGCCAATACTCAAGAAGAGCTTCGTCCGAGTGTCTTGGATCAGGTAAGTGCCTGGCCTGATGGTACTAGCAACGACGGCCTGGATGGCGACCAAGGAGAGAACGAGGAATGATGTAGCGGATCGGAGCATTCTATTAGGAAGAGTTGGTGAAGTCAGTAAGAAAGAAAAATGGTGTAAGAGTTGTCAAATATAATTTGATCTACGAAGGAGGCTTTACTTTGAAAGAAAAAGTGACTTGGACTTGAAGGAAGAGCTGGTGAAAAAAATGGTAATGAACGGATGCTCGTGCTCGTTATATATGGAAAATAGAAAGGTATGCAAAGAGCACAGGAACCCTGGAAATTTCAAGGGACATCGTAACAAACAAGTACACGTTCCCATACCCCTTTTTTTCTATTCGTGCGCTTTGCTTCTTCCTTTTCCTTTTCCGCTACCCATGCCCTCGCAAGTTCCCCTACCCCTTTTCTTCATTCATGCGCTGTGCATACTTTCTCCTCTCTTTCCTTCTTTCTTTCTTTCTTTCAGTATTTCTGTCTTTCTGCTGCTTTTTCTTCTTTTGCTACCCACGCTCCCACATCCCTCTTCCTTCTTCATGCGCTGTGCATACTGTCTTCTTTCCCTTTCTTTCGCTGCTAAGTATCGCACGTTCCTATGCCCCATTTGTTCATGCGTTGTGTATACGTTCCCATGCCCCCTTTCTTTATTCATGCGGTGTGCATTCATTCTTCTTTGCTAATCCTATACCTGATTCACGCAATTCACGCACTGAGCTATTTTCTATCCCTACCCGTACCCTATGTGAAGTACTGGAGAAAAATGATTTGATTTCGATTTTTTTTTTTTTTGAAATGCTTATCCCCACTGTTGCATTCACCTCCCGGATCCTTCCTACTCCTTTATTTTATTCTTGTTTTCTTACTCCTTCATCACCATTGACACGAGCGGAAAAAAATATAGCGTGCGATCCAAAACGCAGAGGCCTGCATCGAATGTCATAAAAAATAGATTGAGAGTAAACAACATGGCAGAGAGCAGGGAGCACACTCAAGGTATGAGGATATCCCATCAAATGTTTTGTCGGCTTTCTATTTGACCGTCCCTGCACCTTTGCCTCGTTACTTTCTATCTTCTCTCGTATGATGCGTAAAAACAGCTGCTCCTTTGATAGGTGCGAGAAGGGGCTTCTAGGCCGTGACAATTCTACTCTTATGCGAGCAGAGTAAACCATGTTTGACGATGCCATCATCACAACACCCACGTCATTGGTCACAAAGGCGTAGTCTTCCGTTTCCGCCAGGATCCCTCACAGCAGAACGAGTACGTCTGCGTGCGCAGAACTCTTTTCTCGAGCTGAAAAGTATAGGGGAAAATGGAGACGGGAAAGTAATGTGGTTTTATTCAATTTAGCGAAGACAGGATCCTTTTAGTGATCTGTTAATCGCCTCTACTATAGTATTGGCACTCAGGTGTCTAAAGTGATGCACTTCTTTTAGCAAGGAGGATTGGTCGTTGTTACTAGGAAGAATGTATTCTTCCTCATTTTACATGATGGGAATGTAAGGAGCATAGGTGTCAATGTCCAGACCCTCAACGTACCGTGTCAGTTGGTCAGAGTTGACATATGGGTTTTCAGTAGCGGTATCGCTGCTCTTAGGTATTCTTGTTCTGAAACTAGAATGGGTAAAAACAGTATCAAGTATGAGTTTTCTTTGCTTTGACTGGTTAGTTGTCAAATCCGATCTAAGGTCAGGGGCCAATGTTGGCTCCCACAATTCTTCAGGAAAAGCGCGCGACAGCGCGTCAGGAATAATATTCAGCATTCCCGGGCAATAGACAGATTGAGAATCAAACTTCATCAAAGTCTTACGCCAGTTGGCAATGGTCGTGGGGTAGCTCAGATTGAGTATGCATGTATGTCAATGGCCTGTGGTCCGTAAAGAATGTGAAGGATCTTCCAATCAGGTAACACTCGAATTGTTTTAGTGCATAGACAATACCGAGTAGTTCCTACTTTTAGGCAGGGTAGTTCAGCTCATGTTTTTTCAACGATCGAGCCATGAAGAAATATAATTTACTTTCGACTGGTCAGAGGGTGCGTCTAGTAGTTGGTATAGAATGGCTCCAATAACCAGGTTTATTTCATCGGTCGCCACATAAAGGGGACGCACACATAGATGAGTAAGGATTTCTCGCTCGTCCTTTGTGACAGCATCGCGCTTGGCTTTGCGACGCTCGACGTTGGTCATGGTCATTGGCGGGGAGAACTTCTGCAACTCTGCCCTCTTTGCCTCCTCTGCGGCGTGCATCCTGACAGCCAATGTCTCAACAAACTCTCCGATCAGCCGCTGGGCATTCCGTTTGACAGTTGCTGCTGATTGGACAGCCTCCTGTAGGCAATCCATCACTTCCTGCTGCACAATGTTAAGATTCAGTGGGATTTCCGGGTTTCCGAGTGTTGCTCCATCTCCTGATACATGTCCAACATACGCCTCCAAGGTGCCAATTTCCAGCCATGCGGTAGGATGGTGCCAAGAAAGAGATCGCAATAATCCTCTCTTGTCCTTGTCGGCGATCGGTTCCATGTTGGGTTGTGGTGGTTTGTTGGCCTTTGACGTCGTCTTTTTGGCTGGGGTGGGGTTGACAGTCCCCGGTCGTTCTTGGTAAAACGTCAGTTTGAATTGCTTAGCCTTGGGAGGTGGAGCATGGACAACCTTGCGGGTTCTCTCCTTGAACGAGAATCGTCCTCGGTTCCGCGGGATCCGTGTCCTTGATAAGGGTGGATGGCCGTCAGCATCTGGGGCAGACATCACAGAAGTAGACTGTTGAGATGGACTGGAATCAGAAGAGATTTGCTGTGAAGGACCACGCGCAGGTTGCGGTGTAGTGACGGTCTTTGTCTTGGAGATAGCAGCGGGTGACTCGACCGTCCGGTACCGGTTGAAGGTCTTTGGCGCGAGTAGCCGTACAATGTCATCCTTGGGCCTATTTATTACATACCAACAAAAGCATATGATGAGAACTGTAGTTCATAAATAACTCTCCGCAAAGTGCGAAAATCCTCAAAAAATACATTGTACAATTACCTCTCTTTGACTCCTGCCGCTCGAATATTTTTTATGGATTGGTGCTTGATGCAAAGTTCGTTGAACCTGTGCTGCAATACACAGAAGAGCTGCAGGGCTTGCGGCTCTTGGACTAAAGGCTGGATTGGCTCTTGCTATAAAAGAATGAACACCCGGATCGAGTTCTCGAATGTCTCCTCTTTCGTGTTTTTCACCACGACTTGGCCGTGGGTAAGGTAGGCAGCGACAATCTCTCGGGCGTCTATTTTTGAAAAAAAAAGTAATCAGAATGAGAACCAGCTTTGTAAAATATTTGGGTGAGAATGCCAAAAAAAAGAAGTCGCCACTCAATTTCAACGCGATATTACCTGGTCTTGATCCAATCGATTTGATAATGCTGAAGTTGGTTGCTGGCCCAAGCGAGTAGATGTTCTTGTAATAGTCATTTCGAGATACTACCGCGAGCGCCGTCAGCTGCGTCCGAGAGATACCAAGAGTTGCGAGGACATCGGGAATCTTGTAAACGAGGATAAGGTTATTGGAGACTGGACGCCAGAGGGTCGTGACTGATTGATACGCCATCATATCACTGTCCTTCGAGATAATGACGTCGATGTCCTGAGCATCCATAGCAATAGCAAGATCAGCCACCGTCCTGCAAACGATGACAGTCCAACCGCGGTGCCGCATGTAGTTGGCAAACTCCTGGCGACTCCTCAACGACCAGTGAAAAGACGACTTCAGTCCAGCCTTGACGTCCGTAAAGTGTCGTTTCCTGACCCTCAAATTGCTGTTCAGTCTCTCCTCGAAAACCTTGATGCTCTTTTCCGTCCGGTTCAGAGCCTTGTGTCGCTTTGCGTCTCGTGCCTTGGCTGTATCCATTTTTTCCTCTGCCTGATCGCCGTCAATGTATAAACGCATGTTGAGTGGGTCGCCAAATCGTTTAATGTCGTTTTCCAAAATCCTGTGCGCATCATCCGGAGGCAAGTTCTGGTTCGAGTAGGCTTGTTGAATGACGGGAAAGCAGTTGGCCATCACATCAAAGCGACGAGTGCCTGTTGTCAGGGAGGCTAGGACTGATTGGTATAGAACAGTAGGGTTGTAGCCCTTCTTTCAAATGAAAGGGTACCAGTCGAAGAGCCCCATGGTGTTGGGGCTTGTGCTTTTGGGGTCGGAAGAAACGAATGTTGATGAGGATAGTCGGTTTGTTGAGGTAGTAAGAGTAGGAAAATGGTGAGGAAGAAACAGCTTTGAGTGTCATTTCATAGTAGTCCAGTAAAGTCTTATGAGAGTTAATTTCGATCCATATTAGGAAAGATCACATAGATTCTTTAGAAGCTAGCACTTATGGATAACCTCGAGCATTGGAAAAGAAATAAAGGACGCCAGTTAGGGTTAGATCGTCGAACACATCTCTCCACAATGAGGACGACAGGCTCCACAAAAGTGTTCAACCAAAACTCGATTCTGGCGTTAGTTTTTAATTGCACAGTTGCTGCCTTTGCAATCGGCCCCAGGATTTTTTCCAATAGTTCCTGTGTCTCTTGTCTTTATTTGATCTTAATAATTTCCGGAAATGGCGTCACTTTTGAATCTCGTATCTTTGGTTGAACACTTTTGCTGCAATTCCGAATCTTAGAGATCAGTTGTTTTATGGAACAAACTGCACAGAACATATCAGCGCACAACCTAGCTCTTGCATCATTCGTGAAGATGACATTCTTGATGATTCCAAATCAGAATACGGATCAGAAAATGAAGCAAGAGAACACCTAAATGACAAGTCACACGAGCACATAAGCAAATGAGAAACGAAAGAAGTACAAAAATGAATGATAACCATCTTAAAAGAAGAAAGAAAAAGAAAAAGTGTCAATTCTTCGTGCACCCACCTCGTTGCTTTTCTTTTTTCCACCTCGCTGCTTTTCTGTCTCCACGAACTCGTACCTTATTCTTACAGGGGGAGGAGAGCCGTTGCATCTCAGTGCCTGTCTACTCTTTTTATAAAAAACCCCAAAAGACCCCCAGCTTCGTTTTCACCATTTTCCTCTCCCCAGTTGCTCATATCACAGTACCAAAATTTATGTTCAAAAAGTTTGTGCATTGAAAGCTCCTTTTCTTTGTGAAAACAGGCTGGCCGTTCCCATTGATATTGAGGGAAAACGATTCAAAGCATTAGTTGATCCCCGTGCCGCTGACTCTTTTATTCACATCAATTTTTCCACTCAATTCAAGTCACTATGGATCAAATCAATTTGCTATGCGATGGCATAGAGATAGAGTCCACTGTTCTTGTTATGCACCTTGATGACTGCGATTTTATTGTAGGTATGGATCAATTCAACCATTCTGGATATTTCATTGGAGGCACAGACAACCCTGCACTAAGTCCTTCTGCCCAGTATGAAGAGATTCTTATAGAAAATGATGAACCACCTGCAATCGTTACAGTTAGGCGACCTGAAAATGAGCTGAATGAGGACTTGTAAGAACAGCGAGTAAAATCCATACAGCTGCTGTAACCACTTCTAAGTGTCAATGCTAGAATTAACACGCAAAGTTCTTGTACTCATTCACCGATGGAAGTAGATCTGGCCGTCCCACTGGGGTGACTGTCTACCAATGCCATACAGACCAATTCCTCAAGGGGAGAAGGCAATTGTGTAGTATCAAAACGATAAAACGATACCTGGCTAGCTGATGGGGTTATTGTTCCAACCCCTGGCTGCGTGTCACATCTGAATCAACTTACCCTTGCGGCAAGAAGAGACTTGGAGGGGCATATCCTAATGACAAGTCTATATATTGACCCAAGAAACCCGAACAGCCACCTGCTCAACTGCGACAACTTTCAGTTACCTCGCGTTGAAAAAATTCTAGAGAGGCAGCTGGCCATAGATACTTATCTACTATTGACCTGAGACAAGCATATCACCGTTTACCACTCACTGAGAAAAGTCAACCGCTTACCACCTTCTCTTACAATGACAAATAATATATGTTTGCACCAGCTCCCTTTGGACTCACACAAACCCATGACCAGCATCTTCCAGCGAAAAATGATGAAAATCTTTAAAGATTTGGACTGGGGTGCGATCTATGTTGATGACATTGTTATTTTCTCCGATACAGCTGAAGAACACTTGCGCCATGTGCAAGAAGTATTGAAGCGACTGACCAAACAAATCCTGATTGTGAACCCTGAAAAATGCCACTTTTTCTGCACTGAGATTGCTCTTTATGGCTTTATCATTAACAAAACCAGTAGAAGAATTAACCCTGTGAAATTCGCCAGCGTTCAAACCTGGGCTGAGCCGACAAATGCAAAAATGCTGCAACGTTACCTTGGTATGTTTAATTATTTTCGCGAATACGTAACTCTGAACAGCACACTGTCAGCACCACTGGACAAAATGCGGTACCAAAAATGACACTGTACTTTAAATCAAATGCAAAGTAGATGCGTTCAAAACCTCAAGTTTATGGTACAAAATGCGCCTGTCCTGATTTTCTCTAACTTCTCTGCGCCCCTTTATGTGGCGACCGATGAAATAAACCTGGTTATTGGAGCCATCCTATACCAACTACTAGACGCACCCTCTGACCAGTCGAAAGTAAATTATATTTCTTCATGGCTCGATCGTTGAAAAAACATGAGCTGAACTACCCTGCCTACAAGTAGGAACTACTCGGTATTGTCTATGCACTAAAACAATTCGAGTGTTACCTGATTGGAAGATCCTTCACATTCTTTACGGACCACAGGCCATTGACATACATGCATACTCAATCTGAGCTACCCCACGACCATTGCCAACTGGCGTAAGACTTTGATGAAGTTTGATTCTCAATCTGTCTATTGCCCGGGAATGCTGAATATTATTCCTGACGCGCTGTCGCGCGCTTTTCCTGAAGAATTGTGGGAGCCAACATTGGCCCCTGACCTTAGATCGGATTTGACAACTAACCAGTCAAAGCAAAGAAAACTCATACTTGATACTGTTTTTACCCATTCTAGTTTCAGAACAAGAATACCTAGGAGGCCTTTCAAGTCCAAATTATCATATGGTGTTTGTTACATCTCTGCAGATCTTGACGATATCCACCGCGTCCATTAGAGGAGAGTGTATGTATGATACCAAGCATATAAGACAACCATTGTAACATTTTTTGTTTAACTATCCTACTAAACACCAACCTATTCTCCAAACAACAAAGTCTTCTTATTTTTCGCACACCACACTCTTGAATATGTCCATCTACTATTAACCTGTAACCCTCACTGCAAGATTCGCCAGAGTAGTTCTTGTATGTGATCATCTAAAGCACTTGTATTCTCAACTGTATCTTTGTCGTGAAATACAGGGGAGAGATTACATTTTAAAAATTCTTGTGCTGTCTATTGCTATTTTATTCTGTGTTCTGTTGCCCACTATGAAGAGATATGCCAGTTATGGAAGTCAACACTCCGTTCCTTGGACTTTGGATATTTTTTATATGCCTTTTTATATCCTCTGCACATGAAGGGGCCGCCTAAGAGCAGCGATACCGCTACTGAAAACCCATATGTCAACTCTGACCAACTGACACGGTACGTTGAGGGTCTGGACATTGACACCTATGCTCCTTACATTCCCATCATGTAAAATGAGGAAGAATACATTCTTCCTAGTAACAACGACCAATCCTCCTTGCTAAAAGAAGTGCATCACTTTAGACACCTGAGTGCCAATACTATAGTAGAGGCGATTAACAGATCACTAAAAGGATCCTGTCTTCGCTAAATTGAATAAAACCACATTACTTTCCCGTCTCCATTTTCCCCTATACTTTTCAGCTCGAGAAAAGAGTTCTGCGCACGCAGACGTACTCGTTCTGCTGTGAGGGATCCTGGCGGAAACGGAAGACTACGCCTTTGTGACCAATGACGTGGGTGTTGTGATGATGGCATCGTCAAACATGGTTTACTCTGCTCGCATAAGAGTAGAATTGTCACGGCCTAGAAGCCCCTTCTCGCACCTATCAAAGGAGCAGCTGTTTTTACGCATCATACGAGAGAAGATAGAAAGTAACGAGGCAAAGGTGCAGGGACGGTCAAATAGAAAGCCGACAAAACATTTGATGGGATATCCTCATACCTTGAGTGTGCTCCCTGCTCTCTGCCATGTTGTTTACTCTCAATCTATTTTTTATGACATTCGATGCAGGCCTCTGCGTTTTGGATCGCACGCTATATTTTTTTCCGCTCGTGTCAATGGTGATGAAGGAGTAAGAAAACAAGAATAAAATAAAGGAGTAGGAAGGATCCGGGAGGTGAATGCAACAGTGGGGATAAGCATTTCAAAAAAAAAAAAAATCGAAATCAAATCATTTTTCTCCAGTACTTCACATAGGGTACGGGTAGGGATAGAAAATAGCTCAGTGCGTGAATTGCGTGAATCAGGTATAGGATTAGCAAAGAAGAATGAATGCACACCGCATGAATAAAGAAAGGGGGCATGGGAACGTATACACAACGCATGAACAAATGGGGCATAGGAACGTGCGATACTTAGCAGCGAAAGAAAGGGAAAGAAGACAGTATGCACAGCGCATGAAGAAGGAAGAGGGATGTGGGAGCGTGGGTAGCAAAAGAAGAAAAAGCAGCAGAAAGACAGAAATACTGAAAGAAAGAAAGAAAGAAGGAAAGAGAGGAGAAAGTATGCACAGCGCATGAATGAAGAAAAGGGGTAGGGGAACTTGCGAGGGCATGGGTAGCGGAAAAGGAAAAGGAAGAAGCAAAGCGCACGAATAGAAAAAAAGGGGTATGGGAACGTGTACTTGTTTGTTACGATGTCCCTTGAAATTTCCAGGGTTCCTGTGCTCTTTGCATACCTTTCTATTTTCCATATATAACGAGCACGAGCATCCGTTCATTACCATTTTTTTCACCAGCTCTTCCTTCAAGTCCAAGTCACTTTTTCTTTCAAAGTAAAGCCTCCTTCGTAGATCAAATTATATTTGACAACTCTTACACCATTTTTCTTTCTTACTGACTTCACCAACTCTTCCTAATAGAATGCTCCGATCCGCTACATCATTCCTCGTTCTCTCCTTGGTCGCCATCCAGGCCGTCGTTGCTAGTACCATCAGGCCAGGCACTTACCTGATCCAAGACACTCGGACGAAGCTCTTCTTGAGTATTGGCCCCGTACCCCGCCTCTACCCATCCATTGACGTCGCAGTCCGCCTGTTCCCTGAAAGTAGTCCCTTCCTCGAGCCATGGACCGTCAAGGAAGGCGCCGATGGCGGCATCATCGTCATCTCTGCCAGGAGCGGCGTTCCCGACAAATATAGAATCACATCCAAAGAGAACGCGGTGATTGTGAGCGTCCAGAAAAAGCCCGAGACATGGAACACCGAGCAGGTCGGTGAAGGACCCCTTGTGGTCGCCATCAAGATGCCATACGACGACAAGGTGTTCACCGCCAACGAGGATGAATTCCCGCAGGTGACCTTGCAGCCTTCCATTGGAGAGGACAATCAACGTTTCCGATTCATTCCAATTGAACGCGAGCTCTACCATCGCAACCGCTTCACCGTCCAGGACACTTGCTAAACAAAGCAAAAAAGACCCGTTCGGCGTGGATCCCTGAGGGTTCTCCCTTTAGCCAGGCGCTCACTCAAATCCCTGTATCTACCTCATTCATATTTATTGTGATCGACGATTGTCTTCGAATCTAATTTTGTGAATAAAAATATAAGTTTCCCGCAATTGGATATTTTGTGCATCACGGATACAGCCCGTGCTCTTCACTACCTGCCCGCTAATTGTTGCGTTTTGTAACACTTTTCGTTTTGTGGTAAATAGGCCTATTTTCTTTATTCGTGCGTTGTGGATGCTTAGCTCTCATTCCATACACTGGCACATCCCCTGCCCTTTTCGCACTTTGCATTTTCTTTTCTTTGGCTTCCCTCGCCCCCATGTCCCTTTTTCTTCTCCATGTTCACATTTTTTCCTTCAATTCTCGCGCGCCAGTCTCGTTCTCGCGCCCCTTTATTTGTTCATATGCGGACTGGAAAGGTCGTGTAGCAACAGTAAACGATAAGTCCAAAGGACACCATTATTGCGGTAGGAGTTAATGAGTAGGTTGCTCCTTTTTTTATTCAATGAAGAAGTGCACCAAAGTGACGACTTCACCAAGGTGAGGACGTGGCCATCAGAGTCAATTCAAGGCTGGCCAGCTGCACTCGCACAGGAGTACAAGAACTGGACAGTGGACGACTGGAAGCGGGTTATGTTCACTGATGAGAGCATGATCAATCGCGCGGGGTCCTTCGAAATGAAGTACTACTACAGCGGCCACGAGCACAAGCGTCTGCTGCCTCATCAGCTCCGTCTAACGCTCCTATGTAGAAGAGGGAAGATGATGATCTAAGGGAGAGATTACATTTTAAAAAATCGTGTGCCATCTGCTGCTATTTTATTCTATGTTCTGTTGCCGACTATGAAAAGATAGATCAGCTATGGAAGTTTACACTGCATTCCTTGAGCTTTGGATAATTTTTATATGCTTTTTTTTATCTTTTGCACATGGAGGGGCCGCCATTTTCCAGTTTCCCTTGCGCTTAGCCTTCCTTTGTGGCCAGCCTTCAATGCTCCAGTTTCTCTTGTGCTCAGCCTTCCATGTGCCCAGCCTGGCCTTCCTTGCTCCCAGTCTCCCCTGCACTTAGACCCCTGTGCTCCGTCTCCTCTCCCTCCTTGTCTTGTTCCACCTTACCTACCTATTCTCCGCTCACTCCTCCATCATGCGTTGACAGCTTTGTTGTTCACTTCCCTAAAATCCTTATCCTCCTACCACCTCCCCCCAATCCTTCTTGACATTCATTCGCGGCCCTTCCCCGTCATGTCACTACCGCAGCCACTGTTCCTTTGTCATGTTCACCTGTCATCGAATCCACTTCGGTTCCTTGTCATGTCTGGATATTGTCACACCAATCTCGGTCTTTCAGTCTGCGCTGTCGATTAATGAGTCGGCACCCTACCTATCTCTGTACCATCATTGAGTCGACTCGTCTCCTTGTTATTGTTCCGTCCGCCGCTGTCAAGTGGGTCAGCAATATTGCATCGTCTGCATTGTTCCGTCAGCAGCAGTTGCGTCGACATCATTTTCGTCGCCTTCCTCATTTGATGGATCATCATTGGTTAATGCGTCCAGCTCAGCCTTCTCGTCCGCCCGATCGTATCCAGTTAATACATCGACGCCGTCTCCTCGTTTGTCTGATCGCCTCCGGTCGATGCGTCCAGTCCAGCCTTTTCGTCTTTTCGACCACGTTCGGTCAACACGTTGCATTCCGTTTCCTTGTCCATGGTAGTACCATTCATTAATATCTCAAGACCTTCGTCCGTCACATCCCTGCCGTCTATCCAGCCCATCTGTCATACGTTGCCATCTGGTCCCTGCTGTCAACTACACCATCTCTAACTAAGGACCACAAGACAATCGATCCTGGCTCAGGTTCTCCATCCCTTCGTCGGAATTACCAAGACCGCCGTCAAGGATGGTGCGCCATTGACTCCAGAACCGTCAACTCCAATTCGCTTCGATTGCATGTCCCTGTTGTCTGTCGTCCATGTCAATATATCCAAAAGTCATCCGTCATTTGGTTGTCGTCGTTGTGGAAGAGAGATGAACAGAAAACGTTATCAAGTTGAATGTTAGTCTCTCGGCACTCGTTACGAATAATACGCAGAGAGGGAGCGGGCATATTTCGAAAATCTCATCGCTGAGGTTCGGCAGGGCAAAGTTTGTCTTTCAGGACAGTAGAGGACAAGGACGAGTTAGTTGAGGAGGCGCCACACCAGGGCGACGCAAATGGCAAGGGACAAGACAGCACTCACAGAGGTGGAGATGGTTCCACAAATCGCGACGGATCTGAAAGCTCGCCGCTTGCAGACACTGATCTCGATACGACCGCTCATACGCTGACGCAACCGGTGGGGGATAACGATTTTCTCGCCGTCGATGGTCTCAAGCATATCCGTCAGAGCAAACAAGGAGGGTCGGAAAAATCGTAGAGCGTAGGAAAGGTGGTGAAACAACTTGTGCATGCTTGCGTAGCCCAGAGAGATGAGGAGTTGCAGACGGACGGCGCCAAGCAACAGTAACATCCTTTTTCTCCACTGAAAAGTTGCGTGACTGCACTGTCACGTGCGCTATATACTTTCGTCACTTTACAATACTATTTTTGTGGAGGTCAATTCAAATGTTCCAATTATTTTTTCTGATCAATTTCACTGAGCCACTTTCCACTGTGAATCTGAAGACTCCACAGGGATTGTGCGATGTTTTATTTTTTAAGAACTCCAGTCGGTGATGCCCAAAGCACCTTCGCATCCATAGGTGCTCTTTCCCATGTTGCAATAATGCTCTTTTCCTTTAGGGCAGAAGCGGATGCACCAGCGTCTACTATCAGGCTCGAGGAGTTCGACAAAGACAGCATAGCCTGGGGCCTCGTTGACGCCAGAGTCACGGTGGGTGTCGTACTGTCCGCCGCCGTCGTCTGAGCGAAGACCCACGCTTTTGTCGTTCATCATACCCCAAGCTTGGACGTAGTTGCCGTTGCTCTGGAATTTCTTCCAGATAAAGAAATTGGAGGGCAACAACTGGGGGTTGCCATCAGTGCACTGGACATGGCCGTCTTGCTCGGTGTCGCCAATGATCATGCCGGGAGGCGGAAGGATAAGGCAGACTAAGTCCTTCTTGGGGTCGATACGGACAATGTTAACTTTTCCAGCTTCGATCTGGATCAGACAGAGAGCGAGAATGGAAAGGGCAGAGAAGGGAGTGAGACGCATGGTGTGTTGTTTTCTTTGGATGGAAGGAGGTGAGGGATAGTTTTTCGAGTGCGTTCTGCCTTTTTATGCCTTCAGTTGGCACACCACAAGGCTTTCAACCTCGACACTCTTTCCTCCTGACTCAAGGGCTACGCCAAAATCAAAGGCTACACTGAAACCAAGTGCAGCTAAAAACAAAGGGCAGCATCGAACCAAGGCAGTTAAAAATAAAGCGGCTAAATGTAACGTCTTAGCATTCCACTAGTGCATAATTTGCCGACTCAAACTAATTCCGTTTTCGCCTCACCCTCTGTGTAAAAACTAACTATAGGTTAAACGACCAAAGAACCACAGCTAATTATTTAACAGTTCACTCTTGCTCTCTAGCCCAGTTCTAGCTCTTGTTTTTTCTGATCACTCTTGTAGTATTTCAAAATCGTCGAATTATCGGAGAACAAATGGGTTCATTATGCAGTTGGTTGCCTCGGCGAAGCCCGAGCCTGGTGGCGCGCATCCTATCACACCATCACATGGGCACTTTTCGGACCATTTTTCTCCAACAGTTCACCCGCAGACTCTGTCAACACCGCTCGACGACGCTTGAGTGCTCTGCGACAAGGCAGTGATGTAATTAGTGTTTCTGGATTTGTTTCGTGGATTCGGGATTCGGCTCGGTTCGTTTCGTGCATATGAATCCGAATCTGTACGTGATTCGCTTCGAATGCCCTGCGATTCGTGGTGTGTTCGTCTCGTGGAGGGTGTCACGTTTTTCCCCAAGGCTGCCAGGCCCCAGGTTGCCCCGGTTACGCGAGAGTAGGTTTAGTCCTAGTTCCATTGAACGCGCAATGGATTTCGGTATTCTCGGCACGTGACTTCCGCCACCAACTGAGCCCCATCCAAGATCCCAAACCTCGCCCATGTTCCAAGCCCCGTCGAATGTCCAAGCCCCGTCCAATGTCTAAGCGCCGCCTTGATTCCTTCTGTTTATCCAGCCCTTAGTATTAAATAGACCCCTTGTTCCCCTATCTTATTCCTCAGTCTGCAGTAACTCACTTCCATCTGTCCCTTGCACACTCTTCTTCTTATTACTTCCTTTTCCTTCATAATAAAACATAACAAAAGTCATACACATTCTTCCGAGTCTTGTCTGATCATTGCAGAGGGTTCGTCTCGTGAAGGGTTCGTCTCGTGGAGGGTTCGTTTCGTGGCAAGTTCGTTTCGTGGTGGGCGCGGTGGGTTCGTCTCGTGGTGGATTCGTTTTGTGGTGGATATTATAGCTAGACACGATGTTTGTTCTCATATATTTGTTCTATGATAGAAAAAGGAGTCGTCCGTTCTTCCTTTTCCCATGCGCTGTCAACTTCGCAAACAGAGAAAGTGTATCTTTATTTGTACCTGCTGCTAGTAGTCGTGAAGCTGAAGCATACAGACTTTATTTCTCTGTTAAAGGGAGAATGGCCCACATCTCGAGTGGGGTTTGGACCTCTTTGAGAGAGGTACAGGAACACATGTCAGGACTGCTCTGTAAAGCGAAAAATCCCTCTCAGCAATGAGGTCCCCCTCCCATAAGAAAGATTTTGTCCCCCTCTCACAACCTCTCCCAGCCACTGGGTGAAGTTCACCTTCACCAGTCTTCTCTAACTTTAGGGCTGCTGTAACAGCCAAGGACAAACTGCATCGAAACCATGACCAGCCAAAACAAAACACGGCACATCTATCCCCCTCTTATCTTGCAATGTGCTCACTGCGGTCTCCTCCCAACATCAGCAATTTTTTGTTGCACCATGCTCGCATGGGGTTTTTTTGTATAAATTTATTCTTCGAACTCAACTGAGGGGTTATTCATTCTCACTGGCCAATAAGTTCTCCACTTCATCCTCAGATGAGCCTTGATCCGCCTCTTCCTTTGCACGCTTGAGCCGGTCAAGCAGTGAGGGCCGTTTGGCAACTTTGGTTGGAGTATGGAAGACAACTTGTTCCCACTCGAGTATCTCAGCAACATTCTTCGGCGCAGAAGACACAGCATCCTCTGCATCCTCGCCTTTTTTCTGGTGCTGGTATTGCTGATACATTTGATTCGCGTGTTCCGAATATTCGTGATAGTGGTCCTAGTATTTGAATATACACAGTTTAGTTCTTGAAGCACAAACGAATAGCATTTACATACCAGCATTTTTGCAAGTTGGTGTACTGGGTTCCCCAGGAAAAAGCGGAGCTCATCAAAAGTTGAAGGCAGCACGATAGTGTCAGAGGCCCTGCCTGCCACCCATATGTCATGCCACTCTCTTACTCTGAAAACGACTGCGGACATGCCTGGAAAAATAACAAGAGTGGGTTAGACATCCTATTTTAGGAACTACGCCAGACAATAGTTGTTCTTTTCCTTACCATGTACGGATAGAAGTAGCGGACATTCCAGTTCATACTTGTCCAGCTCAAGCAAGATGCTTTTGTTGATCTTGATGTTCTTCCTGAGCTGACATGCCACTTCTAGTTTTGATGCGCTCGCACGTTTGAACTCGAAATTACCGACCTCAACCGAGTTGACACTCAATAGCCCATCACACTTCCGAGGCATGGTCCCAGTTTCAAAGACATCTGCCAATTTCGATTTTGACAAACCAGAAGCAGAGCACCCTTGCTCACCACTAGAAAAAAGTAAACAATAGCATAGTTAATGATGACATTCGCTGGAATGTCAACATTGGCAACAGCAGCAAAAAAGCTTATAGATTCATGGAGAATCGAGAGTTCAGAGGCAGCCCCTCCTGAAAGATTGATGACCAAAGAGCAACGCAATCAGTTTCTGAAGGAGATTTCGATCCATAAAGAAGTCTGATTATACTCCTGGTTCTACAATGAATAGATAACAAACAAATAAAAAAAAGTATTAGAGTCTGAGAATATGGTGAAGGTAGGAGATGTTTAGAAAGCAGAGTTATCCATTCATACATTATCCGTATAACATCAAGTATCCGGCGATACGTTGGATGGGCAACCTACAGATGATAAGTTTCGTCAAGGATCCCTTCCAAGGATTTCTTCTGTAGCAGACTGTCCACGATCTCCACAAGCACAGTATCCCTCTCATTCAAGGACGGCATGTAGCAAAGCGCTTTCACCTCCTCAGTTGAGGTTTGACCGAACCGAGCATTGGCAGCAGAGGAGAACGTATTCCATATACCTGAAAGCGCGATGCTTTAACAATGACAAATGGCATGCTGAGTAATGAGAACCGTGTAAAGAAGAGTGTCAAACCTAAAAATAAAACCAATACTTACAAGGCGTCCTTGTAATCGAGGCAGTGATGTTTGTCGAACTTTGCTTGAGCTTGAGGGGCCTGGGCAAAATGCAGGTGTTGAAGAGCGAGCTGGTATAAACTAGACCGCCTGGCGCCCTCTTGTTCATGCCTGACGTCTACTTCTGGAAGATCCACTTGCCAGCCATCATACTAAAACCGTTAAATGTAAACACATTAATGATATGCACAACAGTCATATAATAACTGCAAATCCCAATAACATACCAATAACAGGGCCCCCTAGATCAAAGAATGCCACGGCTCTTTAATTCTTGTCTTGGAAGTTTCTTGTCTTGCAGTTTTGCTTGGCGCTGCATTTCGACGTGTCCTTCCGCGTTTCAGCATGGTTGGGGTGGATGGTGGCTGAAGGGAAGTGTTGATCACTGTCGAGCTGGAGCCTAACAAAAAAAATCATTATGGGACGTTCAGTTGCTGTCATGATCTTGAATAGTCGGCATCTGCGCACTTCCAGTGACTACATCTGTATGTCTGAAAATACGTACAGCTATTGGTCTCGAAGACATCTCCACCAGTGAACAAGGGTGGATGACGATCCTTATCATACTCAAACATTGGAGTGAAAGCGTCTGGATCAGCCGCAAGAGTGCCTTCCGGATGTGACTCTGCTCTTCGTGTGTAAGTCTCGAAATCTTTTGACAAACAATGAAAATAACAAGACCAACAAAAAAGATTAGTACGATAAGCTACAATACAAATCCAGGTCGCTTAGCTGACAATTCACAGTTCACATACCAACGCGGCTTTTTTTCTTTCGTTTTTCATAGTTCGGATCATGTTGCTGCTTCGACTCGTCACGGTTGTCTGACTCTCCTCTCTCTACAATGTTGCCACCTTCGTGAGCGGACCCTAGTACAATCGAAGATCAAGGCATGGTTAAGGCTCGCATGTCCTCTTAACATGCACAACAGGAGTAGTGCGAGAGCGAATCCAATGAAAATTCAGATATTTGACCTCATCTTGAAGAGAGCTTACTGGTATAATAGCGGTCTCCACGGTCCTCTTGTGCGTTTCTTTTGGCTAAGGTAAGCAACAAACACATATAAAATAAATTAGAATAATGTGACATGTAGCAAGCCGATACCAAGCATCATTTACCATAGAATATTTACCTCGGCGCTTCTGTGCAAGAGATATCAGCTCCTGTTCCGAATCAGCTAACTTTTTGGAGGAATTCTCAAGGGATGTTATCTCGCTTTCGGTCACCACTCGATCCCGATAGTAAGCGTCTAGGTGTTTATGATACATCGACGCAGCAAGACCCGCCGCAATTCTCACGTGTTCGAAGGGACAGGTTCACAGGCTCCGGATCCAACCATCCCACTCTTGCAGCAACTTTGTGGAATCTTCGCGCCTCACTGCCCGAAACGCGATATATTCATTTGGGATAAATTTCAGGTCTCCTTGTAGGCCGAGGAAATATCCGGCGCCAACTCTTTTGGTATTCACACAATCTTTCCAACTACGTTTTTTTAGGTGCTTCTCGAGCATCATGGATTCTAACGATCGGAAGAAAACAAGACAAATAAAAGGCATCAGATAACATTCAGGACTATCGTAGTAGACGTCAGAGAGTTACTCTTCCAGTAAATATGGTCCTTGTCAATATCCGTCGCAACCGTCAAGATGTTCTATCCAAGATAGTAAACACCTGGATGGGGTCATTGAAAAACATAGAGAATGTATCGAACGAGGGGGCGTCGAACGAGGGGGCGTCGAACGAGGCCGCCTCCATGTCCGCCAATGACCGCGAGACTAACCCATTCTTCATACGACTCTGAAATCATATTCGTCAATCAGACACAATGGCGCACCCATCAATGAAAAACGAAAGCCAGAGGGTAAAGAGGGCAGGCAAAAAAAGATGCATCGGTTTATCATTAAATTGCGGCGTAACGTTTCACCTTTGTGATGGAGAGAAGAAGAGTAAATAATGATGAGACAGAACGGATGTGGTGACCGGCGACAATAGGTGTCTGATGAGACGGAGGAGTGGTGGTGAGGATGACAAATAGAGGAGCTACCATTAGCCTTCCTCCTTTCTTAAAAGCTTGGTTTTGATTCTGAACCAGAGCTGGTGACGTCTTTACTTAATGTTGATTGGGTCGGAAGTTAAGCTAAATCAAAATCGTATTTCACGTAAACTTTGCGTCATTTGTCCTGCTTTGTTCTTTGCTTTTATGCTTGCTTACTTGCTGGTGTATTTTTGTTTGCTTTCTTTTTTCTTTTGCTTTCGCTTCCATTGCCCAATATGAACCAACAACCCCCTCACAATCAAATTGCCAACCCTCCTCACCCTAGTGGTACTTCACCCGAATCTCAACAACTCCAGGAGCACCACCAGCAACACCAGCAACAACAACACTCATTATTGTTGTTGTTGTTGTCTGCAGGGCGTACGACATATGAAAAATCGGTGACATGTCTCAAACTATAAAAAGAAATGATTATTTCCTTTATAGATAGGAAATAAATGTACAGGACAATGGGCGCGAGAATTACGTCACCGAAGTGAGTAAATCGCTCGCCCTCCCGAATCCGGAACTCGACCCATGTATTTGCTTATCCCTTCAACCGTTTTAGAATCGAAATCTTTTCTTTTTTCAATTTATCAAGGTTTCCGATAAAATGGGTTGGGAAGGGTCCCGTGCCGTCTAATGAAAACAACGAGAGTTGTCGTTTCCCAGCTTGCCTCATTACCACCTTCGCTGTCAATTTCGACCTTTCGTTACTGTCTCCCTCACAAAGAAAACTTCGCCCAGCCTACTCATGGACCCAAGCTTCGAGTTCCTACATTCCTTTGACGTTTCTAACGGTCAAGGTACTAGCACACTCACTTCCGAGGAGACAGAGGAGTTGTCGTTTTCGGTCATTTGCCGAACTCGAGAGATTCCCGGTGGGGATGATTCCGATGATGAAGAGCGACCACCAGAAAGAGAGCAACCGGCGGAAGAGGAGGTGTCCCCTGCATTCTTAGCTCTCGCGAAAGCGAAGAGGGCTGGCAAGAAAGTCGCCCGCGAATCCACAGAACTCTCAGCCGTCCCTGACTTCAAGGACGTCTTCAAATACCAAAAAACAGTATGCTCAGCACAAACCAACCTATCACCATTGACAATTTCCACACTCTTCTTCTCCGACCCGGTATTGCCGGATTTGGCAGACAATACTAACGCACATGCAGCATCAAAAGGAGCCGGCACAGGAGAGGGATCGCGCTAATGGGTAAAAACCACACCTGAAGAACTGCACATATTCCTCGGCATCATCCACATGGGCGTGATCAGGCAGAACTCTATCTCTGAGTATTGGTCAACCTTCCCTGAATGTCCTCAACACAACATCACTAACTTCATGTCCCTCGTCCGCTTCGAACAACCGAAGGGTTTTTTTCATGCCTCCAACCCAACGAGCCTGAGCAACATTGGTTCTCAAAAGTAGAGCCTCTTTCGACCAAACTCGCTACCGACTTCGCTCGTTACTGCCAATACGTCAATCGACGAGATGGTTGTTCACTTTTCAGGAAGGAGTGGCCATACCATACGCATGAAGAACAAACCTATTCCAGAGGGCTACAAGATTCTCGCACTTTGTCAAGCTGGATATACTCTCTCCCTCCTTTACACCTCACGCATCCAATCCATCATTGGCATAGAAAAGATAGCAGGATTGACAATGACCTCTTCAGCTGTCGTTCACCTTGCCCAGTTACTCCCCTACTCAGCTCGCCCATTCAACATATACATGGATAACTATATCCAACAATCCCCTCTTCAAACACTTGCGTGATCTCAACATCGGCGCATGTGATACCGCTCGCATCAACTCTTCTCGCTTCCCTGAGGCCCTGAAGGTGAACAAAGCGAAAAGCTCCAGCGGAACACCCTGACTGGTATGATCGTCCACCAACAAGTTCTTGCAATTGTCTGGATGGATAACGCACCGGTCACCATGCTCAGCACCGTCCATAATATCAGCCACGACGACGACTTTGTTGAGCGTATTCAACGCTGCCCGCGTGGTACCAGCGCCAACGCCAAGAATGTCCGAGCGGTATTCCACGGCAACAATACAGCAACACTAAAAATTCCCAAACTGATCGACGACTCCAACTACAACACGAATGGCGTCGACGTCTGCGACCAGTTAAGATCGTATTACAGCACCAATTGACAGTCTCCAGAACATGGGCGCCTCTTTTTTGGCTTATCGACACCACAATCATCAACTCCTATCGAATCTATGTCACACGAGGGGGGTCTCTTAGCCACAAGCAGGTTCGACTCCAGCTAGCATGGGACTTAATCCGACAGGGAGCACAAGAACTTTACAAGTCGACTTTCAAGGTACTCACACGCGAGAATGAATTCAATATGTCGAACCCCACCAAAAAAACAACAATGTATGTCGTCAAGAGTCGCCCTAATTTACCACCCATCCTGTCGAGAATCTAGACTAGAACAAGGCAGAGTTGACCTTTTCTTAGGCAGGATCAGGAAGAGAGGTGGAGGAAGAGAACAAAGGGAATAGGGAGTCAGATATGGGTTTTCAAGGTGTAGACAAAGTATTATTCAAGTTACTAGGTAAGGATCAAACTATTTGGGGTACTATGGGATATATATATGTGATTGTGAGCAATGCTAATTAATTGTCTTGGGCTCATTCAACTGCGCCCAAGGATCAACTGATCGTGCCAAGGGTCGACCGATCGTACCAAGGGTCGACCGATCATAGGGAACGACGCGACACATCCGTTCTATTCCAGGAATACATCTTCCCATATCCACTGACAACAGGCAATACTGCCTTCTCTGTCGCTGTCCTCGGGGACAAGGACTTCAGCAACACGACACAAGCGTTCTGGTCCTGCAAGATCTGCTTGGTCCCCTTGTGTATGCCCAGAACCCGTAACTGCTTCACTGAGTTACACGAATGGAGTAACAGTCGAAAATGCATCCAGTAATGGGAGCGTCCCTCTGATAATAACCACAACATAGTAATACACATGAATTGCAATAAAAAAAAGGAAAAGGGAGCCCCTGGTCTTGTCCTTGATAGTAATAGCAACAGAGCAAGGGATGCAAACAGGGGAACAGAGAGAGACACGAACGAGATTAAGGATAACGAGAGCTAGTGTTGGGAGGAAGGGCTAGAAACGAATGGTGTTTTATTGTGCAGGGAGTTTTTTTTTTTGGGGGGGTTTTTCTAAGATTTTATTTGTGGCTTGTGACCGTGAGTTTGAAGAGGTAATCGTTTTGCGCTATCGCTTTCTTAATTTCTATGGAGACACAGTTAGAGATTTCCTCCGAAGACTGTGTGAGTTTGTGAAGGAAGAGGATGATATTTGCTGTGTTTATACCAATGAGGCAGCACGCCAGCAGTTGTGGGGGGGTGATGTTATATTTGGGCTTAATGGAGAAGGTGGGGGGTTTTCATGTCAGTCCCACTCAGTCCCTTCGAATGGGGAGACTCGGTCTCAAGATGTGACTGTGAAATGAATATACTGAGGAGGCATATGTGTCCTACATCTCTGCAGGTGTTGACAATATCCACAGCGACCATTAGAGGAGAGTGTGTGTATGATATTAAGCATGTAAAACAACCGCTGTAACATTCTTCGCATGACTATCCTACTAAAGTGCTCGACAAAAATGATCACAATTTTTGTTAATTTAGCTTTTTTGAAATGCTCATTCATCAATGTTCCGATTAACTCGGTTATTCTAACACCCCCTGTCAGTGCAAAATTTACAGGGGGTGTCTGACAGGGGTGTTTCCAAAAAAAATCTGCCATATGTTTTTGGTCTTTTTTCAATTCTAACAGGGGCGTGTTTGAACAGGAGCATGGATGGAGATCAAAACACCCTGTCAGAATAGAAATACTTTTTGCACTTTCTTTTTGCCGCGCTGCTGGCAAAAAGATCATTTGACCAGTGCTACCCGTCGTTCTCAATGGACTTCTCTTTTCCTCGCCGTGCATCAAGATCCTCGTTAAAGTGTCAAATCCAGGCACCATCGGCTGTTCAATGATCCCTCTTGACCATTTCAGGCACCCCGAATAACACCAAAAAAAGTCCATGTGCACACACTTCACCATTTTTCTCGTGTGCGGGTTTTGTTCCTTGCACGCCTTGCTTGATATCTCGCTGGAGGACGATCACTATAGTCTTTGTTTAAGTAGCCTTTCATTCCATTTATCCTCTCACCTTTGTCACTCTCCATCTTTGTCTCTCTCCATCTTTGTCTCTCTCTCTCTCTTTCTCTTTTTCTCTCTCTCTCTCGTTGTCTCTCTCTCTCTCACTTTCTTTGACTTCCTCTCTTTCTCTCTTTGTCTTCCTCTCTCTCTCTTTCTTTGTCCGTCTTTCTTAGTTCTGCTGAAGAAAATAAAAATAAGAAGCATTAAATGCCCCATTTCTAATCGTTCAAGCTGCTTCTTCCTCTCCTTCATCCTCTCGCCTAGCATCAAATGAGCATGTCATGGTTGTAGAGCAATTGCAGTAGAATATATATGGTATAGAGTCAGTCTTATTATGGAAGGCATCAGGATATCAACATCCCAGATATTCTTCTATCTCTTCCGTCGGATCTCATTCTTCTCTTGGCGCGCTTGTCGCTACGCTAGCAAAGCTTAAAATACTTAATCCAGTACGGATACTGCCAGAGTTGGAGAGACTAACGGGACTGAATGACCGGTGGAGCAACCTCTGGGGCGAGGGGGACGCCATATCGCATGAGTATGGAGACACTGCTCGATGCTGCCGCCGTTTACGAACGCCGAAAATCCTCTCTGTCCATTCTGGATTCCTCGACACGTTGTTCTTCCTTTCCATAAGCATACTCTCCAAACGATTCATCCTACAGTGCTCCAAAAAAGATTCACCTTTTTGCGATTTCGACTTTGTTTTGAAATGCTCATTCATCAATGTTCCGACCGGCCCCCAGATTCCTGTCATTCATTCTCTCGATTCGTAGCCTCATTCATTACAACTTGCTTCTTTTGCATGGACCAACATCGGGTCATCGTCGGAATCGAAATGCCTGAATCGAATGAATCAGTTAATTGGATTAATGCATCCCGATTTTCTTTTTCAACTTGCGGGGTCTTTTTAGTTTCTAACTACCTTTAAACTTCAATGAGTTACGTACTGAATCCTGTAGGGCTATCTTTCAAAGTTTGGAGTTCTTACTCATAGTCTTTTCTATATGACCTATATGCCTGATTTTACATGGACTTAGCACGTGTTTAGCTGTGTTTTTTTAACCACAAGCTCAGTGCGCTTACTACCGGCAAACTGAAAGCTGGTCCATGTATAAGATATGGAGTGGGTTGTCATCATAGAAAAGGTACGGGATTATCATAACGCTAGCATGAAATATCACTAATAGGGGGTTTCAATCCTTGACATTGGCCAAAAAAAATAAGCGCTGATTTCGATGGCTTATTTGAAATACATCTGCCCTCGAGGTGGTGTATTTCAAAATAAGCAAATGCGCATTTGATGGAGGGCGCATTTTGGCTATAAGCCATCAAATGTCAAGGTTTGAAACCCCCAAATGTAAGTATTGTTACATGGAGCTAGCATGATTTCACACATTGTCATGATATTGCGCTCCATAGAGAATAACTGGCCTCTTACATTGACCACATTTAGATTATACACCATGCGCTACAAATGGGCCAGCTTTCAGTTTGCCAGTAGAAAGCGCACTGAGCTTGTGGTTAAAAAAACACAGCTAAACACGTGCTAAGTCCATGTAAAATCAGGCATATAGGTCATATAGAAAAGACTATGAGTAAGAACTCCAAACTTTGAAAGATAGCCCTACAGGATTCAGTACGTAACTCATTGAAGTTTAAAGGTAGTTAGAAACTAAAAAGACCCCGCAAGTTGAAAAAGAAAATCGGGATGCATTAATCCAATTAACTGATTCATTCGATTCAGGCATTTCGATTCCGACGATGACCCGATGTTGGTCCATGCAAAAGAAGCAAGTTGTAATGAATGAGGCTACGAATCGAGAGAATGAATGACAGGAATCTGGGGGCCGGTCGGAACATTGATGAATGAGCATTTCAAAACAAAGTCGAAATCGCAAAAAGGTGAATCACTTTTTTGGAGCACTGTAGATTGTCCCATATATTTTTTATTTTTGCTTTTTGTGTTTTGAAAAAAGGAGCAGGTAAGAAAAGGACAAACGGTGAAGGTAGAAAAAAGGATATGGATGGGGGTCGAAGAAGATGGCGAACGAAAAAGACCTCATACGGCAGTCCAGATAATGGAACCAGAAAGTGGGATTGGCGAATGGAAAGCCTACGAGAAAAAAAAAGAAATCTAGCTGCTCTAGCAAGAGATTCCAATGCTGACGTGGGGGATGTTGGCACACTTTCTGAAGATCTTGGGTCCAATGCACAAGTTGGCCGAGATGTTAACCTTTCCATTGCGGCAGATTCCATTGACACCAACTTTTCCAGCAATGCTGTCAATGGGGTTGACGGAGCATCCTTGATGGACATCAGCGCATTCAATGGCATTGGCTTTGATACCAAAGGCACTCACATCCAAGGTAATACCTCGCTCAAACTTGCAAGCCTTGAATTTGATAATCTTGATACTGAACTCAACGCAGTTGTCATCCTCCAACATTCTGAACTCTCTAAAGTCCTCGTCCATGTGAGGAATCCAACCATACATCTCCATGAACTGATGAGGGTGGATTACAGTGATTTCCAACTCATGGGTATCCACGTGGATACCATCGTCAGCGGTGTCCCCTTGAGGATGGCGGTACTGGGGCATTGCAACGGTAGAGTCCTTTTGAAGGCGGTATGGGCGAGCAATCCAATCCTCAAGGGAGTTCGTGAATTGGCTTCTTGGAGCAGCGTTACACACACCGCTCAAGGCGAGTGCAAAGCAGAGCACGGCAGAAATACGTTTGAAGGCCATTGCAGAAAGAGAGATGCTTGCAGATGAGATGGATTGTATTGGTGTTTGTCACAGAGGGAAATATTCAAAGTTAGCTTCAGCTGCAGTAATGCATGGGGTTTAAATTTCACGAGGCTGTCAAAAGAACGTTCATTACCTATTGAGCAAGGGGTTTTGGGAAGGTTCTTGGGAAGGTAGATTGAGTTGGTTCTTGGGAAGGTAGATTGAGTTGGTTCTTGGGAGTCGAGG